CGTGTTATAAACTCATTATACTAATGGCAAAAAAAGTTCCAACTAATTTAAAGCGGGAAACCATATTTTATTGGAAAACACTAAAAATGGATTCGCAATGAATATTTGTAAGCTTTCTATGTTAATTTCTAATATGTTTAATAAAGCCAATTATATATAGAATTAAAGGAATAAATAAAAAACTTTAGTTAACAAGGTTTTGAGTCAATCTTTTGTTATGTGGTAAGTTACTGTTAAATATGATTTCATTGTTGCGTTCTTTAAAGGCAATGGCTGTCTTCCCAAGATTAGTTTGTTCCCATGTCCATCGTTCAACCTTAAACCTTACACACTTTTAGTTCTTTCATGTCTGACTGCACTTTAGTCCCGAAGAAACTTCGCTCTGAGCGATCATTTGTTTGCAACACCTTGTTGGCGAGAAGAAAGAACCAAACGAAACTGAGCTACAAATACGTTCCCACACTAATTTCCGCTTTGAATTCCAAGAAAGGTGGTGAGGAAATATTTTTAAATATTTAAATAAAACCGCTTCTATACAATGTGGTAACCATCCGTTCAAGCGGTCAGAAGCTAATTAGTTTTTATAAATAAACGCTTCCCATGAAACCTGCAGATTATCAAGCTCGACGAAAAAATACTCCCGCACCCACTAAGAAGTTCGAGTGCGTCAATATCCAAAGCTCAGGTTCCTCTCATGAAATTGTGCACAAAAAAAAAAATAGAAGCTTATAAAACTAAATTGGCACGAACTCTGCATAAATAATGGCAATGACATTAAATCATATCAAGTTTTGGTATCAGCATGAGTGTGAAAAGTTAAAAGACAATATAAAAGTTACAATGGGATATACTTGAAATAAATTCTTGGCCCAAATTAATTTATTCATGCTTGTCTTTTCTCTTTTCAGGCCAGAATTTCTTAAAAAAAATAGATTTATGCATATAAGGTTTGTTGACATGCTTTTTAATTTTCTATATTCATGAGCTTATAGTTTGAGTATCCCAAATATTTTTCTCCGTGTGACTTTGCCTTCACGTACAAACAGTTAACGTTTATTCATTAATACCTTGGTTCTGGGAAAAGCAAAATTACTCTTAGGCGAGAAGACTCCCAAAAATAAGTGGTAAGAATGGAGCACACTCAAAAATAGAGTTACTCGATTTCTCCCCCGCTCTTTGGCGCCGTTTATTTTATTTTTTTTAAGCCGCTTCTGCGCAGGCGCGCCTGGGAACCAGTTTTGTGGCAGTCGGTGTGTTGTTGTTCGCCGCTTTGTGTGTGTGTTGCCAACAAGGCGGCCCTTGTACACATTCTGTGGGCCTGGAAAAAAGGGGCGGCCAGACCCGTTCACAAACTGGCACAAAGCAATGAACTGTTGAATAAAACAAAAAAACCGAAAACACGCCTGAGAATCTTTTCCGGTGCGTCCCCAAAGAGCAGCACCACCAGAACCACCAGAACCTCTAGAACAGATAGAGCCCACAAAACCACCAGAACCTACAGTTTGAGCAAACACAGACTTTTGGGGGAAGAAACGCAGCCTGTGGGCGTTGCACTATGGAAAGGTTTTCAAAATAAATTAAGGGCTATGAGTAATTACGAAAATATTTACGAAATCATATCAGGAAGTGACTTAACATTTTCAGGAAGGCTTTAACTGAAGACATGCAAAGAACATGTATTACCCTAAACAGTGGATGGTTATAATTATTTCTTTGATTTCAACAATATTCATTTTAAAATTTTTAGAAAATTAATTTCCAGATGGTTCTCTATATTTGTTTCGACCAAAATCATGCAATTAATATGGTCACAAACAAAACTAAAGGCCACGCGTTCTGATTCCAGTAATTGCCTTCAGAACTCAACTGTTCCGTAATTTCCCACCTCAATTACCAAACAATTTGTGTCCGATTTCAGTGCGTTACATCCCATCGTATCGGTGTTGGTGTGACTCAATGCTAACAATGGATTTTGTTGTTGCTGTCAGTACGCTGCGTATGCAAATAGCGACAGATAAAACGGCACTACGTGATCGCCGCGATAAAGACAATCCAGCAGACAGCATTGAACTACGCCCACAAATTTTAAACATTTGTTTGCATCGAAATTTTTTGAAATTATATCAAGTAAAAGCGAAAGCGGCTGTCTTTTTAGTTTGATACATTGTTTCTCCCTGATTTTCTCATATTTGCGGTTTTCAAGCAGTGGTAAGGTAAATTCCCAAGGTGGCTGGCTAATCGATGCAGTCGTTGAAAACTGGCAACGTTGCAACTAGAAAAAAGAAAGAACAACATAGACAAAAGAACCGACTTCAATGCACCTCAAGGGGCCATCAATCTATCTAAAGTTTTATTATTTTCTACTAGTGAACTACTGTTGTTTAAGAGGCTTTTATTCCAGTGACTATCACATTGGGTTGCATCTCAAATTTTATTCGGGATTTCAACCAGATCCTGAGATTTAGCCGTTTCTTTACTTTTATTGGCATTACAAAATCCTGCTTTCAACGAGTACTGGGTGGTAAAAGCACCCTAAACTTTACGGGCAGGGGGAAATCAGTTCTTTTTTAGTTATACTCTGGCTATTTTTATAGACCTGGCTAACGACTTGCAGTAATGGCCAGCGTCAGGCAATGGTCGCGGCCGATTGAGTAGGCCCACGGAACATGGCCCACGGCCCATGTCACGGCCGATTGCACTTTAACACTTGACCAGGCCAAAACACCGGACATGGGAGAACGCGGGTGTGCCCCCCGCACACAATTTCCATTCTCGATTTCCATTTATGTGCGAGTGTATTTCCATAAACCCGCGGGGTCACGTGTTGTTATCGTTAACGCAATGCAGGTAGTTTTGGTTTGGTTCATTTTTCTTTTTTCCAACCACTTTTCCTGCGAGCATAGTGTACCTGCGCCGCGACTTTTCCCCAGAATGATGGATTATATCTGTTTAGGGCGGAAATTCAAAGGAAATCCAGACAAAAACCACTCTTGAAGTGAAGATGACGCTGATGATCGTTGCTGTCGGTGTCTGGATTTTATGATGGAAGCTGCTATAAACCAGTTCCCGTGATGCATTTCAGGGATTTCCCAATGCAGAGATGGAAAATCGTTCTCTATCTCCTTCCCACATTTGTGGGTTTTCCTTCTACCATACATCATTAAAAAATAATAGTCCTCAAAGTCACTCGATGTGATGAAAAAGATACCTAAAGTTTATTTGATTCACAGAATATCCTTATATTTCCATAAATCATCTAACAATGGAATACTTTTAATTTTGTTAGGCTTTTCAATTCAAAACAGAATTGATGGTTAACAGAAAATGGTAACAAAATTTGTTTTTCTTTCATATTTGGAACACAGGATACTCCCAACTTTTAAATGGGAATTCTGTATATGTTTGGAAACTGCCGCTGTAAAAACCAGTTTCAGAGATGCATAGCAGGGATTTCCCTTCCCTGAGCTGGAAAACCTTTCTCTATGCCAACATGTTATTATTCATAAACACAAATAAAAAACTGTAAACTTCGACAATTTCTAGTAAAGAACTAAGTTGGATTGGAAGTAAAAGCAACAAGTTCTGAAAGATGCTGATGAAAACTGGTTTTCCTAATGCAATGCAGGGCTTTTTCAACTTGGACATGGAAAACTCTTCCTCTATCTCTGTTCCCTTTTTCTGTGTGTTTTCTTTATCAACCTATCAGCAGAATTGCGGTATTGCTGACGTTGAGCTGGCCGCGCTTTTGCAACTGTTGTGCTTCACTTTCCGGCCAAAGATAAGATTGTCAGTAACAACAGGCGGACGGTTGGCCGGTTGGAGGGTTGTTTCTCGGATTGTAAATAAATAAACCAAATTTTTGAGGTCATTTTTGCACAATCCAATGAAAAAAGGGGGCAGACAATGCTAAGGCAGAGCAACATAGTTGAGCCTCGGACAATATGTAACAAATAATTACAGATAATGAGTCAGCAAGAGTTGTGCGTCAATTATTAAGATTATTATGCAAGTGATCAATTCCTCAAGTTGTGATATCGTTGAAAATACTTCGAAAATGCAGACAAATAAGCTATCATTACCGAAAAACACAAATTTGTTTCCTGGTGTTATTTTAATTAAAAAAAAATTATAATACTCCAAGTCACATGTTTGTTGGTCGAATATTTCTGGTATTTTATTTGTTAAATTGCTGATATCAATATGTTTTTGTAATTTGAAAAAAAATATTTTATTGCTATATAAACAAATTCGTTTTTCTAAATTTTATTCTATTAATTTCTTGTGCAGCAGCTAAATAAAAGATTCATTCCACTAAAAATAAATCAATACGTAACCATAGCTAATCCATTTCACATTAAGTTTTTAGGCATTCCTTTTGTTAGTAAGATAAGAACGAAACACACAACCACCCGAAAAAGCAATGAGTGGATAATTAACACAATCAAGCTTTAGGTATGCCAGCTTCATGAGTCACTTCTTGAAGGAAAACCCGTTCAACGAGTTTTTTGGATGCCCAAAATCTATTCAAAACTCCTTTTACCCAACATGACTTTTCTTTCGGCCCCATCCCCATACACAAATTTCCATTACATGTACCCATGTGACCTGTTGCTGTTGTTTCGAATTTCGAGCTTTTAAAACATCAGCGAGTGCTCAGCTTAAAAAAATGCATTAGACTCAGCAAATACCTTATCCACAGTTCGAATCCTATAACTCGAACCGATCTACTTTATATTTTTCTTCTCAAAAATTATTCGATAAACAAGTCTTGAAAAGGTTTAAAACAAAGATTTAATATTCAGTAAATAATTGTATTATAACAATTTTAAGCTATTCAAAATTCAATTCAATGGGTCCTCACTGTATTTTAAGAACCATATTAACACGACGTTGCTCTCTGGATGTCCCTGACTATTGTTCTCCACGCCCGCTCCCCTTCCCCATGCGGAGCAGAGTGTCCTCGACTCTCTCTATCTCTCTCATCCTTTTGGTTCTCTCACCTGTTGCTAAGTAAATAAGTATGAAGAGCGGTATCCATTGAGGCGACGAAAAAACTGAAATGGCGCGCTTGAGCAAATGCGACGTAATTTGAGCTGCGCTTTTCGTGCGGTCTCGACTTCTCGCTGTTGTTGTTGTTTCTGCTGACGCCGCTGTAGCTGCTGTGGTTGTTGTTCTTGTTGTTGCTGCTGGCCGCTGTTTTTGTTGCTGTGTCGGTGACGCATTCGCTATTATAGCCATGATCGTTGATTTGTTGGCTCAAGCCGTGTTTTCGTATTGGAAAGGGTTTCGTTTGGCTTGCTTTTGGCTATATTTTTTCTATTCAGATGATACTCATTGAGCTTGTTGTTGTTAATTGCATTCTCCCTTCTCTCTCTCTCTTCTTTTCTTTCTGCTCCACACACTCACACACAAACGCAAGCGGCACTTGGCTTAGAACAGGTTTTTTTTTAAGTTTTATTTCTTTTTGCTAGTTGTATTATTTGCACACTTTCGCACGCGACACTTTCTAGCCTGAATTTGAATATTGAGCACAGAGATTCCTCTTTGAGCCAACTAATTTGCTATTTCTTCCCAGGCCTCAATTCTAAATCACACACACACGCGCGAACCGAAAAGTTGGCTTAAAAGAGAGGTGTGTTGTTGTTGTTGCTGCCCTTTTGAACTGCAAGCAGCACACATACTCGCACGCGCACACACATTGGCCAAAATGGGGAGCGAAAAAAACACGTCCGACACCAGCAAGAGTTTTCGAAATTATGAATCGTGGTAAGAAAATTGTTAGCGGCCCGTTGCTCGCCACTAAAAGGCTGAGAGAGTTGAGAACAGATGAGCGGAGCAACAGCAATCAGCTTAACTCTGTGCAACTGAGCAGTGCAGGTATATAATTGTGGGAGTAGAAAGAGCCAAGGCGAGAGAGCGGTAAGCTCCAAAACTGTTCCCACGTTCTCGCAACATCTCTCTCTCTCTGAATCGCATAGTGGTACTATTTCCATGTGTTAAGTGGCATACATTAAAAAAAGATAATAAATATTCACCTGTCATAACAATTAATACATTTCATTTACTAATTTGTTATAAATAAATGTTATTTTAAATAACGCCATAGCTCGGGCACAACCAATGTTCTTTTATATGTTTATTAAGTGGGGACACAAAACTATGTTAAAAGCTAAAACCCCTCAAAAATTATTTGTGGAATTATTTAAAATCTACACATATGTATGTAAATTGAAACAATTCCAATCTTAACTGGCTAAAATTTCGAATTCGACTTACAAATTTGCACATGAAAGCGGAATGCATAAGAAAATACGTCCATATAGCGACCGGATAGTAAATGTTAATGTAAACGCTTACAAAGCGCCGACTTATCGCCTCAAAACGAACTTAGCAAACTGGTGGAATTGGCGACAAGTCCCCTTTTTTTGGAGGTCTAGGTAGGGCTATATAATGTCGGTAAGCCCACTTAGTAATCAGAGTAGCAAGAAAACTTGCCAAAATGGAAAAGTCGCACAGTAAAGCCCGGTTTTTCCTGCTCTTAGTTCTTCTGGGTATTTTCCAAGGAGACTCCATGCCCCTGGAGGATATGAAATCCCAGGAAATTATTGACCTGACAGATCTGGGCGATACCTTGTTCCGCAATCCGGATGTGGAAACCACAGGAGCATTGGTCGAGGCTCACAATGAGGATTCGCTACAGAACCCCGAAGAACTTGGTACTTATTACGAGGGCGATATATTGATACCACTAAGTTATAGAAATGAGCGATCTAATGGAACCCGTAATGGCATTCTGGCGCTTAGTTTCCGCTGGCCGGGTGGCGTTGTGCCTTACGAAATCAAAGGTCCTTTTACCACCCAGGAATTGGAAAACATCAATCACGCCTTTAACGTAAGGATTCTCAATTTCAATCCCTTGATAATACAAAATAACATTTATTTTAATTTCCTAACTTTTTAAAGGAATACCACAAAAGAACTTGCGTACGTTTTAAGCCCAGGACCACAGAAAAGGATTACATCTCGATTGGAAGTGGCAAGTCTGGTTGTTGGAGCAGCATTGGACGTCTAGGTGGCCGCCAGGAGGTGAATCTGCAGTCGCCCAACTGCCTGCGAACATATGGAACACCGATCCACGAACTGATGCACGCCTTGGGCTTCTTCCACGAACAGAATCGCCACGAGCGGGATTCCTATGTTCGAGTGATGAGTAACAACATTAAGCCCGAGATGATGCCCAACTTCGAGAAGTCCAGCCCAAAAGTCCAATCCGGATTCGGTGTGGAGTACGACTATGGCAGTGTGATGCACTACTCGGCCACCAGCTTCACCCGGAACGGTCAGCCCACGCTGAAGGCTCTGCGCGCCACTTCCGAAGCCAGCCAAATGGGTCAGAGACGCGGCTTCTCCGCCGGAGATGTGCGCAAAATCAACGCCATGTACAAGTGCAAGAATCGTGCACATGATTCCTAGATCCAGGTCAATTTGAAGCGAACTATTGCTGTAAACATAAGTACTTTAAAAGAAATACTTATTAACAGCACACACCAAATATTATTTTGATGTAGTATTTTCTGAATAAAAATTATTTAATGAAAATAATAACGCTCTTAAAATTTCGTCACGTTGGCACCCTGAGTCTAATGATTGAGTTTTGCTTTTCAATAAAAACAAGTCTTTTTTTTATTACTTTTTTTTCATATGACGCTTTGCAGCTCAACCCAATTTTAATTAAAAGCTTTTCAAAACAATTAAAATTTTAAATGGAAAAAAATCCTAAGTCTACTTACCATTTGCAAAGGAATGGGGAATATCTTAACACTTCCATTAAGCACACGAGTTGCAAATATTAATGAAAGGCCCTGCAAAGAATTCAGTTATCACTTGAAAAATAACTCAGCAAATTGGTGATACAAAAATAGCCGACGAGGAGGTCTAGGTGGGGCTATATAATGCCGGCGAACCCTGTTAGTAAGCAGAGTAGTACAAGAACTTGCCAAAATGCAAAAGTCGCATACTAATACCCACTTCTTCTTGCTCCTAGTTCTTCTGGGCATTTTCCAAGGAGATTCCATGCCCCTGGAGGCTAAGGACTCTCACGAAATAATTGACTTGAAAGAACGAGAACTGGGTGATAATTTGTTTGGAAATCCGGATGAGGAAATCACAGGAACATTGGCCAAGGCTCACAATGCGAATTCGATCCAGAACCCAGGAGAATACGGAAACTATTTCGAGGGCGATATAGTGGTACACATTGAACCCCGTAATGGCATTCGGAATACTACTTCCCACTGGACTGGTGGCAATGTGCCCTACGTAATCGAAGCTTCCTTTTCCCCTGAGGAATTGGAAGTACTCAACAAAGCTTTTGAGGTAATTGAAGTTCCTTAATTTAGATCCATCAGTAATGAAAACAAAATATTTAAAATTTAAAAACTTCTGAAAAGGAATACCGCCACAAAACCTGCGTGCGGTTTATAAACAGGACAGATGAAAAGGATTACATCTTAATTACAAATAATGTCACAGGATGTTCTAGCAAGGCTGGACGTAGGGGTGGCCACCAGCTTCTAAATTTGCAGTCGAAAAAATGCCTGTCAGCTATTGGAATTCCGATCCACGAGTTGATGCACGCCTTAGGTTTCTACCACGAGCAGAGTCGCCCCGATCGAGATGAATATATTGAGGTGTTGTTCGAAAATATTAAGCCCGAAATGGAGTACAACTTTGACAAGCAGGACGCAAAGAATGTATCTGGTTTCGGTGTGCCGTACGACTATGACAGTGTGATGCACTACGCGTACAATGCCTTCAGCAAGAACGGTGAGCCCACACTGAGGGCTCGGGACAAAACTGTCGATACCATTCGATTGGGTCAGAACCGTGGCTTCTCCAAAGGAGATTTAACCAAAATCAACACTATGTACAATTGCACGAATCGTGCAAATGATTCGTAGACGCACCCATTTGTCTATAAACAATTTGAAATGTAGGTAATATCAGAATAAATATGAGTATTTTAACACAAATGATTTAATGAAAAAAATATTTCAATATTATATTAACTACTTTTTTGGTGGAAATCTATATTGCTTTTCGAACGATTGCTTTTAAATATAAATGAAAACTAATGTTAAGAATAAATAGTTTTTTACTTTAGTTTATTTTTGTTTGCGAAAATATTTGATAAAATTTGTTATTATACGTTCAAAGCCTTTTTTGAATATTAGAGGTTAAGAAATTAGTAATTATTAATTTTTTTATATAATAATAAATATTTTAAGCGAGGCAGAACGAATGGAAAATTAATTGGTCAAATGCTAAATGGGCTTTCATTATTTTATGGCAAGGGAATCACTATTATTGGTAAGTGAACTTATTTTAGGAAAAGTCATATTATGCAAGTTAATAAAGATATTTATAAGAAGAAGACATCCACGAAGCAAATGTAGTTTAAATAGTTAACAAAGAATCGTATTAAAACATAGATACATTAGATAGATGTGTAACATGTGTGGTTTGGTGAAAAGAGTGCTAAAATCCTCGGAGACAAGCCATTTTTGGTTCTAGGCACCAAGTTAGACCCAAGTACAACTATTAACTATAAAACTTTGTTTCAACTTAGGATCAAAGTTAGACCCTAGTTTTAAAATGTGCATTAAATGGATTTTGCACAAAAGTGACCAAATCCAAGCACCATAATTTTTCTAATTTTTATTCGATTTATATATGGTAAACCTCTATGAAATAGGTATTAAAACATTTAACAATCTCCTGTACTATTTATGTTCGATCTTTCCTTATGACCTTTTTAATGAACAACCGAATTGTAGAAAAGTAACTAAGTTCCTGCTCTTCGTAGCCTATAACTCTTCTTATTTTTATTCGATTTATGGTATACCTTTACAAAAACAATTTCTGGCGTGCAAAATGTTTATTAGTTCTGTAAAAAAATTATATTATTTCGGAATAAAAATTAAACTTTGAAAATGTTTATGCTCTTAAAAATTTGACTCGTTGCGTCTAAGGATTGAGAGTTGACATTCAGTAAAAATAAGGCTTTCTTTATTTATAAATATGACGCTTTGCAGTTCAACCAAATTATAATTAAAAGCTTTTCAAAACAATTAAAATCTTAGCCCTTTACATGGCAATAACTCCGATTTTCTTGATTTTTTTTTTGTTTGGTAGAGAAGTGAAAATAAAAAATACACTTCTTTTTATTTTTTTAATTTTGTTGTTTTTACCTTATTTTTTTTATGTGTAAAGGTACTTTGATGCATATCTGCAACATCGCGAAATTGTTGATTTATTTGTATTATAATGCAACAAACACAAAAACTCGATAATATATAACTAAATATTATATTTACCTGTTTATAAATATAAATTAAATCAACTATACATTTTTTTTTTTGTTATTTATATTTGGATGAGAAACTGCACAACCAATTCAGATTTCCACATTCACCAAATTGGCGGGGAAAAGTAATCATCTGTTGATTATTGGACAGAATTCTGAGTGACTAACACTTGTTATATAAAAAACGAAAGTTGCTGAACTGCATCAAAAAGATTTCAGACAGTTTTGCAACGCCCGTTGAAAAATAATCGAGTTTGAACGGTATGATGCAGATCTGCATCACCACCATGTAAAGGGTTAAATGAAGAAAATTCCAAAATCTAGTTACAATTTGCCAACGAAAGAGGAATGTCTAAACACGTCCATTAAGCACACGAGTTGCAAATATTAATGAAAGGCCCTGCAAAGAATTCAGTTATCACTTGAAAAATAACTCAGCAAATTGGTGATACAAAAATAGCCGACGAGGAGGCTTAGGTGGGACTATATAATGCCGGTGAACCCAGTTAGTAAGCAGAGTAGTACAAGAACTTGCCAAAATGCAAAAGTCGCATACTTCTTCGTGCTCCTAGTTCTTCTGGGCATTTTCCAAGGAGATTCCATGCCCCTGGAGGCTAAGGACTCTCACGAAATAATTGACTTGAAAGAACGAGAACTGGCTGACAATTTGTTCCGCAATCCGGATGAGGAAATCACAGGAACATTGGCCAAGGCTCACAATGCGAATTCGATCCAGAACCCAGGAGAATACGGAAACTATTTCGAGGGCGATATAGTGTTACCACGGAGACATCGAAATGCTGGAGCCTTTGGAGCCCGTAATGGCAAAATAGATCCTAGTTCCCACTGGCCTAATGGCATTGTTCCCTACGAAATCGAGAATTCCTTTAACGAGATGGAACTGAAAATAATCCACCACGCTTTCGAGGTAATTTGAGCTCCGTAATTAAGATTCATCAGTAATGAAAACAAAATATTATATTTGAAATTTAAAAACTTCTTAAAGGAATTCCGAATGAAAACCTGCGTGCAGTTTAAGAAGAGGACAACAGAAACGGATTACGTCGTAATTATAAATGGGACTGGCTGTTATAGCGACGTTGGACGTCAGGGGCTCGGCCCACAGGACGTAAGTTTGAGCTCATTAAGCTGCCTGAACAACAATGGAAGTACTATCCATGAGTTGATGCACGCCATAGGCTTCCACCACGAGCAGAATCGTCCCGATCGGGATGAATATGTTCAGGTGTTGTACGAAAATATTATGACCGGAGAGGCGCACAATTTTGAAAAGATGGACGCAACGCTTTATTCCACATTCGATGAAAATTACGACTATAAGAGCATAATGCACTACCAGGTCGGCGGATTCAGCAAGAACGATAAGCCCACGATGAAGGCTCTGAAAAAGACTCCCGAAGCCATGGATATGGGCCAGAGGGAAGGCTTTTCCAAAGCAGATGTGCGCAAAATCAATCGTATGTACAAGTGCAAGGATCGTGCACATAATTTCTAGATGAACCCACTTCTCTAGAAACAATTTGAAGTGAATTATCAGAATAAATATGATTGTTCTAACAGAAATAAATGTTTTTCCACTGTAGTACACAACAGCATTATTCACCAATTCAATTCTGATTTACTGAAAAAATATTTCTATGGTTACAACATTTGGTATCATAATTAACATTCGCCTAGGTGTGCCGTGTCTTGTACTGCTCCGGGGATGGGAAACTCCATGCCATCCTAGTGGTACGGCAGATTCTTGTTGGTCTCGAAGAAGAAGTTGCCCTGCATGTTGAGCTCCTTGCAGAGCGTTGAGAACCGCCGGATGGCATTGTAGGTGCCGAGGTGTCTCTCGTTTCCATCTTTCGCGGAGAAACACAAAGCATAACAGAAGATACTATATGTACGTATATATACAGCAGAGAAGGGGCCCGATCGCATGCAGTGGGCGATTAGTAATCCGGTGATCCGCTCCACTCAGCGGATGGTGGTTAGTGGGGACGCGCCTTTTGGTGGGAGGCCTTACCTGGGCCCGCGAAACCGGCACCCGTTGCATTCAAGTCCAGGTTCATGTAGAGAGCCATATTCCCGGTCGATCCGTGACGCGAACGATTGTTCAGAAAGTCCCGGATGTGCTGGACTATCAGATCGATGGCCACTGAAAGGAAGATGAAGTGAAATTAGTGAGCAATCCGCCACCGAATATCAAATCGAAATGCTGCACCTTCGTTAGCATTGCAACTCAACGTGGAACAATCCACTTACCTTGCTGCTCCGGCAGAGCTCCCCGATCCAAGCGGTCTAGTCTAAGCCAAGGACTTACTCTAGCTCTAGTTAGTAGGGTCTATTACCTAATCGCATCTAAGCTGGGCGGCATTTTCTGTTAATTGTTACTCTATTGTGTCTTGTGGCTCGGGATTGTGTGCTTAACATTCTGCTGGCTGTGTACTTACTAAATGAAACACCGATTTTTATCTTCGAGCCTTGCTGGCAGTTGTCTGTCTTGTATTTGTATATTTGAGACTGCATTATAGTGTTTATAGTAGACACGATTTGAGAACGATAAAGTCGCAGTGGCCGACCTTTGAGATGCCCGGTACTCGGATAATGGAATTTAATATTTTCACAATACAATAAACTTGAATTCATCGAGATGACTAAAGTTATATTAACTACTTTTTTTGGTAGAAGTATATATTGCTTTTGGAACGATTGCTTTAATTATAGTTTGAAAACTACTGTTACGTTAAAAAAATTCCTAGTGAATGTTTAATTTTTTTTAACGAATATATTATATAAAAAATTGTTATTGTACGTTGAAAAAACATTTTGTATATTAGAGGTTAAAGAATTTGTAATATGTAATTAGTTTTGTTATAATATAATAAATATTTAAAACTATGCAGAATAAATGGAAAATTAAATTATTCGAATGGTTGAGGAAAAGTCGTATTATACAAGTTAATAAAGATAGGCCTAATAAGAAGGCATCCACAAACCAAATTTAGTTTAAATAGTTAACAAAGTATCGGGCATCGAAACATAGATACAATAGTTAGATGTGTAACATGTGTGGTTTGGTGAAAAGAGTGCTTAAGTCCTCGGAAACAAGCCAGTTTGGGGCTAGGCACCAGGTTAGACCCAGGAACAACTATTAACTATAACACTTTGTTATAACTTAGGACCAGAGTTAGACTGGGAGCGCAATCTCAGGTTGGGTTATCTTGATGAACAGAAACGAGCTTACATACACACTACCATGTATTGTTGAACATATGCAAGTAGATACTAAAGATACTTTTCAATCTTAGGACTACGTTAATCGGTTACGATGAGAAGACCGAATGAGAAGCGATGCCGGCGCTCATTAATGGACATTTGCCTTAGTGTGCTGCGGCGCCTGGGTTTTCATTATCATTCTTTAGCTTTTGGACTTTTGTTTTTGGCAATTAGTACAAGCTCAAGACGCGGCGTTAGGACGAGGAGGTGGCCGCCCCTGAAGCGAGTTTGCATTTGCGTTTAGTGATCTCGCTTCATGCTGGACGCCGCCACCCTGACTGTGTTGCTGTGCTGTGCGCTGTTGGTGGTGGCGAGAATCTCCCCGATATGGTGTACAATAAGATCAATGGCAACTGCAAGAAATACAATAAAACAACAGGAACAAAACGAAAACAACGGAAAAATCGTAACGCAGGAGAAACAATTAACAGATATGAAGGAAAAACCAAGAAAAGGGTAAAAATGTTGATAGGCATATAGTACTTATATATATATGTAAACATCGAGCAGTCTATGTGATCAGGATTTGTCGTCCTCAGATGTGTTAATAGAACCAGAAACAAAAGAACTATTTGCTAAAACTATGGTTATTGGGAAACCAACTCAACGAAACACTACAAAACGCATAGAGTGTAAGAGTGTGTTTTGTGTGGGCATAGAGAGTAAATAGAGTATAGAATGGACAGGTGTTCGGGTGTTGCTGCCTCACCTGTGTTGTCGGCGCCTCGCGGTATGATAACGTCAGCAAACTTTTTTGTCTGAAATGGGCAGGGTTTTGTTTAAAATATTTTATAATATGTACATCGAATAAAGGTTTAGCTTACGGGCGAGCAGAACTCCTCGAAGGCGGGCTTCACAAAGGTCATATACTGGGTGAGCACTGCGTCCAAATCCCTTCCACGCTCGTTGATGTCACGTGGCACTAATAAAAAAATCCATTTTCTTTATTATGTACTTGGAGTTAGACAAATCCATGACTTACCTCGTCTGGCCAATCTGGTATCGGAGTCCGTGTCCACGAACAGCTTCATGTGGAAAAGGTCGCGTATTTTGGGAAAGTAAAACACCAATATACCCTCAAAGAGAACCACATCAGCTGGGTAGATGACCAGAACGTTTTCAAAGTCCCTGGATGAATAAAAGGATAATATCTTGAAAATCTTATACAGTATGTTGAGTACGTGGGACAATAAAAAACAAAATCATAGCCTCACTATACTCACAGAGAGTTTGTACGATAGTCGTAGCTGGGAATCTCAACCTTGTGTCCCTGCAGGATGTTCTGAAGCGTGCTATACATGAGCTCCTCGTTAAAAGCGTCGGGATGGTCAAAGTTGAAGAGTCCCTTTTGCGCCTTGGCCTTCTCGGCAGGCGTTAGTTCCCGATAGAAGCTGTCCTGGCTAATAGACACCACCTGGCGCTGAGTGTGATCCATTTCCGCCTGTCCCAATGCCTCCATAATCTTCTTGCACACCGTCGATTTGCCGCTGGCCGTTCCGCCGGCAACTCCGATTAGAAACGGGGATTTGACCTCATCCCCGGATGCTCCATCGCCATTGGGCAGTCGTAGCGAGTCCGCTTTCCTCAAATCCTGCATTTTGCTTGGGAAATCTTAAGAAAATGCCCCTTTTCACCCACGCAACAGCTGATTGCGTTAGAGATGGACTAATTATAACGATAGCTTATCTTTTGCTTATCGCGGTAACAGTTTCGATAGTATGTCGCTCAGCTTTTATATTTTATCAATAAAATATCATTATACTTGGGAACTTTAATATTTTAAATTAGAGTTTATTTCGGACAAAAACTGTTAAAAAATAAATTTAAGAATTTTCAAAAAAAGTTACAAAAATTTCTACAAAAAAAGTAATATGCTATCGATATTCCGCGCTGGAAGTGTTGCCACACTTACAGAAAAAGAAAGAACGGAAGTCCGCTTAAGCATAAAAACGTTATTTTTTGAAAACAATGCATATGAAACTTAATGGAAATCCTAAGCAAGTTTTTACAAAATAAAACATGTAAATAGCGCAATATTGAACACGCACGTATGTATGCTGACGCCGGCGCGTTGAGATTTGAAAACAATTTACCGACGAACTGGAGTTGGAAATATTTGCACAGCTTGGCTTTTTATTTGACTGCCCTGTGAATGCTTTTAATACGTGTATTTGCATAGTAACTGTTTCTCTATTAGCAACCTGCTGACGGTCATATGTCAGTGTCTTTTCAAAGCTCAACCATGAAGGCTGCCTTAGATCTCAGCACCCTAAGATGGTTTTATTATCTGAGTTTCTTAATCAATTATGGACTTAACTTTTGCCAGGCGGTGCCAATCGTCGGAGGTCGGATTGTATCAACCGTGGGCAGTATACAACTAAACTCATTCACCTTTTCCACTAACTAAATCCTGCAACGATCTATTTAAAGGCAGCACCAGTAAATATCCGTTTATGGTCTCGTTGCAAGATGTTATAAAGGGAAATACCACGAATAGAGTTTCTTATCGACACTTTTGCGGTGGCAGTTTGATAAGCGATCGTTGGATCCTGACTGCAGCTCATTGCGTTTGGAGAAAGTAAGCTAAGGAACTCCAAAGGAATCTTTTTTAACATAATATTTTCTATTTTTAGAAATATTCACAGCATTGCTGCCTTCATTGGCTATGAGAATATTGAAAACATCGAGCAGCTGGAGCCATATGGTCTGGAAAGCGCCGAGTATATTTACTTCCAACCGTGAGTAATCAGTTGAGTTAAGTTTAATACTCCCCTCTTGAGAGAGATTTGCAGATAATGGGGAGGGAAATTAATGCCAAATGATTTATTGGCAGAAAAAAAGTGCAAGATCCCTACAGAGTATTGTGTTCTGACTATAATAGACTTTATCCTATTATATCTATTTCTGACTCTCTGCCGCTCTTAAAGCGATCTCTTCTGACTTTTTTTAGCTCATAATTAGATCTTATTGTGTTCCTCCTCATTTTCCTCGGGCTTTTCTTATTTTTCTAAGTCGCGACTCTTTTCTGGCCGTACGATACACGGCAGCGCCCCTCGGTCGGTTGGGCGGGAGGTGTGGCCGTGGGTCACGCGCGTCGCTAACTTAAAAATTAGATCGTTAAATTTGAAATTAAAATAACATGTAACTTTCTTTCCTTATCTTTCGTTTTTTAATTTTTTTTCTTTTAAAAATCGCGTCAAAATTATCGCGAATCGTGCCGTACGATACACGGCGGTCGGTTGGGCGGGTTGTGGGCCGTAGGACTACGCGCGTAAAAAAAAAAAAAAAAACAAAAGACTGTGCTTCACACTGTCTTATAATTTTTATAAAAATGAATTTAATGATTTATCCTATTAAAATATATTTTTTTTTTATGCAGCTCAAACTTTCGTAATGATATAGCGTTGCTGTATATGAGAACCAGCTATTGGAGTACCTTGAGCAATGGTCTACAATTTGCCGAACTGCCTCCACATGGAATGAAACCAGACCAAAATGGTGAATAATATTTCTTTCCATGGTATCCTTATTAGTTATTACTAAACTCCACAGAATCCTGTCGCATTATTGGCTATGGAGCAACCCAGCATGCTGGACCGTGTCAGAAGAAACTATTTGAGGCCGAAGTGCGGGTGATTGATCATCAAAAGTGCCGGGATATAATTGGACATATCTGGGCGCCTCAAAATGGAGCGAATACGGTGTGTGCCCTTGGAAACAATCAGGATTCCTGTCAAGGAGATTCGGGGTAATCTACATCTCATTAATTAAATAATACATATTATAAAATATATTTTCTTATAATTATTTTTAAGGGGTCCCCTGATTTGTCCTTATGGCGGCAAGGACTATATCTACGGCCTGGTTTCCCACGGACTCACCTGCGGCATCCAAGGAATGCCGAGCATCTACACGGTGACCAGACCCTACTACGATTGGGTCCAACTGCTGACGCAGTCCTAGATCTCTGGCGATCACGTATAAATAGTATATTTATTATGCGATATCAAACAGAAAAACAGTTATGAATATATGCTTAAAGAATGCAGGAATAGCACGGACTAATAACGAACTTAGGCTAAAGTACTGCAGGTTATGGTATACATATAACTAGAATTTAAGCTAGACTAACTACGGTAGAGTAACCATTTACACGATTTGATTTATCAGCCTAGTCTTGTGTCTTTTTTTGTTCTAACTAAAATCTTAAAATTTGAAGAAGCATTCAACAACCTGAGGTAAAAACGTTTTTGGTTCGTAATTCTAAAAACCCTCTTATACAAATATTTCCTATATTAAAAGAGGTCCCCAATTTCAACCTGATAAATTTCGGAAAGTCTGAAATGAACTCCTGACAAATCAATTCGTGAAAATGTGGCTTAATCTAAATGCCTTCACTGCTTGGCGGGCTGCTCATCCGCAGAATTGTCCGGAGTGCTCTCCACTTTGTCCGAAAGCTTCCCCGTTGCGGTTTCGGGAAGTGTGAGGGTGAGCAGGCCAGCTACTAGAACGCAGCAGCCGCAGATCGTGGTTGGAATGTACCAGCCGAGTGCTCCCAGAACATCCACCACATACGGTGCCGAAATGGAGCCCACGTGGGCAAAGGTGGAGCAGGTTCCCAGCGCCGAGTTGCGGATCTCGGTGGGATAGAGCTCGGCGGTGTAGAGGGTCACCACCGAGTAGGTGGCACTGATCCCGAAGCGACCGAGCATGGCGAAGGCCACAATCCAGGTGGTGCTGCCGGCGGGAACCGAAAGAACCAGCAGCAAGGACACCCCCGTCCACAAGAATAGGAACATGGTGGTGAGGCGACGACCAGTGAAGCGGAGCATCACCACCGGCACCAAGTAGGAAGGTATATCCACGAGGCCAGTAGCAATAATATACAGGTATCGCGATACCGAAAGATTGGCGGCATTCAGAGCTAAAAGGGGAAATAATATGTATTATAAATATTAATATATTTATTATATTGCTCACCCGTCACATAGTAACTCAAAGAAGTAACGCAGAACATGAAATACGAGGCAAAGATCATTTTGCGCACACTGGAATTGCCGTACAACTCAATGATGGACTTCAAAGGACCATTCCTGAGCTTCTCTCCCAGCGAGGAACCCACTTCCGGCTCCAACTGCAATGGTGGAATATCAAACATCAGCTAGGCAACCCAATATAACATATATATTTCTTAGAACTTTGCACTCACCGACTTCTTATCGGTGACGATTTGAGAGGAGGCTGCCACCGCTGGCTGAATTTGGTAGTGGCTCGGTTGTCTGAAGAGAATCTTGTAGACGCGATCGTACTTCTTGTTCGTGATCAGCCAGCGGGGTGACTCATTCATCAAGCTGAGGGAGGGAGATATCTGGTTTAGGAATGATCAAATAAAATCATTTAATATTTTAGCTTACTAGCAATTAAGTATGAGCAGCAGGGAGGGAATGGTCAGTGCCAATTGCAGTTGCCTCCAGGGTTGGATGATGTAACCCATAATGGCCAGGGAGATCATGCCCACGGGATAGGAGGCCGAGAAGGCAATGGACATCCAGGATCGGTGTTTCAAGCAGATGTTCTCAACAACTAAAACATTAAGAAGATACCAAACAAAAATAAATTAAAAATGAAATAAAATAAAGGAATGAGGTTAATAAATTCTATAAGATACATTTTCCAAGTATTAAAGTATTAATGATTGAAGTTATTATTCTAATAAACTTGGGGACTTACTCATGGTAAAGGCAGGATAAAAAAGTCCTGATGAAGCGGCTCCCAAGGCAAATCGTCCTGCTAAAAAGAGAGTATACCAAGGAGAAAATGTGCAGAAGAAGCTGCCCACAATGAAGAAGACAGCTCCCAAAGTAAACGAGGACTTGCGACCAAATCTGCAGGAAAACAATGATTAGGAAATCAGTTTTTCTTAATTAGAATTTATTTTTTAAAAGAAACTTACTTATCTGCCAGAATGCCAAAGGAGAAGGAGCCGCAGAACTTTCCCAGGGAAATGGAAACCTGAGCGGAGGTTCGCTGAATACTCCGATCGCAGGTGAGATCCCAATCGGAAACGAAGGTGCTCTCCGGATGGGCGAACTCATGTTGTCCCTTCACCTTGCAGGAAACCTCAGTTGGTGGGGAAATCTGGGACAGGAAGGTGGTGTGATTCAGAGCAGATTCAAAGGACATCTTCCCCAAGTGCTCATAGTTCCAATCCCACACGGTGCATCCTCCAGATTCCAATCCTTTGGCAGAGATTTCCCTCTTCTGTGCCAATGTCCAGTTGGTGTCCTGCAGATCCTGAATGCCACACCACTGATCATCCGGCAGGTGACCCAACAAAGTGTAGGATGACACATGGAAGCCATTCAATATATTTGGAGTGACACACAAAAAGAAAATCGCCCTGGGGGTGAAAACAAGTTAATATATCTTATTAGGTAAATTTCACTTTACTGCTAATTTAGATTTTGTTTTCGCGGATATAATATCTATGATAGTATCTCGTATCCGGCAAATTGTTTACAGCACGCAACTCCAGTTGGTCGCACATTGACACCACTTGGCTAACTGCTCGTTGGAATGCAAATAATAACGCCGATCAAAACATCAGCCAAAAAACAAAAAAAAAGTGAGTGTGAAGGTTGTGGCAGATCTAGTTATATATGCTCAGCTATATATGCCGATCACATAATCACCTAATGGCAGTTAAAGATTCGAAAGAGCATATTTTGCGAACGGCTGTGTCGTTAATCATTATACAAATCGGGCAACCGGAACGATTTTCGCTGCGTAATATTTACATATATAGTATGTAGTATCCGACTTTTTCACGTGACTCCCTCGTCCACAAATCACGTAGAGTTCCGCGAAGATCGTCAAAATTCAAGTCACTGCCAGTAAACAAAAATTATATTGTGTTGTAGGACTTCCGAAAGTGACTCAGTTGAATGACTTTGGCTGCGAGTGTCCTCCAGTGGAGGAGATTTCAGCGGATGGATGGGATGGGGATCCATTATTGTTACAGGGGAGATTGCGATCTGGGTAATGGAACCGGTACTCTCGAACCGATCCCACGTCGCCCGATTTCAATTCACAAGCCGCCTTATCGTTCAAGTATTACTACACATGTATAGTATATATGCTATATGCGCTGATATGCCGCCAGATTTCCATTCTATATTTAAATCGTATACCGCTCAGATGACCATTGCCCCTCCTCGATTGGAGCCCAGCTGGGTGAGTCTTCGATCCCGGCCCAAAAAAATTAACATCAGGAAGGAAGCCCCATCAATAAATTACGTACTTCGAAAACTTACTTACAAAAGGTATACCAAAAAGTTAATTGATTTAGGCATTAATTGCTGTGACTAGTTCGCGGTTTGGATGACTTTGCTCTGACCAACGCTCAAACAAGCGGTAAAACTAATTAAATCGGGTTGAATGAAATCGAGGGGAGAAAAGTGCACTACCCTGACTAATGCCAACATTTTCGAAAAGCTCAACCTTTAAAAGCTGGCGCACTGTGTTCATTATGAAGTGGGTCAAGTGGAACGCGATTCGAGCCGAGCTGAAAAGCGGCTTCCTCAACTTGTAATGAATTACAGCGAAATATGATTCCTGTTTTCCGCACCGAGGCAATGATCTAAATAGAAACATTTACCTGGCATAGATTTAAATTAAATTAATTCGAAATTGATTTAAAAATGGTAACATGTTTAGCGGGAAATATTTACAATATTTATAAAGTTAAACTTCACTTTTATTGATTCTAAAACTCTTTGTATAAAGAATCCCGGAATTGAAGAATAAAAACTTTTGGTTGGCTTAATATTTATTAACGAATAGCTAACATTCACTTATCAAATAACATTCCATATTTGGTCTGTGTATATAGAATGTAAGTTCCCAAATCTTTTTATCGCATATTTCTTACGACTTTTTTATATTATATTCACTTACCACACAAATGCGCCTCCGCTGCCAACAATTTCGAGTTGTTTGGTGAGCAGATCCTTCATGCTTTCCTCGCTGATGAGTTCGCGACTTTTCTCAGGATTTTCCTTCGACTGAGTCATGTTGGAAAATGCAGTATCACAGCTACTCGCGGATTTCGAAAATCGCCTTCGAAGATTATTTTATTTTATGGTTCTGCGAGGCAGACGACTGACCCCACGCAAAAGAATCTCGCAGATTGACACTGAACTTGGATTCCTCGGCTGCGAAATCTATTTATGATCTCGTGCAAAAACAGCGCTCTGAATTTAGATTTCGATTTGGATTTGGATCTGGCTTAGGCACCTCTAATCGAGGATCCGTCGGAGTGCATTCACTCCAAAAAATAAAGCGGAGAGATAAGACCGATCGTTCTCGTCCGATATATTTTATATTCACTTTCACTTTCGCCCTGGTAATATTTTCTTTTTCTTTTCTTTAATTTTCTTTTCTTTTCTTTACTTTTTTTTGGTGGGGTTGTTGCAGTGGCTGTTTATCTATCGGCTGGTTCTATTTTCCCATTTCTCCTCGGTCTGCCTGTTTATGTTTTTTCAATTGGTAATGCAGCACATGGGAGCTCTTCACATTGACGGACGGCGACACGTTTTTACTTTTTGTTTTTCTCGATATATTAGCTTGTTGTTTTCGAAACAATATTCTCTTTCCCTTCAGGTTAAAATAAACATAAAGAATTATTTTTCGGGGGCTATTGTGGATTTCTGTGGGTTCTGTTTAATTTTTGTGTTTCTTGCAACGCGTGCAGTTGCGTTTTCCTGCCGCCTTTCGACTTTCGCCTTTCGATGTTGGCTATCAACTACTTGTCGCTTCGGAAGCGTCTCACAAACTAAGCCCACGGGAGGCCGATCGCAGCGTTTTGTATGCGCCGTTCCATTTGGGGATTGTTGGGGCAGCGGATAAGGCAAGGGGAACCAACGAGGGGGAGGGGGAAGGGGAGGGGGTAGCGGTACCAACATCGCACTCGGTCAGCGCCTCAGTACCGCCGCTCCTCCCTTTTGCCACCAATGAATGATTCACTCGGGATCACTCGGCTCCTCCCGATCCAAATACTCGGAGCGCATTTGTATTTATATTTATGTTGCTTCTTTTTTTGTATTTTTTGGACTCGAGTGCAAGCATTAACAACAACAAAATATATAAATATCAGACAAAAAATAATTCAAATCGCAGTCATAGAAGAGAGATCCCTTTGCGAATGTCAATAAATGCGCACTCTAACATTCAAAACAAAAAAAAAAAGAAAAAAACGAACGAAGGAAAGCTCTGATTTTTCGACTCTGCTCGGCGACTAATTGAATAATTTGAAAACAGAACAATTACCAAATTTGTGTGTACTTCTAGCAGCTGCCGTTGTCAAATTTCCAGAATTAGTATAAGCGTATTATTAGATTTAAAACGTATTATCTTTTTTTCGGGGGGAATTTAATTTTTGAGCGATTTATTCGGAATTTGCAATGGATGCTAAAAAAAAAATTTAATTTGTTATTGTTTATCAATGTATTTATTCTGGCTAATTTTAATTTTCAATTTACTTTTTGGTTGCGTCTCGTATGGATACTACATTAAAAAAAAACTACATCATTCAACATTTTTATTTATTAAAATTAAGGTACATTGATATTTTACATGAAATTTAAGGGAGAAAATAAGGTAGAAAAAAGTTGTTGATTGCTTAAAGAATTATATTTTAAAACTATAAAAACTGCTATTATTACCAAAAATGTTATCAATTGGAATTTTCTATATATTGAATCTTTTATAGCATACAATTTACCATTAATTTTCCGCAGTTTAAGTACTGATTCAGTAGACTGCCGAAAAACAGAGACAATTTCTCGCTCGGAGGGCTCATTATAAATGCGTCAAACAGCCAGAAAGCATTTAAATCCACTCCCGAGCACTTGAACATATGGCGGCAAGCTCTCCTCAGCAAATCCCTTACATTCCATTACACTCGCTTCATGCGAACCCGAACTCATGATATATTTACATTAACAGGCCGTTTAATTCTGTTGTCTCTGAATTTCATTACGATTTTCACATTTGCTTTGGTGATATCCGAGTCTTCGGATATTGTTTACATTTTGTGTTTTCGAATCGCGCTATTCCGAATTCCCAAAGAGCAATCGGTTGAAAAAGAGCGAACTTTTCAATGGGATTGTTGCGTACAATACAATACTAGAAAAATGCCTTCTCATATTTTGATATTTTCTCTTTTCTAGCTTGTGAATGAATCTAGAAATAGAGTTGTGTTTTTGAAAAACCAATCTAAACCAGAACTCTGGTTTGGGAGGATGGAATCGAACCAGATTTCTACGCAGCGACCTTATCAACTAACTCGATTAAGGTTAACCTGTCTTATCGGTGAACATCGAGAGTACTCAAATCTGGCCAAGATCAATTGAACCCAATCAAATCGTCCGATCGACGTCAATATCTTAACTACTAACCCTGCGGGAAAAGATAGAGATTGACATTGAAGTGGAATGGGATTGCAACAGATAGTATATAGTATGTATTCATATATAATATATATCTCATATGCCAATTATGATTTTCATTGTTATCGCATTCTAATTTTAGCCTTGCCGCAATTGTTATTCACTCGGATTTATTCGGTTCCCAGTTCCCAGGCGCATTCTATTCATCTGTGAAAGTCCAACCAACTAACTAACTAACTAACAGACTAACTAACTGACTAACTAACGGTTTAAAAGGTATTCTAGCCGTAATTGGAGCTTTATGTTAGCAGGTTGTGATGCACATGGGCGTGTTTCCATTAAAAATTCAATTGTCGCTGGTTTGGATTGAACCAACCCAGGTATTTTTTTGGTTCCATTGTTTTTTGAACGCACGTGCAGTTTCCTACGGATATTTATTATTTACCAATGGGGTGGTGACTTCAAGTTTTACGGATAACTCAAGTACTTTTACTCAAGCCTCCTCTTTTCTTTTCAGGCCTCTTAGTAAATCAATTTAGTGGTAATCTAATAATAACCAGCTCATCTACATAATCGCCCAGAATTCTTTATAATGTGATCTGCTTTGTCATATAGATTTATGACAATTTAAGGAGATGTAAAGCCTAATTTAGAAATGGCACAGCAAAAGAGTGCACAGAGAAAAAAGCTAGTGAACTATGTATAATAAATACAATTAAAGATAAAAATGTATTGGTTACATTGTTGCCTTATAAGTCATAGAACTTAAGTGTTTATTTACTAAGACTTTAATTGCTTTTAAACAGCTCAGCTTTCTAGGGGATGTGACTTTTAATAAATTAGAATCAGGGTGTGTTTTTAACAGCTCGTAAATTAGTTTTAATTACCAATAAATCTTAAAAGCAACCTCCTCGCTCAAATTGAAATGATCTATATTATATTGCATACAAAACGTTTTCTTAATTGTGCAACTAAATTCCTCTCGATATTTAAACCCCCTCAGAAGTGCTGTGAAAACCTTAGACATGATAATTCCTACTTATAAAGACGGCTCAATTTGAGCAGCCAGGCGTTGGCGAAGCTTAAGTGAATGATTGCTGGGGAATTGTGCATGAATTTAGTGGAAATCTAGGCGTTGCTAAAGTCACTAAAGTTAGTGAATACTGAATACTGAATTCAATGAGCCACTTGACCTGAGGAACGGCGACTAAATACCAGACTAATCCGCAGACTAAAACGCGGGTGACAAGGTCGGCACTTTAATTTCTATGGGCACACATCGGATAATGGATAATCCTCTAGGATAAAGATCTATTGTAACCGAGGTTCAGCAGCCAAATGAGTCCGATGACAAAGAAGCTGTAGAAGGTCACGTTGTAGAGATTCAGGCGACTGAGGAGTCCTCTCAATCTGCTCGTTCGATTACTTTCGTAGGGATTCTTGGGCCTCTCATCGAGCATATCCTTCCAGCTGACCACCTGGGGTCGCACCACAAAAAGAGCATTGACCGCCGCTCGAACGCCACTCTGCACCGCCCCACCCATCAAACTGCGGTAATTAGTGCCAACCGCCGAGGAACTGGACCAAATTATCCGATGCCAGGGTTTCGTTTGCGGTTTGTGCAGCGTAACACTGAGTTCATCAGTGGAGCACTGAAAGTCCAGCGGTTGTCGCATCTCCTCACCAAACTGATCAGCCAGCAGATTCACCACCTCCTCCAGAACTCCGTATTGATCCTCTGGCGAGTGGAGCACAAAGCCGCACAAAGTGGACTGCCTGCATTCGTGGCTACTGATTAAAGGATTTGAGTTCAGGAAGTTCCCGGAGTAACCAAGATCCGACCAAATGGATTTCCCATATTGCAATTGGAATTGCGTAATCAAGCGGTGTTGTTTTTGACCAGCTTTTGTGGCCAAAGGGGGTAGGAAAACCTTTGGAATTCTTGGCTCAAACTCCAGTTTCTGCACTCTATTCCAAGGAATTGCCAAAATTACAGACTGTGCTGTGTGCTTATTTCCCAGTTCATCTGTAATCTGCACATAGTTCTTAAAGTGCTCCACTTTCACGGCTCTGCAATTCAGATTTATTTTGGTGAACTGCATCTGCTCCAAAATACTCTCGATCAGCATCTGAATCGAGATTTCATAGAAATTACTAGGGAGGATAAAATAACTGTGGATGGGGAAATCAATTAGTAATTAATGGCTGCAAAAATTGCAGTGATGGGAAAATTGTTCGGGGTGAGAAACTAATTTTACAAAGGGTACATTTAATCTTTTAATAGGAGAACAGAACCCTATTTGCTCTTTATGCACCAATCAATCAAACTCAATGAGTAATTAACTAAAATATTATAGGAATACTAGACCTGAAGTAATGGGACTTTTGACACATACGTGATCTATTAAATGAAACTACTTTAAGTCAGGTAATCAATCTTTTTTCCAGACGTGCTCTGTTTTTTAATTTCTTTGGCATGCGTTCAGAATATTTTAAAAGGGTTTTTAACAATGCTTTGTTAGTAAACACAAACTACCCTTAATTGAACTGTGTAAAACATTCATTATTCAAACAAGTAACTTTCTGTTCTGATAAAAGTTTCGCGTAAATTGTAAAACAACTAAAATCGAAAGCAGCTGTTATTTAAATTTATAGACTTTTTGGTTTTAACTTAGAGTGATATTACCCCTTACAAGTCAATCAGCATTTTAAGGCCTCCACAAGAACTGCAAACGGACATAAAGACATCGTAGTCAACTTCATTGGCAGGAACTCCACAGATTAATTCCACCAAATTGAACATGAAATTCCGAGATTTATTGAAGAACAAATGATGGCTGATATGCTGCTCCATATTGGAAACTCGCTCCCGAAGGCTTTTATATAAAATAAAATGATTAAATTACATTGCAAATAAAACGTAAATTAAACCCACCTAAACTTCTTCGAACGAAACTTGGACATCCGAAGATCCAGCATTTCGATGTATCTTTTCAGCTCAAATTTCGCCGGCAAAGATGTTAATCCTCGATCCAAATCCCAACACCTTTTCAGCCTTAAATTGCCACTTCTCCTCCGGCGGGGTGACAGTTGGATAATTGTGAGGAAATCCAGCAAGTCGTGCTGATTGCCATCCAAAAACCGGGTGCCATTCTGACCCAGTTGGCCGCCCAAATTGCCACTCGCCTCGATGATCCTCAGTTTTAAGGTGCTCTCGATGGAAAGGATTTTCAGGGCGGATGAGAGACCCGAAAGTCCAGCGCCCACAATCAGTACATCAAGTTCCGGAGTCTGAATGCCGAAGGGCAGATCCATTTAAACCTAGAATCCTACAGCTGGCAAGCAATTTCGATTGTCATTTTCTTTTAGGGGAAAGTTTGAAAAATCCCGCCATGATAGTTTGACATGCCTGGCACAGTTTTAGAGGATTGCTCTTTAAACTGTAATATACTTTTGGGCTCACAATAAATTTTACTTAACTTGAATCTTATCGTCAATTAACGCTGATCGTTGTATGTTTGTTTGCGATATAAACATATATGTGTCAATTTATTGATAACTTTATTAGCCCTATGAAGGCAGATTTAGTAAACCACGCCATTGCTGGAAATCAAGATAAGATTTACCAAAATTAAGACTCATTATCTGTCAATCAGTCTAGATTTTATAATACTTTTATTTATAAGTTCATGAAAGTTGTTGAATTTTTTCTGTAATTTACCAATACAAACTTAACAATAAGTTTTATTCCACAACTCATAATGAGTTGAGAGAATATAGAATACTTCCTGTTTGTTAATAATATTCATTTGAGCCCTTTTTAAGTTCATTGAACTACTCGTATTAATATCAAATTACTTTTCTGGGAAAACCCCTTACATTTCAACATAAACGAGACTGGTTACATATACTTTCCAGGGTTAGGCTTCCTTATCAATGACACTGATCGCCGACAGTAATCGTTTTTATCAGCAAAGGGAGCCGCTTTATCTATATTTAGTACAAACCCAAAATAGAAACATATGGCGGTGCTACTTTCTCTGGGGAGCAAGTGCATTAGGATCTTGCACCCGATGAGATTGGACATTATTCCTTATCAGCTGCGACCGTTCATTTAGACCTAATTTTATAATGAGCGAATTATTATCGCCTCGGTGACTGCGACCCGCCTCAATAATCAAAGTTGTCATAAAGTTCGTTGAACAGAGTGAAAATACAAAGCAAAACACACACAAGTCGCAATTACCATTTTTTGTTTACTTGTCTTTTATTGTAAATTGTCGCCTGTAAGGGTAAACCAAACAGAGTTGAGAATAAAAATGGAATGGAAAACTCTCTTGGGGGAAATGAGAGTGCGCAGAATGCTTAAATTCGTTGAAGTGACCAGCGCGCAAGCCAATTGAGGCCATCAGTTTAGATTGAGACAAGTGGCTCTGAGTCGCGCAATCCGGACTCCACAATTAGCTCGACTTTCCATTGAGCATTCCGGAGAGTTCGGATGATTCCTGGGGTGCCATCTTCTTGCCGAAATTCTCACCATCTTCGATGGTTTCTGGCATGGGTTTGTTCAGAGTTTCCGGGAGGAGAAGCGATAGCAATCCAGCGGTGAAAGCCAGAGCTCCGCAGATGATCAGCGGCAGAGGTCGCCAAATCTCACCCAGCAACTTGAGATAGGGAGCCAGGATGCCACCCACTCGGGCCACCATGGATGAAGCACCCAGACCCACATTCCTCACCACAGTGGGGAATTGTTCCGCCGAGAAGATGTAGATGGTTCCATACGACGAAGTAATGGCCAGCTTGCCAACCATGGCCAAGGTGATGATCAGCCAGTTCATGTCACTCGGCACGAAGATGGTGGCCAGCAAACTGGTTCCCGCAATCAACATGGTGCCACACAAAATGGAGCGACGACCCCAGCGATTCAAGGTGAAGAGGAGCAGCACGGAGGCGGGAATCTCCACAGCGCCAGAGATCGAGAAGTTAACCAGCTGATTGCCACCGAGATTGTTGGTGTTCCACGAGAGTCCATAGTACACACCACTGTTCACAAACCAATCGAAAAAAATCAAGAGGGTTTTCCTCCGGAGATTCGGATATCGCAGGAGATCGAAGACTGTGGCTGCCGGTTGAGATGCAGTCAGGGCATCCTGTCGCTTCTTTTCGGCCACCTCCTCCACCAGCTGATCGTAGATCTCGTTGGGTATCTTCACCTTGTTCTCCTTTGCCGCCTTCTCGATGATAACGAAGGCCTCCTCCTGGCGACCCTTCAGCAGAAGCCATCGCGCAGATTCCGGGATGATCCAATAGTAGCAAAGGAATAGCAATCCCGGTAGAGTAAGAGCAATCTGCAACCACCTCCAATCATGGATGAAGTAGGCAAATCCAGCGGTGAGTACGAATCCAATGGAGAAGAATATCTGCATGGCCACGCCCGCAAATAGGCGATACGATGAGCCCACCATTTCCAAGGCGATCACGTAGGCCACCAGGAAAACTCCCGAAGTGGTGGCACCCACAATCAACCGAGAGATGGTGTAACTGAAGTACTCCGGAGATACGGCGGCCACTACGCCAAAGATCAATTGGAGCACCAGTGAGGCGAAGAAGGTGGGCTTGCGACCGAGTTTATCGGACATCTGGCCAAAGATGAAGCTTCCAAGGAGCACGCCCAACATGAAGAGCGAGTCACTGGTGGCACTCAGCAGACTCCGACTGCAAACCATATCCCATTCGGTCACGGCGCTATTCAGGTACTTGCTCTGATCGTAAACGTAGGAGGAACAGGTCTTGGTTTCATTGCTTCTCCTCGGAAGGCTGCCATTCAAGTAGGCCTCACTGTACTCCACATCGTAGTAGGCGCACCTCTCGTCCGCAGGATAAGATAAATTCCATAGGCGGGGTTCCAGCTCATAGCTACTGCCATTCTCGAAGGGCAGAACGCAGCGAAAGTCCGGTTTTGCCAGCAGGAAAACGCCCGCCAACTTGTGAAAAGCGCAGACAATCGCCGGCAAACAGAGCAGGTAGTAAATCCTCTTCTGATAAGGGCCAAATTCGCCCAAGTGAGTGATGACGTCGTCGTAACCCATATTTAGTTAAACACTTCTTAGCAGGTGTCACACCTGCCGCTGCCAATTTGGCGTTGTCAACCGTGGAGTGTCGATTGTGGAGTGTGGAGTGTCGTACGATAACTGGCCAGCAGTTCAATAATCTCGCCACCGTGACGTATGCGCAATTTATTAACGCGCTGCGCTACGTTGCGTATACGCCCGATGAACCCGTTCGATTGTGCAACAACTGGGCTTTGAATCAAGAAATATATACAAATTGGAACCAGGTTGCAGCTGCTGCAGCGGACTCCAGCCAGCGAATCTCGGAATGAATCGATTTTTGGAGCGCGCGATCAACCGCTCGCCAGCTTTGTCATTCTCAGACTGAAAACCGAAAACAAGAGTGTCGAGCGTTCTGAGGAGGCTCCCAAAACGCCAGCCTATCTGTAACTGTAAATATGTCTGTGTGAGCGGTACTATTCGATGTGTGTGTGTGTAGAGCAGCGCTGGCCGTTCATCCCTGTGACCAATTTATTGATCAGCGATCGACTGAGGGAAACTCAAGCGAAATTAATTTCCATTTCAAGGGAGGGATGAAATCGGAGGGGAAAGGGGATTGCAGCTGTCTCAATTATTTGGACATCGAACGATATCAATCAGAGTCGAGGTTGGAACATCTCCTGATCCAGTAAAGAGTCCACCGATTGTGGTCTGATTTTAGAGTTCCAAACTGTCTGCCAAGAATTAATTGTGTATCTTAATTAAGAGCAAGCAATGGGGGTGAATAGTAATTAGTGCTTTTGAATAATAAAAAACAAAAATACTATTTATTTCCTATAAAAAATTATAAGATAATATGTTTATACCAAAATCAATTTCAAAACATTTTTTTTATAATTTTAATTAATAATAAAAGAACGAATAACATATTTTGAATATGAAACTCCTTTAATATTTATTTTATATTTCATTGAATATAACATATAATTAAAAAAGAAACAAAATTTATAAAATGATAAGATTCTAATATTCTAACCCCTGCTGTGTGTTCCTATATATTTTCCTAGTATACGTATTTCTTATGCTTATAGACAGCAAACGCTCTCCCAAAAAACAGAGCTCTTCTAATCAATTCTACGCTCTTTTCCGTTGACATCTCTTTGGTTTATTTCCGTTTGTTATCGCAAACATTGCAGCGTGTTCAAATGTTAATTGAAATTTGTGATCGCAGACAATGTTGCGCTGCACTCTAAATAGTTAACCTTGAAAAGTCGGCCTACTTTTCCAACCAGCCACGTAAGAAGATCAAGTGCAACATTCCCTTCAAAAAAATGAACTATGCAAATATTTTGCATTGTTCCTTGGAATCAGATGATTCTTTTGTAATCACTATAATTCTAAGCCTAAAATTAAAATTGGCAATTCAAAGTGATTCAATGTATTGAAAACTGTATAAAATTATATAGCAAACAAGCAATTAAAAATTCGGGGTGAAAATTTGGCCTAATTTTGCGAATAGCCACTTATTTTTAAGTGCTGTATTCCCTTATATAATTAATTTATGCAAATGTTATGCATTTTCCCCTTGAATAGGATGTTCCTATAATCAAAATAATATAATATTTTAATTTTGTAATTAAATTTGCAATTCAATGTGTGTATGAAATCACCTAGCAATCTCGTGATTAATTAATTCAGCGGGTCCGCTTTTCGAACGACAGTCTCGTGTTTTTCGGACTGATAAGAGCTGGCCACGAAAATAAACAGAGCGGAAACACGTTTCGAGTGATTCTACAAATAGTACAAGTGGTCAGCTAGACTTTCTGTCCGGGTTTACGAGGGGTCAATAAAAAAGAGGAGGGGAAACTAGATTTTGTCTCTGGAAAAATACGACAGTTTATTTCAAAATCATCTCGATGGAATACACGCATATTACATTTAATTGGTAAATTTAATTTAAATAGATTTGGAAATAAATTAGACATTAGGGAGATAGGTTTCTCAGTTGATTTTCCATTTCGGTAAAAATAATGCTTGGCTAAATGCTTCTAGTATAATAATAATTTAATTCATTCTTTAATTCGCTTTTGTCTTGTTTTCTTCTCTTTTCATTTTTGGTTTGCTTGTGAGATTTCAGAAATGATATAATACTTGGTCTACACGTAGAAGGTAAATGCCATAAAGCCTTTGGCCTGGCCGAATTCTATTTGCCCTGTAAGCTCGCTCTACTTCATAATTACTTTAGTTTAGTTTCTGGAAAGGGTTTCGAGTGAGAGGCTTTCCTAGAACTTCTGGCCATTGCTCTTGAGTCCATTCGAGTCAGCCGATCCATTCAGCGGCTGCGTCTCCGGTGTCTGTCGCATTTCTTGGCCCGTTTCCAGATAGACATCGCCCTTGGTCTTCTTGCCAAAACGCTCGCCATCCGCAATGGTTTCCAGCATCGGTTTGTTGTGCGTTTTTGGGAGGAGAAGCGATAGCAATCCCGCTGCCAGGGCCAGGGATCCGCAGATGAGGAGTGGCAGCGGTTGCCAAATGGTGGCCAAAAAGGTGAGAAACGGCGCCATCATTCCGCTGATTCTGGCCACCATGGAAGCGGCGCCCAAAGCCACATTCCTAACCACAGTGGGAAACTGCTCAGCGGAGAATATGTAAACGGTTCCATAGGAGGCAGTGATGGCCAGTTTGCCCAACATGGCACAGGCCACAATCAGGCTGTGCATCCTGCTTGGAATGACCACAGTGGCCAGGAGACTCAAGCCTGCCATCACCAAGCAACCACAAAGGATGGATCTTCTGCCCCAGCGATTCAAAGTGAGGAGTAGGAACACATAGGCTGGTATCTCCACGGCTCCAGAGATTACAAAGTTGAGTAACACATTGCCACCCAGGTTGTTGGTGTTCCAGGAGAGTCCGTAGTAAACACCACTAGTTACCAGCCAATCCAGGAATATTAAAAGGGTTTTCCGGCGGAGATTCGGGTAGCAGAAGAGATCCCAAACGGAGGGCGGAGGTCCCTCATCCTTATCCTCATCCTCCAACTTCTGCTTGGCCTTCTCCTCGGAGGTTTCTCCCTCGTCGAGCAGCTCACTCAAAGCCTCATTGGTGACCTCCACTTTGTTGAATCGCGCTGCCTTCTGCATGTTGGCAATGGCGCACTCCTTCCTTCCCTTCGAGAGCAGCCAGCGGGCGGATTCGGGAATGATCCAGTAGTAGCACATGAAAATCAATCCCGGCAAGGTGAGAGCAATCTGCAGCCATCTCCAATCGTGAACGAAGTAGGCAAAGACCGCGGTCAACATAAATCCCACGGAGAAGAACATCATCACAAAGATGCCAGCGTAGAGTCGCTTATCGGGACCCACCATTTCCATGGCCACCACATAGGCCACCAGGAAGACGCCCGAGGTGGTGGCACCCACCATCAATCTCGCAAAGGTGTAGGTAAAGTACTCCGGAGCCACTCCAGCCAGCACTCCGAATATCACCTGGATTACCAGCGAGGCGAAGAGGATGGGCTTCCTTCCATACTTGTCGCTCAGTTGGCCAAAGACGATGCTGCCCAGGAGCACTCCGAACATGAAGAGGGAATCGCTGGTGGCAGCCAGAAACTCCCTGCCACAAACCAGATTCCATTCGGTCACCGCACTGTTGAGATACTTGCTCTGATCGTAAACGTAGGAGGAGCAGCTCTTGGTGTCGTTGCTTTTCCGGGTAATATTGCCCTCCAAATAGGCCTCACTGTACTCCACATCGTAGTAGGAACAACCATCCTTCCCGGAATAAGATAGATTCCACAAATGAGGCTCCAAATCATAGCTACTTCCATTCTCGAAGGGCAGGACACAGCGAAAATCCGGTTTGGCCAGAAGGAAAACCCCTGCCAACTTGTGAAAAGCCACCGGAATGGAAGTCAAACAGATGAGGAAGTAGATGATCTTCTGGTAGCGACCAAAGTCTCCCAGATGGACAATCGCCTCATCGTAGCCCATTTCGATTGGGGGAAACTCTTGCTCACGAATTCAAATTTCCGAGTGTCTTTCTCCGCGCAGCTGACTTCGTCGAGTAACGCCGGTATAATGAATCACTAAATCGGAACCACAGTGCCTTTTCGGCACTATCTCGTGATGTCTCAGCGGTTGCCGGTGGCCGGTTGCCGAGGAAGTAGTCAGCCGAATTGGACTCTCTCCACGCAGCGTTGACGTGTACTTTGCTCCCCCAGAGAGCTGGCCTATAATTCTCCGTTCCGGCAATTATCGGCCAACACGTGTTGCCAAAATTCGTTGTGTTCCGAAGGGAGGTATTAGAGCTTTAACCGAAACGAGAAGGGAAACTCGGAACTCGGAACGAAGAAATCTTCGGACACTCCGCGATGCGTCACCTTTGGCCAGCGAAACCGAACTGAGCGAACTGAAAACCCTGTGCAATGATGGCCAACAAACGCTCATGTTTTGTGTATAACCGACCCGCTCTGCTACTCAAATACAGCCGAGTGTTTATGTTGGCAAAAGCAAAAAAAAAAAAAAAATAATAACAACAACAAAAATACACTGAAGAACCCCACTAACAAATGCCGGCTGCACGCGCACTCTCAGTGGAACAAAAAATATAGAGAGAGGGTCTCTAATACTCGTACCACTCCATATTGAAGGTGGAGAAATAAAAGCAACCCCTACTAACGTTGGTAGTTGGTAACAAACTACAGCGATCCCGGCCATCGAAGGGAAAATCTACTAGCAATTTCCATTTGCACAGCCGGCAGAAATCAGAAATCAGAGATCAGGTAAGTGGAAAATCGAACCACACATTGTATGCCCGCTCGTTCCTCAATCAGGCGATCACTCATGATTTCTTTCGCTCGCTCATTCTTCAATTGAGTCGCGCTCCGCCAGTCAATTAAGCAAGCCTCGCTAAAAACAAGAAGAACGCCGAAGCTGGGCTGGGATTCGGCTTGCAGATACCCAGCAATCACTAAAAATTTAATTGTATAAAAGGTTTGGAGAGCTTGGAAAAATCCGACATGTCCAGGGGACAAAAAATGGACCATCTCCGAATAGAAAACTTTAAACGCAGTTCTTTCAGGAATTTCATTAAAAAGTTTTATAGGTATGTCACTTTGAGATCAGATCAAAATTTACAAAGTTATGGGCTGTGGCAGTCCAGTATTGGGTCACGTCTATGATAACCATCGGAAACTTGGAAAAATCTGACATGGACAGGGTTAAAAAAATTGACCAACACCGATTTGAAAAATCTGATGAAAATTGTCGGAGTTATGGCTTCTGGAACGGCTGATTGATTGAAATCTTCTTTAGTAGTTTAAGAAGTTAACCCGATATCACCTTTTCCCGCATTTTCCCGCATAAACTGCGACCACTTTGGCCAGTCGTGATGCAGTTGTCTCAGAAAGGCAAACCCCTTCAAAGCTCAAAAATCTTGACCTGTTTCAAGAACTTCAAACTTGGCCAGTTCCGTTTGCATCTTTTCTATTGCAATGCAAAATTGCACGATCAGCGGCGAATCTTCTTAGACCGCCGACAATGGCTTATTTTACCCACAACTCGAGCGTGTCCAATTTTTTCTGCAGTTTAACTTTAAAGTCGTCAAGCAACCTAACCATATCGGCGGTGGAGCTTAAATAGTCCCCATCCCCATAACCAAATCTTGTTTTTTTTTTTAAAGCAAAAAGATGAAAAAAACAAATTACAAGCATTTAATTTTATAAGATCCACATTAAATAACAACAAACGAATTTCTTAGAAAGTAAGAAATGTTAGCTAGTAAATATTATTTTGTGTTTGGTTGCTTAAAAATATAGCACCCCAAAAGTAGACAATCAAAAAGTATCTATGTGTTAAAACATCTCATTGATTTTCCTCATGATTTAGTTTGAATGTTCCTTTAAAAATCAAAACAAATAAAAAAACTTAAATATTGTCTAAAATTACCGTACATTTTAAATTAAAATTGGCGCAAAATAAAACCGTTGTTCAGTTTGGAAACCACCGATTGCACATCAGAGATGATTAATTTAAATTTGTAGTTTTTAACACAATTATATCGATATATCGTATTGTAGTCCACCCTTAGCTCTCAGCTGTTGCGCGCGTGAGCTCTCTATCTTTTCCCGGTTTTAATTCGATTCTTTAGGCGTTCTCGACTTTTTAAGCTCCAAGCGTTCAACAGCAATCGACAAAAGTCAATATAAACATATTTTGGTGAGTGCATTGTGTAAACTCAATAAGGAATGAAAGTATTAAAGCAATATATTCAAATTAAAGAAAATTAAAAAAAAGAACATGAGTGTGACCAGTTTAGTAATGTGTTTTTCCCCACTCTCGTCGTGGAATAGCCCTGAAACCACCAATTTGGCGCTTTCCATTTAAAAACAGAAAAGGCGGTCTCACTCCCGATTCAAATCCAACAAACGGTTCGAGACAACTTGCCATCAGTTCGCGATCCAAAACGCAGAGTGACGCTCGATCGAAGATCGAACTCGAAGTCCGAGCGTTAAAACTCAGCACAACACAACACCCAGTTAAAATTACTCAAGTTCAAAACATTTTTCGGGAATTTCGCTTTTCGCCGGTGTGACAAATTTTAAGTTCTTGATTCCAGAGGCAATTCGCGGCCTCTGCGAGACAACAAATTAGAGGAGACAAACAAAGGGCCCCGAAAGGAGACCGATTCCAAGTGGGTGGCTACTTCCTCAATGTCTGTGCTTGTCCCCAAGAGATAATCCTCGGTAACCAGCAACACTTGATCTGCAGGATCCGCATCTTTCCTAAGGTGAGTTGGACATATCTTCTGAGGATTGAAATGGTTTAAGCGCCTTGGAACGCCAGATTGTGAGTGGTCACTTGCAAAGGCGGATTTGGGCCCTCTCGCTTTTTGTTGACTTGCACTTTTCGCTTTTTGCCTGACATTGGCAAATTCTTGTCCACGAAAATCGGTTACCTATATGTTGGTGGTGCAACCCAGCTATCGATTAGCGAAAGGCGGAAGTGAGATTATACCCTAACTTGGGGTAGTAAAAAGCTTGATTAGTTACCTGAACTATATAATAATTATCAATAAGTAAACTTTTGTTTGTTGTGCCCCCGTTATCAATTTGATAGTTATTGAATGTCTATGGGTTATAGGGTGTAAATGTACCACTACCCCTGTATTACTCAAACTATATTTGTGTAGTATAGTTTGCTTTATATACTGTAATTTGTTTTGAAGGGAGAGGAGGTTCGTGGGCAAACGTGACCGTGAATCAAACAGAAAGAGAGCGCAATCGCAGCGGCAAATGTCACCACCAATTCTCACAATTCCCACAGCTGTCCTCCTACCACATCCACATCCACATCCCTCACCCACAACCATTCCATATGTACACACACACAAACAAACATATATACCCTGAGGGACAGAAAGAAATAATTCTATTTATAGGTTCAGAGCCAGGCGAAATGTTGCCCCATGTCAACGTCGTTGTTGTTGTTGTTGGGTTTTTAAAGCAAACTCAAAGATAGATTTGTGTCCCGACCATTTTAATTGAGTGCGGAAATGAGCAAACATTTCTTGGAGTCCCCCGTCCCAGGGACACAAGTGTCGTTCCCCCCGATCGACAGACTGCTTCTCCATTCGAGGCACATAATTCGTTTACTTATGTGGAAAAACAGAAACAGGGAGCGAGGATGGAGGTTCCAGGGTTCCATGGCGTCGATATCGCTCCTTTGCGCATGCGTGTCCCTGTTGGCAGACGTGCCCATCCTATTCTGATCACATTAAAGCCAATTAAACGGGTTCGACGATACCCTTTCATGAGGCGAGGGTATTTGCTATTCTCGGGGGTGACAAGGAGGGTTCTTTCCTTATAAAAGGAGCTTTAAACAAGAATGTTAATATGGGTGTTAAAATTAAACAGATTTCGTTTCTTTTATGATCATAAGCTTTTATTGGATTCCTTGTTTATAAAACTGGAATTTAACCATTGGTTGTTAGACTAGTTTATTTCTTTGAAGTAAATGCAATGTATTTTAACAGAATTATCTGTGTATCATGGCACCTAATATTCCTCCAAGAGTGTGCTTGTTTCGACTTGTTGGTCGTATAATTCCGGATCCCTTGCAGATTATTAAAGGGATCCCCGTTGTTGTCGTCGTGCTAGCTGTCACTCAAGCCCCTTGCAACCCCCTTCCACCCGAAGGACAGGACCACCCCCTCGCGGAGTGGCGAACAGGACTCAACACGCGCCACACAGCTGACAGGAACCCTGGATCACGATCCCGATCTCCTGACAGCTGCTTATAACGAACCCTTGTCCGGAACACACAGGCAGCTCCTCCTAACAAAGGCTTCAAACGCAAAAACCCACTTTGGAGTGGCCACCAATTGGACGAGAAAGATGCGTTAGATCAATTTGCATATAATACAAAAAGAGAAACACTGAAACGGCCGACGATTGTTCAGAGATTCGCAGTGAAAGTCAGCCGAGTGTGTGTGGTTTAATTGCAGCTTTTGTTTTGATCGTCGATTAGCATAATTCAAGATGTATTTTACTCCTATCGCGGTTTCGCTGATTGTTTTTCTTTTTATTGCTCCTCTTGTTTTATGCATTATTTTTTATGTTTGGCTAACGCAACACGTGCTTACAAAATTTTTGGAATTATATTATATATACGAAGGGGAAGTGCCGTTTTAGTTTCCTGTTCACAAAAATATATAATGATAAGAGTATATAACGAACACCAACGATGAGTCAAAATATTAAGGTTCCCCATTGCAAAAGGGTCTAGGGTTCGGACTTTGATAAGAAGCTACTTAAATTGGTATTACTGGATTTACTATTAAACAGTAAATATTTTCTATTTTATATGAGCCATAATTTTGGTGATGTCTAAGGAAACGATTGAGTATTTATAGTTATAAATGTTTTGAGTTACGAGAGCATATTTTTAACTGGGTAAATTATTAATGTATTTTTAAATCAAAAATGCATAATCTCATTCAACCTTTTTGTTTTTTTGTCGCAACCAGTTACTTTCCTTTGATTAATGACTTCCAGTCTATAAATAAATGTCTAATCATTAAAAACAAAACGTTCGAAAAAAGTGAGAAAAAAGATTTGCATAGTTTTTGTTCAATGGGAAAGGGGCTCGACATTCCCCGATTAGTTAATTTTTTCGTGAACTTGTCCGGCTGTCTGGCCAATAAATATGCGTATATTGTCCCCATTACAAAGAAAATGACAAAAATAATTAAATTTCCCCCGTATTTGGCTGGCGGCCGTCAAACAAGTAATTGCACTGAGAAGTGAGATAAGATTAAATGTGAGGCGATAACACGCATTTGGTAGCTCACACACAAGTCGCCAAATAAAAACAAAGGCTGGTTAAAATGGCCCGGAGACAAAAGCCCAAAATGATGACCCAAAATAAACAAAGTTCCCCTCATTTTTACCCCTGTTTACATATCCGCCAAGTGCAAAGTAACGACTTACATTCCCAGAACATATGGAAAATCTGTGAACATGTGTCGACGGGGCCAAATGAGTTATGGGGCCCTACTCACAAATCCATCAACGTCTGAGAATCGCTTGGGTAATGGGAATCCGACTAAAACTGAGATCTGGGTCTGGACTGCCGGCGGCTAGCATTTGCATTTTAATTGCATCTCCGAATTGTAGGAAGCGGGCAGCGTTAATTGCCGTTTGGCTCACTAAAAACGCTTTTCAATTGTCGGCGGTTTTCCGGCTTTTTTTCGGATTTCTTTTGACTGGTCCGCATTAATTGGTTCCACTTGCGCGACGTTTAACTATCGACAGTCATTTCTTCGCCTTAAAATCCCCTCTCCAGTTTTAATTTTTCTTTTCTTTGATGCCGAGTCGTTGAACCCGCGATGCAACCAAAAGCATTCGACTCTGCATTTGTGGGGCAGGCCCCCCACAAAACTTAAAACTAAACTAAAAACGGAGAAACAACAACAAAAAATTACAAAAAAAATTAAAAACAAAACAAAAACAGAAAGAGATGGCAAATAACAGAAAAAGATTAAACAACAAAACGCTACGAAAACTTGTTTCGGTTGTGACTTTTGCGCATGCTCAGCGTTTTGCTTGCCAACGCTTTACGGTACAGTGAACTCTGGCCCCGACACCCGTTCCCTACTCCCCATTCCCTCTCGCCCCTCTTCCGCTCTTGAAGTGCGGACCAAAATCATGTTCCTGTGACGTTTGGGCCATAAATTTTACAGCTGCAGCTTCTATTGTTGCAAGTGTAATTACTTTTCGACTTTTTTTCGACCATTTTTCCCCTTTTCTGGGTGTATTTGAATTTGGATGGGCCAGTTAGTCGGAGTGACTCATCATTCTGCTCCCATTTGGTGGCCACTGGCAGCTGCAAAATCTGCGGCCAAAACAAGTTCAACTGGTTGCCCAGCGATGCCTTGTAAATTCATGCAACCACTACAGTCAGGGAAAATCGACCAATAATTTCGGGAATAATGTAAATGATTTACAATAATTGCAGGAATTAATGAATACATAAATCAGCCGAAATATTTAAATTGTTAAAAGCATTATTCAGTACAATTTGCAAGCTGTTAAACAAATTACAACAAATCATTTACTTACTTAATTACCGTTTACTTACTACTTAGTTCAGTGCGAGTTAACTTTCAGATTTTAAGTTCCTTTCTATATCTTTCACTTTATCTTTGAAGTTAATCATCCAGTTCGATTGACTTATTTTGAATTACAACAACAAAATGTAATCGTTTTGCTCAGCCTTCGTTTATTTAAAAATTCCGATGAAATGCCTGAACCCATAATTCCTGAAATTGGTAACCAGATTCCTTTTGGTTCAGTGCATTGTGGGAGCTTTGTTGCCTTCGCAATGCGAACCTGTCGCACCGTTAGTGCGTCCCTCGATCCTCGCGGACTTGTTCCCCGGCTCCTGGATCACGTGAGCCCGTCGTCTTGACTGGTTGAACTTGATATTGATATCGGAGCATGGTCAAGGAACTGGCCGGAATGGCGATCGCAACTGGTTTTTTGGAATCATAGGAGAGCGATTCTCGACGGTCAGCACGGACCAAACAATGCCAATTTGGCCAACAATGCTCATTGGATTCCGATGAAATGCTCCGCACACAAACGATTCGCTAACGGTTCGAGCTGAGCTTCTTTCTCAGCGCTTTTGGCCTCAAATTGCCTCCAGTTCTTCATGGGTTGTAACCCAGGAAAGTGTCGCAATTATTACACAATTTTCGTGGTTCGCGCTGCTGTCTCGTTTTGACTTGGCTATAATTTTCCTTTGTGTGAGCCACAAGCAATTCGAAATGTTTCGGTTTTCCACAGTGGTAGAATGGCACACGAGCTGGGGTTTCGTTATGAAATTATAGACATTGTTTTTAGCTTGCAATACTTTGTTTCGTCTTCTCGTTTTCCTTTTCTTTGTTTCGTGTTATTTTTGTACGAGGAAGTGGCACAAAAATGCTATCCCAAAGAGACCCAAAAGAAATGGGTCACCAAATGCAGTAAAGCAAAAAATATGACAATATAGGTTGGATAATCAAAGCATTTCTCAAGCTATAGGAAATCAATTGTTGATTCGGTGGAGGTATAATAAAAAGCATATAGGGTTTCGAATTTAAATTTTCTCAACACACTTAATTGCCACAGCTTTGCATCAGTTTCCTCCAATTATATATCATTTTCGTTACAAATTTTCCAATCTAAATTCAATTGATTTCAAAGCGGGCAGTATCTTTTCAGAGATCATCTTCTCACATCAGTCAACGTTTCCCCGCGAGACAAATCAAATAAATAACGTCGTGTTGGTTCCATTAATTATAACCTTTTCCAATTTTAGCCCGATAGTTAAACGCCTTTTGGTCAACCGTTTGCCCTTAACAGCTGTATGCATTTCTTTAACTGTTTTTCATTTTCCCCCATTTCCAGCGAGCATTGCGCAATGCAACAGAATGCATAACAAAGCACAGGCCAAAACAATAGGCGCATAACCGACAACATGATTATTAATTATTCAGCTAAGGCAACAGCAACAAAAGTCATCTATTTGTGTTTGGCTTTGGTTTTGGCTTTAGTTTTGGTCATCGCCCGGCGGCGGTTTTGGCCAAACCGGAAGCTGAACCTTGACGCTCGCAACGGTAGAACAGTTTTCCATGACACAGAGAATTGTCTGCTCATTCAGAGACCCATTGAAACATGCAGTTGAAATAACAAAACCAAATGTAGCCTCCCCAACTTGTTGTAATTTGTTTATATTCACATAATATTTTTTGTACTACTCCAAAACAGTTGGTAAAATGTCCCAACAACGTCTTTCTTATCAGACAGACAGCTTATCAGAACGTTACAAGACATTACAAAACAGAAAACTGCATTGTGGTCATATCAGAGACTATAATTTGAGGAAGTAAAAAAATATTTAAACCAATTTATCTCATTTCCATATCAAACAGGTGACTTTATATTTTATCTTCTAAATTCAATTATTTAAAAGCCTGTATATTTCAGATATAATTTAAAGCTTATATGGTATGTAAATACAAAAGTTAGAAAGAAAAAAAAGAAAAACAAAAAAGGATCAACCCAATTGTCAGGTGTGGGGTTCGAACCCACGCTCTCTCTCGAGAACCAGAGCTTAAATCTGGCGCCTTAGACCGCTCGGCCAACCTGACTGGGATTCGTGCGAAGCGAACTGTTTATTTGAGCAACGAGCTCTACAAGTGGGCTGGTCTGGCTGCCAGTGCCATTCTTATAGTCAGATATTCTGGCACAAGGGGTGTTTTCCTCCTAGTTTTGTCGTTCGGTTTGTTAAATATGTACATATCATTGTTTATCTGTTTGTTTGAATAATGAAGAGAGGTGTTTTCACTTTTAGAAAAGATAATTACTTGTATATTACTGTTATTTCATTATAAAATAAAAACAAGAATAATTTAAATGTATACTTGACAGGAAATTGAACCCAGCACCCTTGCAAATTTTCAGACAGCACCCAAAATATTCTTACGTTTTTCACTCGTGAGTTTATTTATAGAATGCTTTGCTGCATTCGTAAAAAGTCTGACAAGTCGTATTTTTTCGCCAGTTTCCCTTATATTTCGCTTTGTTTCGTTTCGTTTGGTAGTATTGATCAAGCGATTAAAGTTCAGCAGATAGCCAAACAATGGTTGCGATTTCCTCCCCCGACCGCAAACCCCTTGAAATGTTTTTCAGGTACGCAAATGCCTGTCAGTCACGTCACAGCCCAGCGAACTGCTCTCTCTATCGCTTTCTAGAAAGCTCCTGTGAAAGCTTTTGTGATGCCGCTATCAGATGCATCTGAACGGAACCGAACCGCTAATCTCATCTTAATCGCTTTGTTTACCAGAATCCGGGGAGCTTGAAAGCTTAGCCCCTAACCCATGCACCCCATTTTACTTGGTTTAACACCACCCCTTGTTGAACGCCCTTCAAGCAGCTGTTGCGTCTACGGGGTACGAATAACTCAATTTGCCAATTGGAGTGAAACACAAGCACCGCGGGATGGCTATAAAGAGTAGAGAATATATAATTGCATATGACAGTTCATTGTACATTTGAGGACACAAAAATAGAGAAAGCAAATTACACTTCTTTTCAATAAAAAATATTGATTTTTAAAACTAAAAGTATGCAAGCCAACCCTCTACGTTTTAAAATTTCAGTACTTAAGATTTGAAATCGCTTTTATGCCGCTTAAATGTAATTGGTACTGAAAAACCGCTTCTATTTTTCAACTTATTTCAATTAAATTTTAAAATCCTACCACGCTGACCCCTGCTGTAAGAGTAACTGAATCCGGAAGTTGTTATTCACGCTGCTGCAGCGCCGCCAGGCTTCCTGGTGCACCATTGACCGGCTCCGATGACTCCGTCGCACTTGAGGCAAGTGCCACGGGTGCCATTGTTTGCCCCGCCACCCAAATTGGGCCACAAACAAATAAAACGTTTCGAAAAAATTCGCCTGGCACGCAGCTGGAATTATTACTGTGCCACCCACTCCCCGACATCGGAAAATTGCGGATTCGGCGCAGTTAACGAGCCCGAATACCGTATACGATACCCGGAGACACGATGATGGGCAGCAACCCCGAGCTTCGTTGAGGGGCATCCATATCCATCCTGCCCAGAATCCGGCAATCCGCAGTGCATGTCGCGAGTTTGCTGCAGTCGCCACGCCACGTGTCGCGCTCTCTCTCTCTCTTATAATTCCCAATCGGTTTTTTTTCGGGGCGGTTGCCCGAATCGTTGAAACTCGGTTACTGGGTGAAAACTGCACGGCAACAGCAGCTGTGGAAACCTCATCATCATCGTAAACAGCAACAACTGCAGATACATCGGTCGTTTGCATTTGGAGTCAAAAGTTCAGCATCGCTACTAATTTCCTTGAGATACGTCGTATATCTTTGCACGCGTCTGCTTTCGATCTGCCACTGTGTTTACCTCGTAATGTAGGTCAGAAATCTTTGTAAAATCAATTAAAAGTGAAAAGCTGCATCTCCTGGGTAATCCAGCGGATGGGCCAAAGGTGCCAGCCAGTGGAAAGTGTTTAATCGATAGTGAAAAGCGCCAAAGTGAAAATCAATTGTCACTGCCTGCAGCATTTGTGTTAGTCCAACAACAAACCAACTAGTCGCATCCCGAACGGTTTCACATACAGTCAACCCCCGTGGTGACTGACTCACCAGGCAACCCCTCACTCGTACTCCTCCCTTCTTCGTTTTTTTTTCGAGTGCCCAAGTGTTCGCTCCAGTGCATTGCACTGCAATTAACCTATTGAGGCTTCAGAGTTCTGCAGTTGGGGTCTACGAAATGGATTTCTATGCCAATAACAAGGCGGTGCACTCGGCCAGCACGGGTGAGTTCAATTAACTTGGCTTAATTGTTCGGCAATCTTATCGCGCCAGACTTTATTAAGAGTTGGCAATGGCTTCTATTTAAGCATTTCATTTGGTGGTCTATAAACGAGATTAATTGAGCGTTGTAATAATTAAATTTGTTCGTGTGAAAGCATAATTAAAAGTAGCAGTGCCTATGAGGCACTGATTGAAAACTTAATTATTTTGCAGAATTCAAATGATATATGGTTAACTTAAATTCATTTATAAATCGATACACCTTTTAATCTTTAAAAAATGCATTGTATAATGACTTCGCACTTAGCAACTTCCAAATACTTCCAGAAACAAGATAACTTTTATAGCTTTTTTCGTTTCCAAAGAGGTCATACACCGATACTCTAATCAGAATATCAGTCATTATTCAGATAACGCTTTTATTTATGATTAAAATGCATTTTCAGTTCAGTGACTCGCCACTTAGAAACTTCTGATTAATTCCAAAATAGACAATGACGAATGCCCACCAAAAATAATGAAAACAAACAGGAAAATTGTGCGCAAGTTTCCCGAAAGCAGAGAAAATTACAATAATAAAACACTGGCACGCAACAATTTTTTTTTTTTTTGGAACGGAAGAGGGCGAAACTGTGAAGAGAGTAAACGATGATATCACAGCAAACAACACCTACTTTGTCCAATTTTCACAAGTAAACATTGTCTACTTCGTTCCTTTCAAGAAAATCACGCAGAGGCGTCTGCTTTACGGGCTTAGCTCCTGGCTAATTGCTGTTCGGACCGGGCTAACAGTTTGGGTTTGAGTTGTGGGTCGTGGGGTCATTGCATGTGCTCGGATTACGTATACGCACGGCGGCCCCTGACCGAAAACCAAATAAGCCTGTTAGCTGCAGCAGGTGCCTCTCATTTGGACGCTTCTTTCAGGCTGCACTTCATCATTTATGATGCACAAAAGGTTCGGTCCGCCTTCCATCAGCCGGCTTCACATTTCATAAGCTTCTTGAACATGACATGGCCGTTCCTCAAATACCCTTTACCCATTCCTCTGCCCCCTTACTTCCCCTGCCTTTTGGAGGCCTCAGTCTCGGAGTGTTCTTGATTTTTTCCACACCTTCACTCTTGCCCATTGTCAATGTCGCCTTGAAGCATTTCCTACGCCGCCAAGTCATTTGCTGCTTCCACACTTGGTTGCCTCCTCTTCACTGCAAAAATATCTTTTTAATAAGTTTTGTATTCGTATATATTAATATAATATTTAATATTTGAACTAATAAATTTATCTTATCTTTGATCCAATTTAAGTTATCAGTTAAGATTCACAGCTATGATATTACAATTATCATTTTGGGCTATTATATTTTAAAAGCAAGTGCCAAGAAATCGTATTTAAATTCCGGAAAACGTATTTTTCCTAGTGTCGCCTTGAGTGCGAAAAAAAGAGTGAGAACCTGGGGACTTGGGGCTTGCATTTCCATGCCTGGTCGTCGCCAAGAATGCAACCGGGCCAGTTCTTCTGCCCCCCATAAACGGCCATCAAATGCTGGCTTCTTTTTTTTTAAGACCTCCAGCTCTCTGTTCCTAGGCAACTCTGATGTGTTTTTTTCCTTTGCCTGCAATGTGTGTGCTTGTTTTTTGCACAATTTGTAATTTATGCCGCCATCTCATGCTCGCAGAAGATTTCAAGTGGCCCAGACATCTGCGAAGGCAGAGAAGACTGCAAAAACGAAGACTGAAGTCCCAGGAGAAGGCGACAACGTGGTCGTGATTGCGGCTGTCTTGCATATGGAAAAGAACCCCCTCTATCGCCTTGCCAAGCATTATTTTTTGCTCTCTGCATAATCAAGATTATGTTAAATTGTCTGAGTAATTGTTGTTAATTTGCCTGGGCACATTATAAAGCGATTTCAGCCATATGGCTGGGGTTAAGCTCCGCTTTCTTTTCACAAACTGGGCTAATTATGATGGATACATTGCAGACCATAAATTGTTTACAACACTTCGATATCAGCATGAGATTGAGGCTTCATTTAATATCCACCCTAATGCTCCATAAGCCAAAAAGTTTGGGGAAAAATTCAAGCAACGTGACTCATTTCGTTGAATGCACTCAATATTACTGGGTCGATAGGGCTTGACTTCTTCATTCCTAATGCAAATTATCTTTGGTGGCACGATTTTTTTGGATTAGAATATGAACCAAATGGTTCATGAGTCATCACCAAGTTAAGTTTCTGGTAGAAGGGTATTTTATAAGGTTTTCTATTGAACTTCGGATTAAAAACTACTTCGTCAAGCAGAGAAGAGTTCGATATACCAAAAACAAATCATTGTTTCGAAATGACTCGTTCGATTATGACCGTTATCTTATAAGTCATTAGCCATTAAAAAGCAGGAAATAAACTTGAAATACAAATGTGAAGGGTGTTTAAAGAGTGAAAAGAAAGAAAGAGGGGCATCATAAGAGTGTTTGCCAAACAAACCATACAATGCACAGCTGTTTTGTATACATCTGTCATCGCTAAACGTTTTCTAAATGACATCCATAACTGCAGATCTATTGAGAAACTCCCACACACAAACCAGTATCTCAGCATTTCCCGTATTTGTAGTCATTTGAGTTTCTCTCCATCTTTCTGTTCTGTTTGATTCTCACCCGTCAAAGCAAATTCACACAGACAAACTGACTCATTTGGCGAAACAAAATAAGGCTTAACAATCATTTAATAATTTAGCACTTTGCGGCAAATTTATCTTGATGAAGGCGGGAGATGGGGAGACACGAACTGAGACCCAACAGAAAAGCCATTGTTCCACAGTTCCCCTAAAAATTCTAGAGCATTTTGTCGCAATAACACACAAGTACTACGTAAATGTACATTAAAATCTGGATGCACTGCACTGTGGAAAACGATCGGGGAAAGGGGCAGGCACTATTAACCCAGCGAGAGCTGAGTAAATGGATTTCACCTTGACGCGCTCGCCAAAACAATAATTCCAACGTCACTGTCTCGGTTACCGAAATCAGATATCGGGTGGGAAATAGTGGAGAGCTATACGAGGAAAAGAGCTATAGCTCCAAAGCTAGCTGTAAACGAGAGCTTGCGGTTTTATACAAATATACATACGTATGTATCCCAACGATGCTAGGTGTTTGGCAATTCGCATAACAAGGCCGCACACCTACGGGGAGATGGATAAATACGACTGGGGTTCGATTCGTAGCACTGAACAAAACCTCTGAAAAAATCTTAAGATAAGCAACATACTCAACCAATATTTAAACTCGTTCGCCTATATTAAATATCTAATTTCGTTACTGATAAATTAAATTTTAAATTCTTATCAAGGGTTTTGTTTATATGAGGTAGTATAATAAGTCGAAACCTATAAAAATTTGCAAAGCAATAAAAGGCACAACTACTATTCCGACCGCGACTGTATGTTTGGGCTTATCAACTGCTCTACACACACTACGCCCATGAGTCAGAAGGCAGTGCATGACCAAGAAAGGTAACCAGTGAATAGACACAAACGAAAGGCGAAATGAGCAGAAACAGACGGAAAAAACAGAAACTGCCACAGCGACAGCAGTTAGAGAACAATGGTTGCGAGGGAGAGGGAGTTACTAGTACCAGTTTTAGAGAGAGCGAGAGTCCAGAGAGGGACTGGACTCACAGGTAAACTGCCCATAAAACACCGGCACCGGTAACCCTAATAAACGCGATGAGAGCCACGAAAATCTCTCCAGTCGATCGCTCCACTCACTTGTCTTTCCGCACTCAAACAGTGAAGAACGTTCCTGGTCGAATTCTCGGTTTTTGGTTCTCGGTTCTCTCAGTGTTAATAGTTGGCAGTACGAGGTAGATAAGATTTTTCGCGTTGATATTGTCCCGCCGACATACGGTGTTGCCTGACATAATAAGTGTAAACCCCAAACTACATTCCTTCTATTTAAATCACTAAACTTTCCTGTTCTCGTATTTGTTTTTTGTAGTGCGCAAAATGTTGGAGGACACCCAACTGGTGTGGGTGCGAGATGCCGCCGAGGGCTATATCCAGGGCCGGATCACAGAGATCGGTACCAAGGAGTTCGAGGTTACGCCCACCGATCGGAAATACCCGAAGCGCACGTGCCACTTCGATGACATCCACTCCTCGTGCGATGGACCCCAGGATCACGATGATAACTGTAAGTATTCTAAACGGAGGATATTATAGTACCATGAAAAGTAAAGTGTCAAGAAAAAAAGATATGTCAAGACTTCCGTTTCGGAACCTTATCTTGCCGGTTGTGTTATATAAGTGTGGCAAGAAAGTGAAAGAAACACCAATATCTTGGGTTCTTGGCCTTAAAATACCCTTAGCTTTCCTAGAAAAGAAACTTTGATAGAACCAAACAAATCAATATTGCCAATCTGATAAATACACGACAACATACCAAAGTTTGTGAACCCCTTTTTCAAGTTCCTATACCACGAATAATGCCTTAATCAACACAAAGAGTTTAGTAGGGTAAAGATAAAGATAGGTTCATGATCTTGAATTCATATCGACGATATAAAGCACATAAATTGCTGCAGTAAGTAGCCATCTTATCTTTCAACCCGATAAGATCGCTTTGACGTAAACGATACCACGAATTTAGAGCAAAACTTTTCACTGCATTAGCTTCAAATTGAGCGAGAGAAATACCACACATAGGCCATTTCCCCAGAGAGATCTTGCAAAATGCCATGTTTCTTAAACCTATTTCTTTTTACCCTTTTATGAAGCAATCGTTAGCTACGCTTGCTTACCTGAACCCCGACCCCTTGAAATGAAATGGAGAAAGTGGTCGGGGGGTTTGGGCCATAAAACCCGTATAATTTCAGACGTTTTACTAACCCAGATGATTTTATGTTCCAGGCGAGCTCATGCTGCTCAACGAGGCCACATTTCTGGACAATTTGAAAACACGTTACTACAAAGACAAGATCTACGTGAGTACTTTGTTTACAAAGAATACCAACGAAACTGGTACTAAGCTGGGCACTTAACTTTCCAGACATATGTGGCCAACATATTGATCGCCGTGAATCCGTACCGCGAGATCAAGGAGCTCTACGCACCCGATACCATCAAGAAGTACAATGGCCGTTCCTTGGGCGAACTGCCTCCTCATGTCTTTGCCATCGGTAAGTATAATAGATCTTTTATATGGACATAATCTAATTTATTTCCAATTAATAGCGGATAAAGCCATACGGGATATGCGGGTCTACAAGCTATCGCAGTCGATCATCGTGTCCGGAGAATCGGGCGCCGGCAAGACAGAGTCCACTAAATACCTGCTCAAATACCTGTGCTATTCGCACGACAGTGCCGGTCCGATAGAGACCAAGATATTGGATGGTAAGTCTGACACTGAACTTCCTTAGAATTAAAACTAAATCATATTATTTCCATCCTTTAGCCAATCCCGTGCTGGAAGCTTTTGGCAATGCGAAGACCACTCGCAATAATAACTCCTCGCGTTTCGGCAAGTTCATCGAAGTGCACTACGATGCCAAGTGTCAGGTGGTAGGGGGTTACATATCCCACTATCTGCTGGAGAAGAGCCGCATCTGCACCCAGAGTACCGAGGAGCGAAATTACCATGTGTTCTACATGCTTCTGGCTGGAGCTCCTCAGCAGCTACGCGATAAACTTAGTTTGGGAAAGCCAGATGACTATAGGGTACGTATTTCCATCCCTGGATCATTCTTATACTGACGATTGAATCTTCTTTCGGTAGTATCTCTCCGGCTGCACACAGTACTTTGCCAACGCCAAAACAGAACAATTGATACCGGGATCACAAAAGTCCAAGAATCACCAGCAGAAGGGTCCGCTTAAGGATCCGATCATCGATGATTACCAGCATTTCCAAAATTTGGATAAGGCCTTAGGTCGTCTGGGTCTGTCGGATACAGAAAAGTATGGAATCTATTCGCTGGTGGCTGCTGTACTTCACCTTGGCAACATTGCCTTCGAGGAGATTCCGGATGATGTGCGTGGTGGTTGCCAGGTTTCCGAGGCTTCGGAGCAGTCACTGACCATCACCAGTGGCTTGCTGGGTGTGGATCAAACGGAGCTGCGAACTGCTTTGGTTTCCCGGGTCATGCAGAGCAAAGGAGGTGGCTTCAAGGGCACGGTCATCATGTAGGGATCAAAATTTATTTATTTTTATCTGCCGAATTGTTAATAACCAATCATTATTCTTTCAGGGTTCCTCTAAAGATCTACGAGGCGAGCAATGCTCGAGATGCTTTGGCAAAGGCCATCTACAGTCGCCTTTTCGATCGGATTGTGGGTCTGATCAACCAGAGCATTCCCTTCCAGGCCTCAAACTTCTATATTGGCGTGCTCGATATTGCTGGCTTTGAATACTTCACGGTGAACTCCTTCGAGCAATTTTGCATCAACTACTGCAATGAGAAACTGCAGAAGTTCTTCAACGATAACATTCTGAAGAACGAACAGGAATTGTACAAAAAGGAGGGTCTTAATGTGCCGGAGATCACGTTCACCGACAACCAAGATATTATTGAGCTGATTGAAGCCAAGTCGAATGGCATCTTCACGCTGCTCGACGAGGAGTCCAAGCTGCCGAAGCCCTCGTATTCGCACTTCACCTCCGAGGTGCACAAATCCTGGGCGAATCACTACCGCCTGGGCTTGCCCAGATCCTCGCGGCTGAAGGCCCATCGCACTCTGCGGGATGAGGAGGGCTTCCTGGTGCGCCACTTTGCCGGAGCCGTGTGCTACAACACGGAGCAGTTTATCGAGAAGAACAACGATGCCTTGCATGCCTCGCTGGAGGGATTGGTCCAGGAGTGCGACAATCCCCTGCTGCAGACCCTCTTTCCATCGGGCAGCAGCACCTCGGTTCGCGGCAAACTCAACTTTATCTCGGTGGGCTCCAAATTCAAGACGCAGTTGGGCGAGCTGATGGAGAAACTGGAACAGAATGGCACCAACTTCATTCGCTGTATCAAGCCCAATAGCAAAATGATTGATCGTCAATTTGAGGGCAGCCTGGCGCTGGCCCAACTGAAGTGTTCGGGCACCATTTCCGTGCTGGAGCTAATGGAGCATGGTTATCCCTCGCGAGTTCTCTTCGCAGATCTGTACAGCATGTACAAGTCGGTGCTGCCGCCGGAACTGGTTTCCCTGCCAGCTCGCACCTTCTGCGAGGCGATGTTCCAGTCGCTCAATCTGAGTGCCAAGGACTTTAAGTTCGGCATTACCAAGGTCTTCTTCCGGCCCGGAAAATTCGTTGAGTTTGATCGCATCATGCGCTCAGATCCGGAGAACATGCTGGCCATTGTGGCGAAGGTAAAGAAGTGGCTAATTCGATCGCGTTGGGTAAAATCCGCCTTGGGAGCCCTCTGCGTTATTAAATGTAAGTTCTTCCTTAACATTATCCAATTACTTTGACTAATGTTTATATTTTCCTTTACCAGTGCGCAACCGAATCATCTATCGCAACAAGTGTGTCTTGATAGCCCAGCGCATTGCTCGAGGTTTCCTGGCCCGTAAACAGCATCGTCCTCGCTACCAGGGAATTGGTAAGATCAACAAGATCAGGACCAATACGCTCAAAACCATCGAAATAGCCAGCGGCCTGAAAATGGGACGCGATGAGATTGTCAGTGGGGTGAATGATATTTACAGGCAGATCGACGATGCCATCAAGAAGATCAAGGTTAGTTTTACTGTTATTCTACTCTATTACTTTACTGATCTTCAATACTTCTCAGATGAATCCCCGCATCACCCAACGCGAAATGGACTCGATGTACACCGTGGTCATGGCCAATATGAACAAACTCACCGTGGATCTGAACACCAAACTCAAAGAGCAGCAGCAGGCTGAGGAGCAGGAGCGCTTGCGCAAGATTCAAGAAGCTTTGGAAGCGGAAAGAGCTGCCAAGGAGGCGGAAGAACAACGCCTGCGCGAAGAAGCCGAAAACAAGCGACTGTGAGTAAAGTTATTGTGAAGAGTTTACCTTTTATTTACCTTTTTCTTCAATCCATAGTAAAGCGGAGATGGAAACTCGTCGCAAGGCCGCGGAAGCCCAACGGCTTCGCCAGGAGGAAGAGGATCGCCGGGCCGCTTTGGCGCTGCAGGAGCAGCTGGAGAAGGAGGCCAAGGACGATGCCAAGTACCGACAGCAACTCGAACAGGAACGCCGCGATCACGAATTGGCCCTCCGCTTGGCCAACGAGTCCAACGGCCAGGTGGAGGATAGTCCACCAGTTATCCGCAAGTATGTGGTTGTAGTCTTTAAGAATAGTAGGTTTCTTTAGCCTAAAACCCTTTGCCAAAAGCTGAATTTTTTTTAGAAACCTTAGGAAGATTGTGTCAAAGATATTTAATTTTTGAAGAACATGTTTAAAAACATAAATTATTTTAAAGTACTGATTTGAAAATTGGTAAAACTGATTTCAAATTTGTAAAATGGGGATTATAATATCCGTCTTGTAAATATATTGATAAAAACCCTCAGTTAGATTTTAAGCTTTAATATATATTTTATATAACTCACAAACTTTTTCCTTTCCCCCAACACGGAAACCACTCCACACTATCCACAACAATCCACCACCACCCAAAACAAAACACACAATCCAACCCAACGAACACAACACAGTGGTGTCAATGACGCGTCTCCCATGGGTTCCAACAAACTGATCAGGTATATAGCACGCTTTTGAATTACCTATGTCTCCAACTCTTGTAAATTTTGTCAATCTTTTCTTGCTTTCCCCAAAACACTAATTGGACAATGATTCACCATAAAAAAAAAACAAACAATTTTTTTACTACTATAACTTCTTTACTTTCTGTATATTTTTGAAAAAGTTTTTCACAAGTTGTGTCAAACATTGCTTCGCGGTACTTGAATAAGTGAGTTGGTGCTGGTTTTGAAATCATTTCATACTAATAAAATTACTAACACCTAACGTAAAGTTCTCATTGCCCACTAATCCAAATCATTTGTAACATATTATACTACTACTAGAAAACTCCCATTGGCTTTTAGTTGTTGACTCTTGATTCTTTTTGTATCCTGTCACTATGAACATTTGATGCCATCAATGACTCACTTTTTTTGCTTGCGCTTATATTTATTTTCACTTTACTTTTATAAATTATGCTAAATGATATTACCTCTCCTGGGCAGATCGGAAAATGTTAGGGCGCAACAACAGGCCCTGGGCAAACAGAAATACGACTTGTCCAAATGGAAGTACTCGGAGTTGCGTGATGCTATCAACACGTCCTGTGATATTGAACTGTTGGAGGTAAGTTTTTAATCCGGCTTTCAGTTTTTATGTCTATTAAACTATTATTACCATTTTCAGGCCTGCCGCCAGGAGTTCCATCGCCGTTTGAAGGTTTACCATGCCTGGAAGGCAAAGAACCGCAAGCGCACCACCATGGATGAAAACGAGCGTGCCCCACGCAGCGTTATGGAAGCTGGTTGGTTAATCAAATTCATACAAAGAAGTTAAACAATTAAATAAAATCCTTCATTCAGCTTTTAAGCAGCCGCCTTTAGTGCAGCCAATCCAGGAGATTGTGACAGCCCAGCATCGCTATTTCAGGATTCCCTTCATGCGAGCCAATGCACCGGACAATAGTAAGTGTTCTTTTTGCCTTAAAAATATAAAATATTTTAATTTAAAACAATATCCTTCAGCCAAACGTGGCCTGTGGTATGCCCACTTCGATGGCCAGTGGATCGCTCGACAGATGGAACTGCATGCAGATAAGCCTCCAATTCTTCTGGTTGCTGGAACCGATGACATGCAGATGTGTGAACTGAGCCTGGAGGAAACGGGGCTGACGCGCAAGCGCGGCGCCGAAATTCTGGAGCACGAGTTCAACCGCGAATGGGAGCGCAATGGGGGCAAGGCCTACAAGAATCTGGGGGCCAAGCCCAATGGGCCAGCTGCTGCTGCGATGCAGAAACAACAGTAGACACCCAACAAACAGGCAACGCATTAATCAAACATTGCCGATTCGGTGGTCAAACACATCAAAATTAGTAGATAACGAAATTCCAAAATAAGTTTTTGCCAGTCAAACTTTTATTGAAAGCGACCACGTCCATTAAAACATTTTTTAGTAAATATAACTATATTATATTATGCATGTAAAGCTTTTAATTTGGTTTTTCGATCCTACATTTCTACATTTCTTTGACCCGCTCATATTTTGTGCGCCCGTACTGTTGTTAGGGGCCTTATACACTTAGCTATACAAATTATATATCTCCGATTAAGTGAATCTTATGATGTAAAAGGAAACGGCAAGTTGTATTTAGTATCTAACGAAGTACTATTTAAATTGTGTATTTAGTTCACTGCGATGTATTTACATAATTGAATATATATATTTTACAGTATTTTAAAAATAAACATTTGAAGTACATAAATTTATTGTTTGTTCGATGGTGTAAAATGTGTGGATTATAAACTAACAAGTTTCCACTGGCACTTAAGCTTGGCCCTCAGGTAAAAACTTTAAAAAGGCAAGGCCACAAAGTACAAATTTGCTCACTGAAAAATAAATAAACTCAACATGTAATTGAACTTTTTTAATAAAATCAGACCTTAAAAAAGGACGAAGAAGATTTGAGCAAAACCATTATGAATCGGTACATAAGTTATACTTCTTACAAAAAAAAAAGTTAATTCTGGTATTTTTATGGGGTCTGTTGGTATTTTTATCTTGTTCAGCACAGCCACACTGGCTCTTATTCCGGTCTGAAATTAGCAATTTTGCATTTTGGACAATAATTGTGTGTTAAAGGCCCTCTTGAATTATTTAAAAATACAATCAGAATGCCTACTATTGGAGTTAAACGGGATCTGCTCTTTGAGGCGCTCGGCAAGACGTACAGTGAGTTTGAAGAGTCCACGTGTAATCACGTTTTCGTCCGGTGGAGCACTCAATGTTTACCCCTTTTCCACAGCCGATGATGAATTCCAGGAGCTGTGCTTTGCTTTCGGGCTTGAACTGGATGAAGTGGTAGGTGCACTTAATTGAACCGTATCATTCAAATATGTATATTACAACCTCTTAATTTTTCCAATTAGACGACTGAGAAGCAAATGCTGACTAAGGAGCAGGGCGATGTAGCAGCGGCGGCGAATGCCAGCGAAGAGATTATTTACAGAATTGACATACCAGCAAACCGGTACGACTTGCTCTGTCTTGAGGGTCTAGTCACGGGTCTGCTGGTGTTCCAGGGCAAGTAAGTCAAGAAAGACATCTTTTAACGCAATAAAACTCAAGAACGCACCTTTTTCAGACTTAAACCCCCCAAGTTCCACTTTGTGGAGCCAGCAAAGAGGCAAGTGCTGAAGATTGATCCTTCGACGGCCAAGATTCGTCCTTATGCTGTGGCCGCTGTGCTTCGGAACGTTACCTTTACGCAGGCGTCCTACAACAGCTTCATCGATCTGCAGGACAAACTGCACCAAAACATCTGCCGCAAGCGCACGTTGGTTGCTATTGGAACTCATGATCTGGACACCTTGCAAGGACCCTTCAGCTACGAGGCTCTCGCACCCGAACAGATCAAATTCAAGCCACTTAATCAAACCAAGGAGATGACCGGCAACCAGCTAATGGACTTCTATGCTACGCATGCCCAGCTGAAGCAATATTTGCCCATCATTCGAGACTCCCCGGTTTACCCGGTGATCTACGATGCAAACCGTGTGGTTCTTTCACTGCCGCCAATTATCAACGGCGACCATTCCAAGATCTCGCTAAAGACCAAGAACGTATTCATCGAGTGTACGGCCACGGATCGGACGAAGGCCAAGGTGGTGCTGGACACCATTGTGTGCCTGTTCTCCGAGCACTGTGCCCAGAAGTTTACTGTAGAGCCGTGCGATGTGGTTGAGCCTGACGGAACTGTGACCTCGTATCCCGAGTTGGAGGTGCGCGAGGAGCGGATCTCGGTGAAACGCGCCAATGCCTACATTGGCATCGATGAGCCAGCGGAGAAGCTAGCCGACATGCTGACTCGCATGTATCTGGAGGCCAAGGTTGATGGGGACTCGCTGGTGGTGAAGATCCCGCCAACTCGGCATGACGTGATCCATGCCTGCGACATTTACGAGGACGTAGCCATTGCCTTTGGCTATAACAACATTAAGAAATCACTGCCTGCCTTTATGCAGATAGCCAAGCAATTTCCACTTAATAAGCTCACCGAACAGCTTCGCGAACAGGTTGCACAGGCTGGATTCACGGAAGCGCTGACCTTTACGCTCTGCTCGCGGGATGACATTGGTCGCAAGCTGAACAAGAACATTGAAGCCCTGCCGGCCGTGCATATCGGCAATCCCAAGACCCTGGAGTTCCAGGTGGTGCGCACTACCTTGTTGCCTGGTCTTCTCAAGACGCTGGTGGCAAATCGCAAAATGCCGCTGCCCTTGAAGCTCTTCGAGATTAGCGACGTTGTGGTGGCGGATGAGAATACAGAAGTTGGAGCCCGCAACGAGCGAAGGGTGTGTGCCGTCAACTGCAACAAGACTGCTGGTTTCGAGGTGGTGCACGGTCTACTGGATCGCGTGATGCAACTGCTCTCTGTGCCCTGGAAAACGGCCAACGTGACCAAGGGATATTACCTCCAAGCTGCTGAAGGTAAATCATCTAGAAATTTGTAAAATTCTTGGTTAATAATTGTTCCTCTTTTTCAGATCCCAGCTATTTCCCTGGACGCTGTGCTAATGTCATGTACGACAACGTGGTCATTGGCAAAATCGGAGTCCTGCATCCCACAGTGCTGCAAGCCTTTGAACTGACCACGCCCTGTTCTGTGGTAGAGTTCACCATCGAGCCTTTTGTTTGATGGATATAATCGATCAATAAAATGTTTAACATTTATAAAAGCTCACAAATAAATTATCACAAATTAAATTACAATTTACCAAGCATATTTATTTAACTCTCTAAATCGTTGTGGTTTCATTAGGTTCAATTTGTGGAAATGATCATCTTTATCCCCAACATGTTTTACCCTAAGACCCAAACTAAATAAAAATTCGTTTAATTTTTTATTTATGCTGTTTAATGTTCTCTTTTATATTTTTCCTTCAATACAATAATAATAATTATAAGAGTAATAATAATCCGTAGTATACTCATATAGTATGTGTGTATTTAATATATGTAGTTTTTTTTGTTTTTCTGTTTTTTTCATACTTTTCATATTTGAAGTATATTTATATTAATTTTTAAATTAATAAATCTATGTGAATTCAATTTCTTTCGCTTGAAAAAAATTCTACATTTATTCAGTATGCTTTTTGTTTTTTCATTTCATCGTTTTTTTTTTTGCTGTTTCTCAATCAAGGATGCATCATCTCATAACGGCTGTATGTCCTCAGCTATTCGGTTGCATATTTTTTTGTTTGTCAACAAAAACTTCTGTTTGTTTTTCAAATAAAGGTCCTTTCGGGCATATAGGTGTGTGTATGTGTATGTGGTATATATATTTCTCGTATTTTGTTGTATCAAATAACTTAAACGAACATCTCCACATTCTCATTACATTATTTGCTTGCAGCTAAAACATTGAAAAATAGAAAAAAAGTAGTTTCATGCTCACTTATATTATCATTTATTTCGTATTTTCATATTCATCGTTCATTATCATTGTTAAAGTATATCTTGTAAATCGGGTTTGTTTTGTTTTGTGTTGTGTGTGGTTATGCGTGGGTTGCTCATTAAACGGTTCTCTAAGCATTATATCTCAAGCATCGTTTGTTTTCCTCTAGAATTTTACAAAGCAATTAATTGCCTGACGACCCACACATCTTTGACCATTGTCCTGCTTCCGGATCTCACTCGTGCATATCGGTAGTGCGACTCTAGATCGGGCAAGAAGGGGTTTATCAAGTGTTTTTACATATCTTCGTTTCGTTTTGTTTAGTTTTGTTTTCTTCGAAATAAAAGTTTGTGTATTTCATATATGCTATTCGCTAGTATATAGGTAGGTATATATTTTATGTACGTCTATGAGCAGTGTCGGAAAAGCTTCAAAGATGGCAAGCAAGCGCCGCTTCGTCGTCTCGTCATCTTTATCATAATCGTTTAGTTCTCGTAAATGGAATATTAAAACGTTACTCGACCATTAATTTCTTGATGTTTTTTTACTTAGTTATTTAAGCAATTTCAATTTCTACTAGCTACATTTTCAGGGAACCAACCAACTTTTAAATCTGACCAAAGGACACCAAACTCTATAGCTGCTAAGCATCGGTTGTTTCGTTCGGGTTCGTTTGGTATTTTCATCATTCCCAGACATATCTTTAAGTTGGGGAGTAGTTAATGGTATGTTTATATGTTGTAAGTTGAATTAAGTAGTTCCTTGTCGGTTGTAGTTTTGCATTTCGTTCTTTGTTTTTCGGTTTATAGCCAATGCATGCGTTTTCATAGCTTTGTTCTAGTTTCCGGTTTCATTAGCTTCTTGTAGTGGATGTTTTTTTTGTTGTTGTGGGGAAAAAAGGGGGATAGAGAAAAGTGCGCGCCTAGAATTTACAGATTTGACATTCATTTGTTGCCTTTATTAATGTTATTAAATATATATATATATAGATGTATTTATGTATAAGTGTTGTAATAAAAGTTTGTGTTTGCATTTTAGCTGGCGCTAAACATTTCAATTTAATGTTTCATTCATAAGACTGACTTCTATCTTAAAATAAATGTATTTGTGTGTTTGTGTTTGTGTGCGGGGGAGGGGGTTAGTGCATGTGCATGTGTGTATGAAAGTTACTTTTCGTTTCGTTTCCCTCTCGCTCATCACACAAAAAAAAATAAGCTACCACTAACTTCATGCTTCTTCAAAAATATCAATACATTTAAAAATAAATAATATTAATTGCCCCCAGTTGCCTGGGAGCCAGTTTCGAACATATTTTTTTTCCTTCTTGCTTATCGCATTTATCATATTTTGCATTCCGTTTGCTTTTCTTGTAGATCTCTTTTCTGGGGTAAACTTTCAAGTTACCTGCAAATTTAAATAATCACCCAAGTTTTAATGTTTTCGAATCGACAAACTAAAGAACAAAGCCATGTTGCAATTTTCACATGAGTTTTTGTTGCTGTTAGTTGGTTTCAGGATATAGTAGTTGGCAGGTGGTGAGAGGAGTAGTAAGTAGTTGGGGGAAAGAAGCCGAGAATCCGAATAGAAAACGTAGAAACTCAAATATTATTTCGCTTTGCATGTTCAATTCAGTGAGATGCTTATGTTGATACTGCTCCTGCTACTGATGTTGCCGTTGCTGCTTGCTGCTGGGTGTCCTGGTAGTTTGGAAGATTGCTCTCAGCCATAGCTGATCGATTCAATTGCTTGATCGACAGGTATCGAAGAGATCCTCCTTCTGAGTGTCGCTGGGATATCAGTTGGACCAGTTGGTGGTGTAGTTGGTCCAAGGCATCTGGTAAAAAAAAAATATTTAAGTCAATCTAAATGGTTTGCAAATTTTCTATGATTTAGATGATTTAGGTTACATATTGAGTTATGAATGAATAAATAACATTTATATTAAACGCTTGTAAACACTTGCAAAGGTCTACATTTTCCTGCATGGTAAAACTCACGTGCTTGTCATGGTGATCCCACACCTCCATCTTGTCCGGCATGTGTGCGGAGATGTCAACAGCTCCAGGGGCAGCCACAAAATGCTGGTAGCCATAAGAAGGCATCAAGTTGACATGCTGCTGCTGTTGGTTCATGTTCGGCGGCGCCTGCATGTTGTGGTAGTCCATGGGCATCTAAAAATCACAAATCATTAAGAACCACTCGAAATCGATTCATATAAAAATCAGATACTCACATTCATTGGTTCATGCTGCTGCTGCTGCGGATAGGGTCCGTTGTTGTAGGGCCGGTACTGCTGCTGCTGCGGCTGCTGCTGCTTCAGCCAGTTGAGAGACTGTTGCTGCTGCGACTGCGGCGGTGGAGGCGGCTGCTGCAGTCCCGGTGGCTGCACCTTTGGTTCGTGCGCCCATGGCGGCAGTACGCTGGCCAGAGCATCATCCATGCTCAGCGCCGAGGCGGCCACGTTGAAGTTGTTCCAGGACTTCCAAGATGCAGCACGCTCTGTGCCAATGGGACGCGGCATCTTGCGGATGTCATCGTGATTCGGTGACATGGCCGATGGCGAGCCCAGGCCCGCCATTCCGCCGGCTCCGTTCTCCAGATGCAGCATATCACGACCCGTGTACGAGGGATACTCCAGGGTGCCGCCATACCACCGCTGTGCGGCCGCCGCTCCTCCCGGCTGGCGGGCTCCTGCTCCTGGTGGCTGCCTTCCCGGCTGGTTGCCTCCGAACATATTCGACTGGGCCCCGCCCTGCGGTTGCGGCGGCTGTGGCGGCTGTTTGTTGCCCTGCGCAAAAATCGAAGCGCGCGGATTCAGGCGCAACAGGTTATTGCTATCCACAATGTACGGCGAGGAAGAGGGATCCATGGGGTAGTTGAGCTGCTGCTGCTGTTGCTGCTGCGAGGGCTCCACCTTGTTGTAGATCATTCGCTGCAAGTTCTGCTGCTGGCGATCGATCATGGCAGCGGCGGCGGCTGCAGCTGCTGCTTGAGCTCCGAACGAGGTGGGCGGTGCTCCGCCTGCCTCCGATGCTGAAATCGGCATCGGTACATGCCGCTGGATGGGAACATTGGCCGTAGGTGGTTTGATAACGCCCGGTGAATGGGCCGGAGCCGATTCACCCAGTCCCTGGGTTCCGTTTATAGAGGGCTGGCCACCAGGGGGATTTCCCTCGTTGCCGGACACCATCGGTGATCTGGCTGGCGCTACAGCAGCTACTCCTCCGCCACCTGCTCCTCCGCTGGTGATAATGTTCAGGGCCTGCTGCACACTCTGCTGGTTGGATTGCGGTGGTTGCTGCTGCTGCTGTTGTTGCTGCTGCTGCTGTTGCTGTTGTTGTTGCTGCTGCTGGATCACATTTCCCACTGGCGGCGAGGTCGAGTGATTCGACGAGGCCTTGGAACTGCCCACCGGCGAACTGAGGATGTTGCGATTATATCCCGGTGCCTTGGAGGCATCTGCCTGCGGCAGGCCATCGCCCACGGCTCCTGCTCCTCCCCCAATGCCTTGATCGCCCAGTTTGCCCCACTGCGATTGCTGATAGTCGCTAAACAGGGAGTAGGTGCTGGACAGCTTGGCGGCCAATTGGGCACTGAAGCTATCGCTGGCGGTGTTCGCTGCACTGGCGGCCATCAGGTCATTCAACAGGTTGGTATTGATCACCAGGTTCTGCTGGGCCGTCTGTGCTTGTTGTTGTTGTTGCGGCTGCTGCGGCGCTTGTTGTTGTTGCTGCTGCTGCTGTGGCTGTTGTTGTTGGGATTGCTGTTGTGGCTGTGCTCCAGCTGGAGCTGCTGCTGGCTGGGATTGCTGCTGCTGTTGTTGTTGCTGTTGCTGCTGGGTTTGGGTGGGTGAACCCACTCGCTTGCTTGGCGGCGCAATGGGTGCAATGGGTTTCACATTGGCGGTGGCTGCTGCTCCCGCAGCAGCGGCTGCATTCACGGCAGCCACATCCGCCACATTGAAGGTGCCAATTGGTCCAGCCAATATGTTACTGTTAGTGTTGCTGTTGTTGCTACCGCTTCCACTTCCCAGCTGAGCAACATTGCCAGTCGCCGCAGTTGAAACTCCTCCTTGGCCAGGAACTGGTTTGCCTCGTCCAAATGGAGCCACCACACCACTGCTGCGTCCGCCGGCAGAGGTGACCACCGCGGTGGGTACTCCTCCCTCGGCTTTCTTAGGTGAAGACTGGGCAATGGCCGCTGCCTTGGCGAAGTTCTGAGTTCCGGGAGTCACAGTCGAGGGTTTACCAAGTACAGTACTGCTCTTCTGTGCTGCTGGCAGGGACTTCGATGCACTCTCCGTCTTGCCCTTGACCAAGCCATTTGATGATCCACTTCCGGCGGTGCGACCAGTCTGCTGCTGGTTGAGATAACCGCCGCCGCCTCCTCTGGCGTTGCGAGAACTGGAGCCACCCGAGGCGGACACCTTGGAGCTGCTACTGCCATTGGACTTGGCCGACGCCGATGAACGTCCACTTGAAGCCTTAACAGGCTGCAACTGCTGCTGTTGCTGCTGTTGTTGCTGCTGCTGCTTGTGCGCATTGCTGTAGGCAGCTCCCGCTGCAGTAGTGGAACTAGCCGACGAACTGGACGACGTCGAGGTGGTGGATGCGGCCGATGAAAAGGTGTAGGCATTCACGCCGGCAGCTGTGCGATTGTCCCAAGTTCCGACGGCCATCGGAGCGTTTGCCCCGCCACCGGAAGCCTGTTTAATGCTGCTGTTAATCCTGGGCAGCATTTGCAAGATGTCAACGTCGGGATCCTTGATGAGCGACAGGATGAGCATGTGTGCCTGCTTGGTGGCATCCGTCAGACCCTTGATTGTGATGCAGCGCTCGGACTGGTTCTTGCCCTGCTTCTCCACCTCGATGTGGGCACCGGTGGTGGCACGAATGGCGTTGATGTTGCTGCCGCCACGTCCAATCACCCGCGAGATGGCATTCACCGGAACCTGCACCTTTTTGCACGTCATCTCGGGCACCGAGGACGCCGAAGATGATGCGCCTGTGGCCAGCGAGCTGGAACTGTTGCTCGAGCTGTTGACCAGGTGGTGGTGCGGATGATGCGGATGGTGCTGCACGGTGGCCGTCGAACTGGCGGCTGTCACCGGCGCAGGGGCTCCTCCACTCGCTCCCACCGCAGTGGTCTGCTGGGTGCTGCTCTTGCGCACCACTTCCTTCCAGCCATCGACCTCGCTGCGCTTGGCAGGGTTCAGGCTGGCACTGCTGGTGGCTTGTGACACTGGTTTGGCCACCTCCTTGCGGCTGGCGGCGTTGGCGGCGCTGCTGCTGTTGGTTGTGCTGCTGCTGTTGATGTTGCTGGCGGACTCGCTGCTCTGCAGTTTGCTGGAGTTACTCGGTTGCTGTTTGGCTGGCGGTGCCGCCTCCTTCGGCGCCAAGTTCTCCTTCTCGCGCTTGTTGTTGCTGCTGGTCGTGCTGTTCTTCTCCTCCTTCTTCTTTTGCACGGAAGGCTCCTCCTTCTTCACCTCCACTTGTCGCTTCAAAGGAGCTGTCTGCTGTGTGGCAGACTGTTGCTTGACAACCTCGACTGCCGGTTGCTTCTTTACAGAGATGCCCTTGAGGACAGTGCTTGGAGCAGGTGTGATAACAGCAGGAGTTGGTGTTGGAAGCGGTTCGGCTGCTGCCGGCTTGTTCTTCGTCTGCTTCTTGCTCTTCTTTCCCTGATTGTTGTTCGAGGAGCCGGAGTTGGCTACTGTCTCAGCAGCCTGGGCGGATTGGCGGGCACCCTTGGTGTCGCCGCTGGAGCAGGAACCCTGATCGATGCCCGAGTCGCCCTCCTCGCGGGCGGCGGCCGGCGCTGCCTCCTCGTCTTCATCGTCCTTATCGGAATCATCGTCCTTGTCACTGGCATCGTCATCGTCGCCCTGCATATCGTCGCCACCAGCTCCGTTGCCCTGCTGCTGGCGGCGCTTTTCCTCCTTCTTCTCCATCTTCTTCTTCTTCTTGCGCTCACGACGCCGGGCGGCGGCCGCTTTGCGGCTCTCCTCGCGCGTCCGCTCCAAGTCGAGCTCCTCCAGCAGGATCGAGGCGTTCTTGTTTGCCTTGACGGCCTGGGCCTCCTTGGCGCTGCGCAGGATCTTCATGCAGTCGTAACACTTGTCGATCAGCTCTTTGTCACTGATCGTGCCAATGAAGCGGATCATCTCCTGGTCAGAGGGGAACTGCGACACATACTGCACCATCCACTTGACAATCTTGGTGTGACCCTTGCGAAAGGCGGCCATCAGGCAGGAAACCCGACGATTATCCTGTGAGTCAATGTCAGCACTGTGGTCGTAAAGAAGCTCCACCACACTGAGATGGCCACCGTGGGCGGCCAACCAGAGCGGGGAGTTACCCTTCTTATTCTTTACCTCTACGCTGGCATTTCGGGAAAGCAGGAGCTCCACGAACTTCTGGTGCCCCTTGTCGGCGGCGATGGTCAGCGCGGTGTCCCTGGACGTGGGCACTGGTGCAGCATTCACATCCGCTCCCTTGTCCAGCAGCACGCGACCCACCTCGATGTAGCCGCCCGATGCGGCCTCCATAAGCGGCGTTAGTCCCGTCTTGGCCCGATGCTCCACATTGGCTCGTCGGTCGAGGAGCAGGCTCACCACCTCATGCCTGCCCTGGAAGCAGGCCAAAGTCAAGGCCGTGTTGCGGTTGGTTTCGATCTGGGCATTTATGTCGGATCCCTGATCCAGAAGCAACTTCACCGCCGGCGTATGACCATTCATGGCGGCCAACATAAGCGGCGAGATGCCCAGCTTGCTGCCCGTGCGCGAGTTGATCTCCGCTCCATGACTGAGCAGCAGCTTGATGATGTTCACATAACCGCCGCTGGCGGCCAGGCTAAGTGGCGTGTAGTCGGATACATTGCGGTGCTCTTTGTTGGCACCAACGCCGAGCAGAAGCTCCACCACTTCGTAGCGTCCGCCGGAACAGGCCAGCGAAAGGGGTGTATCTTTCGTGCGCTCCGACTGGGCCTCCAGCTCGGCGCCGTGCTTGAGCAGGATGTCCACGACCTTGTCGTGGCCAGCGGTGGCGGCCAGAATGAGCGGCGTGAATCCCTTCTTGTCGCGGTGCTCGATGTTCGCTCCCCGATTGATCAGCAGCTCAACCAGCTCCTCGTGACCACCGGCACAAGCCAAGGTTAATGCGGTGTCGTGATTCGACTCCGTTTCCGAATCAATCTCGATGGTTTTGTCCACACTCACGGTGCTCGCAACGGCCAATTGGTTTTGAAGTTGCGCCTGCTGCTGGGCTGTTGCGACCTGGGGTTGTTGATGCTGATTGGTATTTACTAAGGGGGAAAAAAATAATAAACAATTTAGGTTTATAGTTAATTAGAAGTTGCAAAATTTAAATGCAATACCCACCTTGACTGCCGGCTGGTGTCTGGCGCATCACACAACGGCGATCCTTCCGGGATTGCTTGTCGATGGCCTTCTTGGCAATGCCGCCAGGCATCGATTTGGTGGAGCCCACGCCACTGCTAGGCGCCGGAGTAGGCGTGCCTATCGGCCAAATGGATAGCTCGTTTTGCGGCTGGCCCGGCTGCTGCTGCAACTGCTGTTGCTGCGGAGGCTGCAGAGCGAACTGCGTGTACTGTCCAACTGCCGGTTGTGGAACTACCACAGAGGCAGGATGCGTTTGCGTGGCCACCTAGGGAATGCATTTGAGATCTCACATTAGTCGCTAAACGATTTTGTAAAATTGTATGCAAAACATACCTGATGCTGGACACAGGTTTGCGCCAGCATATGCGGCGGCGGATGAAGGAGCAGCTGTTCCTGCAGGTTTAAGTGCTTTTGCTTGAGCGGCAATGCCTGGATATCGACGACGGGAGCTCCGCCCGGCACCTGGCCGGTTCGTTGGAGCAACAGCTCTTGGGCCACTTGCTCGAGCTCACTCTGGGTGGGCGCACGCTGACCGCCGGTTCGATGCTGGAAGAGATGGGCCTGCTCGGCGTGCAGCTGCTGCTGCTGCTGCTCGGTGAGTGGCTCTCCTACGGCCTGCTGCTGTTGCGCCTGATGCTGGGCCATGTTCGGGGGCACATGGAAGAGCAATTGCACTGGCGGAGCATTCTTATCGCCGCTATCCACGTTGTAGACAAAGTTGGTGGCAGGCTGCTGCTGCTGGTGTTGGCCATGATGCTGAGCAGCCACAGCCTTGATTATGCGCGCATTAGAGTACTGCTGCAGTTGTTGCTTTAACTCTGAATCGTTTTCCAAGCCAAGCGGCTGGTGCTGATGCTGATGAAAATCTGCGGCATTGGGGATACCCTGATGGTGTAGCTGCTGCTGCTGATCGTCCCTGAAGGGCAGTAGGGATAGCGGAGTCTGTTGGTGTTGCTATAAACAAAAAGATTTAGTTTTAATGACGTCACAAATAAGAGGAAAAGGAAACCAACCTGCAGGTGCATTTCCTCAGCTTCGATTAGTCGCTGGTCGAGTGGGATGTTCTGCTGCATTGGATAGTCCAGCAGGACGAGATTTGCCTGACGCTGGGCATCCTGGGGGACATCACCTGGGTTAATAAGACCCGGCGACCTAACCACGCCCACCAACTGCTCCTGGCCTGTCCACTTGGCCGACGACTGCGCCCAGTTGCCAGCGAACCTTCCTTTGCACATTTGGTTCAGGCTGAACTCGGCGAGCTCTGGATAGTTCAGGCTGCTTGCCAATTCCTGCAAAAAGATGATAAATCATAAATAGTTTGGCTAATTAACTACACAACTAATCTACATTTGTTAGTTGACAAATTTATGTATGCTCAGATTAAAATCATAAATTCTTAATTAAAGTCCTTTTATTTTAAAGCTAACTTACCTGGAATATGTCCTCCATTTCGCCATCGTTGGCAAAGTGTTCCAAGCCGGAGTATAGCTCACTTGCACTGGCGCCGCCATCGTCCTCTGAAAAACGGAAAGAAATAACTAGGTTAAGCTTGGTGGGACCGACATTGCAGGATTCGTGATCATACCGCATTGCTGGTCTCCCTCCACTTGCTGTTGGAGCTGTTGTTTCTGGTGGACGGCAGCCGCTTTGGCGTGCGCAGCTGCTGCGGTGGCAGCTGCCAGCTGCTGCTGAAGCACGCTGTTGAGCGCCGCGTTGCTGCTGGCCGCCGCCTTGAGATTGCTGATCTGGGGCAGGACGTGAACCAGCTCCGAGTTTGTGAGTTCGGGCGGGAAGTCGCACAGCGTTTGCGAGGTAAGGATAAGGTTCTCCAGCCGAGTGGCCATTTTGCGCTGCTTCAGTGGAAGCGAGCTCGCGCCGCTCTTTGAGTTGTTATTGTTGTTGCTGCTGGTACCTTGCTCACTTTCGGGCTCATCTAAGAAGAACTCGTCATCGTCCCCTTCGTCCTCCTCATCCTCGCCTTCGCCGCCGCCTTCGTCCTCATCAATGTAATCGACCTCACCGTCGTTCTCTCCCTCAGCGTCCTCATCTTCGTAGTTCAGCTTATCGATCTCCCCGCTGTTGGTATCCTGCTCTTCGTCTTCGTCGTCCTCTTCCTCATCATCCTCCTCTTCCTCCACAATGATGCCGTCTTCGCGCAAAGCGGCAGCCAACTCAATGGGCTCGGGCGGCAAGGTGTTCTCCTCGCCATCTGCACCACCGTCGGCGTCTTCATCGCTGTCAAGCTCCGAGCTGATCTCATCCTGATCCTTGTTGGCCGCTGCAACAGCAGCGGCTGCTGCTGCCGCTGAGCAGAGCGTGGCCAGGTTCTTCATCTCAGACCGAGGTTCCGATCCAAGACGATCTGCTTCGGTTGGCGAGGACATTGTTGTCTCTTCCATTTCCGGCGGAGTCTCAGTTGGCGACTTGGGCTGGTCGCCAAAGAAGTTGTGCACTCCCACCATATGCCAGCCGTCCTTGAAGAAGTTTAGCTGGGGTGTGTTCAGGGCTATTTCCTTCCTTCCCCTTGAACCGTTCACCGCCGTCTCCAGCATGCCACGGAAATCCTCCATGGCTGTCTTGCGCTGCTGGGCAACATCCAAGGACTGTTGCTGCTGCTGCTGCTGGTCGACATAGTTGGCGCTCCCAGTGGGCGAGGCAAGGGGAGAGGCCGGGGAGATGGAGTAGGCCACGTTCGAGGACGAGGCGGCCGCTGCTGCTGCAGCTGCTGCATTATCCAAAGCAACTCGCTGGTGGTGCAGCTGCAAATGCTGCTGAAGATGCAGATGCGGATGCTGCAAGTGACGCGGCAAATAAGAAATTTCATTAATATAAATATTTATCTTAAAGAAATACTTTATATTACCAGGTTATTGTAGATGGACACCATCTGATTTTGCTGCAGATTCGGCAAACCTTGCTGGGGGTGTTGGGCTGCTGATGCTGCAGCTGCCGCCGCCGCTGCTGCAGCAGCTGCTGCTGCGGCTGCCTGCTTGCGGTTGCTCTTGTTGGTTGCCTTAACCTTCGGCCTGTCGCTAATGGCTGTGCTCTGGAGAACCTCCGAGGAGTGGGTAATAGCTCCGCTAGAGTTACGCTGCAGAAAAGGTAAATTAGTTTTTGAACATAAATATGAAATGCAAATTAATGACATACCGCTGGGATCTGAGCACTATTGTCCTGTGCAGTAGGTACGGGCTGATTGTTGTCGGCTCCTAATTGAAGTAGTCGAAGAATATCAATTAATAAAGATGTTCAGGTGACTAGCAGTTCAAATCGAAAGACTCACCTTTCAGGGCTAGCTCGTTGGGATCACTGCAGCTGCTCTCCGGCGGCAGTTCGCCCTTCATCAGCTCCGGCTTTAAGCCCCGTCGGCGCTGCAGCCGTGGATCTTCTCCAGCGCAAGCGAACTGAGATGCCTTGCCATCCTCGCCCAAGGGCTGTGAGCGCACCTGCTCGCCATGCTGCTGCAGCTGATCCAACGGGCAGTCGACATATTCCTCCACCTCGCCGGACTTCAGGAAGTGATTACGGTTCGGGAGCATGCCCTTCAGCTTGGCCTGGCCTTGCTGCATTTGCTGTTGCTGCATCACAGGCTGCTGGCAAACGGTGTGGAAAAGTACTGGTGGAGCTGGCGGCGCCTTCTGCGGGGGCTGCAGTGAGTTGATGTGCTCCATGTCCAAGTCGAAATGCTTGCACGGCACCATCTGGTGCTGACCGCCAGCAGGTGGCTGCTGTTGTTGTTGCTGCTGCTGCTGCTGCTCGAAGCCAGGCTGCAGGTGGAACAGTCGCGACTTGGCAATCAGCCCTTCCTGCTGCTGAGCACTGAGCGTGGTCAGATCGATTCCACCCACCTCCCCGTACTCCTCCATGCCAGCCTCACTGCCGGTAGTGCTGGCTCCCGCACCCATGCCCGCTGCCGCTGTAAGTTGCAGGTCGCCGGCATCTAAGAAATCACCGGTGCCAAGGGCCACAATGTTGGAGGTGCCGTTGCCGCCACTGCTGAACTGTTGCTGGTGGAAATGTTGCTGATTGGATGCGCGAGCCGCCTCCGACAGCTCGTGCAATCCTGGCGGAGCGTTGAGCTGCTGCAACTGATGCTGCAGCTGTTGCGAAAGGATCTTGTGATTCAGACGCGTTTGATTCGAACCAGCCGGAGCTGCAGTCGGTGCAGCTGCCTGGTTGACATTTGCAGCCGCAGCCATTTCCGTTGGCGAGATGTTTGGGTAGCGGAACAGCAGCTCGACCACACGAGTGTGTCCACCCTTAGAGGCCTCGATCAGCATGGTGCTGTTGTCCTTCAGTTTGTGAAACGGGTCGGCGTTGTTCTTCAGAAGCAGTTCCACCACCGACTGGTGGCCACCGGCACAGGCTAGCGACAGGGCAGTGTGATCGTTACTGGTGGTCTGTTTATTTACATTGGCGCCCTTCTGGATGAGGAACTTAACGGTGCACAGGTGTCCGGCGCGACAGGCCTTCATCAGCGGGGTTCGCCCGCCCTCGGACTCGTGCTCCAGCTCAGCTCCGTAGGACAGGAGCACACCGGCCGCGTCTGTGTGTCCGTTCTCGCAGGCGTGTGTCAATGCAGTATCGCCCGTCTGCGTCTCCGCATGGACATTGGCCATGTTCTTCAGCAGGAAGCGCACCAGATCGGTGTGGCCCTCCTGCGAGGCCTCCATGAGGGGCGTGGAGGCGCCCAGCTCCAGGTTGGCGCCCTCTTTGATAAGAAAGGCGGCCACCTCGCTGAAGCCACCGCAACAAGCCAACGTAAGGGCCGTCTCTTGGGTTTCCTCGGTTGTGGCATTGATGTTGGCACCCTTGCTCAGCAGCAGGGCCACCATCTCCTCGTGTCCCTCGCGAGCGGCCTCCATGAGCGGGGTGTAGCCCTCGTCGTTCACCTCCTCGATGTTAGCACCGCGCTCGATCAAAAGGGTAGCTAACTCTACGTGGCCACCGCAGGCGGCCAGCGTTAGAGGTGACTCAAATGAATCCGTGGGCATGTTCACTTGGGCACCGGAGTCCAGCAATAAGCGCGCCACCTCCACATGGCCATCCATTGAAGCCTCCATCAGAGCCGTATGCATTTCGTCGGTCTTGTGCTCCTGATCGGCACCGGCCTGCAGCAGAAATCGCACCATGTCCAGGTGACCCTTGTAGCAGGCCAGTGTAAGGGCACTCTCCTTGAACTCATTCGAGTGGGTGTTAATGCCGGCTCCATGCTCGAGTAATACCTAAACGGTGACAAGGACAAACGATTAGCAATTGGCAAGGAAATTACAAAGTTGATAACCAAAATCGATTCTAATAAATGCATCAGATAAGATCAAACTAAATCACAGAGCTGGCATCCTGCCCGGACCCATCAGTAACTCGATTCAGGTCACAGGTGTGCCAACACTCTCAAATCTCGGATTATAATCATATGCAATGAGTACAGTGAAAGAAAAACCGAAAAACTACGTTAGAAGACTATTTTATTGGTCATTTTTAACTGAAAACTAGATTGTTCGATGATTAATTGGTCTTTTGAGACCCTTCTTTGAACGGAATCCACTTACCTTAGCTACTTCCACATGTCCGGCGGAGGCTGCCTCCATCAGGGGCGTGTGTCCGTTTTCGTTCTGCTCCTCCACGTTGGCGCCGTGCTTTAAGAGCACCTTGACCACATCCACCTGACCACCGGCGCACGCAAACATTAGCGGGGTGTTGCCAGTGGCGCAGTGCGCGTTCACATCGGCATTGTGGCTGAGCAGTAGATTGACGATGTCCAGGTGACCCGCGGACGCGGCCTCCATCAGCGGCGTCGAGTCTTTTTGGCCCTTGTCCTCCACCTGGGCGGCAGACATGGCTAGAAGGACCTGCAGGGTATTAACAAAGATAAAGTTTCGGATCAGTTGCAGGTTAAAACATTAACAATTCGCTGAAGTAATTCCTTGTTCCTTTTCTGCTCCTTGAGGATGTTTGCCTTATAAATCGGGCGTTTATCGATAAGCCAGTTGTGAATGCAAACGTGCACAAACGGTGTTGCCACACCGGCAAAATGACGTGTTAAAATTACACGTACAATCAAATAAAGAAGTGATTTGTATCGCTAACTGAATAAAATTACGCTTGCTATACAAAAAACAAACTTTATATCGCTTTCCTAGACTGACACAAAAAAAATGTGTTCCTATAGAGTGGCATTTTATTTATATACTTATTTTTTAGCAATTATTATTAAAAGGTAAAACAAATAAATGAGCCATACAAATTATTTTTTGCAATAGTTCCCATAGGATAGGATGGAATATATGTATATGAAAACAATTTTGGAATATACCCTATTTTAGTTTTCCCAAATGGGAGTTAAACATACCTGAGCCAGTTCGTAGTAGCCGGCAGAGCAAGCCATTGAAAGCAGGGATTCGCCATCGTCCGTGGAGGCAGCGGCGTCGTTTAGGTTGACGTTGCCCTTGCAGAGCAGCCGTTTCACCGTATTGACATCGTTATCCGTGCAGGCGGCCACGAGGGATCTGGAGAAGCCACTGCTGCAGGGGAAAATAACATTTCCACTTAACAAACGCTCGGTTACCAAAAAAGATTGATGTAACTTACTTCTTGTCTCGCGGACTGTTGGCACAGCGCATCTTGGTGAGCGCCTGCTTGGTCTCGTCGATGGCATGAGTGGCGTGGCGCAGGACGGGTGGCTTCTCATTGGCCGCAGCCTCGAGCAGGGCAGTGAGGTTGCTGGAACGCTTGTTGTTGGCGTCCAGCAGGAAGGAACTCACTTCGGGCGCGTCCTCTTCCTCGTCCTCATCGTCGATCTCCTCGTCATCGGCATCGTTGTCTTGCATCACATCTTCGTGGTAACAAGAAAATCCGGATTTACAAAAATATTTTAAAACAAAAAGCTTCTGAAACTCACCGATCTCCTCCTCATCCTCTTCGTCGTCGCCTTCGGACTCATCCGAATCCTCGGACTCCTCCTCCGTTTCGTCCTCATCCTCGCGCACTTCGCCCTCATGCGGGCAGCTATCGGGATCCGATTCTGGAATATCATCCTGTAAGAGAAAAAAATACATTTCCTTAAGTATTGGCACTGTCAAATTAAATTGTTTTCTACTAACGAACTGAAATCTTATACTGGGGGTGAGTAGTGAGAAGTTGCCTACAAATATTAAGCTGGAAATTACGAATTAGATAAGCTATATAAAAAGTTGTTGATCAGTAGAGCACATTCTTGTTGTCTAAGGCCAGCAACAAAGTGGATTGGTTTTATATGGTTTTGTTTTTTAAGTGTGCGAAGATGAAGCGGAGTAGTTGGGCAAAAAACCGATCAATTGTTTGGCGAATATTAATAGTTTAGTAGAACTTGTGGATTTGAAGCTTTAAATACTTCCGTTTGCCTTCGGTTAATTTTTTTTTTTTTTTTTTTTTTTTTTTGTTGTTTTTGTAGTTTTTTAAAGGAGCGGGTTGGGGAGCTGGGTTTTATAACGCGAAACTGAAACTTACCAGGAGATCTGGCCTTAAACACAAGAATGCCAATAGGATCTACAAATAAAGAGAAACGAAAGAAACGTGTGCATAAATAATAAAAATTAAATCAAGCAGAGAGAATAGAAATTCGAGATTTCAGGGATAAGTTGAACTATACAAAGGGGGTCTACGGCCAATTTACATGGACGAAGGATTGCAGCAGAAAATCCACGCTGGTTCGGAATCTTCGTATCATCGCTTCAGTAAAGTTTTTAAAAAGCGTGCTCATATTAAAAGGCAAGTAGACCATAACTGCCTTGTTCTTTTCGGCTTGCCAGGCTCGTTTAAATTCGTTTTAACCAAAATTTAATAGTCTATTTTATATTTGGGAAAATTTAACATTCAGGAGTTATAAATGTGACAGCAACTGCATGGCAAACCAGAAAAGAAATTTTGAAAACAACAAAATCAGTGACTTTGAGGCAGCGTTGCCAATGCGACCAAAAAGCACTGGCAGGTTGGCCAAAAATATAATTATCGATAACAAAGGATGAGGAGAAAAGGGAAGAGGGAGAGGAGAGACCGAAAACTAACAAGAAAAAACAAACTATATGTTTTTTCCTACTAACACCAGTTTTCTGAAAACATTTCCTCATTTCTAAGTTGCAACTAATTATTGAGCATGATTTACCCTTATAAATAGTAATTACTTTTGAAATATAAAGAACACTATGACTCAGAGTGCACTACATCGATTAAAATACTGCACACGCACACACTCTCACTGCCATGGTTTGCGTGACGTGTGTGTGAGTGTTTACGCCCACGCCTCAAATTATTGAACCTAAAAAGAAATGGCAAAAAAAAAATCGCCAAAATACATTTTCAACACGAGGCCAAGTGATATCTGCTTAACCTTTGATGAATGAACAAAACGGAACATAAAAGAACATAACCAAGCAAAGAAGCAGAAGAACGGCAGCAGAAGGAGAAGCAAAGAAGAGAACCTACAACAAATATTCATCATGAACGAGTTCAACAGCAGCCGTTCGTTTGTTCTCGTTGCTGCGCATAGGTATGCGTGTGTGAGCGTGATGGGTAAATTTGTGAAAAAGAAAATCAGCCGTAAAATGTCTGCACGCTACCGCAAAAAAATAATCAGCAAATTGTCTTTTCTGACCAAAAAAAAAAGTACGCCAAAGTTCATTACACTCTAAGCGTTATTATTATTATGTCTCTTATTTATTATTGTTATTTTATGTTTCGCTGCAGCAACAACAAAACATCAGCTAAAAAGAAGCAGCAGCAGCATCGGCGGCGTTGCCAGATCGGCGCTTGACATCTTTGTCACGCTGCCCAAAAGAGAATTCGCGAAAGCAGCCAAAAAATATATGTACGTGCTTACACATGCGAGGAAATTAAACTACTAATTTGCGTGGGAGAGGCGGGGTCAATTACAAGATGTAACCGATACAATGACCTTTGATTGATTAGCTGCAGCCTACATTTTTTGTAACTCGCATTTTCTAGTATGCTAGACAAAGAAATAGGTGTTTTTACGCACACAAACTCACAAAAATGGGCAAGCAAGCATTCAAACAGCTGATAAATCATTCACTCACACTACCAAGAGAGAAGGGCTAGCACACACACACTGGCGGATAAAGAGAGTTGAGGAAAATATGGCTGCAAAAACAACAATCGCGATTATGTATGTATGTATGTAGCACAATAATGTGCGATCATTTCGTTTCGAGGTATTTCCCCACGTAAATACATAAATTGGCACCTGAGATAATGGAAATCTGCGAAGCGACAAGCGCATTTTTATTAGGAAATACCAACACTTGCACTCACACACATAAAAAACGTCGTTATTTTTTGAGGTGTCCGGAAAGAAAAAACATGGCATTTTAAGGATTTAACATATAAATGGTTGGCCCTTGCCCATTGGAAAAACCTTAGAGGTACACTATAACTATAACCGACTAATTCATTGTTGGATACTTATGTTGTTGAAAGAATATTTATATAGGGACATGCAAATCGGGAAACATATCCACATGACTGAATTAAAAAAATAATTACAAACAGGATGATTACAGGGACATTGGCCCACTTACCTCTGAGACTGACTCTTCCTCCGATTCGGACAGGTCTGTGGTGACGGGCTGGGGGTAGAGCTCGGTATCGGTGTCTGTGTCTTGCGTTATCATGTTCTGCAGCGCCGACGAAAAGACATTCAATATACCCGCCGACGGGGACAGCGAAGAGGCGGTTGAGGAGGTTGATGTGGCGGAACGATTCGATGCCGAAGCAGCGGCAGCCGCATCCTTCAGCTTTTGCTTAAACACGGCGGCTTTGGCCACATCCACGGCGTGGTTGACGGTCATTCGGGGTCCTGCTGCTCCGCCCCCCACTCCTAATGCTAAACCACCTGCTCCAGCCGGTCCACCGGTAGCAGCGCCAGCGTTGCTATCGGCGGCAGCGGCGGCGGCGCCCATCAGCAGAGTGGTTGCGGCGAATTTCAAATGCGCCGAATCCTTGCTGGTCAAGTTGGGCGTATTCCCCTGTCGCTTCAAGGCGGCCACTGCTGCTCGGGTCTTCTTCGAGGACGAGGAGCCGGAGGAGCTACTACTGGGGGCAGGAGCTGGAGCTGGAGCAGTTGCTGTTGCATTAGCAGGAGCGTTTGCAGGCAGTGCTGGGCTGGGCGCTGAGGCCACGGCGGCCCGAAACTTGGCAGCACTTCCTGCTCCAGTGGTAGAGGTGTTGCTGGTGGTCACTGAAGCGGGATTGGCTATGACCGTGGTACCGCTGCCGCTACCACTGTTCGTTGTTGCTGTTGTTGTGCTGCTGCTGCCGCTGTTTGTGGCCGAGGGCGGTGTGGGCGTGGCCGAGGTCTGACTGCTACTGGTTCCAGACATCTTGGCAGTGTTATTGTTGGTATTGGTGTTGTTAACTTTCAATCGGCTGGCTGATGAGGAGGAGGAGGCGGTTGTATTGGGTAATGCGCCTGATGACTCCGTCGCTGTCAGTGGCTCATTCTTGGCCGACAGGATTTTCCGGCCGCTGTTTTTTAGACTATTACTAGCCAACAAAGCGGCGGCTATCGAATGTCTGGCGGCAGCAATACGCGGTAAATTATGATTGAACTGTCTGTTGGGCTTTTGATTGGTGTTATTATTATTATTGGAGCCTGTGTTACTTTTGCTGGTTGCTTTCGGTTGGTTGGTTGTGGTTTGTTGGTTAAAATACGCCGTAGAGCGCACATTCAAGTCATCGCATTCATGGTTTTTCGCATCATTATTCATTTTACTCTCTCGCTGGAGGTTTTGTTATTAGAGGTTTTTCTTCTTGATTTACTTTTAATTCGCGCGTCCTTTTTGAGATTAAGAGAAGGAATTTTACTAAAATTCTATATATATATTTTTTGTTTTCTTTTTTTACATAGTGAGTAAACAAACATTACTACCAAGACCAAATTTCACTTCAAGTGAATTTGACAATTTTGTTGATGTGTTTTTCAAAGTAGAGGGTGATGGTACCATACGAAAACACATCAACAAAAAGAGGTTCTTCGGTTATATTGATTTTAGGATATTGTTAGGGAATTGGTTGATATATATATGCGATGGTCAAAGAAACTAACACACACATTCACACATGCAGGCACCTCGCACACACACACAGGAGCCAGCGGGGTGGCAACGCTGCGCATTCTTTCACTCTGCCTTTGCACACTCGTTCGTACATCGTTCGTTCGCATTTAATTCTCCCATCCCATTCCATTTCCCCTGTCCACTGATTCACATTTTACACCGAAATTGTTCAGGTGTGATACAAAAAAACACTAAATCACTTAATCTTTCCGTTTTATTTCGCTAATTTCTTTTTATTTGCGAGTACAAGGCAATCGATGCGCAATTAGGACTTGGGCAACGTGCTTCACTATTTATATAATCGCCGAAGGCAGACGCCGACAAAAATGCCAATCGAAGGACGTACTTTGCCCGTTTAATAATTTTTGCGCATATGCAATTGCAGTACTTTATTTATAAAACTTTTCGCAGCAGTTTCGACTTCGCCCGAACGAACGAAGAAAAAATCACTTTTCGACTTTGGCGTATGCGTTTCTCACTTGGTCGATAGCCTCGTCTCGCTTGCGCACACGAGATGCCCCGACGCGGCCAGACGGGCCGCTGCTGCGGTCCCACTCGCACGCGCAGACGAAGGCAGAAAATAGTAGAGCGACTGAGGGAAAATTTTTTGCCTCTATTCCGATGCCGTTTTTCGACAATTACTTGGTGTTTGCAGAACGGAAAACTATCACAATGCGTGTCCCTTACGGTCGCCAACAATTTGGCGATATTTGCGCGTATTACCGTTTTAAATTTCTAGCAAATTAATCAATTTTTCAGCAGTGTTAAATTCTCTGTCTATCGTCAGAGTGGATCGCCATATTATTCCCGGATATTGAATTGAACCAGAAAAGCGAACCGGTTCTCGGTCGGGGCTGCCATCTGACGGTGCGATTCTCCCTGTAATTATATATCGAGAGCGGACGATAGCAGTGAAGTCTGTTAGATGTGACCATTCTGTTGATTGAGGCATGGCTAATTTTGAAAACCTTATACTGGCGACAATGATTATATTTTGGTTTTGCATGTGCTGATCCGAAAATCGTTAGTATCGCGCAAAAAAATATATAGATTCCATAATTACTGTAAAAAACAAGCATTGCACTGCTTTTCGCACTGCTTATATGTGAAAATATCGATAGTATCGAATAAACGCAGTTCTTTGTTCCGTCTCTAATTTTTATCACAAACTAACAACACTACGTGTCATTCGCCGGATTTCCAGGGATTTTTATTAGCCGAAGCTGATTTAGCGACCTAACGATGCACACGGTGCTAACACGAGGAAACGCCACGGTGGCGTACACCCTAAGCGTCCTAGCTTGCCTCACTTTCAGCTGCTTTCTGTCTACCGTTTTCCTGGACTACTCAACCGAGGCGAACATCAATACCGTCCGAGTGCTGGTGAAGAATGTGCCGGACTACGGAGCCTCTCGGGAGAAACACGACCTGGGCTACGTGACCTTTGACCTACAGACGAACCTCACCGGCATCTTTAACTGGAATGTGAAGCAGCTGTTCCTCTACCTGACCGCCGAGTACCAGACTCCGGCCAACCAGCTCAACCAGGTGGTCCTCTGGGATAAGATCATTCTGCGCGGCGAGAACGCTGTGCTGGACTTTAAGAATCTGAACACCAAGTACTACTTTTGGGACGATGGCAACGGACTGAAGGACAACAGGAACGTGTCACTCTACCTCTCGTGGAACATCATTCCCAACGCCGGACTTCTGCCTTCCGTTGAGGCCACCGGAAAGCATGTCTTCAAGTTCCCGGCCGACTACGCCACCTCGTCCATTTAGAGCTAGGGCTTATGATAATTTGTAGCTGGTTCAGCTTGTAGTGTGTATTTAATAAAACCCAAAATAAAATCTCTGTAAAGATTTCGGACTGAATCCGGTTGAGTTCCCTGCATTCAGAAGGATGCGGGAAAAACTCTTAACAAATTTGTATGTTTCTATGTTATTTCTTACGTTTGAATGGAGTTGATTAAAAACGTAATACCCTGATGACAAAAGATTGTGTCTCAACAATGAAAACCATAATATAAGCTCATTTTATTTTAAAAAAAATGCCTTAATAGTATAGTTTAAATGAACTTCTGCTTAAAAATGAGCAAGAATGCATTAATGTTTTCATATTTCGATAGCGTTGGAATTTTAAAAGTCATCCAGTAATGCCCTTAAGAGCAGATCCGCTTAGAGTACGGTTCTTCGTTTCAAAACGCGGCTTGTCGGTAGAGGAAACAACAGTCTGGGAAGCTTGAGTTGGGATGGAACTCGGTTTTATAATTGCTCTTTTTAAAACTTTATTCACCAGATCCGACGAAGATCCAACTACTAAAACGGCCACAAGGGCAGCAAAGAGGAGCTGTAGGCGTTTAAAATAAAGTTAAATTTACGGATCACGGATATAGTTTGGTAAGGTATGAACAACACACCATTTTTGCAGAAATCATGCTGACAATCGCTGAAGAAATCAAAACAATACTAAAGAAACTAAAGAAAGTTGGGTGCCATAGTTCACTAACTTAAAAGTAACCTCTGTTGGCTAAAACCGGTCGTTCGTTTGAAAAGGGCTTAATCTGCACGCTTACTTCCGAAGTTCAATTTGGTTCAGACTAATTGGTGAAGGCATGTTAGAACCTGTTTAATCAATTAGCAAGTTCCTTAATAACACTTTTTGATAATTATTGTTTCTTAAATAAATATACATACTTGGTTAACACTTAATAAAAAGTTTTTTTTTAGTTAAAAAATGGATTGTTTTATGGGAAAATATAGGAGTCAAAATCTTGATAATTGACAAAAATGTTTACTTAACAAATAGTTACTGAAGAAAGGTTTTATATTTTCAAATCGTAACTTGTCGTTTTTCTGAAAACAGGATGGTCACTGATAAATCACTTCTTAAGGATAGATTTTGTCCTGTGAACGGAGCCTTTGCTATCGTACTGGCATTATCGATTAATCGATTGACGGTCCAGTGATAGACAGTGAATAGCAACTCTGACCCATCAATCTTCTTCTTCTTCTGCGTTTGTGTTTGTCAAAACAAAATTAAAAACTAAAACCTCGCTCAAATTGTCCCCCGTTCGTAAAAACCTTTGAAATTCGCGTTATTTATTTGTCCAAATGTAAGCGACGGTCCGCCGCGCATCATTGTACATGAGCCCATGTGTGCCATCACCGTTTGAATGCCACCAATTCGCTGGGAAGAGTTGCGCGTCTGAGCGAAAAAAACTGGACATGTTTTGCTCAATACACTTGTGACTGCCGTAATCTCAATTAAAAACGCTGCAATGTTGCAGTACAAAAGTGCCGCCAGTGCGGTGAACAATGCGCCCGCAGCCACGACCTCGGCGGCTGGTGGTTCGGCTAAAACGGCGCCACCAAATGCAGCAAGTGCCGTCTCCACCACAACCGTTGAGGTCGCCGCCCCTCAGCAACAAGCGCAGCCCCAGAGTGCACCTTCTTTGCAGCAGATCATTAACATCCACCAGATGCCACCGCAGTTCGCCGGCGGAGCGGTGGCCGGTGGAGCTCAGGCGGCCGGAATGCCACAGAACATGTTCCAGATCGTCCAGCCAATGCCAATGCAAACGGTCAATATTGATGGCCAGGAGGCCATCTTCATACCCAACCTAAACGCCCAGTTGGCCACCGCGCAGGCGGTCAACATAAACGGGCAGCAGGCGTTCATCACGCCCAACGGCCAGATCCTAAGAGCTCCCCAGGTGTCAGCCAATCCTGCGGCCTCCAATTGCATTCAGCTGCAGCATCTAAACAATCTGGGACAGGAGCCAACACAGCTTATCAGCATACCCGGCACGAACATCCAAATACCTGTTACCAATCTCATCCAGCAACAACAGCAGCAGCAGGTGCAACAAGTGCATCAGGGAGCCGTGCAGCAGCAGGCGCAGGCAGCGAATGCTGCGAATGGTGGCACTGCGGCGGCAGCAGCAACCGGTGGAGCTGCGGGGCAACTGCCTGGCAGCATCACCATCCCCGGCACGAACCTGCAAATTCCCACATCGGTGGCGGCAGCCAATGGCTTGCTGGGCAACCTAACCAACCTGCTGGGTGGCGGGCAATCGATTAAGCTCGAGAATGGCCAACTGCAGTTGCGTCCCCAACTAGTGCAGTTCCCTGCACAGGCAGTGCCCCAGCAGCAGCAGCAAACGGTGGCCGTGCAAATCCCGGTTCAAACGACCGCCGGACAAACCATTTATCAGACGGTCCATGTGCCTGTCCAGGCAGCTGCGACGGCAGGCGGTGGACTGCAGAATCTGATGCAGGCGCAGCCCCTGCAAATGCCTGCCGCCTCACAAATGCAGATCATCCCGCAGTTTTCGCAGATCGCCCAGATTGTGACGCCCAACGGGCAAATCCAGCAGGTCCAACTGGCCATGCCGTATCCCCAGCTGCCGCCGAACGCCAACATCATACATATCCAGAACCCTCACCAGCAACAGCAACAAGTACAGCAAACCCATCAGCAACAGCAGCAGGTTCAGCAGCAGCAACAGCAAGCGCAGCAGCAGGCACAGCAGCAGCAGCAACAACAGCAGCAGGTTCAGGCTCAACACCAGCAACTCCTTCAAGCGATCAGTGAGGCCTCGGCGGGGGACAATTGCCTCCCAACCAGCCCATCACCATCACGAATGCCCAGGGCCAACAGTTGACCGTGATTCCCGCACAGCTCCGACAAAATGCGCCACAAGCTCCAACGCCCGCTCCAACTGCAGTGCCTGCGCCCATGCAGTTGCCCAATCTGCAGGCGTTGCCCATACAGAACATCCCAAATTTGGGCCAAGTGCAAATTATCCACGCCAATCAGTTGCCGCCAAATTTGCCGGCCAACTTTCAGCAGGTGCTCACCCAACTGCCGATGTCGCAGGCGCAGGTACAGCAGCCAACCCATGTGCAGGTGATGCCCAAGCAGGAGCCGCAGAGTCCCACGCAAATGATAACCAGCATCAAGCAGGAGCCGCCGGACTCCTTTGGACCCATCACCGCAGCCGTCAATCCACCGACACCCGCACCCACGCCAACCACATCGCTGCCGCAACAGCAGCAGATCAAGTTCTTGCACACGGAGGGCAACTCTCTGTCCAGCCTGAGCATACCGGCTTCCATTCAGATCACGGCGCTGCCACAGCCACCAGCGAATCCACCGAACACCACGACAGCTCCGTCGTCTCAACCGATTCCCGTATCGCTGCCGGCGGCGAGAAGCAAAGCCAACCTGGTGAGCAGCTCCAGTGCACAGATAACGATCGCCCCGACCGGCGGTCAAGTAGGAGCGGTCACCACACAGGCGAGGGAGCGGCTGCCAGCATAAGGAGTACGAATAGTGGCAGGACGACGATAACAACGCCGGCCCAGAGCAATCAGAGTATGAGCATCAGCGTGGCGAGCGGCGGTGGTGGTGGCGCATCGGGTGGCGGCGGTGGAGCGGCAGCTGGAGAACCGAAGCCGCGCTTGAAGCGAGTGGCCTGCACGTGTCCAAACTGCACCGACGGCGAGAAGCACTCGGACAAGAAGCGCCAGCACATCTGTCACATCCCCGGCTGCCAGAAGGTGTACGGCAAGACATCCCACCTGCGGGCCCATCTGCGCTGGCACACCGGGGAGCGGCCGTTCGTCTGCTCCTGGGTGTTCTGCGGCAAGCGGTTCACCCGCTCCGACGAGCTGCAGCGCCACCGGCGGACGCACACGGGCGAGAAGCGGTTCCAGTGTCGCGAGTGCAACAAGAAGTTCATGCGCAGCGACCACCTGTCCAAGCACATCAAGACGCACTTTAAGAGCCGCTCGGGCGTCGAGCTCATCGAGCTGAACATCAAGCAGGAGGGCGGCGTCAAGAGTGGGAATGCGCCGAAGAGCATCAGCACGATGAGTGGCATTGTGACGATAGAGATTCCGGGCGGCAGGACGACGACGGCGGGCAGTGGTGCGTCCAGTGTGGCGGCAACGGTTGCGGGCTCAACTGTGACGCCTGGCGGCGCCACAATTGTTCAGCTGCCGAATGTGGACGCCACTGGCGGCGCGGACAGCTTCGGCGAGGACGAGGATGACGAAGAGGATGAGGAGCTGACCGAAGAGGACGACGAGGAGGAAATGGCCGAGGACGAGCTGGACGATTGCGAGGATGAGGAAGAGGACGAGGAGCCGGAATTTGACAGCAGCGATGAGGCAAAGATGACAATCGCTGTCAGCGAGCCGGGCGACAACTCGTCCAACTAGCATTCGGAGTCGCTGTTCATGGAACAGTTCTTGTTTGACCACTTCCCGTAGCACCCACCGATCCCTGCCACGCCCCGTGGGACCATGTACCATGTAAACTAGGCATAACTGTAAATTGTACATAGCGTAATTATGTAAAAGCGAGCATTTCAAATGTTTCACTCCGTGTACAGTTCCGGCTGCGGAATATCGTAGATTAGTGTAAATAATTTCAATCGAGCCTCGTATTGTAGTTAAGATTTTATTATTAATTTTAAACGATTTTAAGGGACTCATGTTTTTTACCCAATTTTTTACACACCCTTCAATAGGCACATAAAAACTAAACAAACTAAATAAATTCAAATTTTTCAATCTTGATTAAAGCGCCATTTCTTATTACTCCTGGGTGGACGAGACTGGTACTTGGGTGCCAAAGACATCGTACTCCGACTCCGTGTTGGGCATGCGTTCGGTGTTCTGCGTGCTCTGCGTACCAAGTTCCGGCCCTAAGGACATGCTTTCGGAATTGATTTCACCCAAACCTTCCATCCAGGTTTCGTTTAACTGCGTGTCTGGGCATTCCTCGACCTGTGTTTTAATAGTTTGGTGGTGCGGCTGTTCATCCTCAACACCAATAGTTTGGTGGTGCGGCTGTTCATCCTCAACACCGATAGTTTGGTGGTGCGGCTGTTCATCCTCAACACCAATCCCGGCCAAATCATCTATGTCACCCCATTCAAGTTCATCCCTGTCGGGTTGACCTGTAGCATCGCCCTCCGGAGGCGCAGTGCCATAGAAATCTGGATCGGTTAGTGATGTTGGACTGGGTACATCGTTTGCGTTCAATACAGCACTATGTTCAGGTTCTTGGTCCTCTGTTTCGGGAATTGTGTATGTAGGAATTACTCCCCGCTTCTGGCTCCATCGATCCAGCCTTGCGTTGTTGTCCTTTTTAGTCTGTGCGCTAGCCAAATCCAGGTAGTTCTCCATTTCCTTATCCGAGTACGGTGTAACCATCTTTCGGCTCACTGCCTTTATGAGCATGGCGTTGACAAAGCGTTCGGATCGGTTCGTTAATCGGTTCTTTCTATCAAAACGCTTCTTAGCGTCATATAGACAATTATTGACCGTCATTTTTACTTTGACTTTAGTGCGTTGGCAAAGTTCCCGCACCTCGTCCTCTGTGTACGTCCTTGCCAAATCTTCTTCAGTTATGCTCTAAGATAACAGGGACGTCTATAAAGCTTCAACCATTAAATTATTTCGGCTTTTGCTTACCGTTTTATTGTACATCCACAAAGTGAGTTCCTTGTTTTCTTCTTCGCACCCCTCCATAACTTGTTGTTTTTCTTCGGCGAAATATCGCTTCAGATAGTCTGACATCTTTCTGACCGGCATATTACGAGACAAATCAGTACATCAATTTATAACACAAATCCAATCGTAGAATAACTAAAAACAAAACAAAAAAAATTGGCGGTCAAGCCAAAGATGATAACTTTCTATTGGTACGAAGTTATCGAAGGCGCAGGTGGTGATAGTTTTAATAGCTAAAGTCCTTGATAGCTAGACAAGTTGTATTCTGCCCTAAAATTAATCTTAGTAAATTTAGGCGTGAATGAAAATTCATTGAACACTTGTCGTGTACCTATTAGCGTATAATGTTTCTCCAACTCATTTTTTATTATTTGGCTATTTTTTGAACCGATGTCGACAACCCCAAATACGTAAATCGCGATTAACCGATAGGCAGCGAGTGGCCAGTCCCGCGTAACCGAACAAGCGCCCAAAAGAGAAATGGAAAAGAAGGAAAGCGAGGAAAGAGAGTTTACACATAGCAGCAGAAGCAAAAACCACAAATAAATCGCCAAGCCAGAGTCCGACAACACATCAAATATATCGTGATTAAAGACGAGTTGACACAGTAAATAGATAAAACCGAAAAAAGTGGCTAGCAAAGCAAACAGTACGAAATCTCTACGTGTTTTTATTTCAACCCTGCATATCTGTGACCGTCTGTGTGCGAGTGTGTGTCTGTGGGAGTGAGTGTTGTGTGCTTGTTTTGTTTTGACAAAAACTCCATTTAGTTCTATGCAAACACAAACGTTACTTAGCAGTTTATTTCAAAATTAGGCCAGACTTGAGTTAGCCAAACAAGCACGCATTTTGGCCAAACTTTGCCGTGATATCGTGCGCTGATAAAACCGAGTGGCAACTCCGAGTGGCCACCATGTATACAAAAACAAGAAACGACAATGAAAACGAGTCGCGCGATAAATAAATGGAAAGCGGAGGCGCAGCAGAAGAGCGACCCAAAACGAGTAGGGAAATAGCAGAATCGTCGCTTCTGTTTCGATAGACAGAAAAAAGCACAAAAAAAAACAAAATAAAAAAGAACTAAAAGCGTTAGCAAAATTCCTAGTGTAACGAACAGAGCAAAGACATTGCTGAACTTGAGGTTGTGGCTTACCAATTCTTTCAAAATTATTGAGTTATTTAGGAGCGAAAGGCAAAAAGTGCGCTTGAAACGAGGAGAGGCGGCAAGTAAATTCGAATCCTAATCCGAGAAAAGTGACTTCCTACAAAAAGTGAACTGATCCAGGTAATCCCGGGTTTCAGGTATCCCAGCTCCAATTTTCAATATGCGACTCTTCTTCTTGTTTTGCCCGCCCACGCCATTCTGTCTTCTAACTGTTCAGTGTGTCTGTGTGTGCCTGCGTCGTTATGTGTGTGTGTGCGCTTGCACTTTGCGCGCGCTTGTAAAACTCCTTTTCGTTTGCATTTAATTATGATTTAAACTTTACAATCCACAGCTGTGCGAAAAATAAAAGCAGAACCCCGAAAAGTTAAATTATTTTTCTTTGTACAAACTTATTTTTGAGTTCAACTTGTCCGATTTAATTGTGCCCCAGGGCCCTAAACAAAACTCGAACCCTAATTGCTAACTTTTTTGGATGACAGCTATAGAACATAACAATCTGAAGCATTCTAGTTTAAAACAAGGAGATACCAACACTTGTTATAACAGTCAAACCAAAATCTAGCCAATACTGTTTTTCCTTAAAATACTGCTTTCATTTTTCAAGTAGCTTTTCCAATGATATGAAACCCGAACCAAAACCAAATCCTCGAAACCCCCCTTTGTTGACTAATACAAAATAATAATTGAAACCACTTTATTAATATTTTGCAGAGACGCTTATCATCAGGCGGTTATTATGAAAGGTTATAATTTGATTCCTATACTCCTAATAAATTTAAGCTATAACTCAAAACATTAATTTTTGTTGCTAAGTGAGGTTTTGTCTCCTAACATGAGCCCTAACTTCCGTAAAACAAAACCAGATTTTAACGTACCATATCTGCAATCTGAAACGACTAATATTATTTACTTTGATGTATCCTGAACAGGCAATCACTATAAAATGTCTCGTAACAAAGACAAATACGACAGCGCCAATCGCAGGCAGCAGATCTTTTTGTCGCAGGAGGATATAGCCGCTGGCAAGAAGACGAATTGGAGTGGTCTTGAGATAACGGGTGAGTAATACTTTAAATTGCTAAGTTAACTTAATTAATTTATCCCCTTATTTTGGATCAGGTTGCGTCCGCAATATTAGTCCGTCGTTGTGGGAGTTTGAACATCTGACCGCCCTCTACTTAAACGACAACCAACTGTTGCGATTGCCCGGAGACGTCGGCATACTGACCAGTCTAAGGACCCTCGACCTGTCCGGCAACAAGCTAAGGAGTTTGCCCGCGGAGCTCGGTGAGCTCATCCAGCTGCGGTGAGTGCTGGTTGTGGGGACAGGCTTATATAAATGCTTGTAAAAGTGCAAAGAAATTGTTTATTTTTTAGTGCTTGTCAGTGCAATTTTAGCCAAAGTCATATTCAAGATAATGAAAAGATGATTTAAGTTATTTACTCTTTTAACTTATTTTAAATAAAAATAGATTTGTATATTAAGTTAAAATAATATAATAATAGTTAAAAACTAATAGGAATAAGACCGCTATCTAGACATAGGCCCTAATGATCAGTGATCCGGGCTTTTCACTTACCAACTCCATCGACTCTGCTCCTTTTAGGGAACTGCTGCTGAACAACAACTTTCTGCGCGTGCTGCCTTACGAGATCGGCAAGCTGTTCCACCTCATCATACTCGGCCTCATGGGCAATCCGCTGCAAAAGGAGTTCATGAACATCTACAACGAGCCAAATGGCACGCAGAAACTGCTCACCTACATGCTGGACAACTTGTCATGTGAGTCCCCCCCTATATCACAATATCTCTATATCCATGTATGTGTGTGTGTGTGCGCGCCAGGTGCGTGAGCAGCTCCTTCCCAGGTGTGCGTCTGCCTGCCGTCTGTGTGTGCTTGTGTGGGGGTAAAAAAGGAAAGCACGCGAAAAAGGCTCCCGAAAAGAGAAAGTTTTTGGTAGATCTGCGGGATCAAGGGTATTTTAACTATGTGATGGGACTGGGACCTTGTTTAAAAAGTTAAATGGATAATATTAGAAATTCGGTACAGATTTCGACTTTAAATATATGTACATTAAATAAACTCCAAAAGATCATTGCTATTTAATGTTATGTTACCTTTTGGGTGGAACAAATTATAAACGATGTTTCTTATCCAGATAGTTTTTTATTGAGAGTTGTTTTCTAAAAAACCAATTCTATCCTTATTAAATATGAACTGGGGGTTAATACGGGATAATAATTATCCACCAAAAGTTGAGGAGTTTAAAGTAGGTAAGGTTTTTTTTCTTACGTTCAGGATAGGCCGCAAAAACCTGTTGTCGCCGCCATAATTAAAGTTCAAACTCACGGCTGCTCATTAATGCCAAAAACATAATGCCCGGGCATCAATTAAAAATATATAATTGAATGCAACAATTACAACAATTGGCGGAGTTGGCCAGAAGAACTGCACGACCTCGACATGCAAAAGCAAAAGCCAAAGCTAAAACAAAAACAAAAGCGAAAAAGCTGCTCTCCGGTGGACATTTGCTGGATAGAGAGAGAGAGAGAGAGAGAAAGAGAGAGCCAAGTTGAGCCGGCAGAGAGTTTTGTGTAAGCCAAGTGGAACGTAAGAGAGGCATAGAGGTATTAACGGCTTTTACTGTTAGCCGGCGGCCCTCGCCGTCGATCGCGCAAGCAGCTGACTTCAGTCTGCCGCTCGCTTGGCTACGAGGCGGACGCACTTGCTCCACTCTGCTCTCTGATCCAGTGCGCCTCTCCAGCTGGAAACCCGTTCGCGACCGCCGCGCATGCGCCGCTTGTGTTTCGTAATTGCGATCGCGCCGTGTCCCAGTTTCTTTTGGCGTTCGCTTTTCATTTCGTTGCGGTGGAATCGCTGCTACTCCGCTCCGCTCTACTCTGCTCTGTTCCGCTCGTATCGCTGTTGGCCAACCGAAATGCCTCATTGAGTTCACCGAGTGGCTCTCAAGCAGACAGAAGCCAAAGCAAGCGGCCAAGTGATGTGCAATCGACTCGATCCACCGCCAGGATTTTGTTTGGGACTAAGACAACAACAGCATGAGATCGCATGTGGCCGTTTACAGGGCGCCAGAAACAGCAGCACCACCACAACCGCCGCCCAACTACGCTGCCCTGCGATACCATCAGCACCCGTTGACCCATTGGCCCGGAAGCCAACAACAACAACAACAGCAGCAACAGCAGGCAGTTCTTCCGGCATCGGGATACCGACTGCATCATGGTCCTCCGGCTGGACCGCCACAAAATTGGCCAGGACAGCCGACCGGAGGCTATGGAGGAGTGGTCAACCAACAGCGGATCAATGAGTGCGCCGGCATACCGCTCATCTCGAACGCCTCCAGTCACTTGTCGCCCGCGCAGCGCCAGAGATTGCTGAGGAAATCTGCTCCGAAAACCTGTCCAACATGGCCCCTTGGTGGCGCCACCATGTCCCAGCTGGCGGTGCACGCCCAGGGCATGCCGTTGCTGCAGCAGAGCGGCAAGCAGCAGCACCTCCAACAGCAGTTGCAGCACCATCGGCCACATCCACATCCCCATCATCCGGTGTCGGCCAACTGGAGTGCCTATCAGCCGATGAGCAGTCAGGCAAACTTCAAGTTGGCGGACAAATCGAGAGCCCTTCGTTACCAGAACTCGGCGCCACCAGTGCTCAGTAGCCAGGAGAAGCCAGCTGGTAATACCTCCAGCCAAGATCAGGCCACTTCTCCACCGGAAACCTGCCTGCCCAGGATTATCAAGCCGAGAAAGCGACGCAAGAAGGATCGCAAGCCGGGCAATGGTGTGCTGCTCAAAATGGAAGGGGATATGCAGCCCAAGATTACCAACCCGGAGGGTTATCCCTCTGGAGGAGGAGGAGGATCCTATCACCTGCCACCCGGAATACTGCAGCATGATCACACGCACGGAGTGTGCTTCTGCCGGGAATGTGACCCACTGCGTTCCCTCTGGGATTATCCACTCCGGCGATCGCTTTCGGATGCCTCGTCCAGTGAACAGGGAGGCGGCAGCAGGGAGTCCTCCTCCTCCACCTCGTCCACGCACTCGGATAGCTCCTGCGACAGCTCCATTTGCAGTCAAAGCCTGCCCATCAGCTCATCATCGGCTCTGCAGGAGGAGGAGACCACGGAGGAGTTCGCTCCCATCACCGGCGACAGCAGTCGGGCGGAAATAGTGGGTGTCATCGGATCGCAGCGAAGTCATCCGAGTGCCGTGACCACGCCCTCTCAATGCCTGAGCGACGATTCCGGTTACGGTGACATCCTGGGTGGCATTAATATAGCCAACGATCTGTTTGGCAATTGCTTCAGAGGCGGAAAACTGGGCAACCACTCCTCGTCCTCGATTTCCGCCCAGGCGGAGACGCTTTTGGATGAGAGCCTCAACGAGATATCACGGAAACTAATCGAGACCTGCAATGCAATCGATCAGGCGGGAGTCTTGGAATCGGAATCGGATTTGGGATCGGGATCGGGATTGGGATCGGGAGCAGCCAGCGACAGTGGCTTGGATAGCGCTGGCAGTCACAATTGCGAGTCGGCGGGCCTCGTCTTTAACTTTGAGCATTTGAGTCTGACGGATGCGACGCCCACAGCCTTGGATTTTCTCGTGGATTGCAACAATAACAATAGCAGCAGCTGCAGCGGCAGCAGCAACACCAATAGTTTGGGCTTAATGTGGCGCGGGGGAAGGCACCAGCCGTGTGCTGGTGGAGGTGGTGGTGGCAGCCACGATGACAACCAAGTGGCAGCTGCCAAACTGAACCCAGACAGCCGGGCCACACCCACCACCAGGTTGATACTGGGCACGGTGGGCAAGCTGAAGCCAGCGTTTTCCACCATCTCGTGACGACGCCACGCCAGTGGAAAAACTAATCAAAAACCGAGAACGAGAAAGCAACAACAACAAAATCACACAGCCAAGAAGAAAAATGAGAAATACTGAGATACTGAGGAGATACTGCGGCCCAGAAAGTGGCTCATTTTGCGACGATTTGGAGAAACGTGAGACGAGATAACGATGCGTGGGCGGCTTTTTCGATCGGGGAAAAATGTAAATCGGCTGAAAGCATTTTAAAATCTTTCTACCCAACCCAAGTTGCGCAACTCCAGCGAACGATGTCGTTGGAGAAAGAAGAAAACCCATTAAATGGATACAACGCACATGTGAGACGATCATCACATCATCAGCGTGATCATCATCATCATCTTGGCGATCGAAGCGAAAAAACAAAAAACAAAAGGCCAACAAGTTGACCAAATGGGCGAAGAAGGCAGGCAAAGTTGGAAACTACGATCCCCGGCTAAATGGAAACTTATAAAAGACAAGCCGGGGAACTGGAAACCTTGTACATACCGCACATACACACTACGAATCTGAATCCGAATCCGAATCCGAGTCCAAGTCCGACATCCACTTCAACTCAACTCAACTTCAACTTCAACTTTCACTTTCACTGCGGCGGCGGCGGCGGCAGCAGCGTTTTGTATATCTGTATTTTTTTTAAGGCATTTTTCTTTTCTTTTTCTTTTTGCCAAGACCACAAATGACGGAGCTGCGGGTGGGGGACTTACGGGAAGGGTGCGACTCCTATGCAGATTTTGTGGCGCAAAAAGAAGAAGAAATTGTAGAAATCGCGTAGAGATACGTACACAGAGATGTGAACCCTAGAGATACTTTAATCGTACCCATATACATATCTGTATCTACCATATACTTACATTTAATTGTTGTTGTTATTTGTGCATTAACGTTAACCCATAGGGCCAAAAACCTCTCCAATCCAATGCATCCCAAGATCTGGGACTTTTTGTTTGATGCCGAGGAGAGTCCGCGTGTTAACTTTTATCTTAAGCAACGTTCCTACATGTTAGTTGTGTATCTCTATAGTTTTTGGGTTCTGTTTTATGTTATCTGATTAGTGGGTTTGGTTTTTACTTAGTCCGTAATCCATGCGCTACAACGTGAACTTTTTAGTCGATAAGTTTCTTATTAAGACCTAATTTATCCTTAGATTGGGGGACACAAACAGAAAGGATCTCTAGTGGCTTTTAGCAATGTTCTACTAGTTATAAATGCAATGCGTTTCAAAACGAAGTAAATGTATTCGCTTCATACTCATTGATTATTTTCTTTTCTTTCTAATGGTATCTTAAATCGGAAATCAGTTTCAAAATTGAATTACAATAGTTTCGAAACGCATTGCAGCACTGAACTGACAACTCATTCGTTCGTTCCGATTGAATATTCATAAATTTCAAGTGAGAGTTTCATTCTCAGTTTAACCATGGGCGATCGGTATCATCGTATCATGTTATATCTTCGAATTAAGATTCACATTTCCCGCTTGTCTGCAATTTGAGGCGCATAAAACAGCCGAAAGAAGATCTGGTGCACAATTAATTCCAACAGAGATCAGCAAGCATAAAATCTAAATCTGAAAATCGAGAGCAGCCCTAGTTACCTGCTTACTTCTTACTTGTTGTAGTTGTTGGCGAGTAAAAGTTTTCGCCTTTTTTTAATTAAAAGAAACTCACGAACGCGCAGCTCGCGCGCAGAAATTGCTTGAAGTTTTCCGCTCTGCTCGACTCCGGCTCGAAGCTCGACTTAACTTGGCTCGAATCGTGTTGGCTGAGAGCAGAAGCAGTCTCAGCATCGCGAGTCGCTGGAAAATGTCACAGATTTTCCATTGGCAGGTTCCGGCAGACAGTTTGTGTTACCATTCCCCAGATAGAAATTACCACTCGAAGCTAATTTATTTAATTAATATTTTCACTAGCTCGTATCGCATCGTATTGTATCGTATTGTGTTCCCTCTCGTATTGTACTATTGTAGTGTTTTGTTCGTTCGTAAGCATCGTTTTTGCACAAATAACAATCCTATAGTTAACCAACCAACCCATCATCAATACCACACTTCATTTGCTTGTAACCCACACACGAAAAGAACACAATATGGCCAACTTATTTATTTTGATTAAGCCCGAACGAGAGAACTCAATAAAAAGTGTAAACAAAAATGTCAAACAAAAAGAACTTGATTGCTGTTTTGATAGCCCCAAAAATAGGTGTTGAAATAACGCAGAAGCCGAACGAGAAAAGTCCGAAAAACGAAAAGCAAACCTCCAGCATCTAATGAGGCACGTTTGAGCCGGAAAAGCAAACAGAAGTCTGCGTTTTCTAGGCCTAACCCTTCCTCAAAAACCAAAAAAACCCCGATGCACCACTCGAAAATGAACTTTCCAAACATTGGCAGTTGGCTTTGGAGGCCGCTGCACAGATTTCAATTACCGAAAGCCCAAGTGGGAACCTTTCACCTGGGTGAATCTTCTACTGCTTCTTCTGCTTCTGATTTGCCGGCTTTCGCAAAAGATGAAGAGGAACCAGAAAAAAAAAATTACAAAAAAAAAAGATTAACCGCTGTCATAACCGTAACCGGCAAATTTATTTCTGGGCATTTTGTGCCCGTCATTAGGCTAATTAATGTCTCCATTTTAGGGCCTCATTTGGAGTTCTAGCCGGGCCAGGCTAACTGCTTGTTAAGTCGGCTTCTAAAAGACGCCAGACTGCCGGCCATTAGGGCTTCATACTTCTCTTCTTTCGCAATACTGAATGAAACCTCTGGAGGTCCGCTGCTCCAAGTTCCAAGTTCCAAGTTCCGAGCTCCAAGATCCAAGATCCAAGCTCCGCACTCCGGACCCGGACAAACGGACGAGCGCTGAGTGGGTCAGTGGATAATTGGGTCATTTGCAACACTGTTTGCGCCATCGGCCACCATCTAGCACCAGCAAACCACCGCACCACCGGAGCACCACCACTGGCCAACAGCGGTGGCTAATGTGTTTTGGCTACGTCAATAAATGCGTCGCGTTGCTTTTGCTTTTGCCTGTTGCCTGTTGTTGTTGTTGCTTTTGTTGTAGTTCTCAACCATATAGTATGGATGATATAGCCGCTGGCCAACGAAGCGGAGCCATCTTTCTTGGCTGCTTGTTTTTCTTATTTTCCTTTTGGCCTCTGAAGTTTAATTGTTTTTCCACACCTTCTCTAGCTGCGGGTACTTTAAATTTGTCGTTCTATTTGCAGAGCTTTTCAGACGATAACCTTTTGACTTCAAGAACCCCAGAGGTCAGTGTTATAGAAGTCGGGGAAGACCTAAAAAGGTTTAATAGTTAAGAAGTGTTTTGAAATTGAAGAAAGTATAAGGGAAATTATTGAATAGGGATAGCGATTATAATATAATTGATAAGTATTTAAGAATCTTATAGTTTCACAGTTTCTGGGTTTTATAAAAGGGGATCTTAGGATCTTAGGGGAAGGATGATACTATAATTCTGCACTAAATAGTAATAGAAAAGTTTTAGAGGGTACTTATTTGTAACCAAAGGAAGATATTACTTATTCTGCTTGCTACTTCTGTGATTTTTCAGTTAGGCTCGCTGTTCTCCATCCTCCATCTCCATTTCCCCCACGTTTTCCTGTCAATTGGCTCTGCCGCTTTTCCAGTTGACTTTTTCTTTGGCCAGAAATTAGCATTTCGCCATGAAATTGAAAGTTTCGTTTTCCAATTAACTTGGCCAGTTCAGTGGGCCACACACTCACTGGCCGGTAGTTCGTCATCATCATCAGCATCAGCATCATCGCTGTCCGTTGGCGTTGCCCAAGTTCCTATCTCAACTTCCTCTGTACAGAGGTACAAACAAAAAAAGCGGTTAATCCGAATAAAGGCCAAATGTCTACGAAAAAGGTTACGCAAAATGTCAAACAGTTAAGAATCCAACTCCTAACGGCCCCAAATGTCATTATTACATTTATTCTCCACTTTTAATGCCGTCTGCTCGTTCGCTGGGTCGTCTTAAGTTGGCTGCCTCGCTTTTTGTCGGCCGTCTCGTTGATTTTCTTTTCAGCCGTTCTCGCGTCGACTTGGCTGTGGATTTTCACAGACAATTGCAGTTAGCACAGCTACTTGTCTGGCACATTAGCCAAAGTATTCCACACTATTCATGAGCCACTCGAAGAAAGATGAAGGGCTCCACTTTTTGAATAATTTGGCGGCGGCGTAAAATTTGTATTCATGTTGAGCAATGTGTAAATTTGATTGTTTTCGGAGATAACAGAAACAGAAGAATTCATTAATTCGTTCCCCTCTCCGATTTTAGTTGAAATCGGAGGCATTTTAATTATTTCAGTGGGAACTAAAGTTGAACTAAAATTTGGCACGCAAAACTATGGTTAAATTCAATTAAGATTTTAGGAATTTAAGCCACACAATTTTGTAAGAAAGTTCCAATTTGTTGTTACTTAACGCTTCTTCTGTTGAAAAACCTAATGGGGTCACTGAAGAAATGTAAGAAAGTCGGAGTTACAGAACCGAAAGTGTGTCAGTATTACCTAACCCGAGTTAATTGGGTTGCTTTTTACTGCGATTCCTATCGATTATCGTGCTTGATTAGGTCACAAGTGGAGATTGCAAACCCTCGGGCAGAAGATTGCCATTAGAACGCAGAGTAAGCGATTGGGCTCACCGCATCTGACCACTCATCCATCTCATTGTCATTATGCTGGCCATTCATATTTACTACCTAGTATATATACTATATAAGCCAAGCTCTCGCAGTGCGTGGCTGCAGCTCGAAATGATGAAATCATTTCCCGGACAGAGGATTTATGGATGGGGTCTAATGTCGCCTGTGACGTAAACCCCAGCGGAAAGAAAGAAGATGCACCATCGAGGTTCGCTGGTAGCCCATAAATCAAGTGGACGGAGAGCGGCTAAAGGGTCGGATCGGTGGTGTTAAGTCTTAACTCTTTCTACCATTTGTGAGCGGCTTGTGCTTCATTTACTGCTGCTGTATTATACTCTAAGAAAAGGTTACTACCCTATATTGGAGTAAGTAGGTTAAGAATGCAGAACTTTACCTTATTTTTACCATTAAAAATAAAATTTCTTACTTAGCTCTACTATATTTCTGATTCAGTATGAACGACTGATGATTTATAGATAAAAGAAAGAATAATTTTTAGCAGTTTTTATTTCCTATTTAATCTTGATCTTGAACTACTTTTCACTCGGGATCCTATGAAGTATCTATCATAATAATCATAATCACTGTGTCTCCGATCTGAAAGCTTTCAATTTAAAAACCATCTGCTAGAGTGTTTCGATCTTCAAACTTAAAAGCGGTCTTTAACTTCTTGTTGTAACTTATTCTTCATCGTTTTTTTTTGTCCGCTCACGAAATGAGCACAACATGAATTAATTTTTTCTGTTTCTGACGGTTTTTTTTCCTCCGTTTGCCACTCGCAGTGGCAGTGGCCCACCGTTGGCTGTACAAATTTAGCCGCTCTATGTAGGTTTATAACTCGAGTCAAGACTCAAGACTCGAGACCCGACTCGTCTGAGCTTTATTGTTACTGTTTGCTGCTGTTTTTTCTGTTTTTCTGGCCGATGACGATGGTGTTGTGTGTGCTGTGTGTGCATACGATGCTGCTGCTGATGCTACGACTGCCATTATTGTTGTAACTGTTACCTAATCGTTTAATTGGCTTAAGTCAGTTGATCTTTTTCCCCTCTCTCGTCGTCGCTTTATTATGCGTTTTCTTGCTTTCGGCTTTTATTTAATTCAATTTTTACGACAACTTTGTGCTTTGTAATGCATTTTAAACGCATCGCGGCGTCATCGATTCCCACCACAACGTTTGCCGATTTAGTGGAGCATGCCGAATTATAATGTGGGAAGAGGAAGTGGAGCGATGAAATACGAGTACTCAGAGGGTCATCGACTCACTGGTTACCCTTTGAAGTGCGATTTGCAATAGAAAATGTGAATTAAATTGTAGTTAATTTAAAACCATTTAAGACTGTACAAGTGCATTGCAAATAATTATAAAACAATTTGTAAAAAAACTTATAGAAAGAATTATAAATGATCTATTAATAAACTTTGTTTTGGTTCTTAAATTTCTCTTAAAAATCTTTTTTTATATCTACGCAGAACCATAGATTTATGAGTTCAAATCTCCTTCATTTCCTGGAGATTATTTATTGTATGGCTTGCCCATAAGTTAGTGCTCCAAATATTGTTAACCCTTTTGGCCAATACAATATACCCCGGCTTTCGCTCCGTTTACGTATCGTTGTGTATGACAAAACGGCCCCAAACAACTGAAATGGTTTATTTATATAGCGAAACCGGTATTTATAACTGCAATTGGGAGTGAAGAAGCAGCCGCTCCGCTCCGCTCGCCGATGATGATGATATTAGTGCCAAAAATTATAATAGTGTTGCGAGGGCAATAACAAAGCAGCCGATGATTTGGGGCCGGTGCCGCCAGGAACCCCGCCCCCTCCCGCCTCTTTTGTCCGCCTCTGTGAATGCTAACGGTTATTTCGGTTACGAAATGTTAACTCTTTTTTTTTTTTTGGTCGGGTTTTATATTATTTTGTGCTTTGTCATGGCGAAGCTTTTTCCGTTTTTATTTTCATTGCTTGTTGGGCTGATTCGTTCGTTTTTTTCTTGTTTTTTTTTTTTTTTTTTTTTTGTGGGGTAATTCGCATAATTGGCCCATATTTCTTATAAATATGCACCAGAAATCGGAAATGTTTTTCATCTGGTCGCGTCTCGCCTTTATTGTTATTGTTATTGTTTTAAATGCGGAAGTGAGTGAGCTTACAGCCTGTTTTCGTTTCGTTTTCGTTTGAGTTTTCGTTTTGCCGGTTGTTTCATTTTTTTTTTTTTTTTGGCCGGGTTTTTTCAGTCTTATCAAGGTTGTTGTTGCGTAAAAGGAAGTGCAAATGGTTAGAAAGTTTTATGGCCAGGGAATAGGCCGAACTGCACTGGGAAAAAAATCAAGTATTTCCTGCTCAAGACCCGTCAATGCGAGTCAGCGAAAATAAAACAAAAAAAAAAAAAAACAAAAACAAAAAGAGCACCATCCATGTTGACTGCGATTTCTCTATACAGTCATTTTTAGTGTTTAAGAAGCCATTCTTAATGGAACCCCTCACGAATTTTAGCACTTCATGTCTTTAAAAGAAGCTCACTTATCCAATATATCAGTTTAACTAGACTGCTTGACCGAGTAAATCTCTCTGTCTTCTGGGCAAAACGATTTGAAGGGGTTAATTTATTAGTTTCTGAGAATGGTGAAATTTGGAGAAGAAATTGAGCTCTAAAAAAAATTATAATATAGCCAAAAATGTTGAATTTATGAATATAAAATGTAGGCAATCTAGGAATGTTGTCATATTTAACTTTATACTTATTTAACACAAAAGACATGTATATTGATAAAGTTGTTATGTTTTAATTGAAGAGACAAGTTTATATGACACCTATAAGATTATATGTAGGTTCTTACTGACTTCTGGGGACTTTGATCGTTTAGAAGTCGGTAAAGGTTGCTTAAATGACTCTTATTCCTATTTCAGTTTTATTTTCTAATAAACTGCGAGTAGCATTTATTGTTTGGGGCCTGCAATTAAGTAAAGGATGCCTTAATTACAGTGCAGATCTTTGTTACGAAGTAATCAATTTGCAAGTCTGTGGATGTCTTTTCCTTGGGGATGTCTTTCTGGATGGTTAGATGGATAGAGGAACGGATGAATGGTTGGTTGGTTGGTTGGTTGGTTGGTTGGATGGATGTCTGACTGGCTGGATCGGATGGCCCATTGCAGGCTGTGTCAATGTCAGCAGGCAAAAGGCAGTCGGCAGTATGCAGTATACAGTATGCAGTAGTAAGTAGTCAGTAGGCAGTTGTCTCGTCGCCGCTTTCCAACTGCGGGAGAGAGAAAGTACCCGATTGTGACTGCCACTGCCACTGCGACTGCGAGTGCGCGCAAAGATTTAAAAGTGGATCAGCGAAAGAAAAATAAACGTAACCAAGCAGCGTGCGGCATTGTTGGCCGATCGCGTGAGGCAGAGCCCCTGCCTCCTACGAAGATGCTGCCACAGCCTGCCAGTCTCCCAGTCTGCCATTCTGCACTTGGAGAAAATGGGTGTCCGATCACAGCGAAAGTGCTGCTATCTTATCACAAAACATAATAAGTTTGCATAAATCTTGTTTTTGCTGGGAAAATGTTTAAAGTCTTTGAAGTTATGAAAAGATTTTACTTTTTCTTTCAACATACTTACAAAACAAAAGCAATAGCTAATTAAGATATTATCATTATGTGCATTTTTAAGATAGTTGGTTATCATTTTACGTGGATATTATGGCATATATTTAAAGCCATAATATATATAAAAAAAAGTTTTTTATTTTTGGAAATGTTTTTTTTGTGTGTCTAGTAGCTCGACGAAAAGAAAGCCCACGCCAGTCTGCGCCTCCAACTGCCAATGGAGCTTCGCCTTGCCGGCGTAGCTGGTGGAGATGGGGTGCTCCTCCGATGGTGGAGCTGCTGCTGCTGTTGCCACTCGTCATCCGCTCGCCTGTGCATAATCACTGTGCGCGCACATTTTCAATTGATTTTCCATGTGACGCAGCACAATTGGAGTCTTTTGAATATGGCGCTCACGATCCGAGCCGCGATCTGTGAAACCCGGCAAGAAATGCAGCGGCCAATGCTGTCCAACTGGTTTCCCACACGCACATATGTGCAAGGAAACCCACATTTGTGGGCAAGCGAATAGGGATTCAGAGGGGGTTTTTCACTCATTAAACAATTGCCCATCTCCAATCACTTCTGAGAGGTAAAAGCTCTCAATTTAATATTTAACTACCAGCTTTAGTTCCTCTAATTTCTGCAATAAAATTCGCCATAAATAAATCAATTTGCTGGGGATTGTTAAATTTATGTTGAGCTTTACTTTCTACACTATTATATTGGCCGCATCTGTGCTTTGTGCCTCTGTGGATTGGAGTGCCTGGAGTGCACCTTAAATTGTGTTTCATTATTATGATTTTAATGCCAGATTGTCTTAAGTGGAGGCATCGCATCGACGGCAACTGAAGTGGACTGACAACCAATACCAGTCAGAAACCTGGTGAGCAACTGGCAACTGGCAACCAGCAACCTGCAACTTGCAACTTGCAACTTGCGATTGCTGAACGCCATTGAACATTGGCAGTCAATTGCTGCTGCTGCTGCTGCGATCAAATCGAATCGCGAGCGAGGAAAAACTGGTGCAAATGAAACAAGTTATCTAATTGCACTGCTCCAAGTGCTCGAAGAAGTGTGGCAAGTGGCGAGTTGACTTTTGTTTTCTATTCGGAGCAGGCCTCCAATTCGATAGTTCCCCTCTTTCCCCCTCCCCCCCAAAAAAACCAACGTGTTGTGCATACGAAATTGTTGGCCAATACAACACACACACACACTCACCACACACCAAAACAACAGGCTCTGCATTGGCCTCTTGGCGTTTTTAATCGCACCAAATTTCAATTTGAATTTCACTTTCTTTTTCGATACGCTCACTTGGGTTTTTGCCTTTCGAACTTTTGTTTGTTGTCTTTGGCTCTGTTTTTCTGTGTTTCTCTCTTCTTTTTGGATTCCGCTATTGTGTTTCATATCGTTTCTTTTTGTTTTCAAATGCAGCAAGCAGCGACCATGAAAACTACGGATAGAAAGGGCTTTCTAGTGGCGCCCGCGGAGGGAAGCAGATTATGAAGAGCGCGGGGGAAAGGTGGTGAATCAGAGGGGGATCGGTGGGATTGGTGGGAGGAGCTACGGAAAGGCATATAGGCCGACACGATATGGCGTGACATCGGGCTGCTAGGCGAATATTGAACCGTCGAATGCCACTTTGAGTTTACCGTGTCAAGAGAGAGTAAAAATAATTGATATGCATCCATTAAGCAGCAAGCAATCTTGATTGCGCGACATTGGAAATTTATGAGTGATCGTGTTTGTAGAACTGAGCAAAGGATCGAACGAAGTTTTCAGTCTATGGAGGAAAAGTAAGAGGCCAGTCGAATTTTATTAGGGTTGTTAATGCAACTGTCTTTAACCTTCTATAACATTATTTACAATATTTTAAGATGGCTTTACTTATACACTTTGTGTTGCAAGAGATTAGCTAAAAACTACTGGCAAGCATAAAAAGTAGAGCAAGCAAACATCTCCCAATTACCATATAAAAACCTGTTCTCGTTTTCACTTTCATTTCGGTAATGAGCATTTTCATAAGTAGTTCTCCGGTTTTATCTTAGGAAAGTAAAAACGTTTATGCATTAGAAATATTGGCTTTTAGATAAATAATTTAAATGGGGTTTGTTAGTAAAATTGGCAAAATTGTAGAAAAATTGTAATAAATGTAGGTAATTATCATAAAATATTGGGGGTGCCTTAATGCACATGAAATTATAGATGTAAAGTGGTACAACTTTCCACTGTAACTTCCCCTTAACCAAATCCACGATTCCAATCCATCTTCCCCCAGAAGCGGCCAAAATAAATATGGCACGCTTCGCTGGCTGAACAAATTTGCTTTTAAGTTTCGTTGATCGCTTTGTTTTCCATAGTGTTTTCGATGTGTGTGCCTTTTGTTACACCTGTCCATGGGGTAATCACTCACAAATTCGGTGAAATTATTTACCATGCGTTCGTTCCATTCAGCGGATGGGAGTTTTTCAACTCGAGTGGGTGCGTGGGTGTACGTCGATGGGTTTTGTTGTTTCGTAACTCCAGCCAACACTGAACACTGAACACCGAACACCTTTAACCCACCAATGATGAGGATGGGACACCCCACTTGCTCACAACAGATGGCATTGAGTTTGCTGTCTAAGTCTTTTGTTTGACGTTTTGTAATTCAGCTTTTTTAGTTAATACTTACACTTCAAACACAACAATCATTCAAACACGAGTTACGTTTGCATTTTTTTTGTATTATAAATCCCTTTCTCGTTTCGGTGATTCATTTGCTTGCGCCTTCTGTAATTTTCGTTGCGCCGTTTCAATTAAATAACCATTTGCATAATAAAAGAGCAACAAGACTGCTGGATCCTAAAAACGAATTGTACAATTAAAATGCAATCAAAGCTGTGTTAATGTAGTCATTAAAGGCTGTCAGCAAAAATCCAAAAAAAAGAGAAGAGAAAGAGACAGAGAAAGAGAAGCACAGCCGAAAAAAAAAAAACAAAACAAGGCGCAGACAGAAACAAAATTATGAAAAAAAAATCACAAAATTTATTAAAAAGTGAAAGTTTTTAGTCGCCGTCGCCCGTTTGCACAAAATTACCAGAGGGAAAAAAGAAATGCAAAAACAATCAACAAGTCAGCGAAACAAAGCAAAACAAATCGCCAAGAGCCCAGCTACCGCTTTTCTGTGAGAGCGAGCGAGAGAGAGACACAGAGAGAGCAGAGCAATCCAGTGAACCGCTGTGTCGTCCAGCGGAGCGATTAAGTTCCACAATCCCATTGCCATAGAATCCAACTACCGACCGATCGCAAAGCGCTGAGTTTATTTTCCAGCCGTGGCTCCCACATCGCTGCGGCATTATGTTGTAAGCACCACCGGCCCAGCCACGGCATCCAATTCGAGAAACGGTGGGGCGGGTGTGGCTCGCAAGCTCTTCCACCACCCGCACCACCCAGGCTATCCGCCCCACCCGCCCCATTCGCACTATCCGCAGCACCACCTGCCTCCACACCGCATGTTTTACGCCCAGTCGTCGCAGTCGTTGCCGGTTGCCGGATTAGCTCCGCCACCCGCTCCAGTCAGCTGGCGGAGCCCATGCAGCAGTAAGCGGTCGCCCAGTGCTCCCCCATCACGCAGTAAGTGGTTCCCGCAGCATCAGTGTTGAAAAGGGTACTAATTTGTACACCTAGCAACAAGTTAAGATAAGAAGGTTTCTAAATGGCGAAATAAAAGCAAAGAATTTAACAGAATTTAATCATGATACAATTTAAAACATTAATTCTGACACGAAATTGAAAACTTTCTTCCTAGGTTTTCCAAAAATATATTTATACATGCAACACCAAACCTTTTACCTTTTAGTAGCGAACATTTCAAACCATATTTTTTCTTTAAAAAGTTACCACAAGTAAATTCCTAAGTACCTGGCTGCCTCAACCACCGATATCTGGGCACCCATCGCTGGTTGCACCTTCGTGGTGTATGCAAAAAGTGAAGCAGCACCACCTGACTCGAATGGTTGGTGGTGGTGGTGCCGCGCTTATGCGGTGGGGCAACCCAAAGGCGGAAGCGATTTGATTGCTTGTGCATGTCACTTTCACCGCTTGCAATCTCTGCACCCAGCTGTGGGTCAGGGGAAGTTGGTGTGGTGGTGGGTCGTGGTTGTGGGAGAACGTGGATGGAGCCACGGCAGCAGTGTGTCAGTGGGGTAACAAACGTACAGATAATCCGGAGTGCTCGTGAGCTGGGGACTTTTATGTGCGGGTGCTAATTTCATAATCTCTTGCAGCTTGGCATTTTCACTCGCCCAACTTTACTAACCACCGGCACATCCGTATCTCTTTTTCTTTGCAGTCACCGTCAATCCACCGCCCCAAAGGCCCTGGCTGCCACTGGCCAAGCCCAACAAAACGCGACCAGCCTGTAAGTTATAATTAATGCTTAATGGCCGCCACTCGGCCAGCAAGAATTTTCTATTACCAAGCTATTTGTAGTAGTTGCCCTAGATAGCTAAACGAGGCCGCTTTTATTTCGCTTCCTCGATAAGTCGTTTAGCGAAAATAAGTACCTGGGAAATATTTAGTTAAATTGGTTATAACTCACCTTATTTTTTGACGCTCGCAGCTAGTCTGTCATAACCAACAGCACTAAAAAATTGTAGGCCATTTCCTTATAGTTGACTCTGCATATCATGGATACGTTCGTTTTACTGAATATTAGTAACTTTAATATAATATCTGTTGATCTGTATCTGTTGAAGTAAATTCTTGATTTGTAATGTGTAAAGATTGGTATGCAGTTTATAATTTCAAGCTTGATCTATATTAATTTATTAATTTTCCATCTTCTAGGCATTTTTACGGTTATGTGCTATAATGTGCTCTGCGACAAGTACGCGACGCGTCAAATGTACGGATACTGTCCATCGTGGGCGCTCTGCTGGGAATACCGGAAAAAGTCGATTATAGACGAGATCAGGCACTATGCGGCGGACATCATTAGTCTGCAGGAGATCGAGACGGAACAGTTTTACCACTTTTTTCCTGCCAGAGCTCAAGAACGATGGCTACGAGGGCATCTTTTCGCCGAAATCGAGAGCTAAGACCATGTCCGAGCTGGAGCGGAAGTATGTCGATGGCTGTGCGATATTCTTCAGGGCGTCCAAGTAAGTTGAAACTATATTCGTTTTCTAGATAAGATATTAATGCAAAGAATTCCCTAAACAGGTTCACACTGATCAAGGAGTCCCTGATTGAGTTCAACCAGCTGGCGATGGCCAATGCCGAGGGCTCCGACAACATGCTGAACCGCGTGATGCCCAAGGATAACATTGGCCTGGCCGCGTTGCTTAAGGTGAAGGAGAACGCCTGGGAGCCGATGTCCGAGGTGACGCAGATCTCGCAGCCGCTGCTCGTCTGCACGGCGCACATTCACTGGGATCCGGAGTTCTGTGACGTGAAGCTCATCCAGACGATGATGCTGAGCAACGAGCTGAAGACGATCATCGACGAGGCGAGCCACAGCTTCCGGCCGGGTCACAAGAACGACTCGAACGCCGTTCAGCTGCTGCTGTGTGGTGACTTCAACTCGCTGCCCGACTCGGGAGTGGTGGAGTTCTTGGGCAAGGGGCGCGTGGCGATGGACCATCTGGACTTCAAGGACATGGGCTACAAGTCCTGTCTGCAGCGGTTGCTCTCGAACGACACCAACGAGTTCACGCACTCGTTCAAGCTGGCTTCGGCTTACAGCGAGGACATCATGCCGCACACCAACTACACGTTCGACTTTAAGGGCATCATCGACTACATCTTCTACACGAAGACGGGCATGGTGCCGCTGGGCCTGCTGGGACCCGTCTCCAATGACTGGCTGCGCGAGAACAAGGTGGTGGGCTGCCCCCATCCGCACATACCCTCCGATCACTTCCCGCTGCTGGTGGAGCTGGAACTGATGCACACGGCCAGCCAACAGGCGCCTCCCAACGGGCTGATCAATCGCCGGTAGCAATAGAATCGACGCGGCAGACCCACCACCAGCAACAGCACCACCACCAGCACCAGCAGCACCCTGATGACGACGACGACGGCGCCGGCGGGCACGCGTGCGCCGGCTGCCAGTGGGGGAGCTAGCGGGAGTGGGACTGCAAGCGGGAGTGGCGTTGGCGTTGCCGGAGTAGGTGCAAGTGGAAGCGGAGTTGTTGGCGGCGGCGGTGGCGGTGGCGGCAGTGGCGGCGGAGCACTCATGATCCCAGGCGGCTACAGGGGACGAAGCTGCAGCAATAGCGGATGCCATCGACTGACGGCAGCTCTTGGTGGAGCGACGAGAAAAGCAGGCAATCCCCCGCCGCCGCCGCCTGCGGACAAGCCGGCCTCCAATCCGCCGAATGCCGCTTCCAACTGACGTGGCGATCTGCTCGCATCAAGATTCCGTTTTAGTTAGACATACGACAAAAACTTTGATTTCTAACATCGGTCCGTAAATATCCCTCAAGCTCTTGTTCCAACCATCCCCCACCCAAAATATCCCCCCAGAAGAACCCTAAGTTATAAGCTGACGACGTTGTGGAGGTCTCGCCGCTTTGTGCGCTGGATCGCAAAGTGGACTCACCGATGCAACCCATTAACTAAGATCGTAATCGTAAATAGGAAGGAATATAATTTACTTGCTGCACTCCTCTTCCGCGCTTCTCGTTTTGATTTTATCCTACTTCACGTTTTCACCATCGAATAAATCCATTATATACAATATGCATACGTCAACTGTTATGTTCTTGAAAACAACACCCTCAATCACATAGCCACAAAGTAAATCTAAGCCTATTTCGTTAAACAAAACAAAATCATTAGCAGCAGTTCGTAAAGGATATCCGAAACCACTTATGCATTAAGTAAAAAGTAAAATTACATTGTGTAAAAACTAAACGAAAACGCTAAGTAAAAGAAAAACTATGCAAATTTAACTGATCGAAATGTTGGTTTTCTAAATTTTGTTTAGGAGGGTCTCAAGAAAATACGGTGTTACAAGATACAAACTATGTGTATATATCTATTATTTTGGCCAGGCAAGTAAATCGTACCGGCAAGGCTCCGGATGTGCAAAGTAAAATAGATCCTTTAACTAGTTGATAAATCAGCACAGATTCATGTAATGTAAAACATTAGAAACCCCCTAAATGTGGGTCAATCAACTCTTATTGAGTGCATTGGGGTAGGTCGAGGAATCAACTAAGAACTTGAGGGGCGGAACATATTCTGAGGAAAATTTTGTTTTTCAAACTTGGCTTAATTGCCAAGATTTGTGACCAGTAAAATTCTTAAAAAAAACACTCAGTGGATTACTCTCCGGCCCTCTGATTCTATCGTAAGGCAAATACACCCACCCTACTGTGCATATTTAGACCTTAAAGAGAAATAATATAAATACAAACTATGTGAACTATGTGTACATACATGCGTGCAGCATAAATACATAATATAAATGTCGTAATTGAAGTATTTATAAGTACCGAATGGCCCAAAAACTATCCATGTTCGGCCTTCATTGTAAGCTCCATTCAATGTCGAGGCAGAACAAGGCGCACATCGTCAGACGATCTTTATTCACCAAAAACCCCTCATCGATACAAATAAAGTAAAGAGAATCAAATGTATATACACATACTATACTATAAACTGTATAAACTTGTCAGGCACAAGTTATGGTGGGAAAAGCCTCTCCAATGGCCGCGCTATCGGTCAAACGCTTTGCAATGGGACTCCAAAGTTTGGAGTAGGAATGCTGCAACATCTCTAGATTACCAATAATATACAGCGCCCAGCGGGCTCGAGAAAGTGCGACGCACACTCGATTCGGTTGCCGCAGGAAACCGATTTGGCCGGACGTATTGCTGCGCACCAGCGAAAGCAGCACAATGTTGGCTTCCAAGCCCTGGAAACTATCCACACTGGACACCTTGGCGTTCAATCGATACTTGCGGGGAAGCTGTAAGAAATATAAAGATATATCCATACTTATCTAGCCATAAGACTTTCACAAACCGCTTTTTTGATGCACTCTATTTGCGCATTGTAAGGTGTAAGTATAACAATGTCGTCAAACTTGTACTTGGCTTTCTGGATAAGAAACGCAAATAGTTCCGACAACCTGGCAGCTTCGTACGGGTTTTCGAAGGACATATCAGAGGCCCGTTGCTCCGGTTGGGTGTGCCGCACAAAGAACAAGTTTTTCTCCATAAGGCGGATGTCGTTGTATTGCTTAACTGACTCAGAGCACAGCAGTTCGTCATAAATAGTGGGCACAAGGAGCTCCGAAATAGAGGGTCGCATGCGGTACTGCAGATTTAGCAGGGAGAATGGCATGCCAGCCACGATGAGACGCTCGAAAAGGGAGATTTGTGGCACCTGACTGCTGCCCGAGAAAGGTTGCAACTGCTTGTGATCGCCGACTAGGATCACATGCTCCGTGTGCGGCGTAAGGCAAGCCAGAATATGCGCTTCCTGAATCTCTGCTGCCTCCTCAAAGATAACGCACTTTGATTTAAGCAACCGGAAGAGAAAGTTTAGTCGAGCTGCACATGTAGTTGTCATGGCCAGCAGATCCTTCTCCTTTGCCAGGAAGAACTGAAAAACCATGCGAAGTGTTTCGATCTTTTCGGTCACCTGGTGCACTTCCTGCTGAGCCAACAGAGTCTGCTGGTAGCTCTCCTCGCTGCCATCAAAATTCGAGTACAGGCTTTGCAAGTACTGGAACTTCTCCTTGTACTCGCAATTGACCAGCCACCAAATTCGCTTCAAGCGAGGTGGCACCAAGTCCGGATTTACCATGGTGCGCACATTGAACTTGTCGATTTGCCGATCGCGCGTCTGACTGCCAAAGCGAAGGATTTCTTGGGTATACTGTGATACCTTCACGAGAAATTTGTCCAACGAGTCGTTGGTGTAGGTCAACACAATAATAGGACCGGTGCCCAAGACTTTGGCGTTCTGTATTAACCAGTTCACCAACTCAACTGAGAGATGTGTTTTGCCCGTGCCTGGAGGACCTTGTATAATGCTAAATTCCCTGCTTAAGGCCTCCTTAAAAGCTTTCTGCTGACTTTCATTGAACGTCTGATTTTTAAGACTCACTTTAACTCCTTTTGTCATGTACTTTGGCGGTGATACATCAAACTACAATATAATAATGCATTTATCTTCAAGATAAGGTATATACATCCAGATTGCATGTAAATTACTCACCTTTCTATCTACAATATAGCGACGCATGGGAAACTGTTCTGTGCTGCACGTGCTTAAATAGTTGTGAACCCTAAGATACGGTTCAAAAAACACTGGAGTCTGGAACATATACAACGGTCGGTCGTAAATAGTGCCAATGTTATACTGTTTGACAATCTGGACGCTCAACTACAAAAATAAAAAAACATTTAAACAAATAAGCATGTTATTTACAGGAAGATAACGTACACAACCCTCTTTCCATTTTTCTGGTTCTGTGTAGCCAACTGTGGCCAGAATGAGATCATCAAGATTAGGGTTCGTTGTTAGGCATAGTAAAGCTCCTGATTTCATGTTTTGCAGCACATTCTTATTGTTTTCCTTGGAAATTCCAATGGATTTCACTGATAGAAAAACCAGACTGTGGCGCTGAGCCTCGGCCAACTGTGGATTTAAGGTCAGATAAGTACTGGCCCACAAAAGGCCTTGTTGTTCAAGCTCCTTGACAAGCTTTTCATTACGCAACTGCTGGACAAACTCAAGTAGGGGAGCAGAAAAATCTTCGCACAGTACATTTCGCTGTGTGTTTAAGTATTGGTCTAGATCGTCAGCCACATTAAGATCTTTTTCTGATGATTCTTTAGCTGCTTCTTTCCCCAGAATCTTGTCCAGCGTTGGGTAGATTTCTCCCTTTAAATTGTACATTGACTTTCCGGTAAATGCTTCTAGCCCTTCTGTCAAGTCATTCTTTAAGGAGGGTGCTACTTTTTTATAAAGTTCTACCAATTCATAGCCCTGGCAACCAAGTACTCCAAGCTTATGGGCTCTTAGGAGCAGCCATTTTATGTGACTAAGTAGCAGTGTGGAAGTCTCATCACAGTTACCCACAGAACTCTTGGCCAGCAAAAGATTTTTGATCTTCTCCAGGAGCACGGACTGCCGGCTGAAGGCAGACAGGAACTGTTCATCAAATCCACACAACTCCAGTTGACATAGTGATTTCAGGACATTCACAAACAAGCAGACGCGTTTAACACTATCATTGGCCACCAGTTGATTCACGAAGAGATCTCGTTCATCGGACATGAAGTAGAGGAACATATCTATTGGCGGCATAATCAGGGCCTTAGTCAAATCGCTTATGGAAAACCGATTAGACGTTTTTCCATCTTTTCCTGCATCTACGGAGGAAGTCTCCAAACTCAGTTGTTTCATATAGTCTCCCACTGCAATTAACAATGATTATCTCTGCAATTAAATCAAGTGACTGGTGTTTATTTACTTCTTGGCGGGCGGCATTCTATGTGTTCCTCCTTCTTTTCCAGCTCTAAGGACTTTTCTCTTTGCTGCAGCCCTTTCACCAGGTCCTCCTCGTCCTGGTTAAACCAATCCTCATCGGAACCTGACATCGTTTTTCGTGTGGCTTTGTGGAAGGCGCAATAAAAATCGCAGAAAGGTCGCAATTTCTAGTACAGTATGCATTAGTTATGTGGGAATGGCTATATATAAAGTTGTAGAAATAGTAAGATTAATATGAGAAAATCATAAATATTTTTCCAAACAAATGTTCTGCTTAAAAAGAATACTTTATTAATCTAAAAATAGAAATGATGAATATAAAATGAACCCAACAAAGTTTTCCAAATATATTTTATTAAAAAGAAGACTTTGTTATATATAAAGATAAATATAAATATTGGATTTATAGAATGTTTACAATGAAGATATACTGTGCTTGGAAATTTGGTGTTTTTTGACGCCGACATATTTCAAGTCCTCTGGGCACACTAGGAATAAACAAGCTGACTTCAGTGGCGAAATTTCATTAAACAGTTTTTTTTTATTACGCTTTGGTTAATTCTTCACCGAAATTAAATGCGCCACAACGCTGTTTAGGTATACTTTATTGAAAGCTAGAAAGTCAGGTATGTCTGCACTTTTAGTTGGTACTAATTGTTTACTTTCAAATCGTCCCGCGCTTTTTATCTGTAGGGAACGAAACCAAATGGACAAAAGTCGCAGAGGTAGGATTCGTAGGATGCCATCGTCTGGATCGGACAGCGATGGCTCTACGGCTCCCCCTAGTTGTAAGAAGAAGAAGATCAAGCAGGTTGCACAATCCGAATCTGATGTGGAGGAGGAGTATGAAAATGTCGAATATCTCGAAGAGGAAAACAACAGATCCCAGGAAGTATCTAATGCAACGGCGCCAAGATCTCAAATGTCACGGGCGCGTCAAACAAATTCAAACACTTCACAGCGAACTTCCAGCTTTAATCTATCGGTATGGCTTAATGAACTGCCATCCTATATCTGCTAAACCAAGCCGTAATTTTTCCAGTCCGAGCTGTCCATTCCAAGCGCCTTTGATCGCTGTGGCAAAGTGATTTCAATGCGGCTTACTAACTTCATGTGTCACTCAAATCTCTTCGTCGAGTTCGGCCCCAATATCAACTTCCTGGTGGGCAATAATGGCAGTGGCAAGAGCGCAGTGATTACAGCGTTGGCTTTGGGTTTAACCAGCAGTGCGAGAGCTACCAACAGAGCCAGCAGTATACAAAGTAGGTTCCCTAGGAGCATATTTGTCTTCGATTTATAATAACTTTAAACCTTAACAATGCAGAACTAATCAAAAACGGCGAGGCGAGTGCCACTATTGCCATAACCCTCTCCAATACCGGTTTGCGGCCCTTTAAGGCGGACATATTTGGTCCCCATCTCACGGTGGTGCGTCAAATACGTCATTCTTCTTCAACGTACGACCTCCAAGATGCTCGCGGCAAAAGCGTTTCCAAGAAAGTTGCTGAAATCCGGCGCATGCTGCTCTGCTTTGGCATCAATGTGGAAAATCCTATTTTTGTGCTGAATCAGGAAGCGGCGAGGGAGTTTCTGAAAGAGTAAAAAAACCATAACACCATTCGAAAAAGTCCACTATAGCCAGAATTATTGTTTTTAGATTGGAGCCAGCTTCGAATTACAAACTGCTGATGAAGGCAACCCAACTCGATGTTTGTACGAGCAGTCTGACCGAGTGCCATGCTCAGCGTCGTCATTTTACCCAAGACCTAGAACAACTGGAGAAGGTGATGTTTTATTACAAAAGAAAAGATTTCTTTCTTTAATCTTTTGAGCTTTAACAGAAAAGAGATGTCGTGGCTAAGCAAGTTGAGGCTGAAGAGGAAAAGCTGTCAATACTTAAGGATAAGGAAATAGTTAAGGTGAGTTATAAAACTAAACTCTTAACGTCCAGGTTACTAAACTCGGCAGCTCATGCTTAGGTAAAACTGGAGCAGTGCAAGGCAAAATTAGCATGGATGGCTGTGACGCGTTTCCAAGAAGACCTCGACAACCTGGAGCATTCAATTAAACTAATTGAGTCAAAGAAGGCCAAGCTTGAGCTCACCACATCAAAAAAAGAGAGCTCGCAAGCCTCAATGACCCAACAACTCAGGTAAAAAAAGCTAATATCTAAAGATGTCTTCAATTATTAATTTCTACAATTTAATTGCATTTGATTTATTTACAGCGAGTTTGAGGCTACTAAAAATCAAATCTTATCGTCCTACAAAGTTCAGGATGAAAAGCTGAGAACTGCCAAGCGGGCGGTGCAGGATATACTCATAAAAATTAGCTCAATCAAAGCCCAAATTGGGAACGCTGAGCGACGCATGCGAGAGGATCAGCACGCATACGATGAATGCGTGAAGCTCATTGGAAACTACCATGCCGATTTCAAGCGGGTAAAGGAACAGCGGGAGGAGCACGTCAACAAAATGGGGGCACTAAAGAAGCAGGTTGCTGACAGCGAAGAGACTATCGCCCGGCTTAGAGAAGAGCAACTGCAGATAAAGCGAGACATTACTTCGGTTCAGGAAAGGGTGGAGGCGTTAAAGAACGAACGGGTGCAGTTACACAAGTCCAAGCGTGAGTAAATATTTAATTTGTTCAAGTAGGTGTAATATCTTTATCTCTTACAGAGAAAATCAGCATGGAAATCGAGGAGTTATCTCGGAATAAGTCGAATAAACTTTCTGTGTATGGCGAGCAAGCGATACAGGTGGTCCATGCGTTGCGTACTCAGTATGCCGGCTCTAATATGCATAGAATGCCTCGTGGTCCACTGGGCCAGTACATAAGTGCGCCGAATCCCAAATATCGAGACCTTGTCGAAAACCAGCTCATGGGTTGTCTACGATCCTTTATCGTCAGCTCCGACAAGGAGCGCCAGTCGCTGCGGACTTTACTGCAGAACAAGTTCCAGGGTGGAAACATGCCCTCTATTATCACCAGTCCTTTTACGGATCGTGTTTATGACGTGTCCAGAAACAAAGTGCGACCTACTACGCCAAATACCACAGTGTTGATTGATGAAATTAGGTATGTTTTTAACATTCATTTGAAATAGCGTTAGGTCATTGATAACTTCTACACTTTACAGCTGTGATGACCCGGTGGTAATGAACTACCTTATTGATATGCTTCGCATCGAGACGGTATTGGTGACAGAATCAAAGGAGATTGCTGAGTTCCTTACATCCGACACTGAGAATGTGCCGCCCAATCTGACGAGGGTGCTGGTGCCGAGCTTAGGATTGGAGTACATACCATCGCCCAACTATGCCGTATATTCGACTAAAATACATCCCGCACGTTATATTCACATAAATGTGGACGATCGTATACGCCAGCTTCACATGGAACAAAGAGACCTTGAAGAAAAATATGCTTCTTTGGAAATGGACTACATGCAGCACAGACAAGTGATGGAGAAAACTCAACATGAAATAGCAAAGAAGGTTACAATGATTGGACAACATCAATCCAGGAATGAGCGGGCAATGCAGCAAATAATGGAGCTGGAAAACTTTGATTACCAGGAACTTCCCGAATATGATCGCTTGGTAAGTGGAAGTCGTCAAATATCTTCAATTAGAATTAATAAACTGTTTTGCTCTCATAGGAATCTCATTTGGCCCAAAGTGGTGAGAAAATAGAAAAATGCAAACAAGAACGCGAAATGTTGGAGCAAAAGCTGAATGATATTCAAGAACGCAAGTCGGAACTTGAAGCAACTGAAACGGTAGAGAGGCAAGCCCTTGCGGAAATAAACCATAAGCTTTCCACACTCGACACCGAAGCTCGCGAAGTCGAGTCCAAAATCCGGAGTTTAGACCTTCACTATGAAGAAAACACTCGAAATTTACAAAAAACCTTGCAGTTGGAAAGGAAAATGATCGAAGAGAAACAAACCATTCAGAATGATTTGGAACAAGCTCGCGTGGAGGCCCAAAAAGTGGGAGACTTTATAGGCACGTCGCAGACAGAGGAGAAAATACGCGAACTAATTAGTCGCTACAAATCAAAGATCAAACAAGTGGAGCAGCTTAACTACAACCCCGAGGAGGTGGAAAGAGGGTTGAGTAAACTGCGAGACGAGCTCGGCCTTCAGGCCAGGCATTTGGCCGTCGTGGATTCCGTGATTAAGAAGCTACGCATGGCGTACCATCAGCGGGCGCAATTATTTCAGAGATCCCGCCATCACTACTTTACAATGGTTCAGTTTCAGTTTGAGGTAAAATTCACGTTTTTAGAAAGCATTACTGACTTAAAACAACATTTCATTTGATTATTTACAGCAAGCCTTAGCCATGCGACAATTTAAAGCTAGCTTTGAGACAAGTGACAAAGATAAAACGTGGAAGATCAATGTATTTCCGCCCAGCGGAAACGAGACCTCCAACGCAAGAAGTTTATCAGGCGGTGAACGCTCGTTTACCACAGTTTCGTTGCTTAAAGGGCTTTGGAGTACTTCAGACCACCCCTTTTATTTTCTAGACGAATACGACGTGTTTACAGTAAGTAAATTTCGTTTCTGAGCTTCTATTTTAAACGCCAATTCATGTATTTTCAGGATGAAGTAAACCGTAAGTTTATTACGGAAATTCTAATCGGTGAGGGCATGGAATGGACGTCTCGTCAGTATTGTTTTCTAACTCCACAGGACACTGCGGTGGAGGCCAGCAGTTTCATTACAGTGCACAAGTAGGAATATTATTTTAAAATCCTAAAAATCTTTTCCTTATATCATTTTTATTATTTTATCAGATTGGAGGCTCCCGATAGATAAATTTTACTAAGGCATTTAAAAACGGAAGTTGCTGGACGACAACGCATCAGTATATTATTCGTTACCCTAATTTTAAGCAAAACTTCAAGTGACAATTAATGTTTTAATTTTAAGTTCAACGCTGTTTATTCTCTTTAAATAAAAGTTATTAGTTAGAAAAAAACTTAACCTGGTTTCGATTTTGTGGTTTAAGAAAATTCAAATTAAAAATGCATTTTATTATGTGGCAACCTTGGTAAGTAAAAGTGGCAACCCTACCGAAACATATGTTCTTTCATGCTAAAGTGGCTTGGCATCTGTTTGCTTGTTGAGGTATGACGCTAAATTATTCTAAAATAATCATTAATCATTGCAATTATTGTGTGATCGCTTTATACGTTTTAATTCTATAAAATTTTTGAACCCGTCCCAAATCTTTTCATCAAGCAGTCTGACCGTGCATTAAGCATCATCAGCAAGTAACCTCAAAGCGGCGACTTATTTACTCTTACTTATTTGTTAAACTCGCACAATGAGTCGGAACTACAAGGAAGACCAGACTAACGAGGTCGAGGCGCTGGACTCCATATATTGCGGCGAAATGGAAAGTAAGTACCAATAAGTTTAACTGGAATCCAAGCTTAGGAATACGTATTTCAGTTCTCGCCACGGAGCCCTTTCACAAATTCCAAATTCCGATTGCCACGGAGGAGTACAACCCGGAGGAACCAGAAAATGGATTGTCCTGCAAACTGGTATTCACATACACAGCGAACTATCCGGATGGTGCACCTGTGGTGGAAATCGAGGAGCCCGAAAACTTTGAGGACTCCTTTGACAAACGCCTGCTGGAACACCTGCAAAAGACAATCGAGGAGAATCTGGGCATGGAAATGATCTTCTCGCTAGTCAGCAGCGCTCAGGAGTGGCTGAACGAGCGGTGGGACGAGCACAAGTTTCACCAGGAGGAGCTGCGGGAGCAAAAGCTTCGGGAGGTCGAGGAGGAGGAGCGCAAGAAATTCGAGGGCACCCGGGTGACGGTAGAGTCCTTTATGACGTGGAAACTAGACTTCGAGGAGAGCACTGGCATTGCGGCCAAGCGGGAGAAGAACAATGTGTCCAAAAAGCAGACCGGACGCGAACTGTTCATGTGCGACAACTCGCTCAATGATTCGGACATCAAGTTCCTTCTAGAGGCGGGTGAAAATATCGAGAATGTCAAAATCGATGAGGCCCTGTTCCAGGATCTCGGCGAACTAGATTTGGATGATGATGACGATGAGGATTGGGTGCCCGGGGCCGACGACGACGATGACTAAGCTATAGATTGAAAAATGCTTCTCAAAGGCATATTCGTGTGTATTGTAAATAACATTAAATGCCAACACTTTATTAATCTAAGTTGTTTTGGTTTTGCAAGCTCAAATCCGAAAGCCTGAGGCCATGGCTGGTCACCGTTTGGATGTCATCCAGGTCGAAGAACTCCTCGTCGCTCTCCTCCTGCTTTGGCTTTTCTTCCTGGCTCTTTTTGGCCGCTGGCAGTTTCTTATTGGGGAAGTTCAGGTTAGACCAAGAACCGGGCTCCAGTTTGGGCAAAGTGACCTCTACTTTTGTGCCGTACATGTGAGCGCTGGCTTTGCTTACATTGACAATCTGTAAAAGATCAGAATCTATATAATTCTAACGAAAATCTATTTTATAATTTCTTACGCCGCGTAGTTCTAAGTCCAAATCAAACCTGGCGTTTTCCTGCTCGGGAAAAACCAGGTTGACATGTAGCCTTATGGGATTGATCTCCACCAGGCTCTGCGTGTAGTCATACTTTTTGGCATAAATGGCCACCACCACGTTTGTGGCCGTTTGGTGCCAATCGTAGCGGCACTGCACAACTTTTTTATCATCGTTCTAATCGGGGAATAAAAAAGATTAGTCTGGTAAACTTTAAGACTTCCATTAAATACCCACATCTTTCACCCATTTATGCTGACCGTAGACACATCCCTTCTGCGCCATAAACTGAGCAAAGTCCGAGGTGCGTTTCTGGCAGCAGGACCAGAACTTAAGGCCCTCGTGGAAGATGGGCACTCCTGGGTGGTAGGTGCACTCCCCATAGTCGCTGCTGGTGTCTGTAAAGGAGTACGAGCAGCCGTTGTTCTTGCAACTGGTACCCACTTCGATCGTGTCGCTTGACTTCTCTACCACCGGCACTTTTGCCGCGAAAACGAGATCTTTTAAGGCGGGAGCCACCGTTGGCTGAATGACACTCAGCGGGGATTCGATGGGCGGCCGTGGCAGAGATTCCCGAATGGGAGCTCGCACCTCGATCACTTCGTCCTTGTCGGACTCCGTCTTGACTGGTTTCTCTGGCTCTGGAGGCTTGACATTCGAGTGCTTGGCCAGCGTGCAACCCTTGATGTTGAGGAACTCGGTGAAGTCCACAGACTTCTTGTTGCAGCAGCCCCAACCTTTGTACGCGTCGTGGAAGAAGGGTTCGCCCGGATGGTGCCGGCAAGATTCTGAATAGGATTTGGGGGGTCAAATACATGAGCTTAAATATCTCACTAAGCATCTTACCATCGTTGTTGGTCGCCGGATCAAAGAGTTGGCCACAGCCTCTGTTATAACACTGTTCCATTTATCAAATTGTTTAGAATCTTCAAATGTATGAAAAATTCGCTTAAAATCTAGAATATTCGCAGTGTATGTTAACTAGTGTGGCCAGACTACAATGCCGGTCGAAGCCGCCATAATTTGTTGTTTCATGCGAGTGTGTGTTTTATCAGCAGTGTTCGATGGTCACACAGCAGTCAATACCGCGATATTTTAAATCAAATTTTTTACTGTTACAAGCTGTTCCTTCGAAATTCCCCTTTTTATTATTAAATTTTATTGTAAATAAGAATAAAATCTATTAAAATTATATTATTTACCTAAGTTTGGCTATAAAATAAATTCGAACATAGATTGAAGTTCAGAATTAATTTCTTTTTTTCACATCGCAATAAAATTGTTTGGTTTGGCCATTATTTAAACCATGTCACGGTTACGCCTGTGGCTATGAGAACGCTAATTCCGTTCGAAAATATAATACACGTAATACAAATGCAACCTGTGACTGCCAATGCCTTGGATAATGTGACAAATAGCAGCTTTGCGACCACCGCACATCGCTGGTAGGTTTCGAAAGGCCAACAGTCGCGAATGCAGAGCAATTAAAAGTGATAGTAAATTTGGAATTATGCTAATTACTGCCACTGTTTGACCGGCCATTGCGGTCTTTATAGAATTTGCTAATTGCAAGACGGAATTGAACTAAAAACCATTACTTGCAAATCGGCTGAAGGTCGTGCCTTTGGCAGCTTTTGGTCTACGTGATTTCTGCACGGAACTGGCAAGGCGACCATTAAAAAAATTAGTTCAAAGAACGGGCGGGAATCGGGAGTGTTTGCCAACTCCTAACTGGTTTCCGGGGCCCCGGGTAATGTCTCCGCCTTGCTGGATTCTTTATTTGTCACACTCAGTAATATACACACGTTTTCACGGTTTCATTTTCATTTATTGCCCGCGGTGTCAGATCATAAAATGAACTTGCACACCGAAAAAATTTATTGATTTTATATATGCATGTTCTTTGTAGTAATAATTTTAAACCAGTTTTGTACTCTTTTTTTTGTTATTAACTGCTCAACTAAGTTAATTTAAAAAAAATTCATTGAAACCATAAAGTAGCCAATAGATTAATGCAAAGTAGTATAGTAAGGCAATTTTTTTGAATTAATGATAAACATCGAGCTGCTCCATTTTCTGTACAGTGCAGTCGCTCAAACTGTCGTTTAGCTGGAAATTCTTGTGGTCAACAAGGTTATCAACACGCCTGGCCACCCGGCGCTGTTCCTGTGCCGCACTTCAAATAAAAATAAGACAGGAAAGAACGCTATAGTCGAGTTACTCAAATATAAGATACCCATTACTCAGTTTAACAATGTCAAAAGGCGTCCTAACTTACTTACTTATTATCCTTCCATCTTTCCATCTGTTCAAGGTTCTCCGTTTTGATGTTCATATGGACGAACAGACGAAGAGATCCTGATGAAGAATGTTTATCTTTCTTCAACCTTTTACATACTTTTCAACAAATACAGTGTACTCTTTTACTTTACAAGCAATGGGTATAATTATGACAAAGGCGGCGTTTTCCACAACTCCACAGGCACATTCGGTTTTTGGCCGCGGCTGTGAATCATGCCATTGCTAATGATCCGTTGCCCATTGTTGTGAAACCGACCGAGAATTGTTGACTTTTTCTGCAGTGCGCGGTGCAGCACGGCTTTTGGCTTTTGACAGTCATACAGAAATACAAATAAATAAATGCATAAAAATAAATATATATAACGGGCGTCGGCGGTGGCCGACACACTGGTCGACACATCGCCAGTGTCACTGGAAATTAACACCGCCCGCTTTGTCTTTTTTGGCCTGGCCGACCGGGCGTATACGTAATTTACCATACAATGGCAACGGGCAACAGCCCAGCAACATGCAATTGTGGCGCTGCTGTCATGTCATGTGTTGCACAGATTTTCCGCAATGGCAACATGCGAGTATGCAGCATTCCAAAACCGCTGACGATGCCCCCAAGACGTGCGTGCTCCGATTGCCCAGCTTCCATTGGAAATACTTAGCCTACTTATGCTTATCGCCCGATTTGCCGATTGGCTGCCAATTTCCCAGACGAAAACTGCAGGGATTTTGCAATTAGATCCACGGAATGCAAATGATCTGCACGCTGCACTCTCTCAAGTTCGTTTCCCAAGTCTTTTGTTTGCCAACTCAAAAAGGAGCTCTGAAAAAGCTGCGCCGTCAGTTGATGTATTGTTAGCCTCAATCATAACTTAATAAGCTTAACAATTATATTGATTATATAATCATAATCATCAATAGTTATTTAAGGCAGAAAGAACTATGAGAAAAATTACAATTGAATTATAATAATTAAGTCCGGAATAATTACTTTCAGCCAAAATAAATTTGTTTTATAAATATAATCAATTGTATTTAAATTTTAAGGCATCACTCAAAATTTGAGATCCAGTTGAACTTTATTGTACCCGTAATTAAATATTCTATTGAATATTCTAGTGAATGTTTAGGCAATAAATTTAAAGTTACTTTTGTTTTATAGTTCGATTTACATTTAAAATGCTCTCCCTATTTATTTGTTAATAAGAGTTAACACATTTATTTACAAGAAAATTGTTTCTAGTCTCCAGCTCTTGCTCCTAGTTCTCCGGCAGCGATCAGTGCGCCTCCTCCTTTTCCTCCTGCTCCACTGACCACTCAACATGACTTGGGGGATTCTCGACTTTGGCCACAGCTTCGTTCGTTCCGCTTCAGAAGTACCTAAACCGCGTGGAGTACGGACTTCCGAAGAAGTTGTATGTCGCATAGGCGGTGTCGGGTGTCTGGAATGTGGTGCTAAAGTACGTTGTCGGATCCCCGGCCGCAACCGCCACAGCCGCCACAGCCGCCGCTGCTGTTCGAACGAGCAAACAAAAGCATTTTAATTGGGTTTCTCACTCTCGACGCGGCATGATTAATATTGGATTATTGGGCAAGTGCACTTGGTGGGGGTATTAATTGTGGTGCCGGGTGCCAAGTGCCTAATGCCGAGTGCCAAGTGGTGAATTCCAAGCGTGGGCGTCACCCAATGACACGGCTCGAAGGTCGGCGCCGGATTCAAAGCTCGCTCCGTCAATCACAATCGCCACTGCAATCACGGAGTCGACGTCACAGTCATTTGGCCGATCGCCTTTGCTTTTTTGTCCACCGATTCGTCCGTCGTCCGTCAGACAACGCCCAGCCACTTTGTATAGAATGTCGGTCACATTTGACCACTGCGAGTTGCCCTGCCAAGCGGTATGTACACTGGGATTAAAAATGATCTCAAAGAATTTTAGAAATATAATTGCATAACAATATCAACCACTCAAGTATATTGAATTTCTAGTTCAAATATTTAACAAATAAAAGAAAAGTAAATTGCTAAAGATCAAGTTTGTTTCCTAAGTTTTTTGTTTTGGGAAAACCAAAATCTTTTACTTTAAGGAAGCTTTCCCCCATAACTTTTCCTTGTGTAATTGCGGTGGGTGGTTGCGGCTGGAGATTGGGGATTGCCCAATTGCCAACCAATCGCCGCTCGAATTCAAGAGTGGAACTAAATCAAGAAGAGGGAATGGCGGTGGTAGGGGGGCAACAGAAATTCGGGGCGGGGAAGCTGCCATTAATCTACGCCAGTCTTGGGCAATTGTTACGCTTCGGTTTCAGTTATGGATTGGCGCTGCTATAACCATTACCATATTACCACCAGCGGGTCTCCTAGCCGCAGGCAGTCCTCATCAGGAAGCCGAATCCCAACTGCGTAACAATTCGGCTTTATGAGTTTATGGCGGCTTTTGGGGGAGAGAGAGAACCTTTGGCATGCAAAGTTAATTACACAATGGCCTGGTCCTTGTTGGCGGCTCTCAGGCTTTTTGGTTTTTGCGGCAATCGTGCATAAATTGTCAAATTGTAAAAATTATCTCAACTTAGCGTCGTTGCCTTCGAACGCTTTTCTTTCGTTTTTTTTTTTGTTCCAGTCCATTGTGAAATGTCTCTCCATTCATTTGTACAATGAGTTCGAAGTCGGCGTCGATGTCTGAGTTGGAGTCCTCCGGTTCCCGCAGAAAAAGTTGCTCCATTTCTGCATGCTCAATATCGATATGCAAAAACAGAGCAAGCTGCGCTCGCAAAAAGCAAAAAGCGCTGAAATCAGAAACTGCCAGCATATTTTGCATGCGGCAAAAGCAAAGTCAGCCGAGTCGCATTAGTCGCGCATATCATTGACTTCGTCTGGCTAAAGTCTGCACTGTGCCATGCCATTCCTCCAATTCTCCATTCCGCGCCAGACGAGATTCCGCTCCTACTTCGCATTGAATCCGGCACGGGACCATTTGTGGTCTCTGCCAGAGTCGCGAATCGCAGGCAGCAATTGTTGCCCCAGCACCTGCTTCTGCTCGGATCGTTAGGGAAACTGTTTGTATTCTGCGCTACCTAAGGGTATCTTGATGCAGCTGGGGATTTTGGTTCTATTAATGGAAACAATCTACATACATAAAAAAAACTTAAGCAAGAAATCAACCAGAACATCAATATCTATAACAATGGACTTTCGAAATCATGAAGCATAAATTTGATATATTTCCCACCCCTGCTAATAATCGTATAGAATTTAATTTCAATTCAAATTTAATTTCAAAATGCTTAAGACAGCACACTTTCAAATCATAGATAAATAATTTATATATACAAAAAAAATGTAGGTATGCATTTCAAATTGAGTTCTCAAGTTCGTTGCCTAAGTCTTTTGTTTAACAGTTCTATTTCAAAGTTTAAGCAAACTCGTAAAAACCAAAATTAGCTTTCTAATTTGTTTCCTTAATCTTTTGCTTGGCAACAAAAATTCTATAATTAATTTCAGTTTTGTGATTGATTGTTAATGGATATCTTGTAGAAATTGTTCTCAATTTACTTTTTATACCTCCTAAAAGTTTAAATCACTTTCTGTTACCCTTGGGATTGTTTCTTGTTCCCTGCTAAGATCACACCCAGATAGCCGAGGAACACAACACCTAAACTGGCTTATCTAACCATTTGCATAGGCATCATTTTGTCCCGCTCCTTGGAATCCATGTGACCACAATTCAGCCACCTGGAGTGCAAGTGGAATCCATGTGACCACAATTCAGCCACCTGGAGTGCAAGTGTTCCTTTGCGGCTTCCCTAGCCAAGTGTGAAGCTGCTTTTCTGGCCGAGAAGAGCATGTCTTGGTCGGACTGGAAGTGGTCACAGTCGATGGTTTCCCCGGTTTCCGTCTACGTTTTCGTTGGCGTCTGCGTCCCAGTCTCAATTTTCCCGCCATCCGATCGCAGTGCCGCCGCACTTCAAAGCCGGATCGGAGCTGTTAATTAGGCGCTAGTTTTATGTGCGCTTAAAATAATTGCCACCAGCGTGATCACTGATCAGCGATTCGAGTGCTTGTATCCAAATACGAGTATAAAAAACATAAGTACAAATCAAACGGTGCATTGGCAAACGATAAATGCAATTCAAAATGCTGCGAACAAAAGTTGGTGGTGTTTGGTTTTTGGTTTTTAATATTTTTCGGTTTATTCATAATTTAAATTTAGCTTTTGGTTACAAATAAAATAAGGTAAAATAAAAGGTAAAATCATAATACAATTCCAATTTGAAATATATAAATTAAAAAGAAGCAGAAATCATAAGACAAATAAAAATACGAAACGAAACAATAAAGTGGAAATTAACATTGGGTTTTTGTTTGTAGCTAATTAAACTAACTAATGTTAAGATTACTTTAGGGGGAGGGGAAAGGAGGGGAAGAGCAGGTGGGGGCCAAGTTAGTGGGTGTTTTAGTGGGTGGCCAAGGGGGACGCATTTCCGTTTCCGGTGCAAATAGGTGCGTGTGTGTGTGTTTGTTGTGCATTCGTGTGCTTTGGGTTAATTACTGGTAATCGGTGTGTGTTTGGTGTTGTGGTGTGGGGAAGATTTGGTATTCGGTGTGGGGAAGATTTATTACTTTAACCAGAGAGTTTTCCTGCGAATAAGACATTTGAGTGGATTGCAAATTACTGGGCAATTATTTAACAATAACAAAAAGAAATAACAAAAAACACGACTACATATTGCACTAATAAAGCTTTTCTCTTTTAGGAGTGTGTGTGTGTGTGTGTGTGGTTGTTGGTATCTAAGTGAGTGAGTGAGATGGAGGAGCATCTATCTCTTTTTGTTTGTTTGTTCAGAAAGTGCGTTTAATGAGGTTCGCATTACTTTGCTGGGGCGGCACAAATCCGTATCCGGAGGCGCCGACGACCACGCCGCTGGACTCGTCCACTGCATCTGGCGGGGAGGGGGGGAACACCACGGGTCCTGTGGGGAAACAAAGGGGAAAAAGTGTGGAAATGTGTATAAAAGAGTAGTACCCATTTGGAATTGTTATTAAAGGTGTATTTCTATAATTCATAGTAATAGTAGGTTACCAAAAACTATATCTGAACAGTTTAAATTATATTTATTAAAGTTTTTTTTAATGATAGGGGAAAATAAATTTTAACTCTTTAGATTGTTGCTTTGTATATTTATTAGTCGAATAAAAACATATAATTATAATATGTATATAATGTGTGAAACCAGTTTAATTGTATAGTGAGTAAAATACTTTTAAAAAGTGTTCTTTTACGTTTTTCAACACTTCACTGTTATTATTTTTAAAGAGAAAATTACAATCATAGCCATTCACAATTAAAAATAATATTTGAGACATTAACTAGCAGTAAAATAATACAATTAAAAATGGAGATATTCTTTAGAGATCCAAATTAAGTTAAAGATAAATACCAACAAAATCCCGTACCCATATCCTGCATACTCACCTCGGTTCTGTCGAGGATCCCGCACCTGTGTGGCGGATGAGGGACCCGCTAGCGCCACGGGATCGAATCCGAACCTGCCTCGGCTGGGACCGAACTGGCCCAGAAAGTATTGCTGACCCGCGGCGAAGGCCACGAAGAGGCTGAAGAGGGCGGCGATGGTGACTAACTGCAAGTGGAAGTGGACAATGCACATTTGGTTAGCTGGGTATTGTTTCGATTTCATGCTGAATGTATAGTAAACATATGGCTAAGAGGCATGCACGGGCCAATTGCACTGGTTACACACGTTGGCCAAAGCAATTAAGCCGTGGAAATGTGTGCCAATGCCATAAGCCGACAATTAAATACCGAACACAAGACGCAGAATGCTACCAACTACAGTATGTTTGTGGAGCTCGCTTTCGGCCCGGTCAAGTGCAGTTGCCTTGAGCACGAGCCGGGCCAGAAGCCCAGAAATGCCGAGAAGCCAAGAAGCCGAGAAAGCCAAGAGCCGGAGTGCCAATTGCCAAGTGCCAAATAGCCGGAGTGTCAGTTCCAGTTCGCCTCCGTTTCGATTTCTGTTCTGGTCGATGGGCCAAAAGACCCCAGCAATTGGCCAAGTCAATCGGTGGAGCACTGGCCCATGACGAATTTATGACAAATACGGCCTAATTGCATCTTGTTGGTAATAGGGGAATTACCCAGAGGTAAATTCAAGGAGGCAATGGCTCTTATATTTCGAGATTATTAACATTTTTGTAGCTATTAAATGGTTAAACAAATATTGGAAAGAATATGATTTGAATATCCGTTTAGAACTCTCTTACATTTTGATATAATATTTAGTTTCAATTAAGAGCACCTGTATTGTTTTTTCTTTAGCCAATCTAAGAACTATCTATTTCAATACTTTGTTTCATAAACTTTTAAATCAGTTTTTTTAATTATAATAATGGGATTTTAAGAGATATGTATCAATTTCGTAATCACCTGATAAATTTTGATTGCCCACATATTAACTACTTCCCAGCTGATTCTTTTTCGAAACACTTAAATATAACTCAGAGACACCTTCTCCAATCTCTGATTTTACATGGCTTAAACGAGTGAGCGTTTCGTGTTTAATTGATCATTTAACAACTCAGTATGTGGCGGTTGTTGTTGAATTGCAAGTGCTTTAGGAAAATAAAATCTTAATTACAGGCTGGACTCCAGGAAGTTGTCCACCGATTTGCGTGGCTCCCAAGGCACACTAAATTAAAATCAAGCAGGCCAGTGCAGTGGGTTCCTTTTATATTGTGTCTCAGGCAAAATTGAAAGCCTCGAAAAGCGGAGCCAATGGAAAATGTGCGCTTTTTGCGGCTTGTTGAATGCACATCACGTTGAGCCGCCACAACTTCGCCGAAGTGTGATAAATTTGTTAAATAGCAATCACGGCTGCGATTATTTTCCCACTGACCCCAATCTCGACGATCGCCTGGGATGCTAATGGACTCGGCGGAGGTGGGTGGGAATGGGGGCCACATGCTGTGCAAATTGTCTGGCTGACTGGTCCATAAATCCCCAAACGATTCGGACCTGTGTCGAACGTCTTAGTTAAGGCCGTCACTTGCTTGGCAGACTGACTTTAATCATAGGGCATATTTGACTTAATAGAACGGGTTTTTCTTTTCCATTTTTATTATGCTTTGTTTACCCCATTGATTGGACAATCGACCCAACTGCACCCGTTGCTCACATGCACTATATATGTATAAGTATATAGTTTGTACCTGCTAATGCAAATGTTGCCAAATTCTCGCGAGCCTCATTAATTGTCTAATGGGCCGCGCCTTCTATGTTTTTTTTTGAGGGATCAAAACAGACCCTCTGGGGTTTAAGTTGCAACAATAACGCTAATTGCTATTAGACAAAATATGCTCCGAAATAATCACAAAATATGCAAACAAGGCGGTCGCAAAGTTAGTTGCCAACAAGCCAACGAGACTTGTGAAAAAATTGTTTTAATTAATTCGTGTTTGCCGCCGCTGTTTTTTTGTTTTTATTTTCTTGCTCTTGTTGTTGTGCCTCCAATTTTTTTGGCCTGGCCGAAGACTGCGAGGCTGTTGCCACATCCAAAGAGCAAAAAACAGTGGCGCAGGAATCGGTTTCAGCGAACAGAGTTCTCAAGAGCGGCGAACATGAGATCGTTAAGGGAAATACTGACAAACTACAGGAAAACAAGATTACAAGTGTGCTACAGGTCTGTCATTTTAAGTCACTTGAGTAGTGACTAATGATCTGATCAGGGGATTAAGCTATGGATAGTCAGTAATTCATTTGCAACGATTACTTCATAAATTTTAACTAGAAACTGCGGAAGCAACTTTAAATGCTTTTTGTTTTAAATGGAATTTTGAGGTTTTATAAATGAATGATTTTAAAGTTAGAACGAAATATTGTGTATAATTTCCATTAATTTTTAAATGATTGTAACCCCATTTAGTAACGTGGTTTTGAAATTCTTGAATATCAACTAATAATTCAGAAACTGATGTCATTCAATCGATACTAATAAACCACATTCATTCTTTTAGACATTCTATTTAGTTTGTAATTGATGTAAAACCTATCAAACTTCCTACGTAAATGCTTTAAACAGAAATCAGACACAAACAGCTTGTGAAGGAGGCTTTCAAAACAGCCATAAACAAATTAGATCCATCTGTCTTGACCATTGCATTTGATTTTTCCATCGGTTTGGGTTTGGTTTTGGTTTCGCTTGTCGACATCGATTTTCCCCTTCATCTGAGCCACTGGCCGGCAATCTTGGCCAGCAAATTTTAGCCACTGCCAGTCAACGGACTCTGCTCTAGACCAAAAAACACATGTAGCCGTCAAAATGTCGTCAGTTGGCTGTTTGCATCTGGAGGAATTCCGCGAATGCCGCACGAGCGAAACTCACAGATGCCGAATTTGAAAGTAATCGTTTTGGCTAATTTAGTGGCTTTTAATTGGGGCTAATTAGCGGGTGGTTGCGGTTAAATTGGGAACAATGCCTGCGGTCTTCTTGGGCTGCCGATCCCCTTTGCTCCTCTCAAAGATTCCGACAAATTAGCCGAACAAATGACCTTAGATATGATTTCGTAATTGGGCGACTTGGGCCGCCATAAAACACTCCACTTTGGAGCAGCAGAAACCACACCAGAAACCACACACAATTCAGATATCGAGGCACGCAGACAACCGCTTCGGAATTGGCGGCTGCTGTTGGCCAACGGCGGCTCATGTGAAAAACATAAAAAAAATAGAGAAAAAAAACGGGCAAGAAAATACACCACCCACCCACAACAATGATTAAGTGCAGCAACATGTGAGCGTGCCAGCGCATATAAAGCCAAGTAAAAAAAGAGTTAAAAGTGAAAAATCACTAAGCTGCGACAACCACAGCCACAACCACTTGGAGCACCACCGACCATGGTCGAAGCGAAACTACATTGTCTCGTTAGCCCCAAACGCTGATAGCCCCTGGATTTGGGGTATAATAGCGCTGTCATGCCGCAGATACTATATACTAATATCGGAATAACTCCCTGCAGGTCGACTCTCGACTCGTGGCAGTTGCAATTGAATTAAATTTGAATCGTTATCTTTGTTTTCCTCGAGGAGTTATAACTTCAAAATAAGATTATTAAGTAATAGTTTGCACGATAAATGGATTTAACCATAGATAACTATGTTTATTGGAAAGCGTATCATTTTCGTAAGCTATTTAGGCATTATTGAAATTAAATTGTAATATTTATATGCTTAATGAAAACTAATAACTTGCCAAGTGTATTTAAGGAACCAACGAAACAAAAGTCTAGTTACTGATTGCAATTTTTCACTTAATTAATTGCTTATTGGTTATTACCTATCAGAAAACAAAGATCTTTACAATTGAATTGTATAGTTTTCCTACCCAAAATTCCCAAACTGCTCTACTTAAACCACTGTCACTTTCCGATTGGTATGATTGGTATTTCTATTTCTGTATTACTCCCTTCATATTTTCAATTTTATTTCTCATTTATGCACTGGCATTTATTGGCGTTTAGTTTTTGATTGGTTTCCAATGTGCCGTAAAAAATGAATTATATTTATAGCTCGGCCAACTCAACAGGTAATCGAAAATGCACATTCAATGGGTTCGAAATTCAATTGCTCCAGAAGTTCGAAGCCATTTAAAAATTTGCATGAGTCAGAGGGAACCTGGAAAGGCCAAAATCAAAAAAAAGCTGATGGATATCCAGGTGGCAGGCGAGCAGCTGCTAATTAATCTTGTTTATGTTTAAACGATTTGTCATTTGCCCATTTTGTCGGGCGTAATTAATTTTATGTGAAAACTACACGCAGTTGGAAAAGTGAATGTGATTTGCGGTAGACAATTGAACTCGCCCCGAAAACACGAGTTATTATTGTTATCTTTTCTTAACGATAGCAACGCCCAGTGTTGCTGGCTCATTTTTCCTTCAATTTTATCTCTCCTTAATTTTTTGGCAGAGGGGTCAATGCTCGATTGAGCAACGATTTGGCTTTGGATTTGGCTGACTTTCAACACGGAAGCTTGGATGCTTGAAAGCTTGGGAGTTAAGAGTTAAGAGCTCGGAGGTTTGGACGCTCGAACAACGCAAATAACACCGCTTGTCCGAAGCTGGATCGGTGCAAAGTGTTTGGATGTATAGTAGTAGTAGGTGCAACCAAAGAGAAAAAAAATAGTAACAGCTACAAAGCAAAAGCAACAGAAAACTGAAAAACTGAAAAGCTGAAAAGCGATACAACAACTGACGACGACTGCCGCTTCAAATTACTTTGAATTGTGTTTAATAGGTGGGAAATGGAGTCAGTTGGCGATTTGGTGAGTTGTCCAGTTGACTTCGTGGCCCAGCTGCCCCGTTGAGTTTGTTGCCCAATCTATTGTCAATTGTAATTGAATTATTAAACATCAATTTGGCTAGGAAGTGCACATTGCAAACGGCAAATTGCCCAGCCAGCGGTCGTGCCAGCGTGAGAATCGAGATTTTTCCTTTTTCCTGCCGCCGCCACCCAGCGAAATGGGTTCAAGTTCAAACTGGTTTCTGGTTTCCCTCAGCTGCAAACTCGGCCAAATTTGTATCGTTTAGAGTCTGACAAAATGCCAAACACAGCGCCAGACGACGACGCACATGCCTCATAAATATGGTAATGGACCGCGAATATCCAGCTGAAATGCCATACTTTTCGCAACTGTCCGTCGCATGTGGGCTGCGTTGAGTTTTGTGCCCCGAGAACTGGACATGTGTACCACCAAATGCACTTGCCATGAGCACCGCCAACTGACCGACCTGACGACTGGCCAACTGAGTGACTGACTGCATGGACACATGGACATAAGCTTCAGCTTCAGCTCCAGCAATCTGGGTACACCAGCTATCTGGGTATCAGGCTATCCGAATCCCAGAGTCGTGCGATTGCGACAGCAACGCGAAAGCTAGAAATCCTATGCCAACTCCAACGCTAATCGCCGTCGAGCGACAGAAAAGCATAATAAAAATTGTTTGGCCCGCTCCGTCCGATGGGACGATATCGAATGACATGGCCTGGAGTCCCAGATGGCGGTGTCTCCGTTGGAGGAATGTCCCACTCCTGCCTGCAGAAACTGAAGTGTTCAATGGTCGCCAAAAGCTGACTTAAATGCAACTCCTTGAAAGTTGTAAATCGAAACGACTTTAAGAGAATTTGCACAGCTGAAGGATTATTACGTATATTACATGGATTAAAAACCTATAAAAAATATTCTGAAGTTAGAAAACTATTAAGTTTTCTTCTCAAATATCTAAAAACTTTTCTGGACCAGAATAAAACTTCTTAAAATGTTCTGGCTTACTTAAAATTTTTTTAAAATTCACTTCACATTTTATAAGATTTATTCCAACCATTTCCCTTACATTTTTACATTCTTTTGCAAGAGAGTGTGTCGATATCTCCAACTCACATAAAACCCGCAAAAAATTAAACAAATAGGAGGAGAAAAAAGAGTGGCAGCGGTAATTATGCATGGAGTGGACTTGTCGTCGTCCCCGCACTTGGGCATTGGCCAATCGCCACTTTCCGGCGTGACATCTTCATTAGGGGGAAGCCAAGCGCAACCGAATCCAAAGACCCAGATCCGAAAAAAAAAAAATACAAAAAAGCACAAAATACGACATCAAATTGTACAAGTACGTATGGCAATTAATTTGAATTTCCACACGCAAAGCGTGCAACATTTTAGCGGACGGACATCTTTTTGGAGCGATTAACCCGAGAAGGGGAACAAAGTTTGTTTGGCTGAGAGCAATTAATAAATCTTGTTCGTGTGCACGGTCGAATCCTAATCGAGAGCGACGTTGATTGCGGTTTCCCAGGGTGCCAGTTTTACCCCCCATTTCCCCCTCCTCCTTCCATTTCAGCACCCAAACTCAAAGATATTGCATAAGCCATTTTCCAATGCAATGCACGCTTGCATTTTTATAATGTTTAAGTTTGGTTTCAGCGTGTCTCTCTTATTTATTTTTTTTTTTTATCCACGCACCGTTTCGGTTCATTTGATTCATTCATGGCTGCATCTGGGGTTTGGTTTTCGTTTTTGGCCAGAGAGCCGGCTTGCTACACGCAATTGGTAACGAGAAGTTGGTCAGCCGGCCAACTGGCAATTGGTCTTGGCTTTGGCATTTCAGCTTTTGGCTTTTGGTTGTTGGTCATTGGCCATTGGCGCGTGTGTATCGCACTTTTCAATTAAGTTACAAAACGCATGCCCCAGCACGTTTTCAGCTTGTTTTCTTGTCCGATCTGTCTGCCAGCCGTCTGCGAACTGAGCCCCATTCCCCATCTCCAAAAACCCCTTGGCCATAAATCTCAGTGGCCTTCAACGTGAACTTGAGATTTGTTATTTTTTTTATTTTTATCTTTTTGCGCGCACGCCTGTGATTTTGCGTGCGTTTCCCATGTAATTGCTGGCTACTCGAGTTGATTGCCCACTGCGGAGCGGAAACTCTTTGGACTTCTTATTAAATCTGGTTAGTGGCGTATAATTTCGCGTTTCATTGACCCATAAAGTATATGACATGATTCAGAATTCGCTGGGAAATCAAGCCAACGTTTATGAAAATTAGTTAAATTAACCACTTGGCTTTACCCACTTGAGCGGAATGCGTAAAGGGTTTTATTTTCTGTGCTGGTGAGTAACTCTGAGTTGGAAATATTCAAATGCTAAGCCCAATCAATTCATTAAAAATTTATCTGTAACTTTTGCATTTTGAATTTGCTCATACGTAGATTTTTGTATTTCTGAATGAAATGCATTGTGAAAACCAGTTTGTTAAAAAAATACAAATACAATTTAATTGGCGGAAATATAACACAAATCATTTAGAATATGACTGATAACAGTTTTAATATAATATTTGAAAGAATTAATGATTGCATAAAATTAAACATTGACTAACCAAACATTTGAAATTATTCATTTTAAACCAATAACTTTTTGATGTGACAATAAAAAGCGAACTGGTTTTGTTAAGGAATCAAACGAAAGTGAAAATACAGAATTACGAAATGCAAACTTTTATGTGAAATTAAAAGAAATTTAAGTTCAAATATTAAGGCAAGCTGGCCAGCATTCCGAACGCTCATAAACTTCTTATCGAGATCGAATTATGCCGAAAAACCTTGTTCGAAATATGCATATTTTGGCCATACGAATTCAAATTTTCATCCAATTTTCAGCGCCTTGAACGTGGATGGTCACCGAAAATAATGCACATAAACTTATATGGCGTATGGCATGGATTTGGACATATCGAGAGGCGGTGGCCTGGCTTTCATGGCCCGCTGACACACGATGCCGTGGACCGACCATAAATTAGAGTGCCAGGGCCCAATAAAAATTCTTGGATAGCGAACAATAAGGCGGTCGACCGCAGCAGTCAGTTGCCAACTGTCAAACCGAAATAGTTGACTTCATTTGCGGCTTAAACGAGGCTCAAACGTGTTAACAATTACGGGGCATTAGCGGCCGATGCAAATGCTGTGTGACAATTGTCCCGCGAAACGAAAGACTTAGGCAACGAACTTGCGAGGGAAAACCCGAAGGAAATACTTACGAATTTCATATTTGCTGGTTGATTGAACTGCGTTGATTTGCGTGCGAGAAGCTGCAATTAGTTAACAAATATTTGAATTATATCTGGCTTAAACACTGACACTTTTCATTTGCTTGACACGAAAACGCTTTAGCTTTGAATTTATAATTGACTGGTATTTCATTAATTATTTTTTTTTTTGCGTTTGTTTAGTGAATTCTTGGGTTTCGAGTTTTGTCAACAAATGCAACAATGCGTTATTTTGATGGGTTTTTTTTTTTAGCTTTTCATTTCGATTCGTAGGTTATTTATGGATGGCAACCGACGGGCACGCGAAGCCAGGAAAAACTACTGAATCCGCAGGCTGTGTGAACTGCGGAGTGTGACTACTATAGTACTCCAAAAAGCTGGGGTCTTACACGATGGACTTATGTGTATATATATATTCGTGTTCGGGCTTTTGGATCTCGGATCTCGAAAGTCGAATCTCGGGTCTCTCGAACGACTGTACGTCGGCCTGTGCAGTAAAACGTTTAATGAATTCCAACAGATATGCTCAGTTGATTTTATATAAAGCATGGCCCGATCTCTGCCGCCGTCGACGGCGCGGTCGTGCGTTTGTTTTGAGTGGATTTGTTGTTTGTGTCGGCGGCGGGAGTTTGAGTGAGTTTTTCAGTTTTTCGCAGCGTTATGTTTTGGTCTACGTGATATTGGCTCTTGCCTTCACCCCCGGCCACGTGATGTTTGTTCTCTGCAAGGGGATTCGGAATCGGAATCGGCTAATGGCATATGGTAAACTGCAGTGGCTGACAATTCAACTTTCTAGCGAATCAATATTCATCGTCTCGGTTCCGGCAACCAGTTTTGGGTGCATAAAACGAGTCGATCAGCTGGCGATGCTGCCTTATGCAAATCCATAATATCTAGCATATAGTATGTAATTGGAAAGCTCGCAAAGCAAGCAACACCTTGACTTGATTGCAGGTGAAAATATATCAACAAGTTGGCCGGCAATGTTGGCGGGCATTTGGCAATTTCTTCCGCCTCGTTTGCTTCCACTTGACCGTGAATTTTACGCTGGAGACGCGTTCGATTTAAATGACAATTTACGTTACGCTCGCTTCTGTGATTAAGAATATGGCAATATGCATAATCTGAATCATAATTATGTGCTCACAATACGCTCGTTCTCAGCCGGAAGCGTAGAATTCCGTGCCCCATAGAATCCGGCGGCTTCTTTTCTTTTTTTTTTTTTAAGTCCCGCTAAGTGAATTGTTAAACGATTGACATTTATTCCGCCAAACGTTTGCTGCTGTGTGGCCCTTTAAAAAAAACGAAAAATAAAACACGGCGATAAATGTGAAATTCATGAGGAATGCCTGTCATGCTTGATTAGCTTTAATCTTATACGATTTGCACACTTGTTTGCTGCTATGCGAGCAATGCGTTGTTGTGTTGGACTTTTCATGTTAGTTGTTTAATGCGATGATGGATCGAGGGAAAGGGGAGCTGGCTGGAGGGGAGCGGGGGATGAGGGCAGCGGGAGCGGGAGCAAGTTCAAGTTCAAATCACAGCTGGCCACAAAAGCGCCTTGGCTGGCTGCAACCAACCGCCAAAGTCGAAGCGATTGACTAACAAGCGATACTCTGCGGAAAGGGTTATGCTAACTATAAGTTTGGTTTTCCAAATTAAAAGAACTAGAAAAGGTGGTTATTCGTATTAAAGGGAGTTGTAGATATTAAAAGAAACTTAAATCTATTGGGGGTGCAATACTAGCAATATAATTTGACTTTTGAAGAACAAAAAGCTAAATAGTTCAAAGCTTAAAATAGCTTTAATGAATTCTTGCAACTTATTTGGTTTTTATCTTTGATTTTTGTTTATCCCAACTGTTTTAATGTTTCTCCAAAATGTTTAGTTTGATTTATCGTTCAGCCTGAAACTTATTTTCAGCTTTATCTAGGGTAAATCCACTGCAGTTGGTAGCACAATCCAATATTGGCCAGGGTATTGTTCGACTGGCCTTCCGTTCTGTTCTCTTTGGTTTTTGCATTGTCTTCAGTCGACGGCGAGAGGGTCAAGTTCAGTTTCAATTGCTGTAAGCGAGGCAATTAATGCGGCTAATTGTTGATTGCCATTGATTTATGCTGAATCAATTAGCCAATTGCCTTGCGCGTACTTTGGCTTTCTTTGCTCGATTCGGCAGCAATCGATTCGGCGGCAGCAGGTTATCAATCACCGAGCGGCCTCAGATTTGCCCTGGTCGTTTTGGCCTGGCCGCAGGTTATTGCCACTTTGAGGAATTGAAAAGTGCGGCTTGTTTGGGCCTGAACTTGTCCGCACATGACAGCCGGATAGCTGTAGTTAATAAATGAGCTTTTAAGCGTGCTACTAATTGCCAGATTCTATATGTCTATAAATAGTCTCTGATGCGATGGTCTAGCTATGATAATCGCCACATCCTGCTGACGATCGGGGTGGGAAACTCAGGTCCACGAGCCATTAATCATGCGTAACTTTCATTAGGGAGCCTTTGGCAGCCGCCACTCCCAGAATCGAAAAGCGCTGTAACCCAAAATAACCGCCATATCTCACTCCGTACCCATGAGGAAGTCGATCGATCGCACAGGTGACTCAAATTGCGGGGCGACAAGAACGAATGCCGCAAAAAAAAATATATCTCTCAGCGGAAACTGGCTCAGATAATACTCACCTGCAGCTGTAGTTTGTTGTTGTTGTTGTTGGTGTTGTTGCTGCTTTTGTTTGGGGAGGTGAAAAGTGAAATGATTTCATAAATGACTGATATAATTAGGCACGTTATATGCCAATTAGCGGCGTGTTGAGGAAGCAACCTCCGCGAATCTCCGCCGCCTTTCACAGGTGACACATCTTTCACCGTTAGCCGCACTGCTAATTGTGCCCAAATGTGCCTTTGAATTGGAATTATTGCATTATTGCCTTGCCGGGGTTTTCTCCTGCCGCATTTGCATCACCATTTGTCACCCGTTCTCACGACTCCGAGACCTTGACAATGACCCCCAAATCTCGGAGAAGGAGGAAAACTCTTGGTCGAACTGGTTTTCCCGCCCGTTTTCCCGCCGATCAGATCAAATCGAAAAGCCGAAAGAGCCAAATGTGAAGCCCGAGGCGTGAAGGCGCCAATGTGCGTGTGCAATAAGCCATAAAAACGTCTCGCACCATGAAAAACGGGCTGTGCGTTGTTGCTGGCGTTGTTGTTGGCGTTGTTGTTGTAATCGGGTCCAAAGCGATTAATATGCAAACTGGTTGGACGCGTGAATTAAGCGCCGCCAAAAGAGGGGAAGCTGTCCAAAACAATAATTTGCAGTCATCATTTGTTGAGTGGTCTTAGCTGCACTTCCGCAAGAAAATTGTGCCACATTTGCTGGCCAAAATCACAAAAATCACAAAAAACAACTATTTGTATTAAAGGAATTTTGATTACTATTTTTAACGTTACCAAAATGAAACATCAAAAACTTCCTTTTTAATTTTAAACTAGATTGGATATCAAAAGATAAGGCAAACATTTTATTAATAATCTAACCAAAAAAATATTATATATAAAAAATAATAATAAATTACTTTAATCGATTTATGTTAATGAAACAAAACAAGTGTACAGATCAAAGACATTTATGTTTTATACCTTTGCAGAGGATGATTTAATTTCAGTCAATTGTAATTGCATTTTCATTAAAATTGAAAAAAAAATCGGAAAAAAATAAAAAATTTACTTATATACTGTTCGTTAAAGAATTAATATACACATTTTTTTTAATTTGGGTTTGCTGAAAATTGGCCAAAATGCGCAAATTCTAAGTCCAAAACTTTTGACGTCAATTTTATTTTAATTCTTTTAAAATTGATATACATTGCAGCTAACAGTAGATAAGCAGTTTGATAGCACTTACCGACGCAGTTTAGCAATCGATAGGCTAGCGATAGTTGCCAGTCACAGTAAATGACTCACAGCAGCCCACCACTAAAAGGCCGGCGAAAAAAAGTCTGCAAAATATTATTTTCGGTGTAGCTTCGAATATAACTGGGCCACCGAATGCAGCCATGACCAATCCTCTGCGCGCACATTCTTCCCTGGCGTTGCTGGCGCTTTTCGTGGTCCCGTTGGCGGTGCTCGGCCAGGCGGACGAGCCCAGGGAGCCGGATTACATGAAGCGGGAGCACAGTCTGGTGCGTCCGTTCCAAGGTGGGTAATTGGGCAGAGATAATATGGAGTACGTGTACCTCTAACTCGGCTTGAGCTCCGTTGCAGGCGTGGGCGTTATCCTGCCACACTGGGACTTCCTGGGGAACACTATGGTGACCAGCAACTACATAAGACTGACGCCGGACTTGCAGTCCAAAAGCGGCGCCCTTTGGAACTACTCAGTAAGCAGTCGAAATGATCTATATTTGACTTTCTGAGTCATTTTTTCTTGTATTTAATTTCTAGCCTGTGATGACCCGTAACTGGGAGATTCATGTGGGCTTCAAGGTGCACGGAAAGGGCACTGAACTTTTTGGTGATGGCTTCGCCATTTGGTACACAAAAGAGCGGATGAAAACGGGACCGGTGTTCGGCAGTAGCGATCATTTCTCCGGGTTGGCCATCATCCTGGACACCTACAGCAACCACAATGGTCCACACAATGTATGAGGGCTAAAGCAATGAAAATACCTTATCATTAACCTATACTTTTCAGCACCAACATCCGTATCTCAGTGCCATGGTGAACAATGGCAGCTGGAGCTACGACCACGATCGTGATGGAACGCACACACAGCTGGCCGGCTGCGAAGTCCGCTTCCGCAATGTGGACTATGAGACGCTGGTTAGCATTCGATACGAAAACGATATTCTGTCGGTGTCGACGGATCTGGAAAACCGAAACGAGTGGAAGAGCTGTTTTGTCGTCGCCAATGTGGAGTTGCCCACGGGCTACCACTTCGGCTTGTCAGCCACGACGGGAGATCTGTCTGATAATCACGACATTCACAGCTTCAAGTTCTACGACCTGGATTCAAACATAAATGTAAGTTCAAATCTTTTTTCAAAACCTCGGAAAGGGAATTCGCTTTACTTATCCGCCTGCTTATCGGCTAAAGAGTGCAAGGAACCCGAAGTCGGCGTTAAGTCATAATTTCTATATATAATTGTTTGGGAGCAATCTCCTAAAAAAAAAGAATGAACTTGTTTTTAATTGCCCAAACTTGCAATAATTTAGTTAAACACATTGAACGATTTCAAGTTGAAATAAAAACGTATAAATCTTTCAAAGGCTACAAAATGTTTGTCAAGCAGGGTGCGATAAAGATGAGTGTTTTATGAATATCACATTACTGTCGAAACCAGCTTTACTTCACTCATTCGATAAACAAAAATATTATTTTATTTACAGCACGATGAAATTATTCGACGCTCCAACATCATACCGAATGCCAAGACTTTCGAGGCGCCGCGAGAGCACAAGGACGATCCCAAGCCGGGCATGTCCAATGCCAAGATCTTCTTCATCCTCTTGTTCGTAGTCGTCGTGGCGGCGGCGGTGGCCATCTTCGCCATCTCCTACTTCAAGGATCGCAACGCGCGAAAACGTTTCTATTGAGCTCTCAAGCGCCCCGAGCCAGTCCATCAAAGCATCATGTTAGGAGTATTCCGGACCTCAGTTGATCCCAACTTTTATTTATATATACACACCCGACTGTATCCTTTTCTTATCACCCTTTTAGTTTCCTTAATTTGTTTTGAGAGGGTAGACATAATATTACACGTGTTGGCGAGTTAAATTTAAGTGCAAATTTTTAATCTGAACTATAGGAAAATTGAGACCGTGAGAATATTATTGCATAGACAAGATTAAAATCCACCAAATGAAATAAATGTGCTTCTCATTTAACCACACATCCGCTCCTACTGCTGGCGCCCGGCTAACATCGACTCGATCTGGCGCACCTGGTTGCTGACAAACCGATCCCGGGCACTCGTTTCCTGTCGCTGCCCTGGTGGTTCACCCTCTGTCTCAAGGGCGTCGTTGGACTTGTGCATGCCACTCAGGATGCACTGCTCGAACAGCGACTTGGATCGTGCATCATCGTCCTCGTCATCCAGAGAATCGTCCGAGCTGTAGTTGGGTTTATCGGCATCCTCTGACGGTTTCTTTTGCCCATTTGTCCGGGTTAGAGTGCTTGTGCTGGCATTGGCCACACTGGAACTGGTACTGGCACCACTTGGTTGGGGTCGACAGCTTCCCGCCGCAATGGCCTGGAAACAAGAAAAAAATTTAAGATAGTTTCCAGATAGTTTCTTGTTTTCAAGTCATTGGGATTACAAAGATTCTGATGAAACAATTTTCATCAACCTTTTTATAGCTTCCTACCTGACTAAGAAGATTACAGTCGTCATCCGAATCCATTGATAGAGAGCTTAGAGAGTCGCTTCTCTTTGGCGGCAGTCGCGGTTCTGCTTCCCCCTGAACTGTACTTCGTCTGGGGGGCAGCTTAGGTGCCTGTACTTCCTCCATAATCCTTGTGGGAAGCTTGGCAGCAGGACCCGCCTTAGCAGATCCCACCGTGAGATGAGACAGACCAGAAATAACCGAAAATGTGCAAGGACTATCCTCGACGTAATACTTGCTCATCTCATCCGAAACTGGCAAGTAACTGGGCAATCCACTGCCACCGCAGCGCATCTTGGAGATGGCGTCTTCTGCCGGAATCCGGGTGTCCAGACCGGGGACTTCTGCTCGAGGCGCACGGACTGGTTGCTCTTCGTTGGCATTCAAGTCGTTGGGAATGGAAAGAATTGACAGATCACTGTTGCTGGGCGCCTTAGAAAGCAATGCAGGAGTATCTTCCGTACAGTAACTACGAGGAGCATCCCCATTGCCATTAATGTCACTGGCAGGCTGTCCCCGATTAACGTTTGCATTGGAGTCATCCAACATGCTGAGATTACTTAGACTGGTGGCACAGGAGAAGGCGGCAGGAGTGTGCTCCACGTGAAATCTGTTCAACTTATCCTCGAACACATTGCCAGGTTTCCGATCTGGAGTCTCTGAAATACTTTGGGTGGGAATCTTACGATCCCTTCTCGGCGATTGCGGCATGCTTTGGGTTGGTGAATCGGGCAATTCCGAGGGGGAAATGACACCACTCTGCATACGGCTATACTCGCTTATTACGGAACCATTGTCCTCGCAGGGAATGGTCTCGTCGTCACCCACTAGGGAATCCATCGAGCTGCGACGAGAGAACATTAGAGGAGTCTCGAGTGCTGAATCAATGTTTTGTGGCGTATTTCTATCCAATTGTTCTGGTTGAACTAAAGGTTTCGTTGGCGTCTTCGGTGGCATACACTTTTCCGGCTTTTCCGTCAGGCTGTTCAGAGAATCGAAACGACTGAAGCTGCCAGGAGTTCCTTCTTCGCAATAGTTGATCGGGCGTTCTGCTGTGTCTGTTTCCGCTTCTCTCGGAAGTTTCTGCTTTGCTGCTGAAACCGCCACAAGTGCTGAATTATTACGCAGTTCTGTCGCTGAAGATGACTTCGCCAGTTGCAAGTCATTGCTTCTAATCTCATTGGTCTCCACCTTCAGATCCGGCTGAGCCGTCTGAGCGGATCGTCTTTCCTTATACCTAGCACTAAAGTCCGTGGGCTGGTCCAAGTCTATCTCAAAAGTCTTACTGCTACTTGGTTTGTGCTCAATGTACTTTATTGAGTAGTCAATTGGCTGCTCCTCCGTGGGAGTAACAATTTCGAATGGATTCTTAGCTCCCTCAGACTTGGTTGAGTACTTAGTGGAGTCAGATTTGCCTGAGTAAATGGACTCGCGACTCTCACACTTTCTGTTTAGGAACCCGGTCGTGTTCACTGTGGTAGGTCGTACCTTCTTCAGTGAGCCTGTGGGATTGGAGCTGAGTCGCAGTGAGCTGAACCTTCTTGGTAGGGTGCCACCATGACCCGACTCCTTGTCCAGTGGCAGGGATCCACCATCTCCATTGGGCATCAGCTCCAAGGTAGCCCTAAAGTTGACCAGATTCTTTAGAGCCGATGCACTTCCTTCTGCAATCATGGAGTTCTTCGAACTTATCAAAGCGCGTAGCAGCGGAATGGCGTTGTGGTCGATGAGATATTGCTGGTCCTCGGGGCAACGGGCGGAGAGATTCCACAGCGTCCCGCAGGAGTTGCTTACCACAGTCAAGCTCTCGGACTTTAACTGTTGCAACAGAATGGCCAGGCAGTTGTGCCGTCTTAAAATCTGACGGTAGGGTTCGCAAACCGCAATGTGACTCGACACATTCCGCAGGATTCCACCCGCGTTTTCAATGATCTTCAGCGTTTTACTCGGACCCTCGTAACTTAGCATCCCCACAAGGAAGGCCAGAGCTCCATCTACTGCACAGAACTCTGCCTTGTTGGTGCTGCAGTGCGCCGAGAGATTCCACAGGGCAGAGAGTATGGCTTTTAGGGTGTTCTCGTTCTTGTTTTGCATGGCTGCTCGGGCCAAGGATGTCACCGTGCCCAGCTCGTTGAAGATCGTTTTCATATGTTTGTCCGCGCGCCAGGAGAGATTCCGAAGGACTCCAGCAAGAACCTGAAAGAAAAGAGTATTGGTAAATATGTTTAAAAAACGTAAATAAATAAACTAACCTGGAGGAGTTCATCGGGAGCCGTGTTTAACTGGGCAATGACAACTTCCATGAACTGTCGCTGGCCGCACAAATATGACTTGTTGTGGACGTTTTCGTCTCCAAATGTGAGATTCGTAAGGGCCATAAGACCGTAGCTCCTGAGGGCGTTACACTGTTCCCTGCCTGCAGCCGGCCCATGAACCGCATGATCGAGATGCACCAGGTTGGGAATCGCCTTGAGGGCGCCCAGTTCACACATGGTCTGGCGGTGCTCCTCGTCGAAGCTAGCCTTCATTAGGAGCTTCATGGCCGCCAAAGGATGCCGATCTTCATCATCCGCTATTGCTTCCCCTCCACTTTGCAGCTGGGTTCGCAGAAAGTTACAATAGTCGAGGATTTGGTCGAGCAGACGCAGCATCTTCACCTCCCGCTGGCGTTCTTTCTCCTCCGGATGGCTATGCACGATATTGTGCAGCGCTTGGCTGGCGTACTTTCTCGCCGTGGAGAGTCCTTCGTCGTTTGCGTGCAGGATTTGCACCAGGAGCTGAATGCAGTCGGAGCTGCGCAGCGCAGTGCAGGTTTCCGGATTCCGGGACAGCTCCAGGAAGTTCCGCGTTAGCTCCAGGCGGGTGGCGTCGCTCTCGTTAAGCGTCATGGTTTTAAATGTTTTCCCTTGCTATATGTTCATTCAGATAGCTGGAGTTCAAGGAAAAGTACTTTTACGCGATCGCCTTAAGAAGAGTCCTGTTTCAACAGGTAGTTCCTTCGATCTTAGATCCTCGATCTTTTTTCGTGTTGGCCTTCCTTTAAGCCATTTTCCAAGCGCGCAGGCTCAACACTCTAGTGTTGCCAATTTAGCTGCATTTAGAGCAAAAGAGAATCGGTATTTTAATTGTTATCGAGATCCAACTGGTTTTTTGGCGCGTAATTTTAAATAAGAGTTATATGTGCTTACCACAAACCATGTGTTTTGAATTAAATATTTGTTTCCACTTTTTATTTTGGTTGTTATGCGATGTAGTTTATATAAAAACTAAATCGGGTTTAGAAATTTAATAACACCATTATTAGATTTCTATTGTTCCACCACTAGCGAACCGTTACGTCACAGCAATCAGCTGTTCTAAACGCAAAATTGTTTCAGCCGGAAAATAATGAACTTTTTGAAAAAGGTGAGTTAAAACAATAATAACGTAATATATGAGTCATAAATATTTCACTTCTACTCTAGTTGGTTCCCCAGGTGGCAGCAGAGGTGCAGCAAGCCACCCGGTCAAGTATCCACACAAGCGCCGTTTGCTGTCGCGTGCAATCCGGGCGATACCGCATAACCACAAAGAGGAACAGGCCGCTTACTTACGAGATGGCGAATCCCCCGCATTTTATTGCCCACCGAAAGTCCTGGAACTCGTGGAACACATGTAAGTTGTGGAAAAGAGTTTTTTTAATGACTTTAAGATTCATGGAACACCTTTCTTAGCCACGCTAAAGGATGGCCTCCGCCCATCCCAAACCGCCATCGAGGATGTCTTTATCCGCAAGTTTGTCACCGGCACTTGGCACGCCCTCGTCTCCTCCGAAATCATTATAAAGCGGCAGCACAACACCATCCGCATTGCAGCCTTAATTCGGCAGGCGATCACCCCGCGCAAAATGTACTTCCTCATCGGATACACGGAGGAGCTGCTCTCCTACTGGATGCAGTGCCCTGTAACGCTGGAACTGCAGACGGTGGGAGACAAGAAGGACGTGGTCTTCAAATACATTTAGTTGATTTTGCTTAATTACATGTCCAATATAAAAATGTGGTAGAATTACTTAGTGAGTGTACTCTACTTCGCTACTGTTGTTTTGCAGCGATTTTATGGCCTTGTTCACAATCACCCCATCGAGATCTTTTACCTGACGGTACAAAATTTAGTTATAAAATTGTTAAATCATCGGTTAAGAAATGTGCCTACCGTTTCTATTAGTCTTTTGACGTCTGCGAGGGATTTTTGCTTGAGTATTAGGGACTTAATATCCTTGACTAGTTCTACGAATAGGAATACAACGATTTTTCGTGAGCCACCGCATATTTTGTCCCATATTTTGACCAAAACGTTCTCGCAGATAACGCCAGCGAAACAGGTAATGTACCAGTTGTCCAGGAGCGTTGAGTTAACATCAAACAGTCCAAGCTCCTCCAAGTGGCTATTAAAAAAAATAATGAGCTGAAATACAATAAAGATAATGGGATTTCTTTTACTTAAACAGGGATTGATCCTCGCGCTTTAGCATAATTTGAGTTTGTTCCTTTAGCTTGGCGCACTCCTTTTTAAGTTCGCGGGTGTACTTGTAAAATCCTTTAGCTATCCAATAGGTGTCCACGTCGTCGTTAAATATCTGGAGCAGGGTGCGCATTATCTCTATGAAGTGCATGTCGTCCGGCTGGAGACTTGCACTGGAACTTCCGTGCCACAGTCGATTGGACTCCAGCAGCCACATGGTGTGCATGATCAGCTCCTTCTCTTTGTGCTCGGCACAACGAAGCACGGTTACTGCCCGCAACAGATCCTCGTACATTTCTCGCCTCTGGTCCCGTATATACGCCGTGGAAGCCTTGTGAAGCGGCAGAATGCCCATGACCAGGGCCCACAGGTAACTCCTGTGAATGTTGGGCACCGTATAATTCATGCAGAACTGCTTCAGCTTGCTAAGGTTGCGGATGTCATCTTGGAGGAGTTTGTTCAGCGACTTCTTCTCCTCAACGCTGTTGATCAGACATTTCTCGTAGTAGCTGGATCGAAAGTTTCTTTCATCGGTGTTCATGGTCTCTGCTCTGCGAAATAAAGGTAATAGAGATGAGAGTGTTTTCAATTACCACAAACCAACAACGAAGTTACCACTACCCTTGAAAGAGTTTAAGATTTGATTTAAAGAATTAACAGTTTTAAAAAGTTAAGGTAAAAAATAAATTCCCTAAAAATTAAAACACTTTGTAAGCGTATAAAATAATTGACTTTAAATTGAGAATAAAATAAAAATAAAAATAGTTACAGAACAGGAAAATTTCCTTCAGGCTTGCATTAAATGAAGTAATTTTTTGAATTGTTAAGTTATTGAAAGACAAAATTTGTATCATTTCATATTTATCTCTTTACATTGACTTTAGAACCAATATGTTCTTTCCTAGGGTATCAAATCGATAATTTCCAAGGAATGCACATCGATTTTTTCATCGATGGCTGGGCCACCACTAGTACCCACTGGATGCAAAATGTCTTTTCTGAAAAGGTAAACAAAATGTGCAAATCGTGGCGAGTAAAGGCAACAATACACAAAAACGGAGGTCCGGCAAGTCAGTCGGGAGTCATTCCACCCAGGATATAAAAAGCCAGACTAAACACCCGAAAATTATTTGGATGAACACGAGTTCGAGGCTGTTGCTTGTCAAGACACGAAAATCAATAATTGAATCAGCAAATCAAAACACGGATTCGCCCAGATGCAAAAGCAGGCCCGCGATAAATTATGCAATTCTTGGAGCCATTAACAACCCCCCTACCCCTCCCCACCGTTTCCGTTCTCGTTTTGGCCCCGTTTGCAGTTGATGTATTTAAATTCAAATGCTGAGTTGTTGTTGTGCTCACTACTGCCGTGAATGTTGTAATTGGTGCTCGGAATCGCGATGGAGCAGGAAATCGGGACCTGGGACTCGGTGCTGCTGGAAAACCTGTCCGAGGATAGTTTCATAAACAACATCCACCAGCGCTACAAGCGCGATCACATATATGTGAGTCATTTGAGTTCTGTATACTTTAACCATTCCGATACATTTGATTATTTCCTGATTTCAGACCTACATTGGAACTTCTGTTGTGGCTCTGAATCCATATCATCACATATCCGAGCATTCGCTGGAAAATGTCCGCAACTATGGCGACAAGGGCATATTTCAGTTACCGCCTCACATGTAAGTGATCCTCAAGCAGTCTAGTTTCTGTCGAGTTCTCATTTGTTTTTGTTGCTTATCTCAGCTATGGCCTTACCAATCTGGCCTACCAGTCGCTCAAGGATCAAAGCGAGGACCAGTGTGTACTTCTTACTGGCGAGAGTGGAGCGGGCAAGACGGAGACCTTCAAAATGATCGTGAACTTTCTGACCCACATTCAGGATCGATCGCACTGCCCTGCAACCCCAAATGTCCTGCGCAAGCAGTCTTCGACCAGCTCGGCTGGCGGTTTAGTGCCGCATGCCCACAGGCGCGCCTCCAGCAGCTGCTCAGGCACCGCCAACTTTATCATATGCAAGAACAGGGCGGAAAATCCGCAAGCCACTATTTCGCGGCGTCAGAGTCCTTCGCCAGGACCCTCACAGCGTTCGCGGACGCGGGCCGAAAGCATCGAACGCCAAACCAGACGCCATATGCGCGAGAAAATCGTCGACTTCGACTTTTCGCACCACAAGAGCAGCGAGAATATTAGCAACCTTCTGGAATCGCATGCCCACCATTTGCATCCGACCAAGTCGTGCTTTAAGCACCAGCAGACCCAAGTCAGCGCCTGCACTGCCATGTCCCCAGCCGCCAAGGGTTCACCCAAGTATGCTGTGCCCTCCGCCTACGGCGGCTGTCGCCAGTGCGGCCACAGTAAATGCGTCCGTGCCCAGAGCCTGGAAAAGGAGGAGCGGGATGAGATGCGAGGCAGCAACTGCCGCTTGTCCAACATAGCCACCGCCACTGCCCACCCGGCGCATCCACATCGCGGGAGCTGCTCCAACCTGATGCGCCAGCACTCGACTGAGAGCCAGCCGGAACGGGAAAGGGATCGAAGCTCTTTGATGGGGTCCACGCAACGTATTTCGCTGTACGATGCACACAAGCTGAGCAAAGTCCTGGGCGAACTGCCGCCTCCGCCGCCCAGCTCCGTTTCGCCTACACCCTCGGCCAGCTCGTCGTTGCACAGACGCCATAAGTCGCCCACGCAAAGGATGCGCGAGTGCGTCACCTGTGCTGATGTGTTCCTGGAAGCCATGGGCAATGCCTGCACGCTGAAGAACAACAATTCCAGCCGTTATGTGAGTATAGTTAAATGCGCAAATCAATCTTAGTTTTATTTATTAAAATAGATTTCAATTACTATATTGGGAAAAAAGTATTGAGGTTGCTAATTTTTTGTTTTTCTCATACATTTCAGGGGAAATTATTTGATATCGAAATCGATTTTAAGGGCGACCCAATGGGAGTGCACATAACCCACTGTAAGTACATCCTCTTGCAAGCATGTAAAAGTATCAATCATAATGTATTCAATTTTATTTGTGCCTAACCCTAAGATATGTTGGAAAAGGTTTGCTTATTCTTTAATCATTTCATTCAATGTATTATTATAATTAATTTGCTCTTTATCCACAGACCCGTATAACGGACACTACTATTGGAGAGCGAAACTTTCACATATTTTACCAGTTACTATTAGGGGCTGATCTCCAGTTGCTAAGTAATAAATATTTTATCATTTTAAGATGCTGGCTAATAATATATTATACACAGAATCGCTCAAACTGTATCGGAATGTGGAGAAGTACGAGCTTCTACGCAATACAACTGCCATGGAGGAGGATCGCATGAATTTTCATTACACCAAGGTTGGCTATTTACCCAGATAACAATTAATCTATTAAAAAATATTAAAACTGTATTTACATTTTAATTTCAGCGGTCTTTGGATGTTCTGGGCCTTAGCTGTGAAGAAAGCAGTTCCATTTTTCGGGTCATCGCTGTGGTGCTAAAATTGGGAAACTTTATTTTCGTGCCTATTACCAACATTGATGGAACCGAGGGTTGTCAGGTGTCCAATGTTTACGGTGGGTGTTTTAATTAATTCCCTAAAATCAGTATTTAACATCTATGTTTGATTGCAGAGGTTCAAGAGACAGCACAGCTTCTCAATATAGAAGCCCAAATTCTGATAAACTGTTTGACCAGAGCCAATAGCTCTAACAGCGCTCAAGAAGATGTGGGCTGTGAAATGGATGCCAGACAGGCGGCAACCAACCGGAACACACTCTGTCGAACTCTTTACAGTCGTCTCTTCACTTGGCTGGTAAACAAAATTAATGAGTCCCTTAAATCGACACAGCGGGAGAAAAACCTGGCGCTCCTGGATTTTTATGGATTCGAAGTGCTAGAGCACAACTCCTTCGAGCAGTTTGCCATTAACTACAGCGCAGAGAAGATTCATCAGGCAAGTAGTCTCATATAAAATATTTGCAATATTTTTGTAATTTACTTTTATCCTTTTCAGAATTTTGTTTTTCATGTTTTGCGCTCAGAACAAGAGCTCTACATCCGCGAGGGATTGGAATGGTCACGGATTGACTATTTTGACAACGAATCAATTTGCGAGCTGATAGACAAGCCCAGCTATGGCATCCTGAGTTTGATCAATGAGTCCCATTTAAATAGCAATGAGGCTCTGCTCTTGCGAGTTCAGCAATGTTGTGCGGGGCATCCAAACTTTATGACCACCGGCAGCAACTCCATGTGCTTTCAGTAAGTTCCTTTTCTATCAATATTAAATAACTTTTTAACAAGTTATTGTTTTAGAATTCGGCACTTTGCAAGTGTGGTGAATTACTCAATACATCGGTTCCTTGAAAAGAACTCGGATATGCTGCCAAAGTACATCAGTGCTGCCTTTTACCAGAGCAAACTTTCCCTTGTGCAAAGCCTCTTCCCCGAGGGAAATCCAAGACGACAGGTCACCAAGAAACCGAGCACGCTGAGCTCAAACATTCGCACCCAGCTGCAGACGTTACTGGCTATCGTGAAGCATCGTCGTTCCCACTATGTGTTCTGCATCAAGCCGAACGAGCTCAAGCAGCCGCATCAGTTTGATATGGCGCTGGTGCAGCACCAGGTGCGGTACATGTCGCTGATGCCACTGGTCCACCTGTGTCGCACTGGCCACTGTTACCACCTTCTGCACGTTAAGTTCTTTCACCGCTACAAGCTACTCAACAGCCTCACTTGGCCCCACTTTCACGGCGGCAGTCAGGTCGAGGGCATTGCTCTGATCATCCGCAACCTGCCGCTGCCTTCGGCGGAGTTTACGATCGGTACCAAAAATGTGTTCGTGCGCAGTCCGCGCACCGTTTTCGAGCTAGAGCAGTTCCGCCGCCTGCGAATCAGCGAACTGGCTGTGCTTATCCAGAAAATGTTCCGTATGTACCATGCGAGAAAGCGATTCCAGAGGATGCGGCATAGCCAGATGATCATCTCGAGTGCCTGGCGCACGTGGCGGGTGAGTAGTTTCCTAGTGAATTTCTTTTTAATGCATGATGGGCTTTATTTTATTTCATTTTCTGCATGTTTAGGAGTGCCGATTCGGCATTCCCTTTACTGGTCGTAGGCACTTGTGGAGTTTATATCGTGTTGTAAGCATTGCATGATTTGTTATTACCCTTTTTAAATGTATTCAGATTTTTTAATTTATAAATTATAAATTATTTTTTCAGGCCCGCGAAGAATATCGGTCCTTAAAGTACAAACGACAAGTTAAATGGGCGATTGACGTGATAGGTCGTTACTATCGTCAGTGGAAAATTCGACAGTTTCTGTTGACGATTCCCCTGCGGCTGCCACCCAACACGCTGAGTCCACTCTCCACAGAATGGCCAGCGGCGCCTGTTTTCCTCGCTGATGCCTCGCGACAGCTGAGGTCTATTTACCATCGCTGGAAGTGTTATATCTACCGAAACTCCTTTGATCAGACAGCGCGGAATCGGATGCGAGAGAAGGTCACCGCTAGTATCATATTTAAGGATCGGAAAGCCTCCTATGCAAGAAGGTAAAATATTCTTATTTTACAATAACAAAAAGAATTTAAATGCTTATTGAACCTGTTGCAGTGTGGGACATCCATTTGTGGGGGACTATGTGCGATTGCGGCACAATCAGCAGTGGAAGAAAATCTGTGCTGAGACCAACGATCAGTATGTGGTCTTTGCAGATATAATCAATAAAATAGCACGCTCCAGCGGCAAGGTTAGCTAGAAATTCTCATTCAACATTTTATATGTATTAAATTTACTACTTCATTTCAGTTTGTGCCCATTTTGCTGGTATTGTCCACGTCGTCGCTACTTCTCTTGGACCAGCGAACCCTGCAGATTAAGTACAGAGTGCCTGCATCGGAGATTTACCGGATGTCTCTGAGCCCCTACTTGGATGACATTGCTGTGTTTCACGTGAAGGCGGTATAATATGGCCATATTTATAATTTATGAAGGTGATTAATCTTTATAATGCCATTTCAGTCTGAGTTTGGACGAAAGAAAGGAGATTTCGTGTTTCAAACGGGTCATGTTATTGAAATCGTTACCAAAATGTTTCTAGTCATTCAAAATGCCACTGGCAAACCGCCCGAGATACACATAAGCACCGAGTAAGATCTTAAAAATTAAGTTTTAAATAAATAATTAATAATATGTTATGCTTACAGATTTGAAGCAAATTTTGGCCAGCAGACTGTCATCTTCTCGTTCAAATACGGCGGAATGTCGGACTTAGCACAAGGCCCACCCAAGGTCACGCGCAAGGCGAACCGCATGGAGATAATTGTGTGATCCACAGCAGAATTGGAACCTAATCATGGCAGCTCATTGAGTTTGCTACTATCGTCTTCTTCGCCTTAGGCGAACTTTGGGTTCGGCGGTCCGTATCCATAATTCTCACCAGTCATCATGCAATTGCAATTTCCATTGCCCTTTGTTGTGGTTTGGGTCTCTCAACTTTTATATGGTCCCAGGGATCAAAATACAATTTTAGCAATATAACACACTCTCACACACACCCACACACACACTCAAACATAGAAAAACAATTTAGTTTTGTTCACACGTGACAATCAGAGTTACCAATTTGTTGTCAGGATTGTGCCAAGAAAACGTAGAAAAAGAATGAGCGAGCTAATTTTAAAATGCACCGTTTTATTTAAGTATGTAACTAAAAGTTAAAGCGAACGAAACTAACGAAGTGAACAACTGAATTTATGCATCTAATTTGTCGAGTTTAGGTTTAAGTGTAAGTCATGCACCAAGTCGATTAGCATTGCAACAATAAGTACGTACTGTAAGAAGGCACAGATTATGCACCGCTCGGAATTATAAAAAAAAGAGCAGGAGCAAATGCAGGTGCTGGATAAGCAGTGTTTGGGATTTTACACAAACTATGATATTTCCGTTATAGAAACCAAGGCATTTCTCTTACATTTAAGGTTTCATACACAATAATTAGTGAACTAATGCTAGAGAACAGACATATAAACCTCTTTATATACCGGAAACACAAATGAACCCAATATATGCAATTTGCAGCGACTTTGCGAAAAAAAGACAACTTTTCCCAAACAAAAAACCAAAAAAATGTTAAACAACTATTTACAAAGCAGAGCAGATGAGTAGTTAAATATTTCAAATAAATAAATATATATATATTATATATGTATACACCATACGAAATCAATAATGAGTATATATAAAAGCGACAACAATATGGAAAAAAAATCAGAAGTCAAGTTTGTTAAAAGTTGAGAACGAATGTATGTAGTTATTTATATAAAACTTGTTATTGATAGTTCGGAAATCTCACGTAATTCGAGCTGGTGGTGCGTTTTCCAAGCTCCAGCGATGTCACAGAGCATCTGCGACGTTCGAGTTCCAAAAGTTTTTATTTGTATTTAAGTTTTAAGCGAATACTTCGAAAGAAAAGCCAAATATGAGTAAATCGAAACCCAACCAGTTGGTAGTTTATAAAACAAAGTTTAGCAATAATAAAACATACACATAGTAAATTGTTTGTTCACACACCCAAAAGGAGAGGGGGATCCCCTTACAACTTCGACTTTGGCTTCTTGAGCATTTCGCGCAGAACGCGACGCAGAATCTTGCCACTGGGATTCTTTGGTATTTCGTCCACGAATATCACGCCACCCCTCAGCCGTTTAGCCGGCGATGCATTGTCATTGACAAACTTGATCACATCGTTCTCGGTCAGCTGAACGTTGGCTTGCTTCACCACAAATGCCAGCGGCAGTTCGCCAGCCTCCTCGTCCGGCTTTCCAATTACGGCCGCATCCTTGATCTTGTCGTTGGTGAGAAGAAGAGCCTCAATCTCGGCTGGGGGCACCTGGAAGCCCTTGTACTTAATCAGCTCCTTAATGCGATCTACGATGAAGAACTCAAAATCATCGTCGTAGTAGCCAATGTCGCCGGTGTGCAGCCAGCCGTCCTTGATTGCCGTCTGCGTGGACTTGCTGTCCCCGATGTAGCCCTTCATGATGCCGTCACCCTTGAAGCATAGCTCGCCCCGCTCATTTGCTCCCAGCAGTTTGCCGGTGTCGGGATCGATCACCTTGGCGTAGATTCCCACCTTGAGCACGCCCACACTTCCGGGCTTGCAGAAATCGTCGTTCTGCACAAGAACACTCAGCGTGGACTCGCTGAGACCGTAGCCCTGCCGAATAAAAGGAACTCCAATGCGCTCTTTGATCTGATCCTCGGTCTCGCGACTCAGCGGGGCTGCTCCACACAGCAGGACCATCAGAGAAGACAGATCGTACTTGTCCACAATGGGGTGCTTGGCCAGGAAGACCATCAGAGGCGGCACCATGAACGCCATCATCACGCGATATTTCTCAATGGCCGAAAGGAAGAGGTTCTCCTCGAATTTGGGAAGATACACCAGGCGGGCTCCTCGGCAGGCGGTGGTGATGAGCGTCAGGCAGCCAAAGGCGTGAAACCAGGGAATGACGGTAAGAAGAGTGATCTCCTCCATAGGAATGATGGTGGGCTGACTGTTAAATAAAGATATCACTCTATATATAATCCTCTGGAAAGCGAATTAAAACTTACATTTGGGAGTCGAGGGTGGCCAAAAGATTCATCTGGGTCAGTTGCACTCCCTTGGGCAGTCCTGTTGTGCCCGAAGAGCACACAATCAGGGACACATCCTCATTCTTGTTGGCTGCTGGACCCGTAAAATCCGGCTGTGTCTTGAACTTGTCGTTGTCCATCAATTCATTAAAGGCATAGATATTTTTGAAGTTCTTGGAAGTTCCACTGAAGGCGATGATGCCCTTGACAAACTTATTCTTGCTGGCGGCCTTGGCAACCCGATCAACCGTGATCTTGGAGGCGAATATGATCTTGGGCTTGGACAGATTAATGGCGTGGTCCACCTCGCGGTCGGAATAGGTGACATTGAGAGGAGCCACGGTAGCCCCAACTGCAAAGCCCGCGAACATAGCCAAGGCGAAGTTTACGCTGTTTTCGCTTGACAAGCCGACGACATCGTTTTGCTTGACTCCCAGTTTCTGGAGGATGTAGGCCAGTCGTACAATGGATTTGTGCATGAAACTGGCAGAGTATTCCACTCCATTGACGGCATCCACCAACACCGTCTGGTCACCAAAGCTCTTGTACTTGTCCAGGATGTACTGGCCCAGGGACCTGTAGTCCTGGGCCTCCCGTTCGGTCACAGGGCCACCGTAAACGATGTTACCCGGCAGCAGAGTCGAAGTCATTTTGTGACTGAAGAGAGCGGATAACAAAACAGTTAAGGTTATGAATTAATAATAAAACAAGATAATGATAAAAATTATCTTTTATCTATTAAAAATTGTTCCAATATACATATGTAGGTCTTTGAGGGAACCTTAACGCCCTAAATTGAATTTTATACAGGAAAAGTACAGGGGTTGAAGTTATGACAACCCTTGAAATGAGCACTCCTAGTGCCACACTTTGAACCCCCGGGGCTATCTAATCGCAATTGGCAAGTAGATCTTTTACTTCAGCCGAATTTCGACCACCTATGTTAACAATTGTTAGCCCGTGCTATCTGAGATAATGGATTATAGCAAATCTGCATGTTTTGCCAGTCCAGGTTCCAAAGGTCGTAGTTCGCAGCGGCTAAATGACACCATCCTGCGCTTTCAGCTCATTTCCATTTGTTTTTTTTGAATAAACACTTGTTAAACCTTGTAATGTTTATGTTTTGCAACGCTAATTAATTCACTATCAGATAGGTGCCCCCTCGATCAAGTCACTTACAGTCTATTATTTAGGTTGTGATGCGAGCGGGAGCGGCTTCTGGGCGAAACTAAGCGAACATTCGGCGGAGGATGGCGAGGCGGAAAGTCAGGCTGCGTTTGCCGAACGATTAGATTAACGTTTTTGATAAGTCCGGCCACTTGATTGCGCAGGCGCGAGCTGTGACTGAGGTGTTTTTTATTCAAATAAAGGAAAAGTGCAACGGAAAATGGGTCAAGAGGGTGGTGGGGAAAGAATTTGCACGAAAAACAACAGACAGCTGTTTTAAATATTCATTCGATAAATACTCATCGAACTGTAAACAGTCTAATAACTGACAGTCTGGCAACGCCAAGTGTTTATTTTTATTTATGTGCGGTACAATCAGGTTGTAAGAAATATCTGCTGTGGAAGCTTTTAATAAATATAATATTTATACCATTGATATATTACTATAATTAAATTATTTATATCTTATATTTTACATTATTTTTTACAAACAATTCGGCTGCTTACATTTTTGAAAACCAAAACACTTTTTTAAAATTGATTTTGAATTTAAATAATCGCCTAACCGAATTCGAATATCAAAAACAGATCGGCTTAAAGAAGTCCTTATTAACATCGATTTTTAGTTCAACTTGTAGCGCATACGCAAGTCACTGCCACTCGAGCACAGATCGATCTGATTCACGGATTCCCAACACGCATCGGAATGGAGTAATAGCGCAAATATAGGAAATATGCCAACGGCTAGTGTTTAGTTGTTGATATTCTTGGGCGTGGAACTGAGGTCCGTAACACTTCTCGCAGAGCTGCCTCAAGATAAACGTAATCAGCGAGGTATTTTCGATCGTATGGGTGTTTAATGCTTAATATATCGTTGATAGGTGCCAATTATTTATGGTGACGAAGCCCTCTAACCAACGTAACAATGTCTGCGTCCAAAACCCAGAAGTTCTACAAGTTGGATATAAACCGGACGGAGTGGGAGATTCCCGAGATATATCAGGATCTGCAGCCCGTCGGCTCGGGGGCCTATGGACAGGTGTCGAAGGCACTGGTTCGGGGCACCAACATGCATGTGGCCATCAAAAAGCTGGCCAGGCCCTTCCAATCCGCCGTGCATGCCAAACGGACGTATCGGGAACTCCGATTACTGAAGCATATGGATCATGAGAATGTTATCGGTCTGCTGGACATATTTCATCCACATAAGCCGAATACCTCGCTAGAGAACTTCCAGCAGGTGTACTTGGTTACCCATTTAATGGACGCCGATCTGAATAACATCATACGAATGCAGCACCTGTCCGACGATCATGTTCAGTTTTTGGTATACCAAATACTCCGCGGATTGAAGTACATTCACAGTGCCGGAGTGATTCACCGCGATCTAAAGCCCTCGAACATTGCCGTCAATGAGGATTGCGAGCTGCGCATTCTAGACTTCGGATTGGCACGTCCCACGGAGAACGAGATGACAGGATATGTTGCCACGAGGTGGTACCGCGCCCCCGAAATAATGCTCAACTGGATGCACTACAACCAGACAGTGGACATTTGGTCGGTGGGCTGCATCATGGCAGAACTCATTACAAGGCGCACTCTTTTCCCGGGCACCGATCACATTCACCAGCTCAACCTAATCATGGAAATGCTCGGCACTCCGCCGGCCGACTTTATGAAAAAGATCTCATCGGAGAGCGCTCGTTCTTACATTCAGTCACTGCCGCCAATGAAAAGGCGCAATTTCAAAAAGGTGTTCGAGAACGCCAATCCGCTGGCTATCGATCTGCTGGAGAAGATGCTTGAGCTAGATGCCGAGAAGCGGATCACGGCCGAGGAGGCTTTGAGCCATCCGTACCTGGAAAAGTACGCGGAGCCCAGCGATGAGCAGACTTCGCCGCCTTACGATCACAGCTTCGAGGACATGGATCTGCCGGTGGACAAGTGGAAGGAGCTGATCTACAAAGAGGTTACAAACTTTAAGCCTCCTCCATCGTTTGCTCAGGTTCTGAAGGATGTCAAGTGAAATTAAAACCCACCAAAAAGGACTTTAAGTATTAAACAGGGCGACTTATTTTTTATACCGATTTATATGTATTTACCTTTGTTTAAATTATGCCTTTTGTACTCAAACGTAGCAATTTCTAGCTTTGACTAATATTATTGTTTTGTACATTGTTTTACCAATTTGTTACGTTTTGCAACTAATACTGTTTTTCTATATTGTAAAATAAATTTGTTTGCTAAACCAATTCAATGTTTTCAATATTTTGTCGATGAGACGCATTGACGGGAATTCTTTTATTATTATTATTCTTTATCAGCTATTAAACGTTCCATTTATCCCTATTTACTTTTGGTGAATCACAGATTACTGATAAGATACTTAGAACTCTTAGATAAGAAATGCACATATTAAGGGGAAACACATTATTGCGAATTTAGTGTGCTCTGTATCGTCAACTCGTAAAGATCTTCGTTGACAGGTTTTTATTCAAGGAATACATAATGACGGAATATTCGAGAGTGGTAGTAAAAGAACGCGATTGGGAGATTTCAAACGCATACGAGATTGTTACATTTCTTGGCGAAGGATCTTTTGGACAGGTGGCCAAGGTGAGGGTACGTGGAACTGAAAATTATGTGGCCATGAAAAAGCTATTGCATGCTTTTGATGATGAGGAGAACGCCAAAGGAACTTATCGCGAAATCCGTTTGCTAAAGCATTTCGTTCATCGCAACGTAGTTGGCCTGTTGAACATTTTTTACCCACCATTGCGAAATCCTGTACGCTCAGTAAATGATTTTGAAGAGGTTTATTTGGTGACTCAACTGATGGATGAGGATCTTCACCGTTTTTCACGCTCTAATAGGATCTCCGACTACCACATAAGATATATCCTTTACCAAATCCTGCGGGGTCTCAAGTACATTCACAGTGCTGGCGTTCTTCATCGGGATTTGAAGCCCGGCAATATAGCAGTGAACCAAAACATGGAGGTGCGTATACTGGACTTCGGTTTGGCCCGCTTGTGTAGTCAAAAAATGACACGTGCTGTGGGGACCCTCCGTTATCGAGCCCCCGAAGTGCTTTTCTGCTGGGAAGACTATACAAAAGCCATTGATATGTGGTCTGTCGGGTGTATCCTAGCGGAACTTATTTCGGGTTATGTCCTGTTTCCTGGTGGCCACTATTTTAATCAATTGGAACACTTGCTAAACATAATGGGAAATCCATCTGAGAGATTTATGAGGGGAATAACCAACAAGTATTCCCTGAAGTACTTGGTGGAGTACCCTTTTCGGGAAAAACGCGACTTTCATGTTATGTTCCCGGACGCCAATCCCTTGGCCATCGATTTGATGCAGAAGCTGCTCGAAATGGTGCCGGACGACCGGATAACGGCCGAGGAAGCAATGCACCATCCTTATCTAAGGGATTTTATTGAGCCACACCATCACGACGAGGACATCGCCCTGCCGTATGAACAAAACTTTGAAAACATGACACAATCTGTAAATTGCTGGAAGGAATTAGTTTTACACGAAATTAACGATTTTGCTAATAGGGTTTCCTAAGAATTATGTATTTATGTCTTGACATATCTAAATGTATTATCATTGGTTTCAGCAACAAGCAATGCTACTAAAAATGTTTTATAAAAATACACACATATGTTACGTTTAAGAAACTAAGAACTGCTTAATAAATAAAACGTTTACAAAGTTTCTCTGACGAGTTTTTATTTTATAATGATTAGTTGTAAATTAAGAAATGGGAAGTGCTCAGTATTACTTGTAAACAAAATTTATGACTTCCGGTGTTGAGGTACCCCTATCAAAACATCAAGATCCGGCAACACTGGCGTCAGCTGACTTTGCCGGTTGATTTTGTTGCTGTGATTGATAATAACAATGTTTTGGCTTCGAAGTGTATTACAAAAAGGACTTCCAGCCAAAAAAATATTTGGCAGGAATATATCTGCTCTTTACATAACCGGAGACAAAGCCAACGAGAACTATGTGACCCTGCAACCCTATATGGATTTCAAGGGAACCTTTGGCGACCGCAAGTCTTTGGAGCAGAGCATAACCAGTCGTGGAATAAATATAAAATTAGAAAGTGTGCTCGGCAAGTACGAAAAGTATCAGACGCACCACACCCAACTTGCAAAGGTGGCGGAGGAGCGCGAAGCGGTGACCAAGCTTCTAAAGGAGGTGTCGAAAGCTGGAGGCAGCGAGGAGCAGCTCGAGGAACTTAAAGAGCGTGGGAAATCGTTGCGCAACGACTTAAAGAGTCTAAAACAAACACTATATCCCATCGAAGATGACTTTATACATGACTTCCTGCACTTGCCCAACTTGCTACATGCCCTTTGCCCCACTAAAGGGCAGGAGAAGCTCCTCTACCGCCATGGCCGTTTCAGTTTGGAAAGTGAAGCCACCAACCACTTGACGCGAGAGGACCTCATACACTTTGTAGACAACAATCGGTATTACATGATGGAGCAGGCTGCCCACTTTGACGTCAACGCCATGCAAGCCCTTGCTCGCTATTTCGTCAACCAAGGGAGCTTCATTCAAACCGCCAATCCGGACTTTGTGCGTTGCGTACTCCTGGAGGCCAATGCTACTCCATTGTCTGACTATCACCTGGTACAGGAAGAGCACCTGCAGAACAAGATCAACGCAGCCTACTTGACCGGCGGAGCGGCCTTCGAGAGCTATCTGGGCGCCATGACAAAGCTATGCGTGTATCCTTCTGTGTTACCTTTGAAATATGTTTGCTGCGGTCGCAGTTACAATCGGGCGGAGGCGGAGCTATATGGACCCGTTCCCAGTCTTTATACGGCGACCCAGACGAATGCGGTGCAAACCTTTGTGGCCACGCAAACGGCCAACGAAGCGGATGCACAAATGGAAAACATTCTCAATCTGGCTATTGACTTTTACAAAGCTCTGTCCATTCCCTTCCGAGTTATTTATGCACCCGCCGAAACTCTTACTCCTTCGGAAAGTCTCCGGGCAGTGATCGAGGTGTTTGCCCCATCACTGCAACGCTATGTTTGCGTGGGTCGGATCAGCAATTACGGCGATTTCGTCTCCAAGCGAATCCTCTTGAGCACGCGACGAGAGAAGCACTACGATTTCCTGCATTTGGTGGGGGGACCAGTGCTCTACACCTCACGACTGATAGCAGCGCTCCTGGAGCACGGCGTCCGCCTGGAAGACTGTAAGCTATTGGGCGCCCCTAGCCAGAAACCCACTCATCAGCAGGATCTGCAGGAATTCAAGGACCTCTTCAAGTAGAAGTAGAAATATTGTAAGGTTTCTCTTTTGTTGTGTGTCCTTTAGTCTAACAATAAGTAAAAGTTAAGTTTTACATACAATTATTTACAATCTAGTGTAATCTCATGGTCAGCAGTGGGTTGGGCCCATTCGCCGAAGGTTAATCGCTGCACTTGATCTGCAGCTTGGGAAATCTCTTGCGGAAGTTCTCGCACTTGGGCGTGGTGAAGGTGAACACATTGCTTGAGTCATCCAGCACGGAGTTTGGACTGGAGCGCGGATTTTTCAGGACGTAGGTGGTGTTGTACTTCAGTTTGCTGAACTCCAGCGGGTCCCTCTGAAATAAGAAAGATTTGAGGCAATTCATATATAGCTCTTCCTAGTTTTTCATTTCTCCTGGCTTGGCGAACACCTATGGTATGACCCAATTGCTTTCATCATTATTTGGAAATTATTGATTGGCATTTGGCCACGTACTGGCTATTGGTAAAACGTGTCTTTCGTGTCAAAAGGAGGAAACATGATTGCGCCTTGTTAAACAATACCCCATGGTCAACGATGTTCCATCGGTTCGCCCCTTCCTGGTGGTCCGGCCAATCGGCACGAAGTATTCCGACATGTGGCTCGTGGCTCCCATCAAACAAACACTATCAAGGGTATTACTTACTTTGGCGCGAATGGCGCGGAACTCTCGCTGCTCACAGTTGGTCTCCTGGGGACACAGTTCAAAGACTCTGCAATCGGGATTGGGGTATTGGCATGAAATTTCTTCGCTTTTTGGCCATTTTGTTTACAAATAATTACTTCTCCTTGTGTGGCTGGAAGCCCACAATCTGCACAATCATGCCGAACTTCCGGTTGTGCCGGAAACCCACTTTATACGTCGTGCTCGCTGTCCGGTTCTCCATGGTGGGCGCAACTTCGTTGAGGCCTGTTGGCGCCGGGGTCGTGGCCCGCTCCAAAATGATGGAGGTGCTAATGTGATGGTGGCGGCGTCTGTTCCCGTTCCCCGAACACTGCAGCGGAGTGATCGGCTCAAGGGGCTGCAGCGTCGTGTTGAAGAGCATCGAACACTTGTCGGACTTGAGGCGACGCGAACCGATGTACGAGATGGCCTGCACCTGGATGTAGTACGAGGAGTCGGGCAGTAGTTTTTGGATCTCGAACTGGCGGGTCTGTAAGCATATCAATTCATACATAATTTACACGGTGCTTTGATCCATATAATGGCCCACACTCACATCCTTTACATAGTCGTCCTGGGTGAGGATCGAGGCCTGTGCACTATTCACGTACAAGGACCAACTGATCTTGTACTTCTCAACCGGCAGGTTTGACTTGGAGGGACACCACTCCAGCTTCACGTTCATATAGCGTCCATCGAACTGCTTGGCAGTGATCCTCGAGTCGCTGGGCGCCTTCGGTGGCTTGGGATCTAAGAGGTCATGGGTAGGTTGATTTAGGTATAACAACTACTTTTAGTTTAAGTGAAATCTTATTGTTAACAAAAACAATAAATTTAGTGAAATTTGGGAAGATTTTAGAGCACTTGATATAGTTATTAATCGTAAACTCCATTTATTTAAAGTATTTTCCTTGGACTAAGATACTTACTGCCTGTCGAGGGAAATGGATCGCTGGGCTCGGAATATCCTCGGAATCCAAACGCGTTTACGGCAGCCACCCGAACCTGGTACCATCGACAAGGTCGCATGTGGAAGAAGATATAGGTGCTGCGGAAGGGACAACCAATGCTAAAGAAATCTTTTTGGATTTAAAAACAAGGTGAACCCACTGCTTGCTGCGACCGATGTTCTCCTCCATGGTCTTCTCCACCTTCTGCCATTGCCAAGGTCCGAGTTTCCTGGCCGCAAAGTGCTGTCCAATGTGCGAGCGGACCTCCACGTGGAAGTAGTAGACCAGCAGCGAGGACTCGATCTTCAGATCGACGGCATGACCCCGAGACGTCCTGAAGTACAGGATCTTTGGTATCGGCGGCAGCTGGGTGTTGTTTCTCACGCCCAGCGGCTCCACACAAATGGGACAATGATTGAAGGCACAGCACTTCTGCACCTCGGGGCATTCGTGATCGAACTGACAGTTGTCCAGGCAGGACAGCCTGTCCACCGTCTGCCGTCCGTTCTTGGGACAACTTCCGGCTCGCGGCGCCAGTCTCAATTCCTGCGTGCACTTGTCCACGCATTGTTCACCCTTCGTCGCAGGATTGCTGCCACATCTGGCCAGGCACTGCAGCTCGAGAATCTTATCCTTGACATCGTTTCTGTCCCGGAACCAGTGTGCCACCTTCTGTCGTCGCAGTTGATTGGACAAGGATGTGGAGGAGGAGGATGAGGACGAGGAGGAACCGTTGGCCAACGCACTGGAGGACAGCAGGCCGAGAACGAGCAGCGCCACATGCATGCTGCCCAGTCGAACCAATCCAAGCCTCGGTGATTGCAATCTGCAAATGATCATGCGTCAGGTGATCAGCTCTCGGTTTCTGGACATTCCGTGCGTTCGTAATTTGTGCCGATCATCAGCAGCGGCTTCAGCTTCAGCAGCAGCCCGCTGATTATGCTGAAGGATCGCCCGCTCCGCCGTCCCTCGATTTCGGTGGGAGCCGAACCGGTTTCACCCATTTTGCATGACCAACTAACTAATCATTCCTCGCATTTGTGCTGCCGCCGCCCGGCCCCGAAGTCGAGGCAATGAAAATGCAAAAAAATACATAAATGTATCTCAAGTGCTTGACAGGACTTCAAAGCGCGCATCATAGTGCGTGCCACGAGAGCATTGGACAGACTCCCAGACGAGGCCAGCTATCTGCGCTCTAAGATGAGTCCTTCAATGCCCTACACTTCGGTAGAAAAATGTAAATATAAGAGATTTCTGTTGAAAAAGGGGATCCTCCAAAGTTAAACTTTAATTTCTGTCTAATTAAAATTACTTTTACATTGTTATAACTTTTTAAACAGGATAGTAACCTTTATATTCTATGCAGTATCCATTGATCGTACATATATAACAAAACATTTTATTGCTTTAATCCCCACGAACTCCTGAAATAATTTCCAGAAAATACCATTTTCTGAGTGTAGTTATCTTCGCACCTTTCCAAATACTGACAGCTATTTTCATCTTAATTTTGCATTGACTTTTCTGGGAAACCAAACACAAGACTCCTCGAAATTCTTCACCTGCTTGCCTGAGACATCGATGTGCTCGCACTGATTCCATGTAGGGTATTTAGCACGCAAATGAGAAACTAATGTTTTATGGTATGGTCGATGGTCGACGGTTTATGTTGTTGTTTTGGTTTTTGTTGCGTTCGACTGCGTGTGAATGTGCAGGCAGCGAAAACAAAATCGAGAAAAATACGACTACGACGAATGTGCGAGAGTTGCAAGTGGATGTCACCACATCCAAAGTCACATCCATAGCCGCATCTACAGTCGCTGGGGCAGCAGGGGCACCGCCAGCAGAAGCTTCATCAGATCAGAAGCCTAGCCAGCAGATGCCGCACATACCAAGGCGATACAGACACTCTGGGAGCAGTCGAGTGGAGATGTGGTGCAGTCGGTGGGGCAGCCAGGAGATGCCGTCCCGCCGCACAGTTGGGGTTAGCGACATGTAATTGATCGATCGTGGTCAATGGGGTGATTTTTTAACTTATCAATCACATGTTCAAACATCCCAATAAGATTTAATAAAAAAATCTAACATATTTGATGCTGTTTATTTAACAGTACAAATAACTTTCTTTTTGAAGTCTTAGAGAGACAAAATTATTTAAATCGGGATATGTGCTATTCCTAGATTAAATTGAAATGTTTGTAGCCAAAGACAACGGTTCGTATGAGTAATCCATGTTCGGTTACTAGGAATACCATGTCGCCAAGAAGTATGCAATATATGTGGCGATCAAAAACCTGTTAACGAGATTAAAAAGTAGCGACTGTAGATATCCAGTTTAAAAAGGAAAAATTCTAACAGTTGGTTCCGTTTGCTGAATAATTTCTTAAATCATTTAAAGATTTGATCAGAGATTGCCCCATATATTTGAATATTCCCTGAAGACACATTTAATTTTGAACATGGTTGACAGACCTTTTGTGCTGACCGCAGCTGTGGGGACAGCTACTCCGCCTGGGATGCGACGAATTGGGGATTCGGAAGGGGCGGGGGGCTCGAGGAGCTCGGTATGGCTGCGGGGCGGCCTAACTGAGGGACATTAAGCGACAAATGAATGTGCGCGACGATCGACGCAAGAAGATGAAGTGAAGAAGACGATCGCCGAGAGCAGACGAGATGAAATGCACCAAGTTCCGCGGAACGAAAAATTTGCAACAAAATTGGGCAGTAAAGCGTCGGCAATGCGGGGATTGCTTTGGGGTTGGGGATTGGTTATGGGAATGGGGACTGCGGACCGCGGACAGCGAACTGGCGATTGGGGATTGGGGATGAGGATCGCGGCCACGGCTCTTCCAGATGAATGGGCTATGCGGCTGACGCTGATGAGACAGTCGAGTCGAGGAGTCAGGCTGGCTGCCGTTGCGTAGAGGCGATTAATTGCTTTTAACGATTCAAAAATTCAAAATTACTTGTTATGCTTCACGCACACCAAGGCGAAAAGGCACTTGGCGAGCATAACACAGCACACATACGATGCACTTGAAAAAACATTTAGGAATACGATGAATATTTCACAAGGATACCTACTGTGTGAAAATTTTTAAAGCTTAAATCTAAGAAATTATAAAAAAAAAAACTAACTTGGAAAACTAGGTCAAAAACTCTGTTATTTTAAAAAACATAATTTAAATTTTGTAAATGCAAATCTAATAATGCGATGAGCAATGAAAAAGTTGCAAGTTTGTATGGTTTGCTTAAAATTGTTGAAAAAAGTAAAAAAGGTTAGTATGAGAGGTCTTCGAACAACACTGAAATGTAAAAATCTCGAATCTGAAAAGTAAGCCTTATTTCCTGCGAGTGTACAAACAGGGGAGTTGTTAAGGAGAGCAGCAGATGGAAATGGGGATGAGGACGATGGGGGGCACTAAGATCCGGATCGATTTCGTTGACGTCGTTGCTGTGATAAATCGTTGGTGGTTGTGGCTGTTGCTGCTGTTGTTGGAGTGTTGCTTTTGTTCTGCCTCCAGTTGCAGCTCCGTCTCCATCTGCACCCGCACCCCACTGGATGGTCCCCCGTTTGGGGCTTAGTACAATGGCAATCCGGCGACAATGGCCAGCAATGTCGACCCAACAGCAGCAGCAACTGGGTGTAATATGATGCAAATCGTTTAACACTTTGACCAGCGGCAGCAACGTCATCGTATTGTTGCCTCTTCTTCTGCCGAAGTGCATCGGTGGTAATAAAGAACAAAAAAAAAAGTACATAAACGTTCAAAGAGGGAAAGTAACAAAACACCACCTAAATGGCAAGGGAACAATCAACGATTTTGGCCAAGCCCGAATGGCAAGATCAAATTCAGAACTTTGATGGTCTAACTGGGCAGAGTGCCGCCAAATAATCCACAATAGTTGCTGAATCACAGATATCCATAATGTAAATATTAACTGATTGTTTACTGTTGTGCATTAAAAGAAATCGTGAGGTGCCCTTCTCAAATAACATGAAAATAATGAGTGATATCAGAATGCGTCAGAAGGCAACGTTTTTAATGCATGCAAAATTATAGCCCATTTGTCATCGATAGGCCCCAAAAACTAAGGTTTTAACTAAGCATATTAAAATATATCATATAAACCAGAGATCTAAGCTGAACTTAACGCCAAAGGGAGAAAACAAATTCGTACATAGCGAATATCATGTTATCCATTTGAGATGACCTAGCTTCTCGATTCTTGAAACATGGTACCGTGCCCTTTGTTGCCAAGTGCAGTATTCCCGGATCACATTGTGCCATTTAAACCCAGAAAAAAAATACAAGCAGTCTCCATGGAAGCCCATTTATGGGGTTCAAGCACCCGGCATGTGCGCAAGCTCAAGCTCAACCGGAGCGAAACGGAGTAGGATGTGTGCCCACGGCGGTGTCGGGTTCTACGTCAGGTTCTGAACCCGAAGCCGAGCTCAAGGTTTAGAGATTTGATATATCGTGTGCACACTCATGGCCGTACTTCCGATTATGGTTTTCTGGGTAGGCTCCCAAGGGGTAACCTATATAAAAGCAATTAAGCTTAATCCCTTGCATCTGGAAGGATGTGTTTTATCTATCAAACATATCTTTTCAGTTTTGTCAAAAGATGGAGGACATAAGCTAATAATAAAATGTCATGTATCGTGTTAAAATTGCCAAAAGTAAACTAGCTCAAAATGTATTTTGTACTGTATACTAACTTGATTAAAAACTTAAAGCGTATTCTAATTACAATTATGTGCTTTAAGCGACATTTTGGTAGATACACATATATTTTTTTTAACAACACAATTAATTAATAACAAATAAGAAATTAAAAAAAAGGTGAAGATTTACTGGGTTACTTTCCCGATTGAACTTATTTCCTCAGTGTTCTGCCGGCGGGTAACAGCACCGGTACCTCAATCTTAGAGAGCTTCAACATGCGCCCACTGAGATGTTGCCGCATGTCACCCGTGCACCATTCAATGATATCCACCCCCCTGGGCACCCCTAAATCGCCACTATCCTTACCCATCCGCAATTAGCACGAAGGCAATCTTATTTACGCCGACGGAATTGCGCAAATGGCGAGTTGTGCGAAACATTTTTAGGTACTCACGATAATGGAAACACTTTCGGGGAAACACTTTCGGATGCACTGGCTCCACTTCACTTTCTGTGATCTGCTATCCCGTCCCGTACACCTACGCAGTCGAAGCGCCTTCTTTGATCGCCTTTTGCCACTTTATTATTTAATTTGTCGCACTGTTCTAATATCCGCTCCTGGGAACTGGCAAGTCGGAGTCCGATCCAAAAGCCAAACCAAACCGAAACCGAATCTGAACCACGAGTGGGAGCTCTTTTCGTGCGACCGTTGCGCTGCAGCCGCCAAAAGAGAGTGACACACTGAACGCCACGGACTGCAGGGCTCGAGCTCCAATTCTCCCGTTCTCCCGCGGTTCTCTTGCGCACAGTGGGTCAAGTGGGATCTGGGCTCATACAGTTGCCTTTCGGGATATATTATGTATAGTTTTGAAAAAATCAAAATTCGTAATAAAATTCACTTTATTTAAAATATTTATAACAAAATTGTAATGCTTAGTTTGTACCAATACCTTACCTTCTAGTTTTTTTTTAACCAAGATCAAACGATTATGTATTAAAAAGTATTTACATTAATCAAGGAATTTCTTAAAATTTAATTAAACCATAATGATAAGTAGTAATGCCCAGTGTGCTCCACTTGCTCTCACTTCCTCTCAGCATCTTTAGCTCATTTTGTGTGCCAAAACAGAGATCCCATCTCTCCATCTAGCACTTGCTCCCTCTCCCAATACTACGATGCCGCGCCTCCCTTGTTTTCATTCAAAATTTCATTAAAGGATGCACACACGCACACCCACACACACACTGGTCTGTTGATTTGCATGCACCAATTACTTTATTTTCGTGATTACACATTTACACTGTGATTACAACGGGAACTTGAAAGCAGATTAGGTTCTGATCGTTCGCATCCTTGGATTCCCACAACATGCTTCCTTTCATCTGGAACACAGAGAAAAATGTTGGTCTTAGTTTAGATTTCTATTTAAAAATAGATATTAGATTACTTTTATTCCTAATTTGACTATATTTTCGATATTTTATTAAAGATGATCTTATAAAAATAGCTGCAATCGAATGTGTTCTAAACTTACCACCGGAAGAGTTGAGTTTACAAAGATGTTGGCCCAATACGCTTTGCCATCATTCGCGCTCATTATACAATCATGATCCCCATCGCAAGGATCGGGAGTTATGTCCGCCTTTGACTTTATATAGTTAAACACCCATCTTACTTCATGCTTCAGAAACGAGACTCCGTTGCCTGAGAATTGAGTTGAATAAGAACTTAAATTGAGGTTCAAGTAATAAAAATAAAAACAAATTAAAATAAAAAAAAAAAAACTGTGCGCTATCATTTTGGTCTTAGGTGTACGTTGTTTATCAAACTTTGAACTCCATTCCAATTATACAAATCTGTTTTGCATGCTCCCTTTAATCTTAATGTTTGGCCAATCTTTGTTATAACCTCCCTATCGGTACTCCAAATGTTCGATTCGTGCTGAGATCAATTGTTTCGATTTCGTCTCCATTTCTGCTGACTCATCAAAATATCATTAAACATTCATTATTTTATTTACGGATCGACTTTGGGGCGGGCCCCAATCTGCAATCGATGTCAATATCTCAACGACTGCATTCGAGTAAACAGTAGTAGGAACAGCAGGAAATTTGGTGAAATTTCGTAGATTTACAATCTTGGATCAATTATATTTACGATAGGAGCTTATCATAATTGCCACCACCATTTCATGAGCACGCAGTGGCTGATCCACTAAAGAATACTCTGGGGTCTTTAAAACACCTGCCCCGCAAAACATTCGCCATTCACCTGATCGAAATGTTTCGCCCGCACTAGATCTATTTTTAGTTCCGGCTGACTATTGCTCAGAAAGCGAGGAGCAGCTTCTTATTCTGAGGAAATGCGAATGCACGGATCTTGTATTATCAGTGCTTTGATACTTGTCTAATTACCATTATCATCGAAGCGGACGGTAACCTTTATGGTCGCGTTTCGGGCCATGGAGCAAGGTAGAGTCGTACAGCTCTCGATCTCTAGGTAGTTGACCTGGTACAAAGAACCTGGAATGATAAAAAAAATCAATTAACAAGTTGACATTAACAAAAAACCCATAATGGATTATAAACCATTATTGGGTACGTGACGATAGAAATTTCTTTCACCTTAACACTCGTACAACCTGGCAACAAATCAAAAACCTATCTTCAATAAAAAACTTTCACAGCAACTAAGTCGAATAATCTGCGACTCACACAGACACACCCATACATATTCACATTTCTAAATAATCTACAACCAACAAGCAAGTGCACTTCTCAAGGCCTTTAACAGTTTCTATCATTAAAGTGAACGGTGTTCAATAATAGATTACACCATTCTGTTAATTAAGTTCTTTATTAGATTACTATTCTTACTGGGACAGTCGCCTGTCTATCAGCGTCTCAATACATTTTACTAGGTAATCCCCATGAGGGTGTCATATCTTTTTGTTTATAGTTCTTAAATCTGGACCATAAATCTTTAATTTGCCAAGTCAATAAATACCTCACTTAATCAAAAATCATAAACCAGAACACAATTAAAAGCCTGTACCCTGGGAAACTACAAAAAGTTCTCGAAGTTTTAATGCTCTAAAGTAAACTAACCTGCGTAATTAAAAAACAGTTAAAAATAGGTTGCATTTTTTCACATGACTATAAAATGGGTTAGTACTTATGTTTTATTGGTCGTAAATCAGTTTTTGTGATAGCTTTGATAAGAGTCTGAGTCAATACAATTAGCTCGATCGGAAAACCCTTTTCGTTATTGTTTATGTCATTCGCACATCTTTTTTTTTAACTTCAATCTAATGATTATAGTTTTCAATTGATTAATTATGGTAATATATCATTTATGTTTTGTTATATCACGGTGCATCAGCGATATTTTTATAATTTCGCTTAAACTGTATGCTCACAAAATGGGATTTACCCTTCAAAAAAGGTATATTTTATTTAAAGACCTTAGTTTTGTTTGCGGAAGCAGTCTTTATGGCATTAATTATGGCTCCGATAGAGATCTTATCAAAATACTTACACGATGAGGCTATAAAATACATAAATCATTGCAATTGGTTCGAACTCTTTTATTAAAGATGGTCGATGAGATGGTCGATCATGAAAGAAAGAAAGTAATCAGTGCACTGTTTGAGCCAATGTGTCCTTGAAGAGGTATTTTATGTTTTACATTTGTAAAACAAATTTTTTATGATTGGATATTTTTTATCATCATCGTAATCTCTTTCTTCATTTTGAACAAAATCGACAGAAAAGCACAGATTCGGGGATCCACTCACCGCAGTCTTCGAATGGCAGAGATCTTAGGGAAAGATATTTTTTGTAGGCTGCATCCCTGGCTTGAGCTATTACCCCGCCGGATATTTCGTGGACAGCGCAAATCACGAAGAGTATTTTTAAATAATAATCCATTAGGGCGCCGCGCATGGTTTAATCAAACTTTCGAGATCTTGATTTTCGATTTGATTAGAATATCGGGCAAACGCGTTTGGCGTAGATGTGCAATTCGCTTCCAAATATCAAAAACAATAACAAAGGGGTTCGATAATGAGGATCACGGGCTGGTAACGTTTTATTTTTTGGCGATACAATTGGCTTGGTGGCTTTTGGGTGACTGACACCAAGAATAGTGAGTCCCGGACAAAAAGTAGCGGGCCGTAAACCGTGGCCTCTCTTCAGTGGGAGAGTACCTGCCCTCTCCGGGAAAACGTAAATAAATAAATACTTCGCGGGCGCTTAGGCAATAAATTTTGATTTATTGACTGGTAGCCGATTGGAGCAACTAACGTTGAATTTCGCTCCTTCTCTGACTGATAAAGCCACCGAATCACTTTGAAGATTTCTTAAGGGGCTTTCCGTGACGTAGTTGGGGGCTTGAGTGGGCTTGGGAGTGGGTGGTTGGGTGGCGGGCACGCGTGTGAGTCGCCTCTATAAATACGACCGAAATAAATCAGGCGCTTCTGTCGATGTGTAGATAAAAGTAACCAGCCACTTGACTTTAATTGAAAGTTAAAGAACACAGCGAATCGTAATTAAATGTTATTAGATAATGTCCTCTTTAATATATCATTTTGATCAGGAGACAGCGATGTGCAAGGCGGAAAATTTGGGAATGTGACTCATCAGGCAGCTGGACTCCTCACTCAAAAATACCCTTTAGGTAGTTGGTGTTCTTTATGATCCGGAAATCAGTGCGCAGCTGAATGAATTGTCGCACCACCGACTTGTCAAGATAATTCTAAAATGAAGTTGTACACAGATGGTAACGTAAGACTGGTAATTGAAACAAACCGCAGACTTACCAGGGTGTCGCCCGTGCAAACCTCTTGGAGGTTTTGCGGCTTTACAAGTAACAGATTGCACAAAGCATGGAGAATGTCAAAGAGCTGCGTCACCAGCGGACTATCCAGTTCGCGGATGCACTTGCGGTACTCGTTTACATCGCAAATGGCGCACATGGCTCCAGCCGTATTGAATTGCATTGTCTGGAGGTGATCGTATATCACCCTGTGCAAGCGAGTTCCAAATTCTGTAAGAACATTCTGAAGATTTTCACCATCAACGCACTTCTTAATCTGCACGATCACGGGCTGCAGATTCTGAACGACTTGTAAGCAGGCCTTTGGAAGAAATCGATTTTTGTTTTTAGCTACAAAATAGTTTAATTTACTCAAATATATATCTTACCGCCGATGATATGGTATCCACATCAGTCTCCGGTTTATAGTCGGTTTTCTTTTGTTCATACTGCAAATACACCTTAACCCAGCCGATAACCGCGCTAATCGAGCGGTCCAAGCCTTGATCTAACTTGGTCTCGATCTGCTCCATCAGCATACGTTTTGTGAACATGTAGTCCGAGTATTTGGGCGTATTACTATATCAGGTATGCGCATATCTATTAAATACAATTTTATCCAGAAGTGTTTTTTATAACTTACCTCACACAGGGTATGACGGATGTGTGACACAGTTTTTCTAGCAGATGGACAATAATGTTCGTCTTCTGCACCACGTCGAAAAAGTATAACTGGGGGAAAACTCGCCCCTCCGCCAGTGGTACTGCCTGCAGTCCCAATTCCAGTGCGTAATCAACATGCTCGTGCATTAGGAAACGCAAAAGGATGTCGTTGAGCTTGATGGCATTGCCTGGAAGCTCAGTCTCGTTGGACAGGAGACGGCAACGCTTGAGTGAGGCCTTTGCCTCCTGCAGCATATTGATGGCCAGCTCCTCGGAGAGGAAAGTTTCTCCACCATAGTCCTCGATAGCGGCAATATTAATGTTGGCCCGCGTGGCTATTAACACCTCCATGTTGCGTCGAAAGCCCTTGGTGGTTGCTGTCTTTTGATGCTTTTTGCTCGCATAGAATTTTTCCAGCTCCGTGGAGCATTTCGCTGTGAGGCACTTGGTCTCCATTTCGGCGTACCCCGCTAAATGTTTCATAAAGATCTGCTGCGTTAGCTTCTGCAACAGGTCGTCATCGATGGTGGACATGTAGACTTGCAGATCCGTGGACAGCTTCAGTGTACTGAAATTAAGGTATATTAAGTATTGATTTATAAGTCATTAATGCTTAACTCACCGTGAGTAAAGTTCATAAAGAGTCCGCAGATATTTCTCTTCGTCTTTTTTGTCCTCCAGTTTGGTCATCGCGTACTGGTGCAACTTCAGCTGGTAGATATTCAGTATGAACTTTGACATAACCTGCTGCGGGTTGGCAAACACCTTTTGGATGATCTCGTAGTGATGTTTGCACAGCGGCACAATGCCGATGAAGATGTCCTTGCCGCTATACGGCTGCATCTGGCTCTGCTCGATATACGCGTCTACGCACTGTGTATAGCCCTTAAATTGGGACAGGATCTGGGCCAGGGTCTTCATGCGTTCGATATCCTCACTCTTTTGTGCTGTGGCAAACTCTTCGATCAGCCGCCGTTCAACTTCGTCGTATTTCTTTTCGATTTTTCGCTTTGATTCAGCAAAATTTCCAGGCGGAAGATCCTGTGAGATCGCGTATAGCTTCTGGATCACATCGGCGGCTTCACTTAAACGTGCGGCATCTGCGAAAATATCGTTGACAATCACAGGTCCTGCAGCCAGAAACTCGGACATAAAATTTAGCAACTTTTGGGCCTCCACGGAGCGACTGCGCGGGGTGTTTACATTCTCCAGCTGCTCGCCCAGGTGCATGATCTTGCCGGCCACTGAATTGATTTTTTCGTCCAGCTGGCCAAACACATCGATGGCCAATTGATGGCGTTCCTGCAGCTTCGCGATTTTCTTTGCGTGAGACTCCTTTTCTAGGCGCAGTGATTCCTCAAGCCGTTCGCACTTGCTCTGTTGCTTTTCCTGCAGTATCTTTAAGTCCTTAATGGTCTGGATAAAGGTGTCGTGCAGAGCCACAGGATGAAAGTCCTCGCTGTTTTGCAGTTCGTTGTTGGTGCGCCAGGTGAGGCGTTCTATGAACTCACCCACCTCAAAGGGCTCCTGTTGTTAATATAGTATAAGCCCATCAGCTGAACTATGGCCTAATAGCTTTGAAACTCACCTGTTCAAACTCCTCCATGTATTGGGACAGCATTATAATAATTTTGTATTTTTGATGATCTGATTTGTAGGCGTTTCTTTTATGCTTCTTCTTCTTGTTATTATTGTTGCTTCCGCTCAGCTGTTTTGAGGAGTGTTGCCACTTAGCTATAATTTTTTTCAGTTGGCAGTACCGTTTGGTTTGTTTACGTTTTTGTTTGCTCTCTTTGCCAAAAAATTTAAATTTTTGGCGCTCGTTATATAACATAAGAGATGGCTTTAATTAGATAGAATAAAAACACAGATTTTATGCTTGCTGATCTTAATTTAATATTTATTATAATATGAATGCGCGCCTTACTTATTGCCTCGTATCAAAAACCTTTTTTTTACAACAAATTGCAATGTGCTAAACAAGTTAAAATTTCAAACATTTATATTTTGTATAACCTTTATAATTATTGCGTGGAGTCAGCGATTTATTAAACCTTAGTTACAGTTTTGAACTGAATATGAAAATATGAAAAAACCAATAACTTTTTTTTTGTTGATTTTCTGTGTGGATTTTTCCCAATTAGACATTTGTTTAGCGAAGGAAAGCTAGTTCTTTTTTACAAACTGCGTCAGCGGCTCCTGTTGCTGCAGTTGCTCATATTGCTGCTGCTGCAGATGGAGGTGCGGATGCGGATGTGGGTGGGTGAGCGTGTGACCGATGCCGCCGGATGTGGACGGCAGGTCCAGAGCGTGCGGCACGATGTTGATAACACTGGCGGTGATGGCCGAGGAGGCCAAGTCGACCGCCGGCAGACGTACTCCGTCCTCGAACTGAGCTCCGGCTGCCAGGCTGCTTAGCACCTCCGGAACCGAGGGCGTGTCCACCAGCTGTTGCAGGTTCTTTAGCTCTGTGGAGCGCAGACTGGCCGAAAGGCTCTCGCTGGAGGCCAACGAGGTGGACAACGGGGAGTTGCGCTCGATGGATGAAGCAATGTCTGTTGGACTGATTATTAGCAGGGGGCTTTTAACCCTGGCGAAGGTGGCCAACTCACCAGTTCTGTCCGTGTCCGGGGAGCAGGTGTTGTGTCCTGCTATTCCCTGCGGCTGGTGCATCATCATCATCAGCTTTTCTTCCATCTGCATGATAATCTTCTTCTGCACGTCATATTTCTTGTTCACCGACTGCATTAGCAAAGAAAGTATAAATAATTTTAATAAAATTTTAGGTACTGAAAGTTTAGGTAATGAATAATAAATATATTCTCGTAAATTCAATAATTTTAGTCAACATTTCTATGTCCCTTTAGCATGAATCGATCAAATCATTAACCTCTCACCTTGAACTTCTCCTCGTACTCATCCTTGACCGTGCTGAGCAGTCGCTTCTGCTCGGTCATGGCCTTCTCGCTGTTGACCAGCTGGGCCTGCAGTTCGCTGATCTTGTGCTTCATGCTCTCCAGCTGTGATGTCTTCTCGTCCAGGCTGTGCCTCAGTTCTGCATAAATAAATACGGAATAAACAAACATTTGGGGCATATAAACAAAAGAAATACGCACCCTTCAGTTCAAGCTGACTGCTTTCTTGCAGCATCTGCAGCTCCTCGTCGCGGGCTCTGAAGTTATCGATCTCGGCCAGACGATCGCGACAACGCACCTGCACCTCGCCCATAATGATGAACTCGGCCTCCAGGCGAGCCAGCTCCTGCTTGCACTGCTGTCCCATGTCCGCCTGGTGCTGTGTGTGCTGCAGCTCGGTTCCCAAACTGAAAACCTGACCGCGAAGCGACTCCAACTCATAGTTCATGTCCTTATGGCGCGCTATCTCGCTGGTGAGACGCGTCTGCAGGTCATCATTTGCCTGCCGCAGGCACTTCTTCTCCTCCAACTCGTGCTGGTACTTGGCCCTCATCTCGTTCAGTTCCTCCTGGTGGGCATTCTGCTGTTCGTTAGCCATCCGCATGGCCTGGTCCATCTTGTTGGCCAGATCTTTGTTCTTCGCATCGAAGTTCTTAAGCTGTTCCCTCAGTCGATCCCGCTCCATTTCCAGACTACGCTTGTCCCTGCTCCTGCCCATGAGCCTCCGATTGCGCTCCGCATGAATGGATCTTCGGTAGCTCTCGTACTCCAGCTGCAGGCACATCAACTGACCCTGCTCGGTGTCGAAGGCGTCGTTGGCCTTGATGGCGTGCTTGATGTACTCGTCCAGGATATCCTGAGGGTACAGCAGGCTCCTCTCATAGTTGTTCCGCTGCTCCTTGCACTCCAGCAGAAGTTCAATCAGCCAATTCTCGTACTGCGACGGAGCACTATCCAATCCTTCCACCGTCTGGGTGGAGGCGTGGGCGCAGCTTCTTACCGGCTCCTTGGGCGCCGAAATGGCCAGGATCCGGCCGCTCCTCTGCAGGCGGCTGCCAGTCTTTTGCGTAGTTCCATTCTCCGTTCTCTGCCTCTGGCCGGGACAATCGGCCTCGTCATCGTTCTCCTCCAGTTGCTGCTGTTGCAGTCCAGCCAAGGCTGAGCAGGATTTGGTCCGTCGCATCGGGTTCTCCGGCTCCACACTCCAACTGGCCTTCTTCGCCGCCGAGCTCGAGCTGTAGGCACAGGAATCATTGCCACTATAGCTGGCCATGCGGTTGCGGCGCTTCTTGGCCAACTGGTGCATGGATCGGCTGGTGGGCATGTGAAGTCCGCCGACGCTGCATGGATTCCGGTCCGTCTCGTTGCATTGGTCGCAATCGGCTGTTACATCCTGATTGGGACCTGGATATGCAGAAATTCCGACGACAGACAACTCCGAGCTCATTTCCGCTAGATTTACAGATCTCTCCACGTTGTGCCTGTCCTGAATGACTTGCTGCAGGCGGCGGTCATAGGTGGTTACCCTGGTGACCTCCAGAAACGTGGCACTGCCCTCCTCGGCCTCTCGACTGACATCCGGGAAACTGAACTGACTCTGCTGGTCCTTGCGCATGGGAGAAGAAGGCTGACTGGACGCGAAGATGGCCCTCACCGCATGAGAGTTGAGCACACGGCCTGGCTGTTTGATTTCCCGCATATCCTTTAGCGGCGTTGTTTCCGGCGTGGCCTCCACAGCAGCTTCGGGCGGCGAGGATCCGGTCATACCCACCATTAGCTGCGAGTTCATTGCCGGCTGGAGCGGCAAAATAAACGATGTGGTGGGCGTCAGCGGAATGGCGCTACTGGTGGTGGCGATCTCATTGTGCGGACTCCAGATTGGGCCGAGTTCCCCGCCCGAGGCGTTCGAATCAAAGCGGGCGTAGACGCTCCTCGAGTGCTGGAAATCCCTCAGTTGATAGCTGTAGTCCGTGTTCGAAGTAGTCGAGGTCATGCGACTGTAGCCCGGGGTCATGGGGTACGCACAGCTGCCGTCCTCGTTGTGCGTCTCGGGCAGAAGCACAGGCAGCGACAGGTTGGCGCACTCCATGACCACGTCATGCGGCTCCATCTCCTTCCACCGCGTGTTGTTCACTTCCGTTTCCGGTGTGGCCGTCAACAGCATGGGATGCAATCTAACCGTGTCCAAAAGCGGCTTAATCGTGTGCTGAAAGATGCCGCCACCATTGCCCCGCTTGATGAACTCCACCAAATAGGCCATGAAGCTGCAAGGATACATTCCATACAGGCGGTGGAACAGCATCTGCAGGCCCAACTGCAAGTGAACGAGCTTCTCGTCCGGAAGTTTTATGCTGTTCTGCAGCTTCCAAGAGGCCAAATGCCCGAATACCTCAAAGAGATCGTTGAGGAAGTTGGGCACCGAGTTCGGGATAATCGGCAGCAGGGTGATGATGCACAGCAGGGCGCTCATTAGCGGTACTATCTCCTTCTCATGCTGTATAAAAAAAGGCAAGACATGCTGAATCTATTCAGGATTAGGAAACCCACTCAGAACTTACCGTCAGCAGCTTAAATACGCTCTTGATAAGCCGGTGCTTCTCGATCTTGTACAGCCAGGTGGGATGATGGCGCACTATGAAGCAGAACACCTGAAGGCTCTGCACCCTGTGCTGCGACTGTTTAAGGCAATCGTCCAGCCGGTCAAAGATGTAGCCATCGTGTGGCGCCTGGGCCTTGACCAGCACCTCTAGAATGCGCTGAGATCCCGTTTTGAAGAAGTAATCCAGCATGAACTGCACCAACCACTGCTCCTTGTCTGAGAAGTAGAAAATCTCAATGAATTGGTGGCTACCTAAATTATAACTGGATGGGACTTACTCTGCGTAAGCATCTCCACTAGTTTTCGCTTGGCCTCCTCGTTCTCCAGCGTCATGTTCGACTCCAAGTCGCCAATGATCTTCTCTATCACCATGGCGGCGGGTTAGTTGGCCTCCTGTCACTACGATTGATTTTTCCGCCCGCCCTTGATTGGCTGCTCCGGCTTCCTGCTCCTGCTACTCCACTCCTGGTCCTTCTACTCCGACTCACTCGTCGTCGTGGTTGTCTTTTGCAGAGCTGCGTGTGCTTTTCTCGTCTTGGTCGCTGTCAACTGGAGAACATGCGTTGGCATTGAAATTCCCACTGCTTTCGATACTCCACTGAATTGTGGTGGTTGTCGAGCACCGTTTTTATTGCTTACCTCTGCTAAACTCATATTTTTTTACATGTTTGTCTTGAAAACGAAAAAGGTTATTTTTTTTGTGTGATATTTCTCTTGCGCTGTTATCGTCAGCCAATCGATGGTTTGGTCTGGCAACGCCGCGACAGAAAATCTGGCAGCTTCGGCTGCAATCAAAACAACATCAGCTGTTGTGGCGCAACTTTGTTGCGGATCCCGGTGCGGATACGTTATGGTTATTATAAAATCGGGTTGATACCATGAATTATTTAATAATAAGAAGGCTTGCTACGCAGCCCAAGTTGGCAAACGCACCCAAACGGTAATAAGGTGAAATTATATACAGAAAACCCTATTAATCTTACACTATTATTTTAGAAAATGGAAAAGCGTTGTGGGTTTAGAAGTGCACGCTCAAATTGCCAGTGCATCTAAGCTTTTTTCCGGCAGTGGTACATCTTTCGGAGCACCCCTCAACTCGTCCGTGGCTTTTTTTGACGCCTCTATACCGGGCACATTGCCAGTAAATATAATATATTCTAATTAAAATATTTGAATACCCTTTAATACTGCTTTTCAGGTGCTCAACAGAAAGTGTGTGGAATCCGGCATCAAAACTTCACTTGCCCTCGGCTGCCGGGTGAATGAAATATCCATGTTTGATCGCAAACATTACTTCTATGCGGATCTGCCAGTAAAATAACATATCACATCATGACAAACTTTTTGATAATACTTTTCTCACACCCAGAATGGCTACCAAATTACGCAGCAAAGGGCTGCCCTGGCCAACGATGGAAAAATGACCTTTCCAGTAATAACACCTGGCAAGAAGGTCTACTACAAGACTGCCAAACTACTACAACTGCAACTGGAACAGGACAGTGGAAAATCCCTGCATGATGACTATCTTAAAAGAAGTCTGGTCGATCTGAACCGCGCTGGCTTGCCTTTAATGGAGTTGGTTTTCGCTCCGGATTTGGAGACAGGTGAAGAAGCTGCCTCCCTGGTCAAAGAACTGATGCTGATACTCAGACGTCTGCAAACCTGCAGCTGCAAAATGGAGGGTAAGGCAATCGTAAACTATATTTAAATCTAAATTTCGAATTCCATTTTCTGCAGAGGGTGCTCTGCGCGTAGACGCAAATATATCCATTCACCAGGAAGGCGACCCCTTGGGCGTACGAACCGAAGTCAAAAACATTGGGTCTGTTCGCAGCATTTCGCAGGCCATTACATATGAAATAAATCGACAGCTTGAAACTGTGGCCAATGGCGGTGTAATCACGAACGAGACTCGAAACTGGGATGCGGAAAATAGACGCACGGTGGCCATGCGTGATAAAGAGGTTCTACAGGACTACAGATTTATGCCCGAACCAAATCTGCCCCCTCTGCATGTCAACCTGAAACCTGGTTCAAAGTCCACGGAGGACTTGGTTTCTGTGGCTGCTCTTAGCGAAGAAATTCCAGAACTACCAGAGGACACCAGACAACGTCTGATAGAGCTGTATAACCTTAATGCGGAGACTGCTATTATTTTAGTGGTATGTTTTAAAAAAATCTTGTTTATTAGTTTTCCATTAATAGCACTAATTCCTTCCATTACAGAACGAACCTATTCTGTTGGATCATTTTTTGTACATTTCACGCAGGCTAAGTGAATTGCCCAACAAAGTCATTCACAATTTTCTCATCAACGATTTGCTAACCTACTGCAACAAATTAAACTTGGATGTAGAGGATTGGTAAGAAACCAAAATATAATAAAGAGGATCACTGTATAGCTTATTTATTTCTTCGATTTTTAGCTCCATAAACGCTGAAGATTTGAAAGATATATTAAAGTACCTGCACGCTGAGGAGATTAATCTCCAAGCTGCACGGCAGTTAATTGAACTGTTGCATAACAACCCCGAAGTTAAAGTCAAAGAGGTCCGTTAATTGAATACACGTTGCACGCAGATATGGTTATGGTCTTTATTTTAATATTTCCATTACAGCTCATAGAGCTGCACAACCTGCAGCAGATCTGCAGTCCGGAGGAGATCGAGAACCTTTGCCAGCAGGCTATTAAAAACCAGCCCAAGGCCGTCCAACAGTATCAAAAAGGAAAGGCCAAAGCTCTGTTTGCAATCGTAGGTGAAGTGGCCAAGTTGTCTTCCCAGAAGGCCAACATGAAATTGGTGGTACAGTGTCTTGAGAAACTCATTAAACCCTCCAATAAATAAGAGCTTAGTTGAATAGTTGTGTTGTGAGTTTCTCTTGTATATACTTTATAAAACATGCAGTCGACAAACCGCACTGTATATAGGATTAAATATGCTAAAGATTAAATATATTAAGTTGCTTGGTTTCGTGCTGACTAGTTCGGTGTTCTGGCCAATATGTAAATGCAAATGATGTAAATTGACGTGTGATATATAGTTCGGTGTTCTCCCTCGATCAGGGAGAATCGGAACTCGTGACCCATTAATGCGTAGTTATTCGTGTGAAGATGAAATCATGGCATCATCGCTACCGGATGCTCGTATGCGACTGGATGGAACGCACTATATTCGATTGTCTATCGGGGCAGACAATGAACAGCTAGAATTGTACTAAGGCAAACGAGTTGAAATGCACGCGATGATTAACTCAGATGCGACTGGAGCAGTCCAGGAAGCCTTCTCAAAATAAATGCAAATGGCAGTGAGCATTACTTCTTCTTGGCGGGATCAAGTTTAACCAAATCTATACTTTAAATTGATCTAATCGCGATCATAGTCCCTGCAAGACGAGGGCGGCAGACTCATCGAAACGGCTGAATCGAGACTGGAATTAATAATGAAAAAGTAAGTTTTTGTTGGATGATGAATACAGTAGAAGACTTACCGTCGGCTCTCGCTTTCCAGGAGGTGGGCATCCACCGGATGCTGGGATACGTTGCGCAGGGAATCTCCCAGTGTGCTTCTCAGGTGCTGCATTTCCCGATTGGCCTTTGAGCTTCTCAGAATATATTGTTGACGCCGCTTGGCCTCTTGGGCCAACTGCTCGCGCAGCATGGAGATCTGTTGAAGATCGGTTTATTCCATTTCTGTTTCTTGTTAATAATAAATAGAAGCACCCACCTGATTCTCCAAGCGAAGAACCTGTTGCCGGTGCGACTGTTCCCTGGCATCGAGCAGCTTCTCGGCATGCATCTGGGCACTGCGATAGCGATCCCCATCTAATCCATCATGGCACTTGGCGCTGTCGTTCATGCGCGCCTTGCATCGCGCCAACTCCGATTCCTTCTCCGCCAGCAGAGTTTCCAGGCGGCGCACCTTGAGGCGCAGATCGCGTGTCTCCTGCTCGATGACACTGTGATCCAATCCGCAGTTGAAGGATCCTCCTCCACCACCACCACCTCCGCCTCCGCCGGCATTGCCACCACCCACATCATAGCGATTGGAGTCGAGCTCTCCGGAATCAGCAGCTCCTCCATAATAGGAGTTGGACTTTTCGGCACGGTCGTAGGCATTTCCGCCGGAGAACTTGCTCTTGCGTTCGCACTCCAATTGCTTGACTTTGTCCTGGAAATAATTAGAAGTATATTTTATAAAGCTATAGGGTTATAAATATATTTTATAATATTAATTTAATTATTTACCTGGAGAGTCTGCAGTTTGCTGCGTAGCTCTGACTTCTCCCGCTGCGAGGACTTCAGCTGTCTGCTGAGTTCATCCTCGCCATTGCCGCCTCCGTTTCCGTTGGTCAAACCCTTGTCGCCGCCGCTCTCCTGGTTCCACTTGGCGATGCGCAACTGCGACTCCAGAGCGGACCGTTGGACCTCCAGATCGGTGACCTGCTCCTGCAGCCGCTGATTGCCATCCAACTGGGCCTGCTGACTCCGACGCAGCTCGTTGAGATTGGTCTGGGCGCTGTCCAAACGCTCGGTAAGGATGCGCTTCTCGTTCTCGGCGGTCTGCAGGGACTTCTGCACCAGCTTCAGCTTATCCTCGTTGGCCTGCGAGCAGTGTCCCTGCTCGGAGAGCTCCTTCTGCAGGGTCTTCAGTTCGCCCCTCAACTGGGTTTCACTCACGGCGGACTTTTGCAGGCGCTCCTTCAACTGATCCACGGTGGACTTGAGGGCAGTGCAGCGATCTTCCAGTTGGGTGAGAGCACGGTTCTGGTTCTCCAGCCTTTCGGTCATCTGACGAATGCTGCAGTCCTTCTCCTGCAGCGCCATTTGCAGCCGGGTGAGATCACCTTCCATGGCAACCCGCTGGAGATCCAGCTTACTGGCCCTGCCCTCCACCTTGGCCAGTTCCTCCTGCAGCTGGCGCTTCTCGTTGTCCAACTTCGAGCACTGCTGGCGGCTCTTCTCCAGACGCTCCTCATTCTGACCATTCTCCTCGGAGGTGGCGGCCAACTGCATTTCCGTTTGGGCCAATCGTTCCCTTAGCAACTGACACTCATCGTTGCGGTGCTTGAGCTTCTCCTCCAGCGCCTGGATGGCCGAGATCTTCATCTTGCGGTCCGTTTCCAGGTTGCTCTTCTCCTCCTGCAGATTCCGCAACATGGCCTGCAGCTTGCCCAGCTTGGCATCGCATTTCAGCTGCTGCTCGGCGGCATCTTGAAGCTGTTTCTTGGCTGCTCCCAGTTGGGATTTGTAGTCATCCTTCTCGCGCTCCAACTGAGCCACCTGGTGCATGAGGTTGCGAACGCCCTTCCTCACCAGATCCGGATCCACATCGATGGGTCCGTCGGGACACTGGGAGGTGCTCCTGTTATCGTAGTCGCCGCAACTGCGCGACGGACTGAATCTCCTCGAGGGACTGAGCAAACGGTGCGAGAGATTCACACTGCCATCCACCTGGATGCCGGCAATCCTGCGCAGCGTGTGGACCACGGAGGAGAGCTTCTGCTCGGTGTCCCGCTTGTGCAGCTCCACGCAGGACAACTGCTCATCCAGAGCACGAATCCTACCCTCGGCTCCGCCCAAACGAGCCTTTAACTCCTGGATCTGCTGCGTGGCATCCGCGAGGCAAACCTCCAGGTTGTGCTTCTGATCCTCCAGACGCTTCTCTCGGCCACGACCCTCCTCCAGGCGCTGGGCCAACTCCTGCTCCCTGGCATGGAAACGGTGCTCCTCCTGGTTGTTCTGGCAGCGGGCCCTTCCCAACTCCTGGCGCGTGGCACACAGATTGGCCTCCAGGTCGGACAGCTGCTTCTTGATCTGGCACAGCTCCTGCTGGGCCCGCTCCTTCAGCTCCACCTCGGCCACCAGCTTGCACTGCAGCTCCTTGCCGCCCTCGTCCTTCTGGGCAAACTCCACTTGGGCCTTCTGCAACTGCGCCTTGGTGGCATTCAGATCCTGGGTGGTCTTCGTGAAGTGGTTCTCCGTCTCCTTGAGGATCGTACTCAGCCGCGTGCGTTCGTTCTCCAGCGAGTTCTTGGTGTCCTCCAGATTGCTGATCTTCTGCAGGGCCTCCTCGATAGCGCGGGCCTGTTCCCGCTTGGCGCTCTCCACGCGCTTGACATGATCACGCAGCTCCTTGTTGCTCCCGGAGTACTTGTCCCGCTCGATGTTGCTGTCCGCCAGTTGGCGACGACAGTCGGTCAGCTCCTTGCGCAAGCTGTCGATGAAGCCCTCACCTGGAGAAGAAATGTTTAGTTTAGTTTAGTTTTATGGCTTTTCATGCCCTTGCAGAGGGTATTTTAATTTCAGGCAGAAGTTAGCAACGCAGTTAAGGAGACACCTTAGACCCCATAAAATATATACTATTATATTCTTGATTAAAATCTCGATCTGAATCGAACAAGACATGTAAGTCCGTCTGCTTCTAAGCAAAACAGTCTCTCAGTTTCCAAATGTCCAAAAAATTTTAAGTCCATAACTTTTCTAATTTTAGTCAGATTTTCAAGTGACCTTCCTCCAAAAGTTTCTATTTTAATTCTCTACACTACATCAACTACAACTACATCATTAGATCATTTTTTATTTGTTGGCCGATTTTTTTTAAATTTGTATAGTATAAAGTAGGATGGTACTCACCCTCCTTGGATTTGCGCAGCGCATCCTGCAGCTCGTTGTTGGTGCCTTCCATTTTGTCCTCCTTGAGACGGATCTCCATCTTCAGCTCCTCGCTAACACGACACAAAGTGTCCCGCTCCTCTCGCATGCTACTCAACTGGAGTTCCTGCTTGCGGATGCACTCCTCCAACTTGATCCTGAAAAATAAGAGAAAATAATATAAATAAATAATTTATATTGTTTTAAGGTACATAAAATTATTCAGTGAACTATTATAGTTTTTTAAATTCAAAAATAATCTTTAAAAACTACTCACTTGTGCTCCTCCTCCTTGGTCCTCATTTGCACCATTTCGTCCTTGAGCTGAGCAATGGCCGCCCGTTGCTTCTCATCCCGGGCATTTGCCTCCCGGCGGCTGCGATCGAGTGACTCCTGTTCGGTCTTGAGATCCCGGGACACGGCCTCCAGTCGCTCGGCCACCGCCTGCTTATCCCGGTGGGCAATCAGCAGAGCCTGTTGCTTCTCACTCTCCGCTCGAATCAGTGCCTCCTCGTGCTGCTGCACCAGACTTTCCAGATGAGCCTGCAGGGTGGCCAGTCGCTCCTGCAACTTCTCGATCTCATCATCCTTGGCCGTTTGCAGTGCCTGCAGAGCCTGTTGCATTCGCTTCTCAAGGGCGTTCCTCAGCTGAAGGATCTCCTCGCCATGTCGCTTGGCCGCATCCTCGGCACAAGCCTGAAGATTGGCGATCTTCTGATTGAAGTCACTTTCCGCCGCACGAGCCGCGTTGAGCAACTGCGTCTTGGTTTCTTGGGCCTTTCGCTGGCACTGCTCGAGTTCCTTTTGCAGACGAGCCACATGGTTCTTCAAGGACTCCTCGCGCACCAAAGCCTCCTGCAAATCCCGCTCCAACTGGCTTCGTCGCTCCTCGGTGGCCTCCAAAGTGGTGTTGGTATCAAAGAGAACCGATTCCAAGGATTCCTTCTCCGAACGCAAAGCAGCCAGAAGTTCGTTCAAGCGATGAGTGTCCTTCTCATGCAGATCAATGACCACCTGCTTCTCCTCCACATCCTTGACCATCTCCTCCAGATTTCGGTTCAATCGATTATTAGTTTCGGTGGTTTGTTCCAATCGCTGGCGAGTTCGCATGAGTTCCTCATTCAAAGCCTCCTTTTTGCGACACATGGCTGTTAGTTGATTGTGGATATCACCACGATCCCGGGTGACACAGGCCAAATCCTGCAGGATCTTCTCCTTTTCCAGTTGCAGGCACTTCAGTTTCTCACCGGCGGAAAGGTTATCTGTTTCCAGTTCAAGCCGCGCCTTGTCCAAAATGGCCAACTCCTTCTTGAGCTCTCCAATTTCATTGCACTGATCTGCGGACTGGAGACGGAGTTTCTTTCGCTCCTCTTGAGCTTCCTGGAGGCAACTTTGAACGCTCTTCAGTTCATCGGTGGTGGAGCAACTATTGTTGGATAGCTTCTCGTGCTTCTCCTGCAAGTCACACTTCTCCAGCAGAAGTTTGTCCAAGTCGTACTCCAAATCGGACTTCTGCTTCTCGAGCAGATTGATTAGGTTGTCCGATTCGATGCGCTGCTGCTCCAGAAGATCTCGATTCAGACTAACCCGATTGAGTTCTTCGCGGAGGGAGATGGTTTCCTCCCTCAAGCGACTGCTGCGATCTTCCTCGGATCTATAAGAAAACTAAGCTTAAAGGGATTTCTTTTAAAAAGTATTATAAGCTTTTACCTCAGGTTCAACTCGGTAATATTCTTGTCCTTCAGAATGCGCTGGATTTCCAACTCCACTGCCTTTTTGTCCTCCTCCATGGAATCAATGCGCTTCTGCAGTTTTCCACAGTTCAGCTGAAGCTTTTCAAAGTCACTGCTCAGGTTTTCGAACTGAAAAAGGATATATAATAGTTTCAATTAAAAATCAATCTTTATTTAGATTACTTATATGCTTTTAATAAATGTTTAAAACTATCTCCTCCTATTTCAGTGACTGATTACTTGTATAATCACTTTGTTTAATCATTATTGAAAAGCAATAGTATATAGAAAAGTTTTCTAGCCTCTTTGGCATATTCCTGAGTGGCGACCAACCAACCCATTTAGAGATACGAGATCCCAGTGCCGATGAACTTAGCCCCTTGTCATTTCCACTCACGCCGGCTGCAAATGCAATCTTCGCAGCCATAATTTGTAACTCATCGCAGACATGGCATCACCCCGGATTTGAGTTGGGAACATCATTAATATATACAATCTACGGCGTAATCAGCATCAGACGCAGACTAATCGAGTTATCACCGATCCGCCCCCAATCTGCCTTGACATCCACACTTGGAAAAATACTAGACCCATTACCCAATCAATTAAAAATTCCATGGAACAGCCAAAGAAATTGCAAGAGATTATTTCATCAGATGAATATTTCTTCTATTATAAATATTTAAATAATATTTATTTATTTAAGTAATATTTAAATGGTTCCTTTTGGATTTAAAACTTCTACTCCTATTTATATTCTGTTTCCTTTTCCTATTTACTTTATATTTACCCAACAAAATACCCTTAAAATATTATAGATATATAGTATATATACTCACCGCACTATTGATATCGGCTCTACCCATTTCGGACTGCTGCTTCTGGCTCCTCACGTCGTCCAATCCCCGCTGCAGACTCTCCCGCTCCTGCAGGAGTTCCGACAGCTTCGAGTTGCTGCTGTCCAGCTTCTCGGTGAGCTGCTGCATCTTGGTGGTCAGGAGCTGCTTGGTGCCCTCGCTGGTGTCCAGCTGCGCCTTGGTGGTGCGCAGTGTTTCGCTGGTGTGCTGGAATTTCACCTGCATGTCATGGAGAGCCAGTTGGTACTTATGCAGGGCCGCCTGTACGGCTGAGATGGTTCCCTCGGCAAATGCTTGCGAGGCACGTGTCGAGTTCCGGCGCGGGGATTTCCCACCACCTCCTCCACCAGTGGTGCTGCCCGGACCACCTGCTCCGCCGGCGGTGGCGTCACGCGAGAGGTGCATGTGCTGCATGACCCCGCCGGTGACCTCGGCGTCCGCCTCGCGATCAGCGATCTCGGCATCTTGAACAACCGCCTGCGCAATTTCCCGCATTGAGTTGTTCAGCCGCTCGATCTCGTCGCTATAACGACTGGCCAGAGCAGCCTGCGACTCCGCCTGGGCACAGCGATCCTCCAGCTTCTTCAGCTGGTTCATCAGCTCCAGCAGTCGCTGGTCCCGCTCCATAATCTCGTGCCGAGCACTTTCGTACTGCACCTTCAAGGTGGCCAACTGATTCTGGAGCTCGTCGTTGCTGCGCTGCGATTGCTTGAGCTCCTCATCCGCCGCCCGTTTCGCCTGCTGATGGGCAAAGGCCACCGATGCATTGGAGCCACTGATGTCCTTGCCCACGCAGCTAATCTCCTGACCCATTTTGGCCACCTCCGCCTTCATGGCCGTCTGCATTTCCTTGAAGGATCGCTTGACCGCCACCACTTCGCGCCACATTTTCAGCAAGCGATTGTGCTCGCTGTTGTAGTAGTCCTTAAAGGCCTGCTCCTCCTCCTTGAACTCGTCCTCCTTGATCAGCAGCTCATCCCGCAGTCCGGCCCAGTCGTTGGTCAGCTTCTGCAGGTCGTTGGTCAGCGCCTCGTTGGTCCGATTCGACTCCTCCAGCTGCTGGCGGAGCGCATTGTTCTGGGCCAGGATCTGCTCGCAGCGCTGGTGCTCCTCCTCCAGTTTGCGGCACAGTTCCGCTGCTCCACCGGAGCCACCGGCACCCAGGACATCGTCGTGGACATAGTCGCGACTGCAACTGGGAGGCGGCGAGTCCAGCGAGGAGCTGCAGGGCAAGCTGCTCTGGCCCAAAGTCAAAGATGTGGAGCACTGAAAGGAAAACAAGGAAAATTGTACCTCATTGAAATGAAATATTGAAACGCAGTTTGTTGAGGAATTCTATTGTAAACTAGGAAAAATTCACAGAAGGGAAGGAAAATTTAAAGGTATTTATTTAAGAATTTCATCACAAAAATTTAGAAGTATATCACCTTTAAATCGATCTTAAATTAAATGATTTATGGCATAGGAAAGTTAAAATTAAAGTCTCTTTTCTGTTACTTCACTTCAATTCATTGGAAATTTAAAAAAATGTGCCATTCAAATGTTTTCCACATTATATAGCAACCACAAATTTTCGAATTTTATGATAATTGCAATCACATTAACCTATGGCTTCCAAATAATAAAGAACTCAGCAAAACCAAAAAGATTAAATCGAACACAAATCGCATTACTCATACGCAACGTTGGCGTTTTCCATAGATTAAAACTTTTTGCACTTAAAACAGTTTTATTAGTTAGTTAGAGTGTTTTGTACTTACCAGCACCTGGCTGGTGGTTGGACCTGTGGTCAACTTGGGACCTGTTCCCGCCGTCGGCTTGATGGTCTCGTGCATGCGGTCCTCCAGATCGCTGCACCTCTGGCGGTACTGCTGGATCTTCGACTGGAGTCGGCTGACCAGGTTGGCCTGGTTGTGCTGCGCCTGCTTGTAGGTGTCCAAGCGACGTCGATAGCTGTGCGACTCATCCGCCAAGCGCTGACGCAGCTCCTGATTCTGGCGGAGAAGGGCGGAGGCATCCCCGCCCACGCTGCCACCGGCTCCTCCCACTCCTCCAACTCCTCCTCCTCCGCCCGGCGGACCGGGACTCATCATCCTGGGCGTGAGGACACCGGCGGCGGAGGCGGCAACGGAGGCGGCACTGGCGGAGGGGTCACGCCCACGCTGGCTGCGCGAGAAGGGCAGCCGGGAGGCGTTGGCCGGCGGGTGGAGGGGTGACGGCGCCCCCTGAAGGTCGACGGCCGATGGGCAGGGCGTTTGCTTGAAGTTATCGCGATACGCCTGCATCTGTGGAAAGCGATTTGCAAGAGGTGAAAGCGGGTGAGTTCAATTCGAGTTGCCTTTGCTGAGGAAATTGCTGAGTTGGTATTGCGTGCAACAGCAAAAATCTACCAACATTTCCATAGTTGGGTATTAGGATTAAGACATACCCTCTACTATTTGAACTCATAAATAACTAAAATTATAAATTTATATTATTAAAGGGTAATTAAAGCATTTAAAAGCACAATATTTGGAGTATTATACAATTAAACAAATGTAATCAATTATGTCATGATTATTATTATAACATAAATATGTGTTGTGGTTTTAAAAAGGTGCTTGTACACTTAAGTTTTTCATAATTTTCAGCAATTATTCATGGATAAACAACAAAAGAATTTATGCAAATTGATAAACAACAGAAGACCCTTTTGAATATCAGTCAACCCTTGCGTTCAACAATCTAAGGATAAAGGGTATGAAGCGGAAACTTTCTGGCCAAAAGTTTGGCGCCTCGCCTACGCTTCACAGCGACTCGATAAGTTAGTCCAAATTGATTTATTAACTTGTTCCGGGAACGGAGTCAGTCGTCATGACAGCTGTGCGGAGGTTCAGGTGTGTTCCCTCGCAAATAAACAAGCTCTGAGCGCCCCCTCTTCTTCGTTATTATCGTCCAAGGATCCCAGTCGAAGGAATCATTTCCTTCCATTTGCGTCCATACTTTCGAATGATATTTTTGGGGGCCCACTTGAGGAAATTGTTTTTTTTTTTCTGTTTTCGTGGGTCCGGAACAACACGCATTGCACAGTCTGTCACCAGGACAGCAAGTGTTTGTGTTTACCACCCCCATACTCCTCCGATCCGATCCAACTCCGATCCCAACTCCCTTCCCCCGGAAAGTCATTATAATTTCCTTGTCCTCGTATTTATTTTAATAAACAACATTTCCGCCGTTGTTGAAACTTCCTTTGACACGAATGCGTCTTCTAATTTTGAGCTCCTTATGCTGCACTCCCCAATCCACCCAAACCACCCAATCCTCCTCCCCATCCATTGCCATTTGGGTTTATGCAAACAATAAAAATATAATAGTAATATCCTTGATAGTGCGACTATGATTTGGCATGCAATCTGCTCCATGTCGCTTGTACTTTCTATTTTAGTTCCCGATTTACTATCACCAAGAGCCCAGTAAAATGGAGGTCGTAGTTCTTGGTTATGGGGAATATTGGGGGGAAAGATATGGAATCGAGAATCAATCATTTGATGACTTTAACTAGCGATTAGCTCAGCAATGATGTATGTAGAGGTAGTCTGCTTATATTTTATTTCATTTGAAATATGCATGTCTATTATTCTTATTAAGAAAAACTTTCTAGCTAATCCTATAAATCATAATTGTGTATTCTGAACAAAAGATAAGTAAAACCGAATTAATAAAAATGTCACCATTAAGACTGCATTGTCATGCAAGTTAATTAAATAAAAAAAGTTTATTTATTTTTAACCTGACATCAAACAGAAAAATTTCATTCTCTTTCAGATTTGTACTTTTTACTATTGAAGAACATTTCGTAAATTCTAAATAAAGTCAGTTTTATAAAATAAATATTCCAATCTAAAAATGTATGGCATAGTAAAAGTGACTTTCCAAAACAAGCAAACAACATTTAAAGATTTCTAAATTTTGAAATCTCTCTTCCTTAACTATTATTCTCTAAGATTTTTAGAATTCACTTTTCCAACGAAAGTCTGTGACTTACTTCTCACTGGCAATTAATCCGGCTGATATATGTATATCCCACTTGAATCCTCGAGTTGACTTTTCAGGCACTTTCTTTTGTTTGGTTTTATTTTGTTTCCAAATTAAGACCGCGCACTAGACACTGTTGTTAACTGATTGAGCTCCAATTGAATACTCATCAAGTTATCACGGAATCCTGCGGCTCGACGAGTCCTGCGGCTCCACCGCTAACGTGTCCTGCCTGGTGGCAATTGACACAAATTTGCGGAATGCGGAAGCACTAAACGCAACTAATGCTCCTCGGTAGGGAAAGTTAATCAGGGCCTAAACTGGCTTTCTTCTTGGTTGGCTGCCTTCTTGGTCAATGGGAACTGTCGAACTGTCCAAGTCCGCGGAACTAAGCCAACTGAGCTTCGAGCCAACTTTTTGCAAGGAGGAAGAAAGGATTCCCTTTTCGAACTAACCGCCATTAAGGACTGTTCCGTCTGGGGACTGCAACTACACCTTCCACTTGGGGCAGAAGACGGAGGAGGACTGGGGCAGAATAAACATTGAATTAACAAATTCCTGGTTACCAGCGGCAACCGCAATTGATTACGGAAAGAGGAGCCTCACAATTATGTTTTTGGCGTGCGAGCGAGCAACAAATGCAAATCGTGTCTCGAAGCATATTCCGAATGCCGAATGCGGTCGGTCAAATCGGGCGATATATCGATGGTGTATAGCCCATAGGGTTCACTATAACCCACAAGAAGGTGGTGGGTGGTTCCTTCAGCTGGTCACAAGGTTCATGCCCAACTGCTTTTAATAAGTCAACTGGCGGGGTAATAAATTGGGAATGCACAGGAGTCCCAGTCGATTAACCCTTTTCATGATTTACTGGCGGTGAATACAAATCAGCTGCTATAAATAGTTGAACCCTTGACTAAGTAAGCTAAAATAGTTAGAGAAAACGAGCATAGTTGAATAAAATGTAGAATTAATTGAAAATATAACACAAGTTTAAATAGATGATGCAATATTTAATTAACTTATTCAATTTCAATCATTTTTTATACTAATAAAAATCATTATTTGTCATCATGTTACTTCATAGATTTCCCGATGAACGAACACGAATTCTTCGGATCATCCAAGCCTTATGTGCAATCACGTAATGAAAAGATCGCAGTGAATGCTTCATAAGCTGAAGCCTCGCTAAAAAGCAAATGTCAAAATGTTTCCTGGCACAGGTTGCGAATTCTATTGCGATGGAGGAGATCTGGGGTTATCGCCATCGTTCATATCATATCAGTTGCATACTCATGCAGCCCATATATAAAGTACATAGGTGAGACAGCTATTTCAATGGCTCGGCGACTAAAATGGATGCCAGAAAAGAAAAAAGTACCGAGCTGTTGGAACTGAAATATACCTACTCGTATATTGAATTTAAATAACCTTATCAGCCAGCCGTTTTTAACCTGAGGAGCGACCTTGCGATGATATCAATGTGCGCCAGGTACACAGAATCGAATTATTTCCACACAAATCGGGTACAGATGTACATATAGTATGTGTAAATTAGAATCGCGACAAGCGGACTCTCAAAGTCCGAAGATTGGTTATGCATTCGCCATTAAGGTGTTTGTTTGCTTCACTTTCAGTTTCTTAATCTCGGCCCGATGCCATAAGGTCTATACTATGTGTAGGTGTGAGATTATAATGCCGAGCATAAGTTTGCCTGTCGCGCTTTTCTTGCGCGGGTTCTCTGGGTTCTCGGGTTCATAGTAGAGCCTCGTTATCAGCTGAAATGGGATTGAATACCTTGCCAGTGTGTTTGTGGCAGGCCAAAGTCCCATTTTACCACTAATCTGGAACTGCTGCTTCGGGGACCTGCATTGCATTGCGATCGAACTCTCCGCTGGAAGACTCTTCCATTTCGATTTCGATCTTGCCTCTTCTCTCTTGACAACGGGCGCCACTTGGATGATATTGGATGGAACCTTCAAGCCGCCGCTGTCCGATGATTTATACACCGATCGCCAAAGATCAGACAGACGGACGGAGGAGAGCGGATCCGCCGGAGAGTTGGCGACAATAATCATCACGTTCACACACACTGTCCGGCTGATCACCATCCATATAGGTCTATATGTGCGGTAGCTAATTACTGATACACTGGGAAAAAACAGTGGTAGTATTAAAAAATATTTAAAAATATTCACATAATAATAGTTTGTAAGAAACAAAATGTATTACATAATTTCTTACCTATTATAAAATATGAATTCGAAATCTTTATGATTATTTATGACTGACTGAGATGTCTAGGGAACACCTGCTATTAAATCTTATCAAAAATCATTTAATAAGCATCCCGAATCAATCATTCTGATTTGATAATCTTTTAATTAACAGTTCCAGCATAGCAACCATAAATATACATTTTTGATAAGCCCACCAGCATAGTGATTCACTGACCTACCCGAAATTAATGCAGGCGATTACTTCTAAGGTCACTATTAAGAAATAGGTAGACTTTAAACTTTAAAGGTTTTTTAGTGTCTGGACCTGATAGTGCTATAAATATAAGTTATCAAAAATACTTGTTGCCAAAGTCTATTTCCAGACAGCAATAAAAGTAGTGCAATTAACTTAATCAGCGCGATAAAGAGCCATAAGATCTAATCACTACGGCAACTAGCAGAAACAATTCGAACGATTCACGATTAGTTTCAGTGGAGTTTTCTGGCAGTGCATAGGTATTGGACAGGGATTGGTCGATCCGAAACCGATGGACATGTGTGTCTGGGGTGGGTTATCAATAGCGGCTACTGCATCCCATAGGTTTAAAGTATAGCTCCCTATTTAAAACGCGCTTTAGTCACCGTTCGGATTTTGCCAGCAGCAGCACGGCAGCGATAATCGAAGATTACTATAATAATCGGCGGAGATAATACGGAATACGGAATACGCGAGTGCGATCGACGTTGAGTCCAGAAGAGATCGAAGATGTCCCAGACCCTGGACGATCTGCTGTTGCGCCAGGAGCACGCCCGCCAACTGCGACAGGCGTCGCGCTCCAAGTTCCGGCGGATCAACTCGCTGGATTTGATTCCGGAGCATCCCAGTCAGTCGGAGGAGGAGGAGGACGGCGGCAAGGATGCGCAGACGCCGCATCGCCATTTCGTCACCCTGCGAAGGCAGAGAACTGCGGATGGCAGTTTGCTGAGGAGTCAGTTCCAAACGCAGACACCGATTCAACCGAGTTTCGGCACCCGAGTCCTGCTCTTTGGACCCCAGTTGCTGATGCGCCTGGTGCTCACCATCCTGAGATACGTGCTCTACATACCCCTATCCATTGCGGCTCCCAGTTTCTGGTTGTCCGCTCTTCTGTGGATTTTCTGGAAGCTCTTGAGGGTGCCTATTGCTTTGGTGAAGTGGTTGCTCAGTGGCGAGGAGGATCTGGGTACAGTGCAGCGCCAGAAGACCATCCTCCTCAGTTGCGGCAGCACCATTCAGACCCTTCACTTGGCCAGGAACTTCTACGGATCCGGTGCACGAGTGGTGGTCTTCGAGTTTGAGGGATTGTTCGGACTGGCAAGGTTCTCCACGGCAGTGGATAAGTTCTACGTGGTCCCGAGGCCAACGGCGAGCAATCCTGACCAGTATATCGCCGCCTTGTGCCACATTGTGAAGAAGGAAAGGCCATCGGTCTATGTACCCGTTTGTGCCACCAGTCCGGCGTATTATGATGCCCTGGCCAAGCCACATTTGGAGGTCCTGGGATGCGCCAGCTTCGTTCCGGGAGTGCAGGAAACCCAGCAGCTGGACGATTGCCTGCAGCTCTTTCAGAGATGCGAGCAGCAACAGATGGCTTTACCAGCCCATGTGGTTGTCACTGCTCCACGGCAGCTGCAGCAGATCTACGAAAGTGGCTTTGTGGGCAGCTATCGCAACATCCTGATGGCCGCCGGAATGCAGGGAGTCCTGGAGAGGCACAAGTACATACTGCCCAACAGGAGAGCGGAACTGAAGCTGAACCAACACGAGATCAGCGAGAGCCAGCCGTGGCTGGTGGTCAGGGATCAGCCGGGCTATCACCACTACGTGACCTGCACCACGGTGAAGGATTCGCGGGTGGTGGCCAACGTGAGTTGCCGGGTGGAGCACCACACGAAGAATCTGATACCAGTCCATCGAGATGATGAGGCACAGATTGAGCTCTGGCTGCGCTCCTTTTTCGCCAAGGTGCGTTTCCAGAGGCCCATTAATGGACACATTAGCTTCCGCCTGGTCAAGAGTCCCGCCCACGGGGGTCAGTTCGTGCCTCTGGGCACGCGACTAGGCGTGGCCCTGCCCTACATATGCCACAATCGATCGCACGCCCAGCTCTTGTGCCGTGCGATGAAGTGCATCCACAGGAGGGGTTTGCCCGAGGACGAGCTGCCCAACTGGAGCTGGTCGGCGCTGGAGAGGAGCACCTCGACCACGGCGCTGGACAAAAGGGAGGCGCTGTTCGCCTACTGGGACCCGTTGCCGTACTGCGCCTACTATCACTTCCAGCTGCCGCTCGAGAACGTCAAGCTGTTTTTGCAGCGACGGAATCGCGCCACGACCAAAAGTTTATCGCCCCGCATCACGGTGCCGGTTCATTGAACGCGAGGGGGGCACCACTACGGGCACCACAATGGGAACCACAAATGGGAATGGGAATGGGAGAACCAGAGAATCTGAGAATCGGAGTATCACAGAATCGCAGAATCGGAATCTGAGCCCGGAGCAAGTGCATCACCATCGGAATCGCGGAATCAGCGAAAGAGCGAGAGAACGAGAGAGATTACACAGACTGATCAATAATGGAATATATAGAAATATAGCGTACATATATACGTAGCATATATATTATTGCATTCTATACTATTTCTTTTTTTTTGTTTACGCCAATGGGGTTCAACATCCATCTAAGAAGATTAGGCACGTTTAAAAAACATGTACCGCACACTCAAACACACACACACACGCACACACTTACACACACCACATGCATTTTGCACGAATATAGAATATATACCATACTATACTATACTGTACAATAAATAATATTTATATTTTTATTACCCATTTGACTTAATTTCTTATTTGCACGCGCTTTGCTTCGATGCGTTTTCAGTTTTTGCGGCGCACTTCTTTGTTTGACTTTTCAAAACTGAACTGTTAAATACATTTTAATGGCAATTTAATCACGGTTTTTAATAACAGAAAGCCAAAAATTAATTATTTAGGGTCGATTTTTTTTTAAAGAATAATTTTGTGTCCCGAAAACAGCCAACTGGTACTAATTGGTTTCTAAGTTTTCGTTTTGTATTTATTCCATCGAATTAATTAGTCATCTTCTTTCACTGCATATGCAGATAAAAATGTTTTATATTTGTTACTGAGGAATTATAGTTTAGGTATTTATTATTTATTTAAAACTTTTAGTTTTGTCGATAACCAAACAAATTAAACGTAGATATTGCGCATTGAGAATAACATTCCAAAATATGTTAAATGAACTGATTTTTTTACTCATTTAATTCATTAAAGCATTTGTAAGTTGCATTTCACTTAATATTTAAAATTTGTTGTACACTTTTCAGTAGTTCTTTGTTTACATACACAAACCAAACTGACCTGACGGGTTGCAATGGCCTGTCCTTGATCCTTTGGTGGTGCCTAAACTGGTGGCGGTGGTGGTTTTGGCCACGTTTCTTCCTCCTGAACCCGGACAGTTGTTGTGGACGCCTCGGGTTACCAGGCAACGGCTTTGGGTCAGCTTAATTGCGGTTGGTTGGCGGTAACTGAGCCATTTGCATTATCCTTATCAATGAGCCAACAAGGTGCATATGGGGGTGGTGAGCACAGCACTTTCACACCAAAAAAGAAATTTTAAAATTATTTGCATAATTTATGGGGTAGAAATGCACTCTAATTTCTCCTTCAAGCGTGACAAAAGGAGTTTAAATTTTGTGAAATAAATGAATATAAATAGAAAATATACAAATTTATAAACAAATTGCTTTAATGGTGTAAATAATGGTACATACAAATACACTCAAGAAAAACAGACCAATGAAACACAAACAAATTGATTTTTGGTTTTTTGTTTAATACTTAAAGTAATTGCACCTTATTGCCTAACTATTTGAAAACTTGGTAGCTTAATATTTATAACAGAATAACTAATCCCATACTATCAAGAACATAGGGAACCTTTTAAATTTATAAACTTTTAATTTTGTTATTTTAACGGGTTTAAAATTTAAAATTTCAGTGTGGCCAGTGTTCGCACATTCTCTAGGCTTTTCGTTATTCTAGGCGCAACCCGAGGTTCGAACCATAACAATTGTAAGCAAACAGGTTTTTTTAGGTTTTGGTTGGTCAAGAACTTTTGGGGGAACACCGTTTCTCCATCTGGTAACTCTGAATGGTGATTTTGGATGTGGAACAATGAACAACAGCCCCAAGGATTCGTACCGCGGTGGAGGAGGCCCGGGCCTCCCGGACGGCGGTGCATCGGCTGGCGTGGCGATCAGCATTGAGAGCGATGACAATGAGTCCACGACGGCGGAGCACGACTACCTGCTGCCCGCCGCTTCGTCGTCAGTGACCTCTGGAGTTGGCGTTGGTGGCGGGGGAGGAGGAGGCGCAGGTGTTTCTGGGGGTTCGGGCAACACCAGCATCAATCTGGAGCACAGCCACGTACCCACAGCCAGGAGCAGCAGTCTGAGTGGCGGCAACGCCCGCCACGGCAACATTCTGTCCACCTTCTTGGCCCGACAGCGATCTTATACGCCTGCGAGCAACAGTAGTTCCCCGATTAGAGTAACCACACAGATGAATCGCCGTTTGCAACAGTCGCGCAGCATGGGCGCCAACACTGGCGGCAGTTTGGAGGAGCCACCTAGCAACGGATCAGCTACCGGCGGACCAGGTGCCTCACCCTCAACGGCTGCAGGTGTTCGGCAGTTGGGCTTTTGGCGCGTCAACCTCAACGATGTCTTCTCCCTGTCCACGGCCCCTTCGACGGAGGCCCTGCGCTCCTTTATTACACATTCCAATTTCCGGTATCCACCCGCTGCTGCAGCAACAGGAGCTCAACCAGCAGCTGCCGCCAATCCCGTAGACAATTCGCACATACTGCTCGGCCCACAGCAGCAGCAGCCATCGTTGGCGGAACCAGCCAGTCCGCAGCGATACAGCCGCGTGGGAAGCGGATCTGCACCCAGTGCCACTGGAGTCATGGGCAGGAGCATCTCACTGCGCGAGGGAGAGATGCGGCACAATCACGGCCTTAACGGAGGACGACACAATGCCAGTGTCATAGGGCTGCACAGCAATCCCGTGGCCTTCGAGGAGCATGAACTCAATGATAGTCTGGACCTGGGCGAGGGAAACGATATCGGCGAGAACGGAGGAGGTGGCAATGGCCAGATAGACCCGCCAGAGAACCCGCCAGAAGATGAACACCTCATCTCCGATGACATGGTGGTGCAGATCCTCAGCCATTTTGTACGCTATCTGCCGCTAATCTTCATATTGTTCATCAAGTTTATACACGACCACCTGCTGGGCATTGTGGATCTTCTGGTGCTTCAGACAGTGATGTACAATATTAATCGTTCGGTGCGCAATCAGGTGGCCCGGCTGGCCCAAAAGAACTACGCTGTAATGACAAGGGATGTCTGCCTTATTGTGGTGGTGGTCGCAGTGCGTCTGTTCCTGGCCACTGCGCCGCCAGATCCTTTGGGTCTCATTGTGCCGCCGCCGTTTAAATACATTACCCTCGAGTTCACCGGGCTGCCTTACCACACGATCGCCGAGGGAGACAGGATGATGACCGACAATCCCACGACGTCAAAGGAAACCATCAAAGCGTCCATCTCAAATGATACGTATTCAGCCCTTAAAGTTATTCCGCTGGGCATGTTACTTTACTATATTGCTGTGAGCGATCTCATAATCAAGCTGCTGACAATGCTGGTCAAAATATTTATTACCATGCTGCCGCACCATCTGATGAGACACAAAGTGCGGGTGAGTAATACTTTTCTAGAGGGATCGATGCCCGATAAAGACAAGAACTACTTTTGTTTAATCAGTAGGAGATAATAATAATTCACTTAGTAAAGTTATTAGCGAAAATGATAGGTATGTTTAAAGCTCCCATTGATTTTCAAACTTTTTGATTATTGTCTTAAAGCACATAAAGACGGAGTTTCGGTATATAACAAAAACCAATTATAGAAATATCTGTAATGTTACACTTCCCATTATATAATGACTAACAAGGTAATCTCAATTTCCCACTTTGCAGTAAGATATGATTCATTTTTGTGTGCAATATTGAAGAAAACAATGCAAGGCTAAATTAATTCATTGTCATGATATTTTAATAGAATCAAGTTCTGAAATTTATACTGTGGGATTTCCCTAATAATATTTGTTGTTGTTCCTTCAAGGCCCGACTTTATGTGCTGGTGGAGTACACATCTCAGTTCTACAGGGCGCTGACACCCATATCCCAGTGGTTCCTGTTTTTATACGAGTCCTATTCGGGTCTGGAAGTAGTCTCCGGAGGACTCTTCTCCGCCCTCTACCTGGGCGCCAAGATATTTGAGCTGGTGGAGCGCGGCAAGTCGCTTAAAAAATCGATTGTGACCTTCAGGAAAAATATTGTAAGACGGATAGAGTTAAAAAAAAATTAAAATTAAAAAATTGCTAACACTCATTTTTTTAAGGACTCTGAGCGACCGCCGACCAAGGACGAGATGGATGCCGCGGGAGCCCTCTGTCCCATTTGCCATGACGCCTTCAACACGCCCACCGTGCTGGAGTGCGGCCACATCTTCTGTGATGAGTGCGTCCAGACCTGGTTCAAACGCGAACAGACCTGCCCGATGTGCCGGGCGAAGGTCAGCGACGATCCCGCCTGGCAGGACGGCAGCACCACCTTCTTCCATCAGTTGTACTAGCTGCGCCACCAAAGAAATTTTCCACGGATTTCGCGTGTACATATATGTAGTCGCTAGCTAGCCTTTTGTTTAATTAAACTGACAGTTATTAATTATTACTACAAGACAAATTAAATGTCCTTTGGTTTTTGCTATGAGCTATTTACGACGCCTGGCGGCGTCCAGAGATCTGGACTCGTAAAACTCCCCATCTCCGCGTGTGGCCTTCTTGTTAATCTCGGCGTGGCGCTCCTTGGTCACGATCTCCTCCAACACCTCGCTGTCGCCCTTAATGAGGCGGACTCGTCCTGTGACCGGATCCACCTCCCTGCGAATTTGGCTCTGCCGGCGCTGGTATTCTTCCGGAGTTTCTGGTGCATGCGACTTGCTGTTCATCAGTGCTTGAGTTTTTGGGGGGCAAAGGGTTCAGCAAAACCTAGGTGGTTCATAATATAGTGGGGATCTTACGGACCTATTGGGATGGCAAAGTCCTCCTCCTCGCTGCCACTTTCGGGCTGCTTTGGCTGCGGAGGAGCTGGCGGAGGGGACTCCTCCTTTTTCCGGCTGTGCTTTTTTGACTTTCTTGACTTGTGCTTGTCCTTGTGCTCCCTGCGCTTTTCCTTGTGCTTTTTCTTTGATTTTTTCTCACTTTTGCCCATTTTTAGTTGCTTACAAAAGAACGTAAACAAAACGATTTTTTGTGGTACTGTCAGCAAAAAGTCGATAAACGGATACCGTGTAATTATTATGGGTAAATGTTAGGGTTGTATTCTTGACGGAAAGTTTTTTGTTACCATTTAAAAAAATGTGGATTACATTTTAAAAGATTTTTAGCGATCAACAGATTTTGTTTTAAAGTGCATAATTATTAATTAAATAAAGCTATCAACTTATCTCAATAAATTAAATCAAAAAGTCCCTTAGTTAAAATAGATTTCAAAGCGCATAAAATGTACATTTTAAACAAAATTTCGGTCACCCTGGACCACCCCCTGCTTCCATACCTGTTTTTTTAGAATGGTATATTAGCTGTTAATAAGCTATATATTTTCTATAAATATAACAGGAGTTACAAAGCACATAAGGAAATGGTATACCCTCTATAACAGGGTGTGTAACCGCTGTAAGAGCAGTGTTAGAAAACTTCAAATCCGCGCGACGATTTACAGCACGGGCGCCTTTTGACAGCGCCGCGTGGAATGTGGATTGCAAGTGGAACCTAATCAGACGCATGTTGTGTTGTGTACAAAAAGAAACGTCAAACTAAAGTTGAGCGAACCAAAACGAAACGGCCAAGAAATAAGCAAACCCACTGGAAACCACCAAGGACGAAGCACAGGACGCACGAATAATCACCAGATAAAAAGCGAGAGAGCGGTGAATCCGTAGCGAACCGCTTTCCCAAAAAGCGGCGGCCCCAAAAAAAATCGCCCACAAGAGAATCCACCAATAACCCACACTCACACAAACGCGCGAGCACACACAACCAAACACACACACGCGCAGCCAAGGAGCAAAAGAAGAATTGCGCCAGAAGAAGCAGCAGCATCTAGAATCTAGTAGTGCAATCACCCGGATCCACAGGTTCTCGTTCCAACGGTTGGAGCAGCACCAAGGAAACAGACCAGGAATCAGCAGATCGTTAGCAGGCAGCAGCAACCAGTCGGCCACTCAGAATCATTGCCAGGATGAGCATGGAGAAAGTAGCCAGCAAGCAGTACGAGTCGTAAGTGGAGCCTCTCCACCAACCAGGGAACCACCAACCAATAACCCATCCATCCAATCATTCACTCCTCAAACGCTCCACCGCCAGCAACAAAACTGGGCCAGCATCACCTTCTTCACTTGGCCAATTGTTAGGTTATGTTCTGGCTGCACTTTACGTGCGCCCTACGCGATTTATTCATCGATATCCTCCTCTGACTGGCGTAATAGAATCTCAGCGGCCAGCTGCTCATCCTTGTCGCAGGCGAGGTAAGCCTGCACGGCCTCCAGGCGATGGAAACCCAGTGCCTCCAGTCGCTCTACTGCGGCGTCTTCTTCGGCGGTCAGGTTGACCTGCACGTTTTCTCCTATTCCCGGTGTAGAGTTTTCACTGGCACCATTGCCAGTCAGATCCATTTCGGCCAGTCTGGTCATAATTAACTGGAGTAGCTCGGGATTTTCGCGTATCAAGTTACGCATTTGGGCAAGACCAGGATCGCCCTCCAGTGCCCCTAATCCTTCGCCTGATGCCTGGGCGCTTACCGGTGCAGAGACCGAGCCATGCTGCACTGAAGGCTCCTGGGGAATCCCACTGATCAAATACTCAATGGCACGTTCCGGATGATTAAAGCTAGCGCGAAGGGCGGAACGCACCTCCTGCTCGCCGTAGCCCATGGCCATGAGAGCACGCACACGCTGCTCATCGGGAGCCACTGAAGGTGCAACCACTTGGTTGGTGCCAACCTCACCAGGAACAACTGCTGCAGGCGGGGTTGTTGGGGCGACCTGCTCTTCTGCCGGCTTCACCTGTATAGTCTTCTTGCCCATCAACACAATTATCTTGTCCTCTGCTATGTTGTATTCGCTGAGCGGCAAGGCATCCTCCATGATGCGACCGCTGTAGATCAACTGCAAGCTCTCCACGGGCAAGGACACTTCGGGCATGTTGCACAGTTTTTGCTTCAAGGCCCGCACATCCTGCGATTCGTTCATCTCCAGAGAGATGGTGCGCTGGTCCAGCATACGGATGGACAGCTTCATTATTCAAATTTTAAATCCTAAGCGTTTCTGATTCGAAGATTGAAAGGAATGTGGTGATCCGGTGAACCTTATTTTAAGTTTGATTTCTAAGCCTCGACATACTAATCAAAAGTCGTTTCTCTCGTGTGTGCCATGCACGCGCGTTTCAGGAAAATCTGGCCAGATCTCGTCGACAGTGACGACAGCGATGTGGAGAACGAGATAGATGTGGACAAGCTGCCGCCTCTGGAGGTCGGTCCCGGCGAGAACCGGCTGCAGCACACATACTGCCTCTGGTTCTCCCGCAAGGGGACGCAGCGGGCGGCCGCCGACTACAGCAAGTCGCTGCACGTGGTCGGCCGGTGCGCCAGCGTGCAGCAGTGGTGGTCGCTCTACTCGCACCTCATCCGACCCACCGCCCTGAAGCCCTACCGGGAGCTCAGCCTGTTCAAGCAGGGCATCAAGCCGATGTGGGAGGACCCGGCGAACAGCAAGGGCGGCCAGTGGGTGATACGGCTGCGCAAGAACAAGATCGAGCGTGCCTGGGAGAACGTCTGCATGGCGATGCTCGGCGAGCAGTTCCTCGTCGGCGACGAGATATGCGGCATTGTGCTACAGACGAAATATCCGGTGAGTGCAGAAGATCCTTTAAAAAGCCTTTTTTGGGACAGCCATGCGGGGATAGCTTTCGATCATGAATTCTTAACAATCGGTGCCTTTAAATTCGGAAACAAGGATTTTCTTAATTACCACCTCTTCTGTTTTCCAAGTTTTCTAAATTTGACATTTTTAAGACGTTTAAAAATTTAAATTTTATTCAATTCAAATCCTAAAAAATTGTTTTACTAAATTACTTTAAATTATTTTCAATAGTTAATATTTATGAAGTAATTATAGAATTAAGAACGAATACCAGAAACCTAAAATTCCTCTTCTAAGGGAATTTAAATTTCGCTCCCTAATGACCAGTGCTGTGCAACGCATTATCGCCCTGATCGAAATAACTAACAACCCTGTGAATTACTTAATTATAATATTTATTTATAAATTCAACGTATATTATTGAATATAGCAAGCCATTTCCGAGTTCCCTTTTAGCTTCGCAATTCGCTTAAACAAAAGTGCCGGTCGCGATTCATTCATAAAAATTTACGCGCATGACGTTTCCCAATTCGAATGGGATCCACAAACAAACCGTGCTGATTGTTGTTGTTGCTGTGGGACTGACGTAATGGAACCAATGTGCCGGCATTTTTAGCACATTTTATAAAGCGTTTTTGCCTTTTGAAGCGATAATTAACAGCAAAAGTGAAAACACGAATAAGCCGAGCAATAGAGAAAACAAAAACCACTTGCAATTATTTACAACATTTTAATGTGTTAGCTCTATTATCAATCAAAAGTGAACGGCTTATAATAAAAAACTTCTTACATAAAGAAAAAATAACAATTTTAGCAGTAAAAATAATAAAACAATAACAACATTTTTAAAAATTCAAAAATTTATAATATAAAATATGAATTAAAAATATAACAAAAAGAGAAGATCACACATTCTCCACAACATTCACATACATCAACACTTGCTCTGTGATTTAAAAGAGAAAAGAATCAACGACAGAAGAGAGTACTCTTTTTGCCGCTGAATTGGTTTGAGTCCGCGGCTAATCCTGATTAACAACTTCCAATAATTACTGCAAACAAACATTATAAGGGATATGGTTTAGCCCTTACAGTTATATTTATAAGTTTTCAACAGGTTGCAACATTCCATTAAAAACTTTATATCAACAGCTAAAAACGGATTCAATTCAGCTTTCTGTTGTTCTAAATGTGCTGAATACTGTTGGTAAGGATCTTAGCTAACCTAGGAATTTATTTGGTATTTAATGTACTTTAGGCCAAAATCTTCGTATTTTCTTTGAGATATTTTCGCGAGCCGGGTGGTATATAAACTGCGAAGCTCTGCGGTCACACTCGAAAATTGTTTGCCCGCGCGAGGTGCTGCGTTTCGTTTCGGCTCGCATCAACACACCAAAAAACACTCACTGCCGCCGGGAAAATCGCGAAATAATTTTAAAAATATTAACAATTTTGCCAGTACTTATCGGTCAAAAAAATAGCCAAGAAATGTGCTGCTGAAACAAAAGGTGACAACAACAAATCGTGACACCCTAGACAGCCAGTGTGCGAGAGTGAGAGCGTGAGAGTAGGTCGTGCGTCCCTCTCTAACACACACACTTAATCGCCGCCGACGACGACGCGTACGCAACAAACGAAAATAAAACGCAAGCGAAAAGGAGAGAGAAAGAACAAATAACGCCCACCGTAACACCCCCCGCGAATAAGAGGAAGCAGAGGAAGACGACGACGAAGAAGCAGCAGCAAAAGCAGACGGCAGAATTGGAGCTTTGCGCAGAAATCGATTTTTTGCCCATTTTAAGAGATTTTCGGTAGGAGGTTGCCTCTCCCATTGCCGAAAATCGTTTATCGCTCCATCGTTCGCGTGTGTGTGCGTACGTGTGTGCCAGTGCGAAAGTGAAACAAACAAATAGCACTGCAAGAAAAAAGATTAAAATTATTTTTAATAAAAAACCAGTGAGTCACTAGTAAAAAAAAAGAAAAATTAATTCAGCAGCAGTTTTAGCTGCTGGCATTGAAGAGGTGCTCTGCCGCAGTCGACGTCGCTGCCGCCGCCCGCCACCACGCGCTCTCTTTGCTTGTCTCTCACTTACTCTCTCCTTCTCTCTGTGAGCGAATAACACCACACACAAAAAACATAATAATATTAACCAAAACCAAGCCAGCAAAAGTGCCAGTTAAGTTAAAATTATATACTAAAGTAAACCGAAAAAGAGAGAGCTGCCAAGCCAAAAAGCGGAAAATCAATAAAAGGTCTCTCGCAAAAGTGGAAAAAACGTGCAAACAAGTTAAAAGCAAGGCTGCAAAATAAAGAAAAAAGGAAAAACTCCGCGCGCGTTTACACGTGTGGTTTATGTGTGTGTGCGTGTTAACGTTTAACTGCTAATCGCTTAAACGCAATCTGCTAAAACCGCGCAACAAAAGCTTACGTAAAGCTTGGCGAAAAAAAACGACAACAAAAACAACGAAATCATAAAAAACATAAGCGATAAGAAAAAACAAAAAACCCGAAAAACTATCAACCAAATAGCAACGAAATTCCGAAAGCCCGTTAAAAACGAAATTATCCACCCCGAAAACTCAAAACCCCGTTTACTAGGATAAACCCCTAGATAACCCTTACAAACCCTGTTCAAACCCCAAAACAAAGATGACTAAAGACAGATTAGCCGCTTTGCATGCCGCCCAATCCGACGATGAGGAGGAGACGGAGGTGGCCGTCAATGTGGACGGCCATGATTCCTACATGGACGACTTCTTCGCCCAGGTGGAGGAGATACGCGGGATGATCGACAAGGTGCAGGACAACGTCGAGGAGGTGAAGAAGAAGCACTCGGCCATCCTGTCCGCCCCGCAAACGGATGAGAAAACCAAGCAGGAGCTGGAGGACCTTATGGCCGACATCAAGAAGAATGCCAATCGCGTCCGGGGCAAACTCAAGGGCATCGAGCAGAATATCGAACAGGAGGAGCAGCAGAACAAGTCGTCGGCGGATTTGAGAATCCGAAAGACGCAGCATTCGACATTATCACGGAAATTCGTTGAGGTGATGACCGAATACAATCGTACGCAAACCGATTACCGAGAGCGTTGCAAGGGAAGGATACAGCGTCAGCTGGAGATCACCGGACGGCCGACCAACGATGATGAGCTGGAGAAGATGCTGGAGGAGGGCAACTCATCGGTGTTCACACAGGGCATCATCATGGAGACGCAGCAGGCCAAGCAAACGCTGGCGGACATCGAGGCCCGGCATCAGGACATCATGAAGCTGGAGACGTCGATCAAGGAGCTGCACGACATGTTCATGGACATGGCCATGCTGGTGGAGTCGCAGGGCGAGATGATCGATCGCATTGAATACCATGTGGAGCACGCTATGGACTATGTGCAGACGGCAACTCAGGACACCAAGAAGGCGCTCAAGTACCAGAGTAAAGCCCGACGAAAGAAGATCATGATACTGATCTGCCTCACTGTGCTGGGCATCTTAGCGGCCTCATATGTTAGCAGTTATTTCATGTAAATCTCGAATGCAATTACTTACTCCACATACACACACATACATACACTTTTCACACCCATATAAACACACACAAACAATCTCATCAAGACCCGATCTATATAGGATGTTGCGCAACCCACCCAGAGAAATTGCAGAAGACAAAAAATCGAAACTTAAACTGTAAGAGATCGCAACCAGTGAACCCCCGATAAAAAGAAAAACAAAAGAGAAGCACACGAAATTAGGGCTCGATTACACCAATTATAGCTAATATATATAGAGAAAAACATGTATGGTTAGTAAGAAAGAGTCTCAAGTCCCCAGAGTCTATCCCTTATATACACATGATGAAACTCAAGTTATAGCTACCAGAATATTTAGTACTTGTAAACAAATTGCTAATTGAAAATGTATTAAACCAAAACTAAATGATAATGAGAAAAAAAAAACACAAAACAAGTAATTGCAAACAAAGAAAACATGAAATTTTATTGATTATTGTTATAATGCGAAGCAACAAAAACGAGAATTATAATAAAAGAAAGAACACTCCACTCACACAAAACTCTCACTGCAAATGCTTTGCAAGAAAATGAAGAAAGAAAATCTTGTTGATTTCCTCGTTTTTCAACTTTGAAAATGCATTTAGTTTTTGTTTGTTTAACTAGTTTAGTTTTCCTGTTAAAAACTCACTTAAAGTAGCCTCATCACCACCACCACACACTCTCACGGAAAAAAATGAGAAGATCCAACAAATCTCAAGTTAACTTTTGAATATTTATTATAAAAAGATTGTTTATTATGCGAGATAATAACTATATTGACTATTTACTATAATGCTATTTACTTAACATGTTCATATTTATTGAATGCATATAATATATATAACTTATACAGAACACACAGCATATATATATACAAATATAAAACTAGATAAATAGCTAACTCGGACATTCTCAATGAAGATGATAAAGCGAAAACGAATACAAATCTGATACACACATGCAAACCGAAACTCATAAACTTAAGGAAGTTGATCGAATGCTGACTTTAAAAGGGTAAACAAATCAACAATTCACACTCACATATACCCGGCTTCAAATTAATCGGTAAACTGTTAAATTTAAAGTTGATTATTCATTTTTTATTGTTGCGCAAACAATTGGACAAGTTTTTTTTTGGTTGTTTAACTTCCCTACAAACTTGTTTTTTTCCGTTTTGTAATCGTCAGAAAAGTTAACAGAAATTAATGGATTTTGGTTTTAGCCACGATTTCATTTTACACACACTCACAAACACGCTTCTCACACACTTTTGTTAAATATCCTAATTTATTTTTCCTTTCTTTCCGCCCCCTTTGGATCATACATCACAAAAAACTAACAATCGGAATGCAATCCAAAATATTCCTCATACACAACCCAACTATTCTATGGCATGCGGCTGTTGAAAACAATTTAACAACAACAAAATCAAACCAATCAACTTTTCTGCACTCACAATAAACAATCCATATAGAATCCAAGCAACCAAGTAGCATGCTCATCAAGGCCAATAATCTGCATTAGCTACACATGTTTTGTAGTACAATCCAGACGATGCAAATTAACTATACTAATTATTAACAAAACAAAACGTAATATGTTTGAGTTTCTAAGAACCTTTGTGATTAAGATACACGGAGAAATGCTTTCGCTTCTAAGTAGGAAATGGCAAACTTGTTAATGCACCAAACGAATTCACGCGAATCGGTGAATTTCTTTTGATTACAACACCTGCAAATGTCAGACCTGCATTATGTGCACGTTTTTTTTTCTTAATTCGTTAATTCACCTTTTGATCTTTTGAACGAGCAAAAAAGAAAACTGAAAACTGCAACGACAACAGCAACAATCAGCACGTTTTCCACCACAACAACAACAGCAAAAACACCGCGTTTAGTGAAAATACAAAAAAAAAAAAATATATCAAAACAAAAACTAATTTCGCTGCCAACTTCGTATTATGTCAATCAATCAAACTGCGGTTTGGTTTCAACCACGAAAATGCAATCTAAAGCCCGAAAAAGTAATCAAAATAAACAAAAACGCGACTCCGCCCTGCCACGCCCTCGTCTGTTGGAAGTTCCAGGTTCCGGGTTCCAGTTTTCCAGCCTTACAGCTTCCAGCGAAAAACAGCTGCAATGCTCCATTCCCAAACGCTGAGGTGAGTAATACACAATAATTATTCAACATTTAACATTCTTTTTATCGGCGAATTGCCACAATTACTCTCTCTACGCCAAAGTTTCCCTCGTGACTTGTCGCGTCCAGCATTGAAAAATCGCCGAAGGTCGCGTTTTTATGTCCTCGAAGACCCCCTACTCCCTACTTCCCCCCTCTGTATTCACCCACCGCCCATTGAAATTCCACGCCCCCTTCTATTAATGAATTCGTGCCCTTTGTGTTGTGACATTTCGAGTTTCAAGAGTGCGAAACAGAGGGAGCGATAAAGAAACGGTCAAACAAGATCTTGGCAAACGAATGAAGCAAAACAAAGAAAAGCTAATTATATCCCATACCCTCGATTACTTGGGTATATTGTATTTGAAATCTGCGCTTGATCCACAAAACCTTGAAAAATACATTTTTATACGTAATTCTTTTGTATTTGGGAAGCGGTTTTTCTACAGCCTAGAAAAACCAATTGTAACTCATGCTTAAAGTATATTGAATTTAATGCCGTTCTGCTCCATTAGTTTTTCTTCCATGTCGCTTTCATTTCCATCTATCTGCCGGTCGGCTCTTTTCATCTAGGTGTCATTAAAAAAATGTTTAATTAATACACACTCTCTTTAACTAAATGGGATATGGACAATTGACGAGATAATGAATATTTATAGTACAATAATAATAAATGCTTCTATAAAAAGTTCTCTTTCTCTTTAATAACATTATTAGCCTATTAAACAGACAGTTGAGATTATTGTATTTTTTTACTAAGTGAATGCACTTGATTTGTCATTAATTACGGAGGCTGCAGAAAGCCCTATTTTGTATGTCTCACTCGCATATTTTTTGCACTTTCGTCATCCAAGCGAATTCAAATAAATTTATGGCGTTTATTTGTTTGGTTTGTTTTTTTTGTTTGTTACTTATAATAAAAGCATCTTGACGTTGATGATCTCATACCATTCGTATCGAGTCACTTTTGCTTTTGGTTAACCAAATGCCTGAAATCCCAGATATGACTTTATTTTTTAGCTGGTTATAAAACCGCAACTTGTGAAGTTTTGGAGAAGTACTTTTAATTATTTATGGGTTTGCTTTGAAATGAAGCTTTTATGCCATAGGCTTATTATTAAATATAGACTTGATTAATTCTGTGTAACTTTTTATACGATGACCCCTTGGGAGAGCACGATATCGTGCCAGTTGCGTGTTTAATTTGAAAGCATTATCCATCTGTGAAAGTTTCGTATATTATACGCCGTTTATCATGTATCATTTCATTTCATTTCGTTTTCCCCATCACTTCCTGTCAGCGTATTCAGAACGAGCTGAGCGAGTATCGCCCCTCTAATGTGAGTCGAACATGCAGAGAGTTCGCGCCTCCCCCGATTCAGAATGTAGGCTTTTGAATTGAGTCATCGCTTTTCACCCAGCGACCTTCCACTTTGGTTCCCGTCGCCTCCCAAGTGGCTCTTCAATTTATCATAGGCGCATGCACTGATAAAAAGTGTGCTTCCTCGCCGACGCTTGAGGCGATACAAATTTATTTACATTGTGTCCCAATTAGTTATTAAGCGATTTATTGGAGTTGTACAAAAAAACAAACTAAACGTAGCCACGCCAAAGGCGATGAGGTGTCCAACCAAACAAATGAGTCATCAGTGTTATCACTTGATAATGGTCTATCAGTGCCAAAGATAACAGTAGTGTGGGCAGTTCTTCACTTCATTCCTTTTGCCCGTAGAATCCGACTGATACCACAAGTTCTTCAACGAATGCAATTAAAAGTTCAGCCCTTGAGTGACGTCCCCCCATCGCCGCATTCGCATGTAACTATTTTTTCAATGTCTTTGCCTTTTTACCTTGTAGTCTATCACATGGCTTTTGTTTGCCTTTTTGTTCTCAGGCCCGCATGTGGCAAAAATGCCCGCAGCTTTTACCATTTCAATGAGAGGTAGTTTAGGCATGTTGATTACTTTACGACTACTTAAAGATACAGTACTTAAGAAATCCATAGAATGTTTGTGCTTGAACAATTGTTATTTGTTGACTAATATATGTCAAACAAATATGATACTAGAAAAATAATGGTTTGCAAAATTAGAAATGCTATTTTAAAAGGTATTTCCTGGCTCGACTACAACTATTTCTGTTTCGTTTTGGCCCTGTGTCAGTCTTCTGTTCTTTTCTGCCAGCAGAGTTTGATGACACCACTGCAGTGCCACGCCCCCTTGCAGTACATATATCTGCAAGTCATGAATTCAATTTATATATTTATCTATTTTTTCCACTTGCCATCCGCTTTTATTTCTATGTATTTATTTGTCTGCCTATCCACTATTATTTTGATGGCTCGCCAAATCCAAAGAGTCATTTTTTTCCTCAATTGCGATGTGGGAGTTTTTGTGATTTTTTGCTTTCCTCTTCTCCTCCTTTTTTATTTTCGTATCTCAACTTTGGTGAGTCACAAATCTTACCGGCTTATGACTACATTTTTTTGTCGGTAGCTGTCAGCCTACGCGTTGATTTATTGATTCACAAGGAGAAGTCATTTTTACGAACCTAATGAATATCCAGTACATGTAATATCTATGTGAACTTGAATGAGTGGGGCACTTTATCTCATCTCGGATGTGCGAAGTTTTTTCAGAATCGTCATTGTCATGTTAAATGTTGAAACTTGTCTGCCAAGATGCTCTCGACAACTTGAAAACTTTTTGATTTGCAGGGCTCTAAAGTTTCGTTTTTCTTGATGCTCTGACCATGTAGGAATATCTCGTATGCACAAAGGAAAAACGGAAGCCTGCATCCTGCATCCTGCAACCCGTTTCCTTCCCTTTTCACATCCGAATTCTTGAAATTTATCTATTACGGTTTTTCTCAGAAAACCAGCTTTGGAAAGTTTGTTCTGATTAAACTTTAAGCTTAAAGTGACTTAGCCTAAAGAAATCGATTTAACAGAGTTGTAATATGATAAGTATAATTTTCTCAAACAAAGTAACTTTTATTTGTTTCTCCCTGTGCACAAACGCAAGATACCTTTGGCAAGGAATCAATTTTCCTAAAAACCATAGATTTTTATTCACGAGCCAAAATTAGAAGAGCACAAAATGGTAGGAGCTCGAAAAAGGCTTAGATATCGATTTTTGTCGTCGCTGCGAAACAATTTGTTAATTGAAAACAAATTTCATGGCACGTCAGATGAGTTTCTGAGCTCAGAGGTGTGTAGAGAAGAGGGTTGGGTTCGAGGTGGACTTGAATATGACCCGAGGGGGCCATCCAACTGGTCAAAAAGCACACATACACAATCGTGGGCGTAGATTTTGTTAAGCCAGCAAAATTAATTTAGAGTTTTGTCGAACAACAAATTTTCATGGGCTATAAAATGAATATGTAATCCCACAAACATAATTAAATTTTCACAAAACTTTTGAATATGCTTTTCAAAATATTATTGGGTGAACATGAATTGTAGTCCTTTAAAAATTTTGCAGCTTATGTTTGACGATTACTGAAATATATTTAGATATTTCTCTAAACGGTTATTTCAACATAAACTTTTGATCCAGACAGAAGGCATTACATTTATTTTTATATAAGTTCTGGTAGTAAAACCAACTGAACTCTGATTCGTTCTTAGCCTGAAGGGTATTCAGACAAAAAGTACTTTAATACATGTGGCTTGACCCTTTTTTCGAGGGGTTTTTCTTCGTTTTGCGGAAAGAGTTCATTCGCCTACTTTTATGTACTCCCAAAACAACATCAGATACGCCTGCCTCATGACCACACCCACCTGCCCCCTTTTTTTTTTTTTTTGGCCAAATTATATGTGTATTTAATGCTGCTGCAGTGGCAAGACAAAAAACAACATGAAATGAGTTCTGCTGGGCAGTTAACGAGCGGTGGGGAAAAACCAAATGGGAGGCCCGAGGACAACCTGACCCAGTAATACGATGTGGGTGGTTTGTTTGGTAGGTCTGTTGTTCCCTTAACCACCGAAAGGGTTGAAAGTGTTTCCCATTTCCAAGGTTGAGCCAGGCAACTGGCGAATTTTCATATTTTCTCCCTTTTGTTGTTTTTGCTCCGACGCAAAATTGCGAAGAAAACAAAAATAAAAAGAAAACTGGAATTCTCACATTTAAATTCCATGCGCTTCGTTTCATCTCCAATTTCCTTTTTTAAGTTGGCTCACAAAGACGAAGAAATGCCATTTAACCAAGCGTGAGTAAAAAAGAAAGAGTGAAAAGGTTGAGACCATAAATATTAATGGTTGCGTCGAACGGTTTTACCTTTAATTAAATGAACTTCTAGCGCTTGGTTACGTGTTCGCTCAGACGTCTGAAAATATTTAATTGTGTAACCTGGTTTCTCCCATTTTGCTTTAGACTGAATGGGAACGAAATAGTTTTGAACGAAAGTTATGAATGGCATGAATAAATAAAGGTTGATCACTGTTGCTTTCATTATTTAAAAGAAAATAAATCCAGAGATGAATCATCATGCAACTAAAAGTCAAATGTTATCGAGCTGATCAATTTAAGGGTTTGTTAGTCATGTATGCATATTTAAAACTTATTGTTGACTTAAAGTTCTCGAAAAACTTGACAAACTGAACAAAAAGCTAATTTTGCGTGGTTTTATTTGTTCACTGATTGGCACCTTTTGCTATTTTCCAAACCACCCACTTTGCCTTCTGCTTCCTCTAATTAACTTGTTCACTGTTCACGAATTTCTCCTCGCAAGTGCAAAAATTTGCATCTTCGCAGTTGTTAGGTGAACAAAAAGCAGAAAAAAGGCAATGAAGAAGGTGCAGGAATCGCAATCAACGAAAAAGCACCGAGTAATTACCGTTGTCAAAGAGAAGTAACTGAAGAAGGATACATAGGAAGGAGCGGAAGCGTAGCAAACCAGCATCTGGCTCAAAAAAAAATATTGGACAACTGCCCAACCGGGCGGAAAAGCAACAGTAGTGTGGCCAAGCACAGCTGGCCAGGA